CACCAGCTCCGGCGCGACCCCCTACAGCTGCCTCGCCCCCCCACCGACGCCCCGCGAGTTACCAACATGACCGAAGGCGCGGGAGTTGGTGACGGTGGAGCGCTGGCGCTTGGCGGCGGTGTCGGCGGCGAGTCGGGAGCCTCTTCACTGGGAACTGCCGGCGAGGGAGTCTCGGTCGCCCCAGCAGCAGACTCAGGACTACTTGGAGGAGCCGGTGGAGGGTCGACCGAGGTCCTGGAGGCGGCAGGAATGAGCGTAGGGTCACCTGCAGGCGCGGCCGGGGCTGGGGGCACAGCACCAGCGGCGATAGGGGTGGGGGCACCCGCCGAACGAGCCTGGCGCGCCGGACGACGGCCCGAAGTGTCGGTGGCGACATAAACAGCTCCCTGAGATGATCAAGAAAGAGATGGAGTCAACAACGAGGATCCGAATGACAGTGAGGGCAGCGGGAGCGACGAACGTACCGGTCCGGAGCACTGGAGAGCCCGAAGAGCAGCGGCAGCCGCGTCGGCGAATGCACGCGACGGAGGAGCCATGGAGTCAAAGAACTGAGGACGCCTAGACGCTCACCAGCGTGGGAGGCTCGCGTCGAGGCGGGGGCAGTTGTGGTATTGGAAAGTGGCAGTTTCCAACGCTGTTGACCCGCCAGCCCGACAATCAAGTTCAATCAAGGGGCGATCAAGGCGAGGTCAAGCGAGAGACGGAGATGGCTGCTTTTGATTGGATGATGACATTATCCTCGGTAGAGTGACAGGCAGTGGCCGAAGCCTCGTCGGGTCCTAATAGGAGGCTTCATGGTACCCACTTTTAGGTACAGATGCATTTAGTTACGTACTTCGGCCGCACTTATTAGGGTAGCCGCAGTCGTCATTTGATGTGTCCGGAATCGCCTTATTGCGATCGTTCACACTAGATATTTGTATAGGGACATAGGACTCATCATAGGATGGCCAGAACGAGGCCCCCAGGGCCTCAGAAAACTCAGTAATAAAAAGACAGTCTTCCCCAAAGCCAACAAGGGTCAAGTCCGACTTCGGTAAGTGTAGCTAGCTTATTGTTGTGCCTGGACACGCTCGGCTGCGTGTGGATGCCTGTCGGGGAGCTTATCGTGCATTGACCGAGAGTTTCCTTGGCAGCGCCAAGAGTTCCTGCCGGAGAGGCAGGAACGGTATTAGAGTATCGTTCAGTATATATTTGTGGGATTAGAGTGTCCCTGAGTGTATTAGTCTACCTACCGAGGTTTTACCTTGGTCCCCCTGTATAAGGCCTAACACGCCGGTACCCTTCCTTTCTGAGGGACTGCAGTGGGGTTGCGCGAAAGCGCTACATAGTATCCTACCCTTAGCTCGTGGCTAGCGGTACAGGTTTTTGGGTTGACCGAAGACAACCTAAGGTGCACAGAGGCGCTTGCAACCGACCCGGTGTAAGGGATCGTTCCTGGTCTTCAGGTTTTGATCCAATAAGCGCTTACCTTTGCGGGTTAGCGTGTTGTTGGTGCCTTTAATACCTTTTGGTAGAGGAGGATTTTAATGGAATTACCACACCACACACTCAACTGACACGCGCACCTTACTCATGCTTTTGTTGACGCGCTTCTGATCGGTAGTTAGATTCGCAATAGCCCCCCCCCAAAAGGACTCGATAGAACGCCATCCTTCCCATATGCCTGATCACCGGACACTCGGAAAGACTTGAATCGAAGATCATTTCTGATGACGTCGGCAATTCCAGAATCTTTGTACATTTTGATGTCGTGGTTACGCCCAGGAAAATGACCATATAGATGAGTGATAAGTCCGTCCGGTGTCGAGAAAGTTTGGTATTTGAGCGCATGCTTGCGCTTGTGTCCGTTGTAGACGGACTTCTGGCTCAGGTATTTGCCGTCACGACGGACATTGCGAGCTGTTGGACGGCAAATTCCTCTTACGGTTCCATCTACAAACGCCCAGACAATTTGCAGTAGCCCACCAGCATCAAAAACAGCGTCGGCGTACGCTTGTAAGTTCTCCGCAGCGTAATCGTGATTGAAATAGAGGAGGTCCGAAAATTTGCTGTCGAGCAACTCCAGCACGTGCAAGAACAAATTCGACAAACCACACGAATTCCGACCAAAAAATGACTCAAGGTCGCTCCAGCGCATTGGGACTGCCAACTTATACAGCACAATGCATAGACCTTCGACACCAGTAGCTGCCGTACGCTCTCGAGTTCGAATGGCGCCGAGGTCGAATAGCTTGACAAGGGTAGCTAGCTGCGTTTTATCAAATCGAAACTTGTCGATACACTCGTCATTTGATAGTCCGTTAAAGCTGAACGGAGCTCTTGGTAGTTGTTCTGACTGTCTGTCAGCACACAGGAATGTTGAGATAGCAGCAGCCACGATGCATTCATCACCCTTACTGGCTTCGTGCCAAATGCGTAATAGATGCGCTCTTTTTTGGTGCCGACGAAGACCCCGAGTGAGTCAACGTAGTATCAGCACCTGTGCGCCGTCCTCGTTGCATTCGTCGCTGTCTGACCAGCTTATTGCAGCGGTATCCTGTTGAGCTGGGGGGCTTCTTTCTGCTCGTGTGCTGATGTCGCTGATGTCGCTTGCACTGGTACGGCTCGCGGTCGCTGGCACAGGCGTTGATGTCATGGCAAAGAGGAGGTACTGGAGCTCAAACTTACAGAGTACTACATGAGCGTGTTGTGAATCTGTTCAATTTAAGGACGGTATAGATGCGATTTACCAGCCACAGCAAACAGCTGGTTTTCAACACTGCACCGTTAAAAGCTTGTTCGACTCGTGGGTTCCGGCAAATCAACTTGTGGAACCAGTGCGTTTCACTGCGAAATTGGTGGAACCGGCCAGCTGTTGAACACGCATTTTAAGAATTGACGGTTTTGCTAAAGACCTCTAATGAAGAGAAGGGTCAGGGGGCAGCAAGTGATGCAGTCAGGCCGCGTCACACTGTTGCCCGGCACCGCCACCGCCTTGCCGAAAGATGGACACCCCTCGCACTTGGCCCCGTCCACGGCGACCAGATGCAGCGGAGCCAGGAGCAATACGACACTCTCGCTGGAGTCCTCCTCTTCGGCGGCCACGGGCACCCCGGTCACCATCAGCACCACGCGAGACGTCGTGTCTCTCGCCCAAGTCCTCCTCCTCGGCGGCCAAGGGCTAGCGCGTCCAGCGCGCGGATGATGACGCCGTCGCCCTCCTCCTCGGCAGCCACAGGCAACGCGTTCGTAGGTGCGCTACCTCTGCGACCCAAGCTTGAGGTCTTATGTTCATACGACTGTTGTACCTTGGTGGCATACGCCTTCAGCACAAGTTTTCGCTTCGGTTTCCCGCATACGTGTACTGGCACACAAATTAAGGGTCTGTATTTACCGACAACATTCATACGTGTACTGTCATTTCTCATGGGTACACCAGACCGGAGAGAAATGTTGCACATGAGGTGGTCCACACCATACTTCACATTCACGCCTCTTCGACGCATTTACCATTAGCAACGTGTTGGCCGCGCTTCGCTGGCACCGCGGCAGCATGGAGTCGTTCCTGGAGCCGACGTCGGCCTACGTGCCGCCCGAGGCAGTGGCGCTGTTCAACTCGGTGGGCTACACCTTCGTGGGGCTGGCGCTGGGCCTCATCGTCTTCCTCTGCGTGCGCAAGTTCCTCTTCTTCCTCACGTGGCGCAGCTTCCGCGACGGGCCGTACGTCGTGGGGCAGCACCAGTGGCGCCCGGGCAACTTGGCAGGGTGCGAGGCCTACATATACATGGTATGTCAATGAATAATAGGTTGTAAACTAACCGCTGTTGCTTCTGCACCGCAGACCGCAGTGGTGCAACGTGTGCGAAGCCATCGTCTACGGCATCCGCAGCTACGTGGTCAAGTGCGACATCTGCGGCATGTACGCGCACGCGCAGTGCGCGGCCACTACGATGCGCTACAAGGGCGTGGCTGGGCCTCCTGCTGCAGGTGGTTCTGCGTCTGCCTCAGCGCTGCCATTGGCCCCGTCGTGTGTGTGCAGAGCTGCTGGAGTGCTGCCGCCTACTGCCGTTGCGTTGGACGAGAAAGATGGAACCAATGCATTGAGCTCCCCCCAGCAACAGTGTCACATGTGGATCAAGGGCAACATCGACCCGATGGACTCGTGCTCTCTCTGCGGCCTCTTCTGCGGCAGCATCTTGGCGCTGTCCGGACTCAAGTGCGCCTGGTGCCACGTGCGAGTGCACGAAGAGTGCTTCCAGCAGGCGCTGGCACGCGCGCACCGGCCGCCGCTACTTCGTCGCTGTGACCTGGGGCGACACGCCAACCTCATCCTGCCCCCGTCTTGTGTCATTCTGCACGAACCGGTCTCGATTGCGACCAAGTCGCAGCGGGCGCTCAACTCGGTGCGTAGTGCCGCGCACATCGCAGTGACCAAGATGTCCAACATCCGACTTCGACGCGGCGCTGCCAGCGGTACAGGGGAGCAAGCCACACCACCGCCAAGTAGTTCGCGGGGTGAGGCCACTACTGGGTGGGAAAGCGCACTCGCGGCTGCATCCAACGCAGTCTCGGGATCGGACGGCCTCCCGTACGACCTGCTCGAGACTCCGAAGGAAACGACCCCACTCTTGGTATTTATCAACAGCCGCAGCGGTGGCAAAATGGGGCTTCACGTGCTACGTCAAGTGCGAAAGTGGCTAAACCCGTTGCAGGTGTATGATCTATCGCATCAGAGCCCTATTGAGCCACTGCGTAGGTTCATCGGACTTCCGAGACTGCGCATTTTGGTCTGCGGTGGTGATGGAACAGTCGGTTGGGTGCTGGGCGCTCTGGACGAGATTGGCGCTATGCGGCAGCCACCAATCGCTGTTCTGCCGCTCGGTACTGGCAACGACTTGGCTCGTGTGCTCGGTTGGGGTGCGGGCTTTTCGGCTCCGACGGACGTGAGTGAAATTCTTAGCGAGGTGGAGGCAGCCCACGTGAGCCTGTTGGACCGATGGCAGGTGAATATCGGCGACTCCCAGAAGCGTGCCGTTCTCAACAACTACCTGGGTGTTGGTGTGGATGCTCAAGTGGCGCTGGAGTTCCATGAACAGCGTGAACGCTCGCCGGGTTTGTTCATGAGCCAGTTTGTCAATAAGCTGTGGTACAGTCAATTCGGCGCCAAGAACTTCATTGTCCGGACGTGTGCTGGTTTGCCCGAAAAAATTGACCTCGTGTGCGACGGCAAGCGCATCGCACTACCTGAAGGCACGGAGGGCGTCATTCTGCTCAATATCAACAGCTACGGCGGCGGATCCAAGCTCTGGCATGACGACGCGGAATCTGATAACGAAGACTCCGACGCCAGCGAGACCGACGACGACGATGACCGAAGCCGGGCGAGCAGCATCGACAGTATCGACACCAGTAGCACGCACTTCGGCCCCTCTTCTCCCCACGACGGACTGCTGGATGTTGTGGCTGTGTATGGCACATTGCACCTCGGACAGATGCAAGTGGGTCTGTCCAAGGCTGTGCGTTTGTGTCAGGCCAAGACGGTGAGTTTGACCCTGAAAGAAACACTACCGGTGCAGATCGACGGCGAGCCATGGCTGCAAAAGCCCAGCGAGATGGACATTTCCTTCTTGCAACAGGCGTTCATGCTTAGCCGCACCGTCGAAGAGCGCGACGTGGTGACCAAGAAGGTCGGCGAGGTACTGGACTGGGCAGAACACACCCACGTCATCTCCTCGAGACAGCGCGACATCCTGTTGGTCGAAATCGCTCGTCGAGTCGCTGACAGTGCCGCATCTCGCCGACACACAGGATCTCGAGCCTTAGTGGCAACTCATGACAGACATTCGTTCGTCATGGATAAGTAAGTAGCATGGCAACAAGGAACTAAAGAGGCCGTCAAGTAAATATATAGAAGTTATCTATACGTCACTCTCGTTGCTGCTGGACGCGGCTTGGTGAAGCAGCATCTTCTCGATGAAGTGATCGATGTCGCCGTCCAGAACCTGCGCCGTGTTGCCTTCTGAGTAGTTGGTGCGGTGGTCTTTCACTAACTGGTACGGATACAACACGTAAGACCGGATCTGGTTCCCCCAGGCATTTTCACCAAGACCCTGCGCAAATTGCTGTTTCTTGCGAGCTTCTTCATCGAGCTTGCGCTGGTAGAGCTTGGCCCGCAGCACGGCTAGCGCTTCGGCCTTGTTGCGGTGCTGCGATCGCTCCGATTGGCTCTGCACCACGATGCCCGTGGGCAAGTGCGTGATCCGAATGGCACTGTCCGTCGTATTCACGTGCTGTCCGCCCGCGCCCGAGGATCGGAACGTGTCGATACGAAGGTCTTTTGTCGAGATCTCGATTTCCTCACTCGACCGGCCTTCTGCAGCCATCGGGTACACTCGAACTTGAGCAAAAGACGTGTGCCTCCGACCTGCACTATCAAACGGCGAGATACGCACGAGTCGATGCACACCAGCCTCGCTTTTCGCCCACCCGTATGCATATGCGCCATCTAGCCGTAACACCACCGATCGGAATCCAGCTTCTTCCCCCACAGACTCGTCAACGTTTTGCACCTGAAAGCCACGCGCCTCTCCCCAGCGCGCGTACATCCTCGCCAGCATCGCCGTCCAGTCGCAGCTATCAGTTCCCCCAGCGCCTGCCTGGATCTCCAAGAAACACGATCGAGCATCACTCTCATGCGACAGCAGCAACTCCAGTCTGAGCTGCTGCGCATCAGCGTGGACTGCAGCCATAGCGTTCACACACTCGCGAAGCATCGGTTCGTCCTCCTCCTCCATCGCCATCAGGTGCAGCTCCTTTGTATCCAAGAACCGACGGTGCAGCTCCTCTGCCCTTGTTTCTCTTGACTCCAGTGCTCCCAGTCGTTGCACCACCGATGCAGCGCGAGTCGCGTCGTCCCAAAGGTCCGGAGCTGCAGCCTCTTCGCGCAGCTCAGCGAGTTCTTGCTTGTTCTCAGCGGTGGCGACCACGTCATGGATCACTTCAATCTCCCGCTTCGCTTGATTCGCTAGCGAAGTGAAGGATTCGCCGCTTGTAGGCGCTTCTGGGGACGAAAACCACCGGGCCGGAACAGCGGAGGTCGAGAGCTTCAATGGGCCGTATAAAGAGAAATACCCGCGTGATGGAACCCAAACTTCGTGTGCAGCATTGCAGGACACTTGAAAAGGCACGCAATTAGCTTTCGCATTGGCGGAAGCCTTAAGGGCCGCGCTAGCGATGGCGGTGCGAGCGCGGCGGGGCAGGAATCGTCGGAGCATTTGACACCGTCAAAATATGAATTTGCGTCAACCAATTTGTATCCGAAATTTCATGCTAGAGTTTAGGTTGCGACCTACATTTTCAGGTTGAATGTTGCCTTTTTCACATGGCAGGTTACCGCTTCGGGGACGCGAATTGTGAGAAGTGATACGCTTCCTGGTGCGCTACAAGCACTTCGTCATCGATGAGGCGAGGCAAAAAGTCCGTCTCGACGTTGTACTCGTGGAACCGACCTCCGGGTTCGCACAGCTCGAGCACCAGCGGAGATGTCTTGAGGCCAAAGACGTTCCCCCAGAGCAGCAGGCAGCGCAGACGCGATCCAGCTTCGGGTTTTTGGGGCTTCAAACAAGCTGTCGCGATTGCAGCCATGCCTTCGTCGGTGAGGGATGTAGAGCAGAGTGACAACACCTCCAGAGGCGTGGCCATGTTGGCCCGGAGCACCTGTGCAAAGGCCTTGGCGCCGACGTCACCAATTCGGTTGGCACTGAGATCAAACTCGGCGAGCGTCGGGTGACGCAGCATGAGTGCTGCGAGTGCAGAAGCACCTGAACTTCCAATCTTATTGGCGCGGAGTACAAGCCGCCGCAGCGACCGGTTGTCCAGCAAGCGTTCGGCGAGCACCTGCGCGCCGTGATCGGAGATCTGATGCTTGGCCAAGCTCAGATTCGTCAGCACTCGATTCACTTGCAACGCCTTGCCGATGTACTGGATTGCCTCCTCCTCCTTGGTGCGTATGATGGGGTTGTCCAGGTTTAGCGCCTCCAATCTGCGGTTGACACGCAGCGACTGCGCTATGGCTATGAGATTGGAGACGTCGAGCTCCGTGTTGCCCACGTCGACTTCCTGTAGTGGGCACGAGGTCGACGCAAGTAGCGCTGCGATGGCGTGGCCTCCCATTGGCCCAAGCGGATTCCCATTGAGGTTGAGCCTTCGTAGTGGGGAAGCCGACCCCGCTGCGTCGAGTGCTGTACAGAGCAGTCGGCAGCTCTCGCTTCCTAGTCGATTGCCCTTCAGGTTCAGCTCGGCGATCTGGCACGGGTACGACGGACTAGGCTGCAGTAGACGACCAAGACTTGATGCGGTTTCCAGAAGATACTCGCGCTCGTCGCGTGCTCCTTCCTCGTCCTCCTCTCCTCCATTCTCAGTTTCGTGCTGGCCGGATGATGCGTCCTCGTGCTCGCCAAGGTTGTTGTAGCGCAGATCGAGACCAATAAGACCAGGCACATTGCTCTTGTGCAGGGCGTTCGCCAGCGCCACTAGCTGAATATTGCGCAGCCGATGGTGGAAGCCTTCGCGCGTGTTGCCCGCCAGCACAAGCATGGCCCCCGGTCTCTCCTCGCGCTTGAGGTTCTCTGCAGTGCGCCGAGCTGCCAGCGCCTGCGACGTGGCCTGGAAGTTGCTGCTGAGCCCGTCGTCCTCGGGTGACGGGAAGAACTCCATCACGCGCATCATCACATCCCGCCGCGCCGTGATCCCCAGCTGCAGACTCTCCATCTCGTAGTTGTGCACGAAGTCCTGGAGCGACATGGCTTCCTTCCTATCTCAAGCTCTTCTCTCAATTCTGCAGCAAGGCTATTGCGCGTGAACCGACGCGTCTCTTCATCGGATACTTGAGCTCATAGCGGTTCATTCTCGAGCTTGATATTAACATGGTGGCCAAGCCGAAGGCCTCCACGGCAGGGCAAGCTGACACCAAAGCAGCAGCAGCGGCAGCCGCTGCTGCAGCCACAGCCAGCGCAGCGAAACCGGACGAGGAGCAGCCAGCAGAGGAGGAGGACGAGGCGGTCCGGACCGGCACCTTCTCGTTCAGCGACGGCAGCAAGTACAGTACGTCAGCGTAGCATTAGTCAATGAGCATTACCTTCTCCTGGAGTTGATCTCTCATGCTCGCGTGCGCTACAGAGGGCGAGTATTGCCTGGTCGGTGGAAAAGTGGTTCGTCAGGCCCACGGCTCCTTCTGGACGGGGGCTGAGAAATATGAGGGCGAGTGGCTGCACGACCAGATGCACGGCCGCGGCGTGTACACCTTTGCTACGGGCGCGATCTACGACGGAGAATTCCAGGCCAACGCCTTCCACGGCGTCGGGAGCTACCGCTGGGCCGACGGCGCGCACTACGAGGGCGGCTGGCACTTCAACAAGTATGGACGCCAACTTCAACTTATTGGACCAATCATGGGGCTGGGATTTATTTGTGGAACTTGTTTGTGGTATTGTTTTGCTGTTAGAATGCATGGAGAAGGTCTGTATGTGGACAAGGAAGGAGTGCGGTGGCAAGGCCGCTTCTTAAACGGCAAGTACCACAACGGTCGCATTTTCCACACGTTACGGTGAAGAAGAAGGAGAAGGAAGAGGAAGGCACGATACGTAGCGGTTGTGGCAATAATATATATTCTTATAGATGGCATTCACTTCATTACGGGAGGAAAGTCTGGCACAGCGCCGAGCCGCTGCGGTCCACCGGCGGCAAGAGGCCATTCTGGAGCATGTCCAGCTCCTCCTCGGCGACGCTCTGGTCTCCGTAGAGCTGGCGCTCGTTGGCAATCAGTTGCGCCATGAAGCCTCGGTTGGGGAAAATAAGGGGCCGGCACTTGAGCACGTGGCTGTAGGCGGCCGAGAGGGTGCACTTGGTCTTGAGCATGACGTACCAGATGCAGATGGTGGACGAGCGCGAGACCCCCTGCACGCAGTGGATGAGCACGCGGCCGTTCTCCTCGGCCGCCTTCTGGATGAAATCGATAGTGGGTCCGAACTCCTGCGCGATATCCACGTCCACATTGTCCTTGATGGCCACATCCAGGTACTCGACGTGGTCGAACTTGTTGCGCTGGTCGGTGATGGCGCCCATGTTGACCACGTGCGTGATCTGCAGCGCGTCGATCACCTCGGCCGAGTTGGCCTGCCAGAAGTTGCCCAGGTACAGGAACCCGTCCACGATTTCGTTCGGGAAGTGCATGGACGAAGTGGGACTGGCCACTGCGTTCACCGATGCCTCCTGCTGCTCCTGCTTCCTTGTGTTGCTGTCGCTGTCGTTCTCCTCCTGTGAATCCCGCAGAGTCCAGGGTGACGACACGAGCATGAAGCTGTACTTCTTGGCGAACGCAGGGAAGCCCTGCGCCAAGAACCGGACCGAAAAGACGCGGCCCTCCTCCATGAGCATCTTGGCGAAGCGGTAGCCCCAGTCCATCCGGTAGAGGAAGGACGCGCCCGTGTGGTTGCCGCCGATGACTACCACTTCAATGAGGTCCCTCCGCTCGAGCTTCTCGCGCAGCTTGTCGTTCTCCGTGAGCTCCACTACGTCCTCCACCGTCTTGGCCATTTGTCCGGCGCAGCTGAGCGCCGTCAGGTGCGGGCCCGTGTGGATGTGCGGGCAGTGCAGCGCGTCCGGGAGGTGGCCGGCCATGAACTCGGCGCCTTTGCGGCAGTCGATCAGCACGACGCCCGACGTCTGCAGGCGGTTGTAGAGCGACGTGACCGAGATGAGCGGCACGCGGCTGTGCGAGCGCCTCCTCCGCAGCTTCCTCGAGGCGAACGAGAGGCACGAGGAGCTGAGCGACGGCGCGTGCGACCCGGAGGGCGCCTCCTCCAGCACTGGGTCGGCGTCGGCGATGGCCTCGGCCGAGCGGCTCGAGCCCGTGACGCACGTGGAGACGCCGCTGGCGGTGCCATCGAACGGCTTTTGCTTCATGCCCTGCTGCTGCTGATGCTCTTGGTGTAGATGCTGCTGCTCGGGCTGGACCATGGCTACTTCAGTATGATAACTCTATTACGTGGCGCCAGGCAAAAGCGAGGTGCCGCCGACGCCGACAATTGCCAATTGACGCCTGCCGACAGGCATCGTGCCCTCTGGGCTATCCCCAATCAGATCTGACAGGTCCATCCAGAAGCTAACAGTAGGGGGCCCCGGAATCGTACGATATTCATTCTGCGAGGCTTATATTTTATAGTCAGCGAGCTAGTCGGGCCAGCCCCGGCCCTGTTCCCATAACTTGTGGGCAATCGCAATGGCTACCATACGCGCGGCATTAGCTAGCGGCGGCGCCAAACTCAGATGAACGGCACGCCCAGCCGATAGGTGGCTCGGATGCTCGGCGCGAAGTCTTCTTTCGTCCGCATGGCGCCCTAATGGAGCGCCACGCTTTCTTGGCAGCAGCTTGCAGCTGGGTCGCCGCCACCCACGGAGAATCGCCTTGCGCTTCGACTTCCACACGCATATCTGCGGCTGCTACAATGCAATGGGGTCGGTGAAGCGGGTGCACCCGGTTGGCCGCGTTTCGGTGCGCTCGTCGCGCGCTGGACGCCGCCGCTTTCGTTGACGAGCAAATCCGAGGCAAAATTGTGGCTTACACCGGCGCCACCGCACGCGGGGAGCGCTCTCGTGGCTGTCCACAGGGGAAAACTGACTTCAAGTTGGTGCATTGATATGAGGTACCTTTGGTCTACACTACTTAGCCTACCTACATCGTGCTAGTCTACGTTGAAGACCTGCTTGGTGGCCTCGTACGAGGAGATCATGATGGCGCACGCGGGCGCCACCTTCACGATCCTCGGCGCCAGGCCGGCAGCCATCCCACGAGCGCCCTCGGACGCCCACATCTGCCGAAGCAGTTGCCGGATCGAGGGCGCCGGAGCCATGTCTTTGGAGAACACGACCAGCTGCGACCGAGTCTTGATCACGTCGAACGGGTGAGTGATGACAGTCGCGAGAACGCCAGCCAGCACACCCGAGATGAAGGCGACCGAGACGCGCCTCCGCTGCGGGTCCGCAATGGGGACTCGATCCGTCAAGTACTCTTTGGACGTCTCGATCCCGAACCAGTAGAAGGCCGAGAACGGGATGTCCCTGGCGAGCGTGGCGCCTAGGCCGGCGAACAGCTGCCGAGCTCCACCTTGCCATACCTGCCACACGTACGTCGCAAATGGGTGTGCGTTGGCAACTGCTTGCATCTGCACTCGGATGAGCTCGAAGGGCGAGAAGATCGTGGCGGCGGCCGCGCGCGCCGTGCTGCCCGACGCCATTGCCAGCAGTCCGTGATTCTGCTCAGGGAACGTCGTCTTCAAGCGCTTGAGGAGCAGTTCATACGACGTAAAGTACACCGCAGTCGACGGGATGGCCGTCAGCAGCGTCGGCGGGAGCCCAGCATACAGCGCCAGCGGTCCCTCAAGCCGCACGATGCGGGCCATCGTGAACAGCGTGCTGTCCGGCTTGGGCGGCGAGAAGATCTGTTGCGGCGAGCACTTGCACTGCGTCAGCAGCCGCTGCTTGGGCAGCATCGTGTCCATGAGCCCATTGGAGAAGCTGTAGTACGGACACTGCGCGCACACGACGTCCAGTTAGTCATGTGCTGATTGCCAAGAGCTGGTCGGCCTGCACTTGGCTGGCCAGCACTGGTAAACAGAGGCGGTTGACCAACCTTCTGCACGGCAGGCGGGGCATGCACGACTGCTGGAGCCTGCACCTGCAAGCGCGTCTTGACCACCTCCAACGCTGCGCAAGATCCAAGCATCCACGATACATTTACGCTTGCGGTTAGCCTTCCATAACGCTACGCTGCCTTGTTAAACCTCCAAGCAGCTGTCGGTCTTACGCGTGATCTACAATGCCACACGCGCATCGGTGGTCCCGACGTTAGAGAGACTAGTTGATCATGCTTATCCTGCGCGGCTGGCCAGCTGCACGCACCACGAAGGAGGTGATGAAGGCGCCCACGGACGCCGCGGCGGACTTTTTGGCGATCTCGTCCATCGCCGCTCCTTTGACAAGCGTTGTGACCGTCTATTTTTGTCCAATCCAGACGCGCCACCTCTTCGGATTGGCCAAAACTTCTAAAAACCGAAACTGTAGCCATGTCACGTTTTTGCGGGGGAGCTGGGGGCCTTTTTTCCGTGACCAGATTGCAGAGAGATTCCCAACGGATCTCCCCGCATATGGTAATTTGTATGGTGGCGCCCAGTGCGGAGCCAAGTGACCAAGTGGTCGCTCGGCGGAAAAGCTTTCACTCAGTCGCCGCCCACAGTCAGAGAGGAAGAAACCACTCGCGATGATGGAACCCACGGCCTCCACGACTGCGGCGCCCGCTGCGCCCGCCCCCGCCCCCGCCGCCGCCGACCCATCCGCAGCTGCTGGAGGAGAAGGTGTCGCTGCCGCCGCCGGCTCGGCCACGGCCCCCGCCCAGGAGATGCTGCGCCAGTTCTCGACGCAGTTCAAGTCGCAGATCTCGCAGGTGCAGATGCCCGCCGCCCTCAAGGAGCGCACGGACGAGCTGGAGCGCCGCATCTCCAACACGGACATCGCGCGCATCAATGGCTACATGCGCCTGGTGAACCTCGTGTTCGCCGGCGGCCTGTGGGTCACGTGCTTCTTCCGCATGTTCGAGGTGCCCAGCTACTCGCACTTCCTCGTCATCATCTACATCATGTACGTCTGCTGTTGAGCTGGCGGGAGTCTGATACAGGTGAAGCAGCGTCTGATATGTTCGTCTATTGCAGGTTCCTGAGCGCTGGTCTCGCGTTCATTGAGAACCACGAGCGTTTCCCGTCCGTCGCGGACCGAGTCAAGGTGAACTTTGGCTTCATGTTCTCGGCCACGGGCAAGGCGTCCTACATCCTCTGGTGCGGCCATACAGTACTTGGCTTCGTTCGTGTGTATGGTGGTACAGTACGAGGTTGTGCTGACGTGGACTGTCGCTTCGTGGCGAATTGTTGTCATCTTGTAGCATCGCGTTCCTGGCCGTCTCACAAGGCTGGATTGGCTGGATTCTGGGCGTGTGCTTCTTCTTCCTGGCCCTTTTCAACTTCTTCCTCATCAAACGGGTACGTTGGACTCTGCTTGGATTTTTACGTTTGGATCTTCCAACGTCTAACGGCATCCTGTATGTTTCTCTGTCGATGCAGCACCCTGCTTACAAGGCCGCTATGCTGAAGCCGACTGGCGCCGCTACCATGACGGCTCAGCAGCAGGAAGAGGCGGACCTTGAGGCCATGCCCGAGCTCCGTTACAACCAGAAGCAGCCTCAGATCCCCGCCCCCGTGGTTACCACCCAGGCCGCGAAGCCTCAGCCGTCGCACGTGTCGGTCTAAGCGTCGACGATCGGCCTTAGGACTCGGAAGTGAGAGCTAAGCTGCATGGCTATATATCAGCTTTTTCTGCATCAGCTCGTTAGGCCTCGGAACTCACACAGCTACGTACATGCAAGATGAAAATGGACCAAAACTCGTACGATAACGTGACAGCTTTTTGCTTCAGTTTGAAGAGTTCTCGTTGAGCTGCTTAGTACGAAGAGAGAGCAGCGCATGCTGGCAGTCGAACTTTTCGCCGATCCACAATGCTGCCTGCTTCCATCGCTGCGCTTTCGTTGACTTCCACGTTAGCTTCGGTGTGTACTTTACTCCTTGGCCTCGCCGCCGTGCTGCGCCACGACGCCGTTGCCGTGGTACTTGAGCGTCTTGACCCAGTTGCTGCGGCGGCCGGTCGGGTGCTTGAACTGCACGGCCGACTTCTTGCCCTTCTGCTTGATGAGAGTCTCGACGTTCTCCGGCAGGAAGTTGTGCGAGTACGAGATCTTGCCGTAGTAGTCGCCCACGGGGGCCGGCTCGGCGAGCTCGAGCTCCCAGCCCTGCTTCTTGGCGAAGCGCTCAGCGGCCTCCTGGGTGTCGAACTTGGTCACCAGGCCAATGTACGGGTCGGCCGTGCTGGTCCAGCCCATAAGCGGGTTGGCCCACGTGCGCGGGGTGTTAAAACGGATCTCCCAGTGCTTGGTGTTGTGGATGCCGCTCTGCATCTGGTTGCGCGCCGGCTTGAAGAGCTGGGCCTTGCGGCCCACCGACCACTCGCCCGTGCCGGACACGACGGCCGCCTCCTCCGGGTAGGGCATGGGCGACTTCTCGATCGTCGGGAAGCACTCCTCCGTCGCGTGGTGCGGCAGGACTGCAGCAGCAATTACAAGAACGCACAACGTCAGCGTCGTATTATGTCCCCCACTATGGCAGCATTATGGAGGGCAGCAGAAGGCAACGCACTGGTGCGCTCGGCCTCAGTCAGCCGCTGCGCGCGGAGCTGCGTCATGAGCTTCTCCTCCGCGGCGGCGGCCGCGGCCTTGGCGGCCTCGTCGTCCTTGGCCACCTCCGAGAAGGCGCGGGAGGACGTGGCGACGGTGGCGCGCTTGGAGGCGACGGCCGCGGCGGCGCGCGTGGACGCTTGGAGCACACGCACGGACATGATGGCGCTGGTGATGTAACCTGTGGTCTGGCGGTGCGCGATTTTCAGCCGCAAAAATGGACCAGGAGGAAGTCTAAATATCGAGATTTTGGTAGAGATTTACACATTTAGGGTGTACTACATACTACACCCCCAGAATGGAATTTCAGATGGCTACACAACCAAACCCGAAGAGTGAGCGTGGGGATGATGCAGCGCCAACAATGAAGACCAACTGAGACGCACGTACAAATATGAAAGGTACCGCATTAAGTTATGAGGTAAATGTCGAGCAAACTGATCGCCCCCACTAGTACCAGTTTGCCGTGGTTCCATCCAGGCACGCTGCGGGCCGCAAGGCAGCGTGCTCGACGACAGCTCTCAGCTTTCCGCCACTCTCGTTACGCCCCGGGAGCGAAAATCTAACACGCACACTCCAGTCTCGCCAGCTCCGTCAAGAACTGCTGTACCTCCGAGGTGTCGCGGAGCGAGTACGACGCCTTCGTCACCGGCAACTCCTTCAGGTTGCCTGGCAGGTCCACCTTCTCCGCCTCGGGGTCACGAACGATGATAGAGATACCCTGGCCAAGTCCTCGGCCGTTCAGCGCGTTGAAGGCATCCTCGTCGCTAACGTCGTCGCCCAGGTAGAACGGCACGACGTCCTCCGCATCCAGTCCCAGCTCCGACAGGATGTACATGACGGCGCGGCCCTTGTCCCAGTCGACCTGCATACGGTAAACACGCTGTCAGCTCTAGATGTAAAGATAACATTGTTCGGAGAAAAATTGACGTACGCGAGGTCGCAGCTCAAACACCATTTTGCCCATTTTCTTCGTAAGGCTCGGGTGGTACGTCACGTAGTCGTCCACAATCTGCTCAACCGCATTCTGCAGCGCCGGATCAACCTGCAATACACAACACAAGACCAATGCGTCAGTAACGAGCGGTAGCTACAACTCCACCGCAACTCTGCAGCACTCACGTGACGGTAGTGAACCGAGATGGCGAGTCCGTTGTCCTCGAGCTCAGCGCCAGCGATGTGCGCAGTCTGCTCTGTCAAGTCGCGCAGCGCCTGCTCCAGCTCAGGGCGGTAGTGGTCGGCCACCTGGCAGTTGATGGGGCGCGTCTTGGTGCCCTTAATGTCGAATCCGTGGCTGCCGGCGTACACGAGGTTGTCCAGCTGCACGAAGTTGTAGACCTTCTCCGTGGAGCGGCCCGTCACAATGGCCGTGACGAACTTGGACGACAGCTCGCTGAGCGCAGCGCGCATGGCGTCCGTCATGAAGGCGTGGTCCGGCACGTCCACGATGGGCGACAGCGTGCCGTCATAGTCCAGGAAGACCACGGGGCGCTTGCCTGCATTGACAGCGGCGTCAAAAACGTCAGAAACCCATAGACACGCCGCGTTTCGCGCTGCTTGGGGCGCGGGCGCCAACAATGGGAGGGCAGGTCGGTTTCGCAATAGCGTATGCTCTGCTGTAGCTATTTATGGCCGCTGTGCTGCTTACCTGCGACTTTCTGCTTGATGGAGTCCATGTCCCGGAACGCGTTGGTTGGGTGCAGCATGGCGGCGCGGTCTCAGGAGGCCTGTGCAGGGCTGGACTGCGGCGGTTTCGCGGCGCCACGTGGGACGCGGAAGGAGGACGGCGCCGGCGCGGAGGCCTGGAGGCTGTGCTGAGCTCGCGCTCGCTGGGCCGTCGGCGGCGCGTGGAGACTTGGTCGAGGCTGGGCTTGTGACGGCCGCCGGCCACGACTTGCCCTCGAGAGGCGGTGTGCGCTGGCCAATCAGCGCGCGTTTACTCACAGTACGCTCGCAGACGAATATACTGAAGTTTGTATGCCATCAGTACGCGAGGCCAGGTCTGCAGCAACCTGGTTTTCACTGGCACGGTTGTTGGGCGAGTCGCTTGCGAATACTTTTTTCTTATTTCAACTGTCTTCGGGCCGCTCACGGGGCAGCAGTCCCACAGGCGGCGGAGTTCCGATGTTGGCAGCTCGGAGCGTTTTTGTATTTTCGGAACCCAGCGTGCTTGACAATCATGATGCTAAAATGGCGGTGCCTGTGAAACCATAAGTGCGACGCTGCGTTGTCGTGCTAACACGTTGTGCGCGAAAGCTGTCGTTGCATATGAGCCCGTCGCCAAGCTAAAGCCGGTGGGTGGAAGTAAGCGGCCTCAGTCTTTGAGGTTACGCAGGCCGTTATTCGTGCTCATGTCCGAAACCGAGCTTGTCGCGGCGTGACGAGCAGCGAGTCGGCACCGGTACCATGCTGGTCGCCGGAGTGAGCGCGTTTGCTGTTCTTTCGGACCGTCGTGGTGGGTACTTCGCTGGCAAGCCCAGATTCCTGCCGCTTTGACCGCGATCGACAAGCACCCAGATTCAATCCCCCATGTGGTTCTCGCCTGCGTTCCAAGTCCCGCTCGGCGAGCGGTTTAAAGCCTACTACATGTACAGTAGCTAGACGACTTACGTGGGGGGATGCAGTGCATCCCCCCACGTAAGTCATCATGCAGCGCGGGTAGCATGTGGTTCTCGCTGATTTCCACGCAGTTCTGCCACAGCGTGTGGGGCTCGGTGCTGTGCGAGTGGAGCGGTGGTGCCGCACCACGTCACGCTTCCTGCAGCCGTTCAAGATTCAACATCGCCGCCGTCAAATCTCACATCACATCCTGTACGCCGTACGTACCGGTAGAGTGGATTTCGAATTGCGGCGAATCTGCCTGCCGGAATGGACAAGCGGTCACACGCGCGAATACCGCTCGCACATTGAAGCGCATGTCCGACCCAATTTGCTTGCTTGTTAATACATGTGCACTACTGTATCGCCAGCTCGAAGAGCGCCTTCGTTCGCCGCAGCGCGGACGTGCGTGTATACGCCAAAGCGAGCAGCAGCTGGATTCCACATGTAGACAGCGACGCAGCGCTGGGTTTTCCTGTCCAAAACTAGATGCACTCGCAGCGCCGATGACAAGGTGCAAGGTATACAGTATCCTATCTCGCCAAGTCCGACCAGGATTTTCGCGGCGGAGGCAGCGGCGAAGACCAACGAATTCGATTAAGCGCTTCAACACGCATAGGCGGCGGTGGACACGGCGCGGAGATTCGCTCTGGTCAACAACACCTCACTCACTCCGCCTCAGCAGGTTGCAGGTGCAGCCTGCACGGATGGATTTTATCGGCTGACGATCGCACGATGTCCGTTACCTTTGCTCGAATCATTCCAGCCAATCAGCGCGCGGCAAAACGCACATAGCCCGCGCGCTCTTGACTGCTGATCCCACTTCTGCTTGTGTCGCATCAAGCAACCACTTCAAGGCGGAACCACGGAGCATACTGGGCGCTAGTGTATTCGGCGTCCGCCCCCATTCGAGCAAGCACGCCGCAGATCTACAGTCTCAAGAGCGCAGCCGGAGGTAGCGGCCCCCACGTCCCACAACCAAACCAGCTCGAGCCCAGAAGCATCCGCCACCCCCCGCAGCACCACAACAAGTACAAGATGCACACCGCGCAGGCCCTGGCCTCCATCCGCCGCTCGCGCACGTACGACGCCGAGGGCGGGCGGCCGCGCAAGTACCCGAGCGAGCACGCGTCGCTGCTGCACGGCCACGGCCACAGCGGCAGCAACGGCTACGTGAGCAGCGCCAGCTACCAGCTCGGGGCCTCCTCGGGGCTCAGCAGCGCCGACAACGACGTGAACGAGGCGCCGGCGCCGCCGCCCACGGTCAAGGAGGACGCGCAGGCCATCTACCACATGCTCAAGGACCAGCCGCTCAACCTCATGCTGCTCGCGGCGCCGCTGGCCGTCTGGGCGTCGCTCGGCGGCTGGAGCGACCTCTGGGTCTTCGTCTTCAACTTCATCGTCATGATCCCGCTGGCCAACCTGCTGGGCGAGGCCACCGAGTCGCTGGCCTTCCACACGGGCGAAACCATCGGCGGGCTCGTGAACGCCACGTTCGGCAACGCCGTGGAGGTGATTGTCGCCATCTTCGCGCTCAAGGCGGGCCAGATCAACGTGGTGCAGAGCTCGCTTATCGGCTCCGTGCTGTCCAACCTGCTGCTCGTGCTGGGCTGCGCCTTCATCGCCGGCGGCGTGCGCAACAAGGAGAGCTCGTTCAACGCCGTGGGCGCCAGCGCCAACTCGTCGCTGCTCATGCTCGCGAGCTTCGCCATGCTGCTGCCCAGCTACATCTTCTACTTCTCGGACCACGAGTCGGAGGAGAACCGCATGGCCAACACGCTCACGCTCTCGCGCATCGCCGCCGCCTTCCTGCTCTTCATGTACATCCAGCTGCTCTTCTTCCAGCTCAAGACGCACGCTGACTTCTTCGAGGACGAGCAGGAGAACCCGGAGGAGGCCGTGGCGCTGTCCAAGCGTGCCAGCGCCGCCGTGCTGCTCGGCGCGACCCTGCTGGTGTCCATGTTCTCCGAGTTCCTCGTTGGTTCCATCGACGGCTTCGCCACAGAGATGCACCTGAGCAAGTCGTTCATCGGCATCATCCTGTTGCCCGTCGTGGGCAACGCCGTGGAGCACGTGACGGCCGTCAAGGTCGCGCTGAACAACAAGATGGAGCTGGCCATGGGCGTCGCAGTGGGCTCGGCCACGCAGGTCTCGCTCTTCGTGGTGCCCGTGGTCGTGCTCTCTGGCTGGTTCATGGATCAGGCCATGTCGCTGGCGTTCCCCCAGTTCGAGATCCTCATCTACCTCATGTCGATCATCATCGTGTACGCCATCATCGCGGACGGCAAGTCCAACTGGCTGGAGGGCTCCATGCTGCTCACCGCCTACGCGCTCGTGGCCATCACGCTCGTATGGGTACACGTCCCCACCGCTGAGTAAGGAGCGATCGAAGCTCCTCGTTTAACTTGTCCCCAGTACAATGATAGCTCGCTAGTAAGCGCCAGGAACGAACTGGTGCGACCACCTCTAAATCACATTTTGCTGAACTTCATCCGAGTTCTGATGTTCTAAACGTTTACTGGGAACTGCTGCGGTCATTTGATGCTGTACTTGTACGAACATTCAAGTCCTATGCAATGCGTTTCGCCAGATAATGGTAATGGTGGTCTACACATTGACGAATGCAGTGGTTGAAGTTGTCTATGACTCGGTTGATATTAGATAGATAATAGTCGGGGGATTCCTACGTCTCTCAATGGTCTAGCCAGCTAGCTTCGCGTGCCATCCTATCTTATCTTGCGTACAGAGCGTGCGTCCGCACATTGGACGGTGTACTCAGCGCTGTGCGGCTCGTCGACGTGGTGCTCAAGCCGCTGACGATGCTGGGGCGGATCAGGTACACCGGTCCGTCCTCGAGCGGCTCACTGTCGAACGCTCGATGCCGCGCGGCCGAGATGCACATGCAGCAGACGCGCAGGCGCTCGATGACTCCGATAAGGCCCTCGATGTCTTGCGACTTGGAGCACGCGGCGCACGTGTCGTGGCCGCAGATGTAGCACACGTGCTTCTTGCGCAGCAGCGAGTCCTTGACTAGCTTGCCGCAACCGGAGCAGCTCCCGTCGCCGACCTGCTCGGAGGGGTCGACGCAGTCCTCGGAGCCCAGTCGCCTCCGCAGAGCGATCTCGCCGATCTTGGGGATCAGCTTGGCCAGCTTCAACAGGGCGTAGGTGGACGTCTCGCGCGCGGTGGCGGCCTTGAGCTTGGCCTTGACGATGCCCTTGGCCTTCATCTCGTCGGGGCACATGGCATGTGTCCCGAAGTAAAACACCGACGTCTGGTGCGACGCCGGCTGCTCGCGCAGCAGGTATCCGGCCAGCACACTGCCTCCGACAACGAGTCGACCCGTGCGATCGCGCGTGAGCGTCTGGAAGGTGCGCACGGCGGTGCGCGTTTTGTAGTCGAGCTCGACGTAGTCCAAGAACTCGATGGTCTTGGTGCTGGAGACCAGCGGGATGGAGCCCGAGAACTGCATGCGCTTGGTGCTGAGGTGGGCGGAGAGCTTTGTCATGGGCACCTCGCGCAGCGTCACCGCGTACGAGAAGGCGTCGCCCGCCAGCACCACCATGGTGGCGTTGAAGTCGTCGCTGTTGTGGCTCGAGAGCACCTCGAGGATCTCGTTGGCACTGTAAGGCAGCGCCGTGGTCGCCGATACGTCATACACGCCGTGTTTGGATCGGCGCTCGAAGACGCGCACGCCCTGGCCGTCCTTGCGCTCCTTCCAGCCGCCGGTCGCGAACGTCGTGCGCGCGTGCTCGAGCTTGGCGCGCGCGCGCCTCGCGAGCGCCAGCAGCGCGTCGTCCTCGTCCTTCTGCTCCACGGAGCTGGCCGTGGAGAAGGTGGTGGAGCGGCCACTGGAGCTCAAGAACGACTGCGTATGCGGCGACGGCGTGGTCTGCGCCGTGAAGCGGCCCGAGGAGTTGAGGAAGTTGCTGCTGCTCTCGTCCGAGCACGTGGACGTGATCATGCTGCGCGAAGAGATGCCCGAGCTGCTGCCGAAGTCGCGCGCCATGGCTGTAGGTGGGGGCTCGAGAGTTGACGTGTGCGCGGCGGGCAGCGGATTCGAGACTGGCTGGTCCTTCTGGTTGGCAAAGCCCAGGAGCGGGGCAACATGCACCCCAGCCGTGTTACACACTTGAGGCCGGGCTCTGTCTGGTGCAGATGTGATATTCAAGCGCAGAGAACGGGGGGGGGCTGCAAGAAGGTTCAGCGGCGTCTTGTGGCGGGCTTCAACGCGGAAGCCTGCTTCAACGCGGAAGCCTGCACTCGAGGGACCAGTTAACGATGTGTGCGCGGCGCGAAGGAGATCCGTCCAGCGGTCTCGACACTGTGGCAAGCTGATTTTCAAAATGGTTTCGTCGACTCGCGCGTGGTGTCCCAAGGTGTCCTTCCTCACTCGGTTGATACATGTAATGTACAGGTGTTGTGTGTTTCCCGTTCGAGTCAAGTCGAGTGCATCCTTTGCTGAAGACTGGGAAATGAGCGCGTAGAGAGCTTTGGAGGTGGACTCGGCGTCAACCTTGCAGTGTGTGCGATCAATGGCCGGCCGGCTCCCCTACATCACCAGCCCCGAGAGAATCCCGCCGAGTTCGCGGCAAAAGTGGACACTCGCTGCGACTGGTGACCGGCGTGAACGAATAGCATCTGCTCGGTGCAGCAAGGTCCGCCCACGCGGCATCGCGTGCACTCGAGCCACAGCCTGTGGCTCACAGGCCCAGCACATGCCGAGCAGGGACGGGGGAACAGGACAACTGAAGGCTTACGTCGCAATAGATCGGCTTCACATCAACCAAATTCAAGACATCACCACACAGTCAACGACTGCCGCGAAAGCGTCTGCAGCGAAGGAAGGTGGCGCCAACTTGGCGATGCCGCCGTTCATGTTGAGGAACTCTTCATGCCTATTAAAAAATACATGTAAACTGCAGTTGGCATCCGCGCGGATTGTTTTTGGATTTTCGGGTGCTCTGCTGTTTGTGCGGTGAGGGCTGGTGCGATTTGCTCAAGGTTGCGCCATCTTCTACAACGCCTTGTTGACAGCGTTGATGTCGATATCTTCTGAAGGAAGGATGCGTATCCCGGTGCTTGAAATCCGTCCCTCGGGGCCAGTACAGGTACCTTGTCCTTGAGTGGAGCACCGGCAAGCGACATCCAAACTCAGTTGAAGCCGCCTGACTCCTTCCGGTCTGAATTGGCCTACGACGGCGGAAGCGAGTCGTCGCTTGCGGCCATCGTCTGTAGGTCGCAGTCTTGGTGGTGGAAATCTGCAGCAACTGGTTTCGCTAGGGGCCACAAGCGAGACCAGTTGCTGCAGTTCTCTAGTTACCATTTGGTAGTCGAAAGCTCATACCTGTATTATAGATGCTTCTTATCAGGGTTGCAGACTTCAGCACGTGCAGGGCGTGTTGAATATGAATGTATATTCATATGCTTTTTATGGGGCTTACATATTACGATTACGATAAATCTTGGCAGTCGACGTAGCTATCGAGCGCAAACGCCTCGCGTCGCATACGCTCTATGCAGGGCGAGCACACGGCGATGCGAATCACAAGGCCAATGCGATATTCTGCTTCGTGGGTCGATACGCATGAGCCGCACACGAGTCTGCCACAGACTCGACAGAACCGCTTTCTTCTCAAAAGGCTGGTGAGTGGATCCTCGCAACTTGCGCAGGCTTTCACGTCCAGGCTGCTCTCCCCTCTTACCACCGGTGCCGACGCGGAGGTGGAAGCCGACAGTGACGTAAAAGACCGAGTAATACTCGATCGCGACCGCTCCGAGTCAGGGCGAGGGGGATCCACGAGTTGCTGCGTGCCAAGGCGTCGGCGCAGGGCGAGGTCGCCGGCTTTGGTTATCAACGAGCCAAGCTTCTGCAGGCGCTGGACCGCGTGGTCGCGAAGCTTGTCCGCCGAGTGCAAGGCTAGGAAATGGAGTCGTGTGTGATAGACTTCTGAAGTGGATGATCTTGATCGATAGGTGTGTCTCTTCACCACTGCCCATAGCAAGTGATCGCACCTTCACGCCGTAGCTGTAGTCGTGTCCAAACAGCTCGACCATACTGGCGTTCCAGCGGTCCGTGTTATCCGGCGACAGTACGTGGGTGAGTTCGTGCGCAGTGCAAGGAAGCACTCCAGTCGACATGATCGAAAACTCTCCGGTGATGCGAGTCTCGGACAAAGCTCCTTCAGAGTTCCGCGTCAATCTTGAGTTGCTCAGTCGTTTCCGGAATCGGATCATGGCGCCAAGCGCTAGCTCGCGGACAATATTGTCCTCGTCTTGGTTGCTGGCTTCGACACCCTCCGCTTGCTTCTCAGAGGCTGTACCCTCAGGATCGACGTAGAACAGTCGACAAGACGACTCACCGTCGTGGTAGCTGCCAATGCTACGCGCCGGCAACGCCCGACACTCTTGAGGTGAGTCCGTCTGCAGCTCCACCTTCATGTGTATCTCGGATCAAAATACAGAATGAACTCACCTCGCTCAACGAGCGTCCACCGTGCGACGACCCATTCGTGCCCACGCGGTGTTACGTGGCACCAAACGTGACTGTAGGGAGCAGGAATCGTGCTGAGATGAGAGAAGGAGCTGGATTTGGAGGCCAGCGACAACGGTTTCTGACTGGGACCTCGACGAGCCTTCGCTGCTATAGGCCATTGACTGGATACCGAGAGCTGCGGAGCCATTGCCACGCGCGCGGTCATCCTCTCTTACGTGCGCGATGCTGTATCCCTCAAAGGACTCGAAGTAGAATGGTGCGGACTTAGCCGAAGACCCCCCGACACCACTGGCACTTAGCGGTTTTCGCGCAAAGTACTCCAGCACACCAAACGCTCTACGGACTTAGCCAAAGCGCACTGACGCCGCTGGCACTCTGCGGTTTTCGCGCAAAGTACTTCCCGCCTAAGACTTTGGTCGACCAAATAACTTAGTGAGGAAAAGAGGTTAACAGAGTTAGGCAGCCCGCCATGCCGATCCACTATCGACTTGGCTTCTTTCGCCGCCCCATTAGCGAAAATAAATCACTTTAGTTTTGTCAGCCTGTACGGTCTTCGCCGCCCCATTAGCGAAAGTAAATCACTTTAGTTTTGTCAGCCTGTATGGTGTTCCTGTAGTGGCCAGCGCGCGAATCAAAACCATTTTCACGTCATTGACAATCGACGGTATCGGTCCAGAGATGACGACGCACGTGCGTGGATACCCACCCCGATGAATCTGCAGACACACGAGCGCTGGTGCAAGGGTCCATGCCTGGTCTCAAATGTAATGCTGACTCAGCCACTTCAACTTCCAGGTCTTACTCAATGAGTACTAAATTACTCGATCAGTATACTAGTAAGTAATACTAAACTGTCTGACTTACTCAATGAGTAATACCCTGTCCAAACCAATTCGCCAATCAGAATTCGGATACTTTCAGCACAGCACCATGAAGCCTGCGCTGCTGGCGGCGTTGGCCGCGTGCTTCCTGACGCTGCTGCTGGCGATGGAGCGCGGCGCCTACGCCTGGAGCAATAACGACGAGGAGGACGAAGTGGAGGAAGACGACGACGACGACTTCGACTTCGTGTCCAGCAACGTACGCACCGAAAACCGATTTGTCAAGCTAATACCTTCCTGATCCACGCTAACTCTCTTGTGCTCTGCTGCAGCTGGACTTCATCAAGCGCGACGACCTGGTGGAGGTGCAGTGCGACGGCCAGGAGTGTGCGGCCGAGGCGGAGGACGGAAACGGGGGCGTCCCCTCCGTCTGGGAGCGAGGCCTCGTGACGCCCAAGCTTAAGCCCCAGCTCATCCTGCAGGAGCACGCGCGCGCTGCGACCGACGTGAAGAAGCAGTTCCGAGGCGAGACGCTGGGCTACGTGACGCCGTGGAACAATAAGGGCTACGACTGGGCCAAGCAGTTCCGCTCCAAGTTCACGTACATCTCGCCCGTGTGGCTGCAGCTGCGCGAAGACTCCGACCACGTGCCGATCATCACGGGCACACACGACATCGACAGTCAGTGGGTGAAGGACGTCAAGTACGGAGTGGGGGGACAGGAACAGCAGCAAGAGGGCCCTGCGGTGGTGCCTCGCGTCGTCTACGAGCGCAACCGCCTCAGCTCGGAAGACGTCCCTGTGATAATTGAGAAGATGCTGGCGTTGACCAACGAGCACGACTTCGATGGAATGGTGTTCGAGATCCCAGTCACGGCAGGGACGTTGGACATGCTGCAGCAAATGGGTCGGGCCTTCCGAGCAGCAGACAAGCTGCTGATTCTTGTGCTGTCCAGAAGCACGAACGAGGTAAGCGCCGAGTTGTTGGTGATAGTATCGTCGGGTGGAGGTTCCGTTTTAGCTGACGGGCGAGCTGTGCTGGTTGATTCTGTAGGGCGAGTTACCTGTGACGCACGAGCTTTTCGCTGAATTGGCACCGTTGGTGCACCGCTTTTCCATGAATGCGTACGACTTTAGTGCTCCAGGGCCAAATGCGCCGTACCCGTGGCTGAAGAAGACGCTGGAGAAAATGTCTCCGATGGAGCGACAGAGGATTCTGCTGGGACTCCCATTCTACGGCTACGACAATGGAGGTGAGCGCTTGTTGAGCTAGAGAAAAGCAAGGTGAGTGACGTACTAACGGCTGTCATACAGATGCGATCACGGGAAGCACCTACATCCAGTCACTGAAAGACAACGATGTCTCCAAGATTCGATGGGATTCCACGGCGCATGTACGTGGCAGAATGCCTGGTAGTTTGTGATACGTGACGCTTACTTACACGCCTGAATGCTGTCTTCTCTCAGGAATGCCAACACGTGTACACAGCACAAGACACGGGCAGCCACCATGTAGTCTTCTTCCCTTGTCTGCAGTTCCTGCAAGACCGATTGAAGCTGTACAAGGAGCGTGGTGTGGGCGTAGCGATCTGGGAGCTAGGACAAGGACTGGACTTCTTCTACGATCTGCTGTAGCCTACATGCATTGCAGGACAAACGCGTTCCATTCATAGTTACCCAATACTTTTTGTGCGAGCACGTTCGTACGAGCTATGGAGTCATTGAACTACTTCCGGATCTTCCTGGTTGTGTCTTAAGGTGGCACCGGGGAGCTGACATTGGCATCCCCTCCACCTGGAACTGGTGCTGGAGCCGTTGTTTCGGCGGTTGCGGTGCCTGGTCCAGTTCCCACCTTGCGACTTTCATCAACAAAATCCTTAAGCACCTTGCGTACGTCAGCCAGCGAGTCCACCGCGAACGACCAGGCATGGCGACCTCCGCTATGTTGGACGTCTGGGCCCACGACGACAGCAAAGATCGAGACGTCTTCTGCCAGTCGCACAGGCACCTTCTGCAAGCGGCTAAACGCCACCTTGTTGTCATCATCCACGTAATCACCCGCGATTAACTCTTCGTCATCGTCGGTGGAATAGTCTTCGTGTCCTCGCACCGCTGCTGCTGCCGCCCCGATCAACTGTTCATTCTGAAGACGCTTCTTCCTGATCTTGATAGTTGGCTCCAGCTCATCAGTGACACCACTTCCGCCTCTCGGACGCGGCATGCGGGGCTTTGCCTTCGAAACGTGAGCAGCAGATGGCACTGGCTGCGCGTGCAGCTGCGGAGGTACAGGCTTGCCCAAGGCGATAGAGTTCCGGCGAATGCGCTCGTTAGCTGCTTGTTCTTCCTCCTTCCTCTTTCTCTCATCGTGACGCTCGTTCGACTCGGTCACCAACGCGTTCAACGTCTGGAACATTTGATCGTCTGTCACGTCGTCGCACACGCACAAGACAAAATCGACTTCCAGGTCGCTTTTCTTGGATATCTGTTCAGGGAGAGACAAATGCTTGAGAATGCCCTCGAGTACACGAGTTTTCGTGCACCCTTCGTGCTCCACGCTGACAGACATGTGCCCTTGATACACTTCCAGTGCCGTACCGATGAGCTGCCGCTCAAGGATGATCTGCAAGTCCTTCGCCTGCCAACTTCCAAAATGTGGATCAGCATCTCCATAGTGCCACGTCAGCGAGCTTTCCTTGTCTTCAATGTAACTTCCAGGGGTTCGGTCCGTAAACATGAGCATTGTGGGTAGCACTAAGTCCTTCCACGACATGTCATCGCCACCGAACGAGTCGTCAGTAGGAGCAATGCTCCCACCAGTGACCGGCGTATTCTCTCCAGTGTCTGTCGAGTCTGGCGCGGAAGTGTGATGCGGATACGTCGGTAGACTGCCCATACTCATGTGCATCATGCTGTGGGCATCGCTCGAGTAAGAGGCATCCAGACTGGCACCGCTGACACTTCCCACTCCAGCCATAGTTGCGGCTGTACTTCCTCCCGACCGAGCTGTTGCCACGTCGTACTGGAATTTGCTCATGGTCTTCCACTGCTCCCGTGTGTTACTCAAATTCATGCGATAGAAGAACCCGTCCTCGGCGGCGACACCAACGCGCACACCATTCAGCCACGTCTCGAGGAATTTGCGTTCACGGCCGCTGACAATAAATACTGTGTTGCGCTCGTCGGCGCTGAGCGCATCGAGAAGCGACTTGAAATTGGGCCCCACAGCCGCAAGTGGGAGGAGCGAGTGCTGCGGTGTCAGGGTCCGGTCGTAGTCGAGAATGATAACGCGATTCTGTGCACTGCGGTACGCTTGAACGATGGCTTTCTTGTCAAGCTTCGGCAACTGCGTTGATGTCTTGCGGTTTTTCTCTACAGCCTCACCAAGCTCTTCCAAAAACTCTTCGCCCCAGGTTGATGCCGTGTTGGACGACACATATCGATACAGTTTCTGCTGGCGGATTTCGCGCTCGGTGCGGCACATACTCAAAGCTTGATGAATACTCAGAGCCACGTCTTCCGTGTTCCACGGGTTAATAACGATAGCGCCACTCAACGACTGGGAACAGCCAGCAAACTCGCTCACAACCAATACGCCCGGTCCGCCGTCTTCTCCTTCCCATTCTGTCAAAACCGAAGCCGAAGACTGTCGGGGAGATGAAATCGGTGACAACACTCCACTTCTCGTCGAGCTTTCTCCCGTCGTGATTTCCACGTTGTCGGGGCCCTTTGCAGCTCCAAACGTAGGGGCAGGAACTGGCGTGCTATCGCGCTTGATACTACTGCCGCTAAATCCCCTGGCGGCCGCGCGGGCAGCCTTCTTCCGTTCATCCTTGTTGCGCATGAAATGCTGCTGGCAGACAATAAACTCGTGCGACACCAGGTTCATTCCATCGCGAGTCGACGTCACCAGACACACATCTGCCAAATCGTATAGCGCGCACAGCTCCTCATGGGGCGTCACTTGTTGCTGAATAAAGTGAATCGGCGCGTAGTCCAGAGTTCCGAAAATCCCGTTGATACGCCCGACGATCTGGTTAACTTGAGTTACGATATTGTGATAGCTGTGCGAGCTCATTTCGAGTTGGTGGCACGCGTCGTATCCAGCATTTCCTTTGCCGGTTGCAATAGGACTGGCAGCAGTAGGCGGTGACTCTGACAGCCCCTTGATAGGACTGTCACTGCCAGTGGAGCTTCCTGGTCCAACAATCGGATACGACGAAGATCGGGGTAGGATGTTGGCGTTGTCTCCACTCGTACTGCTGGCACTCGACCTGCGGCCGTTATCACCTGCACTGCTTGCCCCGGTGGACTTGCTGTCGACCACGCCTGAGCGTGACGATATTCCAATCTGTACTAGCACGACGTTATGCTGCCACTCTGGAAACCGGTCCAGCAACATTTCCATCGCTAGCATCTTGTGTGGGATTCCTTTGATATTGTCGAGTCGGTCGATCCCCAGAATGATACGCTTGCCACCGAATTTATCGTGTAGTTCATTTACCCGGTTCAGGGTTGGCATACTGGACGCTGCGCGGGCGAAAGGCTCCAAGCTGATTCCAATGGGAAACACGCCAATCGACGTGAAGTGGTCTCGGTCTGCAAAGGAGCTACGGACACCCTTGTGCGAGCACTCCACTCCAAGCAGTCGATGACAGGTTGACAGAAAGTGGCGTTCGTAGTCGAAGGTCTGGAAGCCGACAAGGTCCGCCTGCAGGACGCCCGTTAGCAGCTGTGATCGCACCGGTAGACGACAATATACGTCCGAAGCTGGGAACGGCGTGTGCAGGAACCAACCAATTCGACACGGCGGGATGCGCTGGCGCAGCAGGGATGGCAGCAGCATGAGATGGTAGTCGTGCACCCACACGGAGTCTCCTTCATTGTAAATCTCAGCGATAGCATCAGCGAAGCTCTCGTTGGCGGACTCGTAGGCTCTCCAGTCTTGCTTGTTGAATCTCTTGGTCGAGTGGAAGCTCGAGTTGCCTCCGGCATTGAACGTGAACGGCACGGGCTCCGATACATAGTGGAACAGCGACCACAGCACTTCGGACGAGAAGCCCGTGTGTCTGGACGCCACCTCCGACGACAAAAAGACCGGCAGGCAGTTGTGCTGCAGCAGCAAGCGCCGCACCGCCTCGTGCTCGCTCTTGGGGATGTGCTGGCCCACCCAGCCCACCCACAGGAAGTTCATCTCGGCCCTCACGCCCGTCAGACACATGAGTTTGTCCAGGCCGCCCGTGGTCTTGGTGGCCTTCCAGCGCCCGGTCTGCGGCTGCCGCTCCAGCAGCACCGGCAGGTTGTTGGACACGACGATGAGCTGGTTGCTGCCGCCCGCGCCCGTCGCCTTGTCCGCCGAGTCGTCGTCGCTGTCCTCCTCCTCCTCGGCGCGCAGCTGCATGAGCTGCAGCTGCAGCTCCTGGATGTTGGCCAGGATCTCCTGCTCCTCCAGCGACAGCGTGTCCAGGCGGCTCAGCTCGAAGTCGGTGGCGGCGCGCTGCGACACGAAGAACTCGTTGCGCGGCGACAGGACGCCGCTGGCGGGCGGCGACGCGGCCGCCACGTGAAGCGCAGCGGTGTCTTCCCCCATCGAGACGTCAAGTGCGGCAGACTCAAGAGTGCGGAGACTTCCGCAGCCGCGATTCGTTATGGCTACATGTGTAATTTACAGGAGCTGACAGATATTGACCACGCACATTTGATTTACAAGTTTAAGCTGACCAATGAGAGTGGGCGCCGTTGGTCTTCAACGTCTGAGACGTGGCGCGAAAAGTGTCTCTATCTAGGGAAGCAGGCGGCCTGACTGTAGATTCGCGAGCGAGACTTCGTTTTCACGCCGCGACTTGTACCAGGATATGAACGGGAACGACATGAGGTACAGCACCAACGCGCCGTAGAAAGTCGCCACCACAGCCACGACTGTCCAGCCCTTGGACGACAGGTCGAAGCTCTGCTGCAGCGTCCGGAAGACCAGGGCGTAGTTGACCCCGAAGAGCGCGAGCGTACCGACGACTAGTGCGAGAACGACCCAACGACTGTAGACGAACGGCTGCCCCATGAGCCGCTTGTTGGTCGTGAACGTGAGCAGAGGCACCAGCGCGAACGGGAGCTGCACGCTCTGCATGACGTTGATCATCTCGCTCACGATGTCGCTGTGGAAGCCGTCATACTCGGTCAGCAGCGCGACAACCAATGCGGGACCGAGCGCCATCGTGCGCGTGATTGCCACTCTCTTCCAGGCGACGATGCGGAGATCCAGGAAGCCTTCCATCACGAACTGGCCGGCGTACGTCCCCGTCATGGTTGATGCTTGACCGGAAGCGACTAATCCAACCGCCCAGATGATCTTGGCAGTGGCCGAGCGAGCTGCTCACGGCCGCCCCTGCTTCTTTCAGTCCAACCTGCTGACAGTATCCGGCGACGTGCTTTGTTGTGTAGCACTGCGTGCAAGACGCTGCCACTGCTCCGCTCTCATTGGCGCAGGTCAGCCCAGTTGTTGCACTATAGATGGAGTTTCCTGAGACTAACGCAGCCGCAGACGGGATGCACGCAGTTTGAATGCCCGCATCGTAGACATCGGTGGTGACATCGGCACCCAACGCGTCACACTGCTGGCTGTAGAAGGTGCTGGCGAACGCTGAGATCACAAACATGTTGATAAGGAAGCTCACGAACAGCGCCAAGACCGCCTCCAGTCCGAAGTAGAAGTTGGCCTCTTTGACGGGGCCAGCACCCACCCCACGACGAGAGCGGACGCTGCGAGACTGCACCAGTGCAGAGTGCAGGTACACGTTGTGTGGCATGATGATGGAGCCGAGCATGCCGACGGCTTGCATCACGTTCTGGTTGTCGATGCGCGGGATCGCGATGCCCTTAGCGATCTCGATGCCGCTCGGTTTACTCACTGTGAAGTCGACGAAGAAGCACGCGCACATGATGCCGATGAGGCCCATGAAGAAGGTCTCGAGGAGGCGGTTGCTCTTGTTGTCGCCGCGTCGGTCGATCGCGAGGAAGGTGAACGTGTCCAAGGCAGTGACCAGGCAGCCAATCCACAGCGGTAGACCAAACAGAATTTGCAGAGCGATGGCGGTGCCCAGCACCTCTTGGATGTCGCAGCCGATGATCACCAGCCCCATCATGATCCACACGGCGTAGGTCACGACGCGCGGGTACTCGGCTCGACAGAGCTCGGCCAGATGACGCCCCGTGCAGGAGCCGAGTCTGGCCGCTAGTACTTGATACAGCCCGCCCAGCACCGTGCTCCAGAACGTGCGCGAGTAGGCGCCGCTCTGCAGGTCCGCCTCGAGGTTGCCCGGATCCAGGTAGGCCATGCTCATGAGCCAGCCGGGCCCCACGAAGGACCAGAACTTGCCCCAGGAGAACGGCGGCCGCTCCGGCGTCATGTGCGTGTCTCCGTGCAGATCCGAGAGCTGCGAGTACGAAGCGCTCAGCGTTGCGCCGCTGGGGCGCAGGATCTCCTCCGCTGTGGCCGGCATCTTGCCAATTGCAACGTCGTTGCACGATTACCTGGGTGAGACGGTACCGTGATGAACCCCTGTGCAAACGAATATTTTATATTGACCAATCACAGCGCTTATTTAACACTGTCTCATTTTGACCAATGGCAGGTCATCAATAGCTGCAAAGGTTGACCACGATGGAAGACCAAGCTGCACCTCCTGCTAGTGGCGACGGCGGCAGCGCAAGCAGCAACGCAGTCGAGGCCGCAGCGTCTTCACAGTCTTCTTCAGCACCTGCATCATCTGATGTGAGCGTCCCAAGCATCTTAGACTCGCGGACGCTCCCTCCAGTAGCTGGAAGCGCCGACGACGCGGCTCCTCGCTACCTGCCGCGTGAGGACGGATCCGCGCCGTCCTCTTTGACGTTCAGTGAGGCCTTCGCTCAGCTGAGGAAAACGTCTTCGTACGCCGCTCCACCTCCAGAGAAGCCGCAGGGGGACAAACCTCCTGTGAGAGACGCAGCGGCTACCGTCTATGTGAATCGGAGACAGAAGGGCAACCCGATGCTCAAGTCCGTGCGCAACGTGGGGCTCGAGTTCCGCGACGGACTGATCCCGGACTACGTCATGGGTGAGAATGGATCGTGCTGTGTGTTGTTCTTGAGTGTGCGGTACCACCTGCTGCACAATACGTACCTGGACGAGCGAGTGCAGAACGTGCGGAAGGACGACCCCACGCGCTACAAGACCAAACTTGTCTTGTGCTTCGTGGACGTGGATGACAATGAAGTGGCACTGCGCGAGATCAACCGCGTTGCTCTGTTGAGCGATTTCACTCTTGTACTCGCGTGGAGCTGGCTGGAGGCTGCGCGGTATCTGGAGACATTCAAAGCCTATGAGAACAAGTCGGCGACTATTATCAAGGAGAAAGTCGAGGCCGAGTTCTTGCCCAAGGCCAACGACGTGCTCACGTCGATCCGGTCGGTGAACAAGACTGACGTGGTGACGCTGCTGTCTACGTTTGGGACGGTGAAGGGGCTGATGAACGCCTCCATGGAGGAATTGTCGCTCTGCCCAGGTGTGGGCGCCAAGAAGGTTCGGCAACTACTCGAGACTTTCCAGGAGCCGTTCACCAAGCAGTGAACGTGGCGGTCGCGGTGGAGTGGAGTGACGACAATTTGTTGCGTTGTTGAGGTGCTGTCAACAATTACGGCGACAACATCTTCGAGTTGCATCCCGCATGGACCGAATATTTTTCAAGACGTACGATATCGAGATCAAAATTGTGTGCAAGGATTCCTCCTTGCCTTACTTCTGCCAGCCGATGGCCAGCAGTACTTGGCGTAAATTACTTCGCAGGCCAGCCTTTGCCGTCATCCTTTGTCAGGATTCCTTACCTGTCCAGACCCTATGCAGGATGTCCTCAAACGTCCTTGCGGCATTCACTACAGCCAATGTGTTCAAACAAAACATTCAACCGAACCGTGAGAATTGTGCCGTTTTCTTATGAGCAGCGAGGTTGTAGGGGGAATACTAATGCATAATGTCCTTACGCGCGAGGGGAGGCGCTGTTGCGTCCGGTCTGGTTGCTCACCTCGGCCGTGAAGCCGACAGCTTCGATAGCGGCCACCAGGTCGCTGTACGGCGCCGAGCCGGAGATGTACGCGGCCCGCTCGTCAAACTCCACCACTACATCGGTCACGCCAGGCGTGTTCTTGAGCGCGTTCTCCACCGTCGTCCCGCAGTTCTTCATGCACGACATGCCCTGGACTTGGATCCGAACGGTGGACGGGTCGGTGAAGCGCCACGATCCGCGCTCCTCCGTGATGTCCTGGTCGAGGTTCTTGAAGAGCAGGAAACCGGCACCAAAGCCGCAGATCAGCGCCACAAACAGACCGGTCTCATACGTCATGACTACAAGCATGGCAAAGTACGCAATGGTCATCTGAATCATGTACAGAACAGCGAGCGTCAGCTTGCACTGCATCTTGTGGATCTTGTCTTGCGGCCGGAGCTTGCGTGCCACCAGCAGCCGCTGGCGCACCACCTCACGCCCCTTGACCAGCGATTCATTTAGCAGCGCGATGAGGAAGCACCCGATGAAGCCGAACGCGTACTTGAGGCCGCTGTTGAGCACCCAGGGCTGGAAGAGCAGCATGACGCACGAGCCGTGGATGGACGACTGGAAGCCGTTGAACATGACAGACCCCTGTCCCGTGCAGAAGCCCGAGCTGGTCGAGGACGAGTCCGACTCGGTGGCAGTGCTGCTCGACGACGTTGAAGGGGTGTCGCTGGCACTCGCGGAGGAGTAGTCAGCCACGAAGCTCTGGGCCGCGGGGCTGAGCGTCGTGATGTTGGTGGCGTCGGAGCACGTGGCCCCCGAGCAGATGACGCTGTCCACCAAGTAGCGCGGCTCCGAGTTGACGCTGGCCAGGTACGTGTTCTTGTTGTCCTGCGACGCGAAGTAGATCTTCTGGCCGTTGTTCAGACACACGTAGACGAAGTTGTCGGTGGTGACGGCGTCCCCCGACACGGGGTCGCTGAGGCCGTCCGCGCACTCGGTGCACGTGCTCTCGCACTTGGCGAACGTGCTGGCGTCCGTCTGGTTGACGATGAACTCGGCCATGTTGGCGGCCAGGTACGCCGTGTCCGTCACGTCGAAGTCGTACGCGTCGAAGGCGCGCGCCGCCATGCCGCAGGAGAAGATCGTCTGGCCGTGCTGCAAGGTCACGTAGTTCTCGTTGTTGTAGCCGCTGCCAAGCGTGCTCATCCCGCACACGGGGCACGTGTAGTCGGTGGTGCTCGCGCCCGACGCCGCCAGGTCGCGGTGCGCCTGCATCGCGTGCATGTCGTGCAGCTGGTGCAGCTCGTGGTGGTGGTTGTGGTGCAGGTGCGCGCTGGCCGTCGATGCCGTCGCCGCCGCCAGCAGCAGCGCGGCGGCGGCGGAAAGACGCGCTCGCAGGGGCATCCCGGCTGGAAGGTGGCGAGATGAAGACTGAGCTGAGCCTGCGGGCAATCTGTAGTCTGTACTGCGTAAATTTGATGATTGCAGAGACGGGCGGCAAGTGTTCCATACAAATTCCTAGATATCCGGACTAGAAGCCGCGAATTTGAAGCCCATCCAAAATGACTCCGTGAAATCTGAGCGCGGAATGCGGCGATGGATGCATGTCGGAAGCCCCATACACCCGCTGTAATACCAGCAACCGAAGGTGCTGGCGGCCATAGTGAAGAGCATGAGCACCATGAAGCAGAGTGAACTCGTTGGTGAGCAAGAGTCCACCACATCAACAGGACGCATTCGATAATTGCATGAGAGAGGGCGGCGTTCCGTGTTGCACCGACGCAGCTGATGGCGGCTCACGCTTCCTGCAGTGCAAGGCCCGCCGTTCATTTCCGTCGCTGCCATCGAGCTGCAGCGTATAGGATAGTATTCGCTAGGAAGCAGAGTAGCTAGCTGCCAGCGCTTCCATCGAACACCACCGCACTTGATCCTCTGCGCTCAGCCCGGCATCTGGTTCGGGCGTGGCTAAATCCCGGCTCTGGACGCATATTTCGGGTCCCAGCCTCATTTTTACCATTTCTCTCACCATGGGAGCTCAGTCGCTGCTGGTGCTGGTGCTGACGGCGCTGCTGCTGCTGGGCGCGGACGCCGGCCAAAACCTGCGCAAGACGACGTGCCCGCTGTGCAACATGGACGTCAAGGCCAACATCAACGCCACCATCCTCGGCGACCAGTACGTCTACGCGTGCGAGATGGCCGGCCACATCGACTCGCTGCAGAACGACCCGGTGCGTGCCTGCATGAATAATATCTATCTATCCCTCCATGGTGCCATTATCTGACGTTGTGTTGGGTGTTTCGACGGACAGGCGGCCAACCTGGGCTCCCCCGAGGAGGCCGACATCACCACGGACGAGATCTACCAGGACGCGACCGACATCAAGTGCCCCGTGTGCGGCAAGGGCTACGACCAGCTCACGCACGCCGTGCCGTGGATCTCCAAGGGCGCACAGAAGATCTACACATGCTCGGAGGAGCACGCGCAGCTCGTGTTCGACAATCCGACCAAGTACGTGGCGGCGCAGACCTCGTCCGACGACTTCTGCTACGCCGGCGCGGCCGACAGCCCCACGGGCTCCGTCATGTTCAACGGCTTCCAGCTGGCCATCGGCGGCGACGCCACGTGCCTGCTGCTGCTCTTCCAGCCCTGGGTGCTGTCGTCCGGGGTCAAGTACGCCTTCGGCTTCCTGGGCGTGGTGCTGCTGGCCATGTCGCTTGAGGGCTTCGGCGAGCTGCGCGAGCTCGTGGAGAAGCGGCTGTACCGCGACCACGGAATCGTGTCCAGCCAGGCTGACTATATGTCGCTGGCCACCCCGCAGGTCAGCAGCGCGAGCGATGGCCATGGCTCTAGCGACTCGTTTGTGCCCAAGACCGGCCGCGTGCCGGCCGCCCCCAAGCTCACGCTGGTCCGGCGGCTGCCGTTCTGGTGCAAGCTGGTGCTGGCGGCCATGTACATGGTGCACCTGTGCCTCGGCTACTGGGTCATGCTGGTGATCATGACGTACGAGACACTCATGTTCGTGGCCGTCATCGTCGGCGTCGGCCTGGGCTTCGCCATCTTCAAGGACACGGACGCCGACGAGCTCAAGGGCAGCGTGGACCCGTGCTGCTCGACCTAAAACCCCTGCACCGGAATAAAGTATCTTGATTTCACTATGCTTTCTGGTTATGGCGCCGTCATTTCGCTACACTGCCGGTAGCAAAGATGCCGACATTCCGATTTTTGCCAGTCAAACCCCATTAGATCCGCCGACATGTACGGCACCGTGAGCTCGAGCACCAGCGCCAGCAGCTCGCGCGACGACCTGGCGCCGCCGCCGCCCACGCCGTCGCCCTTCCGCTACAACGTGCAGGAGGGCGACACGCTGGCCGGCATCGCGCTCAAGACGCAGACGACGGAGGCGGTGCTGCTGGCGCTCAACCCGCTGCTGGGCCGCAAGAAGCGGCACGTCAAGCTCTACCCGGGCCAGCAGCTCATCGTGGAGGAGGCGCGCGCCGTGTCGCTGCCGCCGCCGCCCGAGTGCATCGACAACGGCTGGGGACAGATGCACCTCGTGCGCGCGGGCGAGACGCTGCGCGGCATCGCGGCGCTCTACAACACGACGGAGGAGATCCTGCGCCAGGACAACCGCCGCTACTTCCCCACGGGCGAGCGCAGCCTGCTGTGCCCCGGCCAGCTGCTGCACGTGCGCCTCATGAACACGGGCGAGATGGAGCGGGACGACCCCGCGCTCGGCGCGGACGCAGACGCCAAGGCCTCGGCGCTCAACGCGCAGCGCGATGCGGAGGCCACGTACACGGGCACGTCGGCCGCCTTTGCGCGGTACAAGACGCACCTGGTCGCGCCCTCGGACACCTTCGAGTCCATCTGCAAGGCGTACAGCATCCCGTACTCGCACTTCCTGCAGATCAACCGCGGCCGCTACCCCGTGGGCCAGCGCGCCGAGCTCGTGCCAGGCGAACGGGTAATCGTGCCCGACCTCCTGGCGGCGCAGCAGGCGGCCAGTCGACGCAACATCGCCGAGGTGAAGCTCACCAAGCAGATCCACGTGGTCAAGCCCGGCGACACCCCCGAGGAGCTCGCGCGGCGCTACGGCATGACGTACGACGAAATGCGCGAGTACAACCGCGCCTACTTCCCGAAGGGATACCGCGGCGAGATCCGCCCAGGCTACAAGTTGGTGGTCAAGCGGCCAGTGGATACGGACAACTCCGACTCCCCTCGGCAGTCGCTGCCGGAGCACAGCGGATACCGAGACCTCGACGCAGTGTCCAGTGCGTGATCGGCATCGCTACTGTCGTTTGTATATGTAGAAGGAGAAGCGAATATGAAGCTGTATCAACGCGTGCTTGCTTTACCTCATAGAGGATGGGGCCCACTAAGGCGTCCTGTTCGACGCGTTCGTCTTTCTTGTCTTCTTTTGTACGTGCTCTTCGGCTACTCTTCTTGTCTAGGTGGTGGTGTGTTCTACGAGCGGCGTTCGCGTCGTAGTCGACGTCGAGCGCGCTCAGATGTATCGGGTGTCCCCTCTGGGGAGCCACCCGGCGGCGTGCTGACCGATGCTGAAGCTTTGCTACTCGGTGGCGGCGTGCTGACAGACGCTGTGGATCGGTTGCCATCACCGTCTGGGGGCGAGTCTGCAAACGGAATGGCAGTGTCGCCATCATCACTCGACGCGGACGCTGCAACCGCGACCGATGTTTCCGTCAGCGACGTGGCAGAATGGTCCTTCGCGTGGATCGTCGCCGCCTGAAAGCGCTTCACGACAACAGTCTTCGACGTCGAATCCGACGCAGCGACTCCGCCGTCCTCGGGGGCCTCCTTCTTCTCTTCTTCCACCTCTTGATGGCCCTCATTGACGCTAGACGTGAGCTCGACCACTTCCACGCTTGACTTCATAATGGTAATATCTGCCTCTTCTTCATCGTCTGAGCTGTCGTCGGGCAACAAGACCACTTCTTCAGCGTCAGAGTCAGCGAGTCGTTGCCACCGTCTACGCCGGCGTGACGCACGAGCAAACAGACCACGCTTGCGGCGACGAGCTAATAAATATGCTGCCAATACTGCGAGCGCCAAGAACGCTACTGACAGTAAACTGATCTGTGCCAACGTAGGCCCGGGCAGCTCGACCGCTGGGATTTCGACGCTACTTTGCTTGTCAGCGTCCACATCGGCAGTCTTCGTGACATCAACTGCCGCAGTACTTGAGTCTTCACGCGCTAAATCATCAGTGGAGGCCAAACCTTCAGCAGCAGACTGCTCACTTTGCAGCCACACCTCTTCCTCCTCTGCAATAGCACGCAACTCCTCTTCGACGCGAACGCGCTCGCCTTCCTCCTGCAGTATAACTTGCTCCAGCTGCTCCAGCTCTTCAATTTCCTTCGCCACGACAACGCGCTCCGTTGCCAAGCTTTCTACTTTGCCCACCGTAGCAGCAACTGCTTCGATGGCCTCCACTTCTTGCCGCTGCGCGTTCGTATCCTCCAGCTGTGTCTCAATGCCATTTGTAAGCTCACTTGCAGATTCTGCGATAGTGCGTTCTACCTGCGCGGCAACTAAGTCCGCTTCTTCAGCAGCCGTCTTTAGCTCTTGCGCGACTTCAGAGACCTCTAGCTCAATAGTTACATCCACACCATTGTTGTCTGCCATCAATTCTTTTTCAACCTCCGTGCCAACTTGCTTCAAGTCACTCGAGTATGTGTCCTCGGTGTGCTTTTCCTCGGGTACATTGGCTCTTGGCAGGACACCAATTCGCGTCCTGATGTCAGGCTGAAGCCGATTCACCTCCAATCGCTCGGTGCTTTCACCCGCGGCACTCTCTAACTCGACCACAAGCTCCGCCATAGCACCGTCAATCGGGACAGTCACGTGCGCTTCGATCTGCAGCTCGTCTTGCTGGGAAGAGACCGCTTCAGATACGTTTTCTGCCTCAACAAAGTCGATCGTGTTCACTTGCGTCTGCTTCACGTCCAGAACAATGTCCTCCACCTCCACCACCACTTCAGCGATAGCAGCATGCTTCAATTTTCCATGGGTTATCTCCCCTTGCTCCGTCAACTCGACTTCAACTGCTGCAACGTTGTCCTCAATAAGCTCAGCAACAACCTGGACGTCGTGATCACCATCCGTCACCCTCTCGGATATGCTGGCGCCTTCCACCACTTGGGTTTCAGTGCGTTGTACCGACAGCAGGTCTGGTTCGACTAGCTCAGCGGAAATCTGCACCTGCTCCTCGCTGGTGGAAACGCTATCCAAAACATCCACAGTGGGCACGTACTCGGCTGTTTCTTTATCCTCGTCCGTCACTTGATCCTTCTCAATCGGTTGAGGGACCACCGGCGTCTCTTCTTCGGCGACTTGTTCACTATCGGCTGTGTCAGCATCCGAGCTGCCGTCTTCAAACACCGTGGATGCTGGAATCTCAGCAGGAAGCTCTTTTCCCACGAGTTCGGCATCTTTGAAGTACTGCTCCTCACTATCATCTTCACTCGGTAACTGATCATCCACGGGAGCTTTCGCTGCATCCGTCGGCTCTTCGTCCGTAGCCAACGCGCGCTCCAATAATTCCCGTTTCAACCTAAGCGCCGCTTCCACCTGCGCCTGAATATCCGCTGCGATCTCGGCCAGCGCATCAACACCGTTCCATTCGTCAGCTTCACGTGACGCGTGCTCGTAGTCCTCAATCTCTTGCTCAATCGACTTGGCGCATTGTTCTGCTAGTTCCCTTACTCGATTGTCAATAAACTCGACAGCAGCCATCTTCACGTCGAGAACACTTTCCAGTGCTATTGCTCGGGTGTCTGCAATGATCGAGTTGGCGGCAGATATGATAGCAACGCGTCGTTTCTCGAGGCGCTGTACGTCCTGTAATGCCCGAGACTCGTGCACTTTTAGCCCACTTGCGATGTTCTGAATTGCGATCTGGTGCATCTGCAGAGTTTCAGACAATTCCTCGCTAGGCAGACTCACATCACTCACACTCGGGCCCAATCCTATCCACTCAAAAACGTCGCTCAAACTTGACCTCGCCACCTCTGCACCTTGTTTCAGTGCTGTTCGAACACGCTCGACTTGCTCGTCTCTCGCGCCCGAGTCCGAGTTCATCAACTCAAACGCAGACTTCAAGTGTGTTTGCACCCATCTCGTCAGCATTTCCAGGGCATCCGCCAAGCGCAATGCAGCTCGCTGTAGCTGAACACGTGCATACTGAAGCAGCGTGGTCAAAAGCGAGGCCGTTAGCCTCAAAGCTTGGGAGCCTCGCACGCTCCCCAGGTTCTCGCTCACGAGTATCTGAGCAGCACGTGCCGCCTTCTCCAACCTCGCACTATCCAGCAGCGCCAGCCACTCGGCTCGTACTCCTTCACTCAATCCCTTCGCGTACGGACCCATTTCGTTCTGGAGCGCAACGAGCAGGGGATAGAGCACCTTCTTCGCTCTTTCCGCCGCCAATTCAATCGTAATCGCTGCAGGCGACGACGGGTACATCCGACAAACCGCGATTCCTCCCGCCACCGAGACTGTCACCACTCCAGCAACCACAGCCAGCGCGACCGCGGATCTACTGCACGGAGCCTTTCGCTTCTTCGCCATCGATGTCACCTTCACAGCTGCTTTCTCGTCTTGCGCAGTATTTCCGAAACTACCACCATTCACCGCTGCGATCCCCCTCCCAGATTCCGCAGCGTCCTCAACCAGGTCAATTGTTTTCTGTGACGGCTTCTCAACTGCCGGATCCTCCTCCTCAACGGCGGTGGCCTGATGTCCGTTCTCGCGCGGCTCCAGCTCCTCTTGCTGCGGCTTCGGCCCATTGAGTCGCTCCATTGCAGCGTCCGCGCTGCTGCTGCGTCTGCGGTCCGTCCGTCGGCTGCCGTTGGCCTTTGGACTCTGGAGTCCGTTGGTCACGGCGTCTGCCATCAGCTGCTCACTGCGTCTGCGCCGCAGGAATTGCTCCGTGTACGTGGCGGTCGTGCTCTTGGCTGTGGGCGTCTTGCGCTCCGGCGACGCGAGTGACGCCTGCGAGCTGCTGCGTCTGCACTGCTCGGCCCTGGCGGGACTCGCTCGCGCGGCTTGGCGCTGCTGCTGCCAGGCCAAGAGCTGCTCTTTCCGCTCGTCTCGGGCGGGCGACGGGGGCGGCATGGCGGCCGAGAGAGACGGCGACGTGCCTCGTCCCGGATCGGGAGCTGCTACTGGAGACTTTTGCCCCTTGTGTAATAACAATTAATTGATTTCAATTTATGATCCGATACTGAATTCAAAACGGCAATTAATTACTTCAACTTCCTACCTAGCAACATTCCATTGCACTTGATGCGGGCTAATGTAAGTTACGAGTTTGTACTACGAGTGGCAACCTTGGTCGTTGGCTACGCCATACGTGTGCCCTTGTCGTTCATCGATTTATTGCGCGGCGTCCGATGCGAGTGCAAGCACCGGCGGATCGGCGGAAGTCAATTGCTCCTTAACGCACTATCCAACGGGCACTCGACTAACAAATTCGATCGCACGCAGCGAACTGCTGCAGCCTGCATCGACCACGTTGTTGAATCGCAGTGTACTGGTGGCTGTTGGATACATGTAAGTGTAGCGCTACGCCGCCGAGTCTTGCGGCACCGGCAGATTACACACACCGTGAGGCGCTGGTGGCCTCCGATCGAGGCTCAACCATCAGCACGTCGATCACGGCAACTCCATGTAAGCGGCGAGCTGCAGGTCAGGCAGGCCACATTGCTGTCCCGGCGGGCAGGCGCAAATGTGACAACGCGGCGCCGCATGCATTGATGGGTGGCCACACAGCGCTCCATACAAACCAGGTTTGCTCAACCGAGGAAGCATGCGGTATCATGGCAACCGTCTGCAGCGCTTCGTGACCTATGTGACCACGGCCGAAAGCCTCTTGTAGAGAGGTCTGCGGTGGTCGGTCATTGCACTTTTGTATGTGCGAGAGGCGGACGGTCCCTACATAGAGGGAGGCGCTTCCGCTTCAACTTACGGTTCAAGAGCACCGAAAGGATTCGTTGAATCTGCTGGAGTCACTCTCAGCTCCTGCACGTTTGAGGTGGATACATACACAGCGCTTTGCACTACGTGCGCGACTACACGCTGAACAGCCCTAGATCGGATCGTTTGGCACAGCGGTGTGAATCGCGATCGCTGCTGCAGCGTGATTGTAGGTTTGATTTCTCGCGTTGAACGGTGTGCTGTGATCGGTGTGCAGTGCGCGTTTGATAGTTTTAGGCGCGTCCGTATGTACTCTGCCTTGTCCGGCTGCTATTCATCCAGGCGCAGTCGTAAAGCTTACCTACTAAGTACACTCTAGATAGCCGTAATTTTGAAATAAATCCATGACACCCTGAAAGACGCTCGATGCCGCCAACTTTGCCTGCTGGAAGCGTGTCAGCGGCTTCGCATATGACTCCTCTAAAATGAAACGCTAAACAAATTACTACTACTAGTAGTAGTTGTTTAACGGACCGCAGACCAAATTAGTTTCTAGTTCAAAATTACTGGCCCCAACCGGATCTCCCCCTACGTAAATATAATATATTTACATATAATGCATTGTATTATATTGCAGTCACTGCAGTAGATCGTGCGCGGAAAAGTTTAGTTTGAGGTCAACTTAGAACAAGTTCGCTAAGGGATCCTTTAACAAAGCAAATGCGTTAACCCCAGTGTTTTATTGAACAATACACGGGCGTGCTATTGCTATTTGAGAGAGTAAATTACCGATCCATCTGTTTATATAAACTCAGAGCGGCCTACTCATTGGTTTTTTGGCTGACTAGGGCTACGCGAAGAATGGGATAGGATTGCTTACTGTTAACTAACTTTTCACCGCATCCTAATTAGGACCGCCGCTATTTAGAACCACTTATTCAGCTGATGTTACTACGACATCTTCTAGCATTCCACTAACGACGACGATATATTGCATACTGCAGCGGACCTTCGACTTAAACACGTAGGTGATCGCTGGCCGACTCCTGATGCGGCCCGCTAGTGATGTTAGTAAGACCTGCACCAACATATCATCAAACCATGCTGTTTTGTCAGCGCTTGCATTTACCGATATATTTACGCAATCCGCATGCTCCTCTCCTGCGCGCAGAATCTACCCGACAATGTACCACCACTATGAGCACGATGTACAATCGATTTTAGAGCAAAATCAATTAAACGAATTTTGACTTGACGAATTTGCAAATGAACTGGACCAGTCTCCATCATTCTTGAAAAGTCGAGAACACTCGGTCAATCGACTCCACTTACTGTAAATTGACCTAAGACATGTTAACGGTTCATCACTGGTTTCGACTGGACGGAGGAACAGCGCCCGAATTAATCCTATCAGCACTTCGTCGCTTCCTATCCCAGTATAAATTACAAGCACGTGCACATTTTCGACTCGAGAACAGCACGCGCGGGCATTTCGACAAGATTGGAGTGTTGTATGCTTTGTGACTTTGCGCTCATCCGTCTCGTTGCCGTAGAATGGTGGCAAGAACAACGTCGTCATTTTGCGATAGCTCCAACAGGGGGGCGGAACCAGACCCAAATCGTAGGGGGGTGGGTGGGTCAAAAATAAGGGGGGTACAACGCGTAAGGTGGAGGCTCGAAAATAGCGCTCCAGAGGGCTGAAAAAAGGGGGTCAAGTGAGGGGTCTGAAATTTTTTAGGGGGGGTGCCCCCCCTATAGGGCCTGGTTCCGCCCCTGGATAGACGGTTATAAAACACCTAATTGAACGTGTTTTTTTTAAGTTAAAACGGACCCCCCCCCCAAAACACCCCAAAACAGTTTTCCCAAACATGCTCTTGTAAGGTTACTGCCAGTTAATCCGAGCTGCTCTTAAGTCCGCCGAAAGGACACAAAGAAACACGCTGTCCTGTCTCTAGCCCTTAGAGACAGGACTCTAATTCGCCGATTCGCGTCACCAGCATTACCCTGAGCTTTCAAGCTCGGGGTTTCAAGCCGGGCTTAGGGCCGAGCTCGGTTGAACCCGCCGACGACGAAACACAGCCACGCAACCTTGCCTGCAGGCAGCGCGCAATGCCGGCGCTCAGTGAGAATTCTGCGGTGCGCAGCGCAGGTCGAGCGATCTACCTCAGAGCGCGCGCCTAGAAGCGAAGAGCGAAGCAGGCTAGCAGCAGCCCTCCAGCGCCATGGCGGACATTGACACGCACTCGTCGTCGTCCTCGGACGGCGGCGGCGACGTGTTCCTCTCGCCGCGCTCGTCCGGGGCCAGCAAGCGCAGCGTGCAGTCCGTGCCCACCGTGCGCGAGGACCAGCAGCAGCCGGAGACGGAGCCGCACGACCACGACGTGCGGCGCAGCACCGTGAGCCGCCGCGAGACGTGGATCGGCGAGGGCCTGATCGACGCCAGCGGCCTCGAGGCCATCGACCGCCTCAGCGACGGTGACTACGCCGAGATCGTCAAGGAGTCGCAGGCCGTGCACCGCGGCGCGGACGCGGACGACGCCAAGGCCGCCAAGCTCAACGAGTTCCTGAACCAGACGTACCCGGCGGAGGGCGACGCCCCCAAGCAGTCGACGCAGAGACGCCGCAAGCTGCTCGACTTCCTCGCCAACGACGTGGGCGAGCGCTACCTCAACGGCGTCTACAAGGAGGAGGAGCGCGAGGCCGGAGAGGACGAGGCCGGACTGGACGACCTCGTCGACAGCGACGACGAGCCCAAGTTCCAGCACGCCGAGGACCTGCACACGCTAAGCAGCCGCTCGGCGCGCGCTAATAGCCGCCTGCAGGCCTTCCTGGCCCACGAGAAGAAGGACAAGCGCCACAGTGGCGACGCGAGCCAGTCCTTCTCGTCCGCGCACTCGGCGCCGGCGTCCTCCGAGCCGCGCAACAAGTTCGTGACCAAGGTGGTGTCCCAGAAGTCGCGCATGATGCTGTTCAACCCCGAGGACGTCGACTCGCAGCAGCTGAGCCGGATCGTGGCCGAGGAGGCCGAGCGCAAGCAGAAGGCGCGCGCCGACAAGGAGCTCGCGCGCCAGAAGGTGCGCCAGTTCCTGCTCGAGGAGGAGCGCGAGGCTGCCAAGCGCAAAGGCTCGGACAACGAGGCGACTATCAAATCTGTAGACGAATCCACTGTTCGTCGGGAGACGGTGATCGACGACTACGGCAAGGTCAATCTGCTCGACTACTTGGACCGGGTGGTGGACGACGGACACCGCAGTCGCAACGGCGGCAGCGTGCCGTCGGAGGTGGACGACTCCGGTCCTCCGAGCGAGTGCTCGTCGCCTCGATCGATCGCCTCGTCGCTTGAGGCGGACACCAGCACGTCCTTCACGCAGGGCAACGATGAGTCGGTGTCTCCGCCGACTTCGAACACACTGGGCAACCGATTCGCGCAGTTCCTGCACCGCGGTGGTTCGTTGATGGGATCGGAGGAGAGCAGCACGCCGCGTGTGCGTCGCATTATCCCTCCTTCGCCGTTCCAGTCCAAGGCGTCCAGCGACAAGATGACGCTGGAGGCAGCGTTCCACGCGTCCAAGCCGCCGGAGCCTCCTGCCGCCCCGGCCATCTATGGCGCAACTTCCGCGCGCATGACGCCGCTGCTCGCTACGCTGGACCAGATCTCGCATACGTGCCAGAAGAACGAATTGTCCGAGGTATCGATCGCGCGCATCTCGACGCTGCTGACGTCTATCAACCAGATCGTGCGCGACGACATCCAGAAGCACCGCGGCCAGCCGAACCGTGCCGTTCGTCGAATGTCCGGTGCGCAATGGGCCAAGAGCGAGCACGACTCGCACGAGCACGAGAAGCCGCGTCGGGCTCCGGCTCCTGTGCCTCCCAAGCCGGTCGCTGAGATCCCGCGTGAGCCTGCGCCGATCGTGTCCGCTTCTGCCACGGTTGACAACGCCAAGTTGAAGACTGGACCCGGCGTTCTGAATGCCTTCAAGTCGTTCGACGCGGCCCAGAACTTGATTGAAACGCTTTCGAGCTTCAACAAGCTGCTGACGGAGTGCGGCCTGAGCGGCGTCAAGGTGGACGAGCCGTGGCGCGTGTACAACCACATCAAGGCGGCCGTGTACAGCAAGCTGGGCTTCCGTCACAAGCAGCTCTTCAAGCTGTTGGACGCGCGCTTCAACATGGACGTGTACAAACGCAAACCCGCTGCCAAGAAGCGTGTGTGCATCATCGGCGCCGGTCCTGTGGGTCTGCGCGCCGCTGTGGAGACGGCGCTGCTCGGCGGCCAAGTGGTGGTGCTGGAGAAGCGCAAGCACTTCAGTCGTGAGAACATTCTGCACCTGTGGCCGTGGGTGGTGCAGGACCTAACGGCGCTCGGTGCGAAGGTCTTCTTCCCCTCGTTCTGCCACTCAACCGCGTATTTCCACGTCGGCACTCGTCAGCTGCAGCTCATTCTGCTGAAGGTGGCTCTGCTTGTCGGTGTCACAGTGTACTCGTCGACGGCGTTCGAGTCGGTGATCTCCCCCAACTCGGAAGAGAGCGACAACAAGCCGTTCTACACCGTGGCGACGCAGCCGCAGATCCCGTGGATGGAGTTTACCGCAGTGCTCGGCGCGTCGGGTACCAACGACAAGCTGGCTGAGCCCGCGGGCATCAACCGGTTCGTCTTCAGTCGCAAGGAGGCGCTTGGTATCGTGTGCTACTTCCCGAACCTGGGCACGACCGAGGAGAAGAAGGTGACGGAGTTCTCGTGGACCATCCAGTTCAAGCAGCAAATGTTTGCCAAGATGCGCGAGATCGGCGTCGACCTGGAGAACATTGTTTATTACCGCGGCGAGATGCACTACCTGGTGATGACCCCGAAGCGACAGAACCTGCTGGAGCAAAAGGTGCTCAAGGTGAACCACCCGGAGCCTCAAGACCTGGTTCAAGACGACAACATCAACAAGGGTACGCTGCACGACTACGTCAAGCGCGTCGTGTCGTTCCTAGGGATCCCCAAGAAGGCCGAGTTTTCGCGTATCCGTATGTTCGACTTCAGCACGCGCACTCGCGCCGACAAGGCCGCGAGTATCATCACGTCACAGGGCAAGAAGCTCTACGTCGGACTCATCGGCGACTCATTGATTGAGCCGTTCTGGCCCGAGGGCGTCGGAACCTGCCGTGGCTTCCTCGGAGCGCTGGACGGCGTCTGGATGGTGGCCCAGATCGGCAAGAAGGCGGACGAGCAACTGCTGGCCGACCGCGAAATGGCCTACCGAGTCATCCAGCATGTGTCCGGCTTCCGGCGCGACGACTTGCAGAAGAACGTGCGCAAGTACACGGTCGACCCCAAGTCGCGCTACACGGTCAAGTTCCCGCAGTTGTGTTAAAATTGTGAATATAAGCCCCCTTCATTTTGTTTCTTTACTTCTTTGTAGTACATGCATACTAGTAGTTGTTTTGTGTCCAAGACGACCTACTCACGCGAGGTATCTGCCAGTGGCAGACTGCCACCTACAGCACAGTGCTGTCAGCACTACGTGGTACACCTACCGAAACAGCTAAGGCAACGACTGTCCAACTTACTGATACAGAACCTCTACCTGAACGGAGTTGAGGTAAAGGTTTGGTTGGAGAATTCATGTACTTCTGAGTACTATTCGCGTCTCGAGTGGAGTGAGACGGGCTGTAACCCAGGGATATGTGTGGATAGGTAGATTCTTCAGGAGCTCAATGCAGCTGCAACTTGCTTGCGTCGCAATTACGCAAGGACACTGGCAGTCACGCAATGAAGCATACGGAAGTTGATGCGTAGTTTTACGCTGGGATAAGAGTCGAGAATACACTTGCATCTTACCCCATAGAGCCTTCAGCGGCTGCTTACTGAACTGGGCAGGGGTGTGCTGTGCTATTTTTCTGGCACCGATTACAAGTATCATACGGCGACTGCAATCGTATTTGGTATGGGTAAGCTAGGACGATGTTGCGTTTGCGGGGAGAGTGGGTGGGTCAATACATCCGGCCATGAGGTTGAAGACGAGATGTGATGGTGCTGCTGTCTTGATTGGCAAGAGAGACTCAGGGTCAGTTCAGTTTCCGCTGCAAGTCCCTCAATCCGATTTCGTGCTGTTGTCCAAGTTTTTGGTGAAAACTTCAGGACAATGGCGACTCTCGACCAATTCAACGGGCATCCAGCTCCAGCTTCATCCAGTCAGCCCGAGCTGGAGCCCACAGATAGACTCGACAACTATCTCGGTGAAGACCTCATCGACTCGCATTGTTTGGACGCGCTCGAGTCCAGCGACGCGTCCAGCCTCGGGGACCGCCTCAGCGAGGTCGAGCCTCAAACAGCCAACCGTCGACAGCTCCTCGACTACCTAGCCGGTGAAAAGTATCTGGACGAACTCTACAGAGACGACGAAGGTGCCAACAGCACCGACGGCGAAGACGGTGCGTATAGTAGTCGACGGTCTACTAGGAAGCCGTCGATCCCGTACGTCTCAGCCCCACTGTCTGGAAGTGGACATGGAGTGACAATCAATGCTACGGATATTGATGCGACTCAACTTAGCCGGATCGTGGCGGAAGAAGCTGAACGGAAGCAGAAAGCTCGCGCGGAGAAGGAGCTGGCGTGGCAAAAGGTGAGGCAGCTCCTGATCGAGGAAGAAGAGAAGGCGTCGACCGGAACCGTCAACTCCATCCAGTCGGTTGATGACAAAGCAGCAGCAGCACCTGTGCGTGACGACGTGGTGGGCGATGAGAGCTACGGCACCGTCAAGCTTCTTGACTCATTGGGTCGCTCTGGAAGTGGAAACTTCTCGTACAACCGCAGTGTTTCGTCCGATGTGGATGCAGCCCCCATCGTGGATGCGTCACTCGTGCAGTCACAGCTTTCGTCTTCGAATTTGAGTGCCAGCAATGTGTCGGTGCCAGAGGTTAAAGAGCCGCAGACTTTCGCCAGTCACTTCGATCGCATGGGCACGAAACTCGCGCAATTCCTCAGCCGTGGCCAAGCTTCCGACGATGAAGGCAGTGGTGACTTGTTCAAGACCAGGCGCCTTAAACCCCCTTCGAGGTCGAAACACGAACCTTTTGTCGCTGGCAAGTCTTCGGTCCGGATGGCACTGCTCGCGACGTTGGAGCAGACGTTGAGGACTTGCCAAAGGACGGAGCTGTCTGAGGACTCGATGACCCGAATCCTGTCGCATTTGACCGCCATCGATCACATTACTCGCGACGACATGAACAAGAAGAACGGTCAGCTGAAGCGAGGATTCCGTCGGCTTTCGAGCACGCAGTGGTCCAACCACTCGAGGTCCACCAACGACTCGAGCGATCATGACAAAGACTTCCTGCCTCTACCGGTAGAGGCACCATCGGAGCTCTTGTCGATCCCGTCAGCTCCTTCAGTCATTACGGACAGTGCGCAGGCCAAGGTTGTGCAGGAGTCCTACAAGGCGTTCGATGCGGCAGTCGACCTGGAAGACACGCTGGCAGCTTTCAACAACCTGGTGACCGGCTGCGGTCTCAACGGTATCGTGGTGGACGAGCCCTGGCACATTTACTACCACATCAAGGCCGCCGTGTACAGCAAGCTGAGCTTCCGACACAAGCAGCTCTTCAAGCTGCTGGACGCGCGGCTCAACTTGGAGGTCTACAAGCGCAAACCTGCTACCGGTAAGAGCGTCTGCATCGTCGGAGCTGGGCCGGTCGGTCTGCGTGCTGCTGTGGAGACGGCGTTGCTTGGAGGACACATGGTAGTCGTGGAGAAGCGAGCGGTCTTCAGTCGTGAGAGCAGGCTTCACTTGTGGCCGTGGGTCGTGCAGGATATGACTGCACTTGGTGCCAAGGTCTTCTTCTCGCACTTTTGCAAGACCAGCACGTACTTCCACGTGAGCACGCGGCAGCTGCAGGTCATTTTGCTCAAGGTGGCGCTGCTTATTGGCGTGAAGGTGCACTCCTCGACCGACTTCGAGTCCATTGTGCCCCCCGCTTTGGAGGAGAACGGCGGCAACCCCTTCTACTCGGTGACAACGAAGCCTCAGATCCCCAAGATGGAGTTTACCGCAGTGCTTGGAGCATCCGGGACGAACGACACGCTGGCCGAACCTGCGGGTATCAACCGCTTTGTCTACAGCAGCAAGGAGGAGCTGGGCATCGTCTGCTACTTCCCGAACCTGGGGACGTCGGATGAATCCAAGGCCAAGGAGTTCTCGTGGACCACTCAACGCAAGCACCCAATGCTCGACAAGCTGCGTGAGATCGGCTTCGACATGGAGAACGTCGTGTACTATCGCGGCGAAATGCACTACATAGTGATGACCCCGAAGCGTCAAAACCTCTTGGACCGGCGAGTACTAAGCCAGAACCGTCCGAGCGCGACGGATCTGGTCATGGACGACAACCTGAACGAAATGGCCCTCCGTGAGCTTGCCAAGCGTGTCGTCGACTTCGCTGGCATCCCGAGGAAGACGGACTTCACGCGCGTGAGTTTGTTCGACTTCAGCACGCTCACCCGTGCGGACAAGGCTGCGAACATCCTTTCGTCGCACGGGAAGAAGCTCTACGTGGGTCTCATGGGCGACTCGCTGCTGGAGCCTCTGTGGCACGAGAGCCTCGGAATCTGCCACGGGTTCTTGGGTGCGCTGGACGCCGCCTGGATGGTGGCGCAGATCGGCAAGAAGACGGACGAGCAGCTCCTCGCCGACCGTGACGTTGCGTATCGACTCATCCAGCGACTGTCGGGCCACCGCCGCGACGACTTGCAGAAGAACACACGCAAGTACACGGCCGACCCCATCTCGCGCTACATGGTCCACTTCCCTCGCGTCGTCCAGCCCGCACCAAAGTCCAATTCTTAACTTCTACGAAAATTTATAGGGAACTTTGATTCTGGTATACTTGGGTTTTCAAAGCTGACATCGGGGGCGGCGTAGCCTTCGCCGTTAGACGGACCTGCAATACCTCCGATGCGCTCCAACAAGTAGCTGGTGTGTGCGTGGTATTTTGGTAGTGTTCTAGACAACGAGCAGCTTGAGCAGCGAACGGTGGTGGTGGTGGCAACATTTGCCCAGGACGAGGTTCGACTGGCTCATGATCACGCGGATATTGTCCTCGGAGATTCCTGGGTTCAGTCGACGCAGCTCTGCCACAGTCAGCCACGTGTGGTCCAGCAGCCGCTTCATGTCGAAGCCGCAGGTTGAGTTGGACTCGAGCGCAGGCTTCAGGTTGGTGATGTCCTTCTCGCTGAGCGAGTCGACTGTCTCGCCCATCGTGAGTTATTCATGAAGCCCGTGTCTTCATGAAGCCCGTGAACCGTTTCCAGCTGGAGACGATGGCGTCCCCGTACGAGATGATTTCCCTCAGCGCGTACTCGGAGCATGCCGTCAGCGAGTTTGACTGCATCGGACGCCATTCCCCCATGCAGTAGGAGATGGTCACTGGGATATCGATATTGTCGCTCTGATAGAGGATGGCGAACAGCCCGTCTTCCGGAGTCTCTAGGTTGCACACCTTGAGGAGAGAACGTACTTGAGGAACGACTTAGTGAGGCTGATGAGGTACTTGGTGCACTTGATGGCGAGTTGAATTCCCTAGTTCGAAATAGCGCTGTACATGTTCCACGAGGCGAGAGCAAGCGCTGTCTGCACCTCAACGGCAGGGGTTACCCACGATTTGGATCGTGTCGCCGTCGTTATGTCGGATGTCCTCGAACCCGCTCTCGACAGAGCACGAGTACGGACACTCGGAGCACACCCGAAAACGACACCACTGGGACCACCTGCAGCACGTCCGCTGCAGCAGACCCATTATCCGACGGAGCATTCCGAGCCAGCGTCACCGCTGACACGGTCGACACGCCCACCACGCTGCCGCCAGCACGCTCCTCCACCTCCAACGAATCGTCGTCGAGGGCCAAGCCGCTCACAGAAGCGCCAAAGTCGCGCCCGTGAACTTCCACGTCCACGGACCAGTACTCGCGGTGCTGTCCAGCGACTCGCTCGGCACGTTCAATGCGCTCATCGACAGCAACGCCGGCTCGTCCTCTCAGCTCTCCACCACCAACAGCTGCGACATCACCGCCGACGACACCAGAGACCGAGGATCCAGGATGCTCCGAACCACATGCCACACCTCCGCCACCACAGCGCACGACGACACCGAGTCCACCAGCGTCACGTTCGTGGATACCGTCACGGTCTGCGGCTTGGCAGTGCGCGGCGCCAACACCACCTCGCATGTCTTCACATCGCTCTCTTCGTCGCTGTTATCGGAGTCGGAGACGTTATGTATGATCCACGTTCTCGACCCCGTCGTCGCGATTGGTGAGGTAGCTGGTGATTCGGCTCTTGCCTGAGGACTCGACACGATCGCTTGGGCAGTTCATGTCCGGCTTTGTAGGAGGTTGCAATCCACCGTGGTCGGTTGAAAAGTAGGTAGGAGCGACCGTGGCTTGCGTAGACCCATGCCCTTGAGATTTCAAGTGAATCCGCTCCAGAAAAGTAGCATCAGATCCACACACTCGCAGTTAAAGTCGTGCTCGGTGTGTACCGCCCTGTCAACGCAAGTACAAACAAACGTGCACTGTAAGCACCCGAAAAACACTCTCAAACACGAAAAATACAGTCCGTACGCTTCTAGTCGAGCACCTCAGTGATAGCAATGGTCCCCATCACGAATGTGTCAAAGCCATGGACGCCACCCCGCTGCTTCTGGTGCCGCCTGTGGCACATCTTCACAAACAGCAGCATATGCATTAATGGACTTGAATCAGCACCTGAATGAAGCTGTAACATGTTGCTTATCTGTCCTCTTACCGGGAAAAACTGTGCACAGCATTTCGTCGTTAAACCTCGCCCGCCGCATCAAGTAGATTACTTTGTGCGTGCCCGCCAGACACCAGTCGCTCTCGTGCCACCGCGTCGCCTCTAGTCCAGCACGGCTTGGTGCCAGGATATCCACTAGCTGTGGGTTGCTTCCCTTGATGTCCGACGCAAATGTGCTCGATATTTAGCTTGAAGGTGTAGATGTAGGTGAGGAAACACGACTTCGACGTATTTTCGGCTTCCTTTTGAGATCAGAAACTTTATCCCGGACACGTTTTTCATCTGCCTTGCCCCGAGCATCAGGAAACTGGTGGTACAGCATGGCTAACGCATGTCTCGGCATGATTCGAGGATCATCTTTCACAAGTCCTGCCAAGAAATTGGCATAGGCCGGTACCATCTTCTTTTTCTTTTGACCTAGATGCTGCTGCGGATCTGAACGCTCGGTATCGCCACTCGAATTTGAAGACCTTTCCGAGGTAGAGATTTCAGGGAGTTCCAAGGCTTCTCTTTCAGCTCGCAGTTGTGGTTGCTGAGCTAGTTGAGATGTGGGTTGCCGTCGTCGCTTCATCAACTTTGTGATGAACCCTCGAATCTCGTTTTCTCCGGGCAAATTATACCTGTGTGGATTAGCCAATATGAGAGCCTCCAGCATTCTCGCCGGACCCATCTTTTGACTTTGGTCTTTTTCACCTTGCTGAAACATTGCTTCAATCTCCTTTTCGTAAAGTGCTACGTATTTGGTGCCGTACATCTCTCCTCGCTTTGGCCGTCTTGCCCAGCCCATTTTTAACGGGTTCACAGAAATTGCTGAGCTTCCGTCACGGCCATCAGCTAAACAGGTACCTCCAGCACTAGGCGCTATGTGCTCTCCGAAATCTTGCTCAGATGAATCCGCATCAGGCAACACAAATTCGTTGTCGCTCTTTTCGCTGCCATCATCTAAATCAGACTCGAACGCGTCAGCATCGGTTGGCACAGTTTTGGATGCGTGGACTGCTGCTTCCAATCTCGTAGCAGGCGCCTCGCTCAGTGAGCTTGGGTTATTAGCAGCGGAAGAAACAGCTTCATTACTCGCCATCCTGGCCGTAACTGGAGGAGCGATTGCGTTTGCACTGGGATAAATGGTGAGCATCTTGGATGAAAGCTCGCCACGAGCTGCAAAATCCCCAAAATCTCCCCCAATATTTAGCTTGAGAAGTTTGCGCTTCGCGTACGCCTCGACATCGTTTTCAGTAACATTTTCTTCTGTTACACTTGTATCTTGAGCTTGCACAGGTGTAAGTGAGCTCATGACACGTGTACGACGTCGAATTTGAGCACTCGTTTTGATCCGAATCCCTGTCATGATCCCCGTAGCTTCGTGCGGTAATACCACCGCCTCGCCTACTACAGCTGAATCATCTTCACCGGCGCTTAGGTCGCTATCGTCATCCAAAAGATATTCGTCTTCGACTTCAAAATCAGAGACATCTTCATCTCCATCACAGTCGTTTTGCCCACTATCTCGCTGAACACCATCGCACACTCGTGAATCGCCGACCACTTCATCACAATCAAAATGTAAGCGCCGCTGAATGTTGTCATTGCTTTCTTGGTTTTGTCGTTGGTGAGCGACAGTGCCAGCTCTGCCATGACCAGGTCCTGCACTTGCAGCAACAACAGAAGCACCATCGTCTTCAACAACGCCTACTCCAGAGGCAGGCTCGCAAGCAACACTACACCTACCGCCACTTGGATCAACAATTATGTCGGTTCCTTCGCCAACACCAGAGTAAGCAAAGACCTTCATTCTGTATGAAGGGACTTTCTTCAAGTCGAAACCCGACTCCAATGGCGCCAGCGGCAAGGGAAAATCATAGAAAATGTCATTTGCGCGATCAATAGTCTTTGACAGCGACTTCTCCAGCGGCCGCACTTGTTGAGACAGCTCCGCTCCATGCGCTCGATCCTGCTCAATTAGCTCTGCAATACAATTCGGTAAACCACCGTCTGCTGTCAGAGCCTCCACAACTTTTGCAGGTGTTGCGCAGTCATTACCCTGGCGGACCCAAGACTTCACCTTCCTTGAAGCCGTTGCAAAGTGCGCATCCAACATCGATTTTCCGTCCTGCGTGTCCGAGTGCACGTACCGCATGACATAATATCCATGAACCGCTCCGAGAATCGGAAGCATCAATCCCAAATACGCATTTTGGTAGTTCGACGCGTTATCGGACTGAAATGTCAAGCGCGTGACATGGGGCACGTCCCGGCGAAGCGAAAGCAGAAGCGCTTCGACCAGCGCTGCAGTCGCCTCCTTGTCTTGCTTATTATCTCCATTACAGATCTGATCAAAGTAGTGCTTGGTCTCCACGGCCTCCCCACTGTCTTCATCGTACATCCAATAGCGCACAAGTGCTCCATGCCACGACATACCACGCTTACCGTAATGTTCGACTGTCTTCTCACGAAAATATGTCGGCTCAAGTTTCATCTTGAAGTCGAGAATTACTAAAGCCTCGTTGGAGTGGCTCTCTGGCAGCGGTTGCTTATGGCCTCCGCCGCTTCACGGAGCGCCCACTGCTGATTTCGTACGCGTATGCGATGACCTAAGAAGAGCTCCATCTTCTTGTGCGACTCCTTTACAACTCCAAGTGTGGTTGAATCGACTTCTGCAACTGTCAACCGCTTTGTAACGTCGTCGATTAGTTGACACATTGACACACAAGGACGGCAGCACACGGTCCGAGAGCTTTGGTCGCCCGGTTTAGGCAGGGAAAGCCCGTACGTAACTTGATGTCTTGGGCACTTAGAGCAATCGGGGTGGCTGTCTGTGTCGATATCAAAGCCGCTTCCATACTTGAGCCACTCCCTCAATATTGACAATTTGGGTAGCAGCTCGATCGATGCTTCAGGAAGTAACTCGCGTACAATTCGCTCTAGCAGCCTGAAATTGTCGTTCACCAAAAAAACCGTTACGTAATCAACGGCACAACGCGCTTGCACCTCACCATGAGTCAATGCACCAGCAAGTCGATAAAACGTGCTTCTGGTAATACTACCCCCGCGCGCACGGTACTGCTCATAGATGACCGTAATTGATTTTCGGCGTTGAATTGACGGAGCGATCTGTTTTTTTGCCATCAACCTTGGCAGTCTTCGTCCCCCAAGAAAGAAAAGCTACATTGTCCATTGACAAGACATGCCGGATAGCTTCATCTATTGTGCTTTTTTCGTACTTAGCTCGCGACCACTTCGGCTTTTCGATCCGACCCTCCTCTAGAAGCACTTGGAGATCCTTTTGCCACGCCATATAGTTTTTTCTGCCAAATGAAAACTCTTCGATCTGCTCCGCCGTGTTCGTCAAAGTTGATAGAGGAAACGCGTCACACAACAGGGCTCGAACACACCGCCGCTCAACTGATCCACGTTTTGTAGCCATGAAGACGCGGACTGGTGTCGCGATTTTAGAGATTGTAGAGATCTGGCCTGGACTGATCCACGATCGAAACAGCTCCAGAAACACAGAAGCAGTTTGTTTACGACACAATATCGTGCAAATGTGACTCAGCAAGTTCCAAACCAGTCGCAACGCGGCAGCTCGTTCTTGACGTTCACGTGCGATCCGGGGCTGATCTCCAAATGCATTTTGCGATTCCTGCTGACACGGATCGTTGCCAGTCCCACAAGCACTTGATGACCAAAATGATTCAGAACAACGCCTTTCCTTTGACGGAAGTTTTTTCTTCATCATATTGATCTGTGTTTCTTCGCAACCTAGAAACTGCATCACAGCAAAAATGTCCACTCGTTTTCGAGCTTTAGGCGTTGGCGTGAAGATAGCCGGACTCAGGTACATTCCAGCTTCGTTTTGCACACGCAGACCAGCAGACGCAGCCGGCCCTGCACCGACACTCACAGGAGACAATATATCCATGGCTCCACAATCACTCACATCTGACTCCGCACTCAAGTTTACAGGCGGCGATATATCCACATCTCCACAATCACTCCCATCGTCAATCAGTACATTCCGGACTCTTTGAGACTTCTGTCGCGTTGATCTTTTAGCCACACTTATTGCAGGATCCACGCTCGACACGGACAGCGCACGCTCACAGCCCTCCAGCGCCACAGCCGCTAAAGGTCGTCCTCGCGTCCGCGCACGCTTTACGGATGGAGAAAGTCCGTCACAGCTACAGCCACACCTCGAACACTTCCAACAGCCTGTTACAGGACAACGCGGCCTCTTGCAGCCGCACGTAATGTCGGGGAACTTGCTAGCCTCCGTCTCCCCGCGCTGACCTTCGTTCTCGCTCATTTGGATTTTGAATTCTGCGGGGGCCGAGGGGGAGAAATACCTCCGAGTGGACCGCCGACAAATCGAAGGATGCATGCACTGATACCACTCTGTGAAATGTCTAAAAACTCAAAATCCGTACGATTCGCTTCATACAGCACTACTACTAGAGCGCTTGCGGCACGTGGGGGCATTGCTTCATGTGTCTAGCATCGCTATATTGCATGAAGTACATTTCTAACCGGCTGCCCAGCCAGAACACGATCCGAAGTACCATAACGATTCGACTATTTCCGCATTATGTGTTTTTCTGTGTTCCCCTCCAATTGTGTTCGCCTCTTAGCGGGATTTTCTGTTAATGCCGAATGTTGTTTCTTATGTGGGCCAGAGAAGTATGTATTACCATAATTCAAAAATATGCCCAAGCACGTCTCCATAATTGGATTCATTTAATAAAACTAATGAAATATTATGGGTGTATTTTATTTGTCAATAATTTGTTTCAAATCAATAATGGAATTCAACAGTATTTTCAAAGATCAATAAAATTTGCGCGGGAGTTCACACTTCGAAAATGGAGGAGGACGAGGACACGTACGGCTTCGGGTCCTTCTCGGAGCTGTTCGACGCGGGGGCGTCGCAGGCCACGAAGCGGCTGGACCTGGGCGCGCTGAGCCGCTTCTGCATGTCGGAGCGGCTGCTGTCTCGCTTCCAGCAGCAGCAGCGGCGGAGGGACAGGCGCGGCGCCATGTTCCAGCACGTCGCCGCCAAGTTCAACGGCGTGGGCATCGAGGGCGGCCTGGGGGCGCTGGGCGTGGCGGCGCTGGAAGGAGGCAGTGGCGTTGTGTGGCTGCAGACGACGCAGTCGGACTCGGACGCGCTGGAGCGGCGCAAGAAGGAGCTGCAGGACATCACCAACCACGCGCCGCCGGAGACCGAGACCAAGTCGGCGGCGGCGCTCTTCGTGGCGGTGAAGCACGTCGCAACGGTGCTGCCCACCACAGTGCAGAACACGGTGCAGGGCGTGGAGATGAAGCTCACGGACGGCAACAAACTCGAGCTGACGTTCATGCCAGGTCCGATGCTGAGTAGGATTGGTGACGCAAAAAAAATTATTGATAACTTTCTTGTTGCTGTAGGACCGTTTGCCGGCGCGACGCATCGAGACGAGTTCTTGCAGGCAGTGAAGAAGTACATGACTGCTGCTGCTGGTGATGAGAAGAATGGTGAAGTAGCTGCGTTGACGCCCTCAAAGTCGGAACAAAATAGTGTCGCGACTTCTCATAAAAAGGAGGAGGTTGCAGGTGACGAATCACAGTTACAAGTGGATAGTGGAATGTCTGAATCCGCACAGAGGGAGAAATTCCGGAAGCTGGTGCGGAGATACACTACGGTCGATTCGATGAGTGACGAAGGAATTGAGATTGCGAAGCAGGTGCACGCAGGGACTGGATACCACTTGGGACCGACGACGAAGCAGCTCCCGAAGTTCTCGGCTGACTCAGAGTACCGCAAGAAGACGGTCGCAGAGTTGACATGCTACCTGAAGCGGATGAACCAGGAGTGGGGCGAAGCGGACTCGCATCGCGAGCGGCATACGAAAGCCAAGCACTCGCGCAACGATGATGACTTGTTTGAGTACACCGACACGGTCACAGGGGCGAAGATCCCGGTGCGAACGTACGAACAGCGGTATCTGGAGTACGTGAAGGCGCATGACGTGAATCCGGTGCTTCATCTGTGTCCTGCCCAAGGTGAAAAGGCGGAGAAAGATTCAACTGCGGTGAACGGAGCTATAAATGCTCTGCAGTCTGCGCCAGCGACTGCATCCACTGTGACTGAGGAAGAAGCAAAAAGTGCTTCGGAATTTTTTATTGCATCGATTGGAGTCGATATCAGCAAAAGCTGGATTATTGGGAAGAATTTCTTCTCGGCGGAACCCGAATACGTACCAGCATCTCGTGATGGAGAAGAAGACCCAGATTTCCGGGCTGCTGTGGATAGAAAGCGGGCAGAGATATGGAAGAGTTGGCGCGACACATTCGCCCGAGTGTGTGGTAGTCGAGTTGCCCAAGACGAGCCCCCACAGCGCAGATCAGTATCCAGAGTTATGCAAAAACGCTCGCGAGAGAGAAGGCGGAGCCTCGTTCTACCCAGTTCGGGGGAGCTTCGATCGAGCGTTGATGCAAATGTGTCGAAGAGCTCGGAGCAAGTTAATCAGATTGCAACCGATGGCGAGTCCGCGCGCAAGCGGAGTCGATCAACAATGCAGAAGTCTGACACAGCTCAGAAATCACGGCGGAAGGCGCGGCGTCAGAGTATCGTTAGTACTGTGAGTTTGCCGCCCACTTTCACTAGTGAAGACGAACAAAAGAAGACCCCGCGCAGTCGCAAAACGCCGCAAAGTGCACGCAAGTCGCCTCGACCTAACGGCTATGCTCGCAAAACTAGCGCACTGGAGATGGTAGGAGGAGAAGACGAGGGTTTGTGCCAGCTTTGCTACGGCGAACAAGCTTTCGTCCACATGAATCCGTGCGACCACGCCGTTTGTGCGTCCTGTTGGTCGCGGTTGTCTCCATCACCGGGGAAAAATGGCTCAAGCTCGCGGCGAGTGTGTCCGTGGGATCGTGAAGCAGTAACGAAACGGTAGAAATGGTTGTCTCTAACAAGCTGAAGTATTTTGCGGTGAGCTTGAGAGTTGTTAGTGCTCTTTGCTTGGCATGGGATGAATGCTGGGGGTTTCGCTGGCCGGACGATGGCTTTAATCTACAAGTACAATAGTTGAGGAGTGACCAGGATGCGAGCGGCTGGATGCTTTGGAGGTACGTACACGTCCTGCAGAACGCGTTTGCCCCGAGTTAACGTCCCATGCTAGAAAATCGGCCTCCGAACAGGGCGACGTTGACGTCAGCTCAAGCCTCGGCCACCGTCCATCGGTTGCTGCAGTGGAAGAAGCGCAATGACGCTAAACGTGAGCAGGTCGAGTGTTGTAATGGAGAGACGGCAAACAAGTGTGCTAAGTGACAGGTGCTGCTTTCAGGCGAGGTGAGAGCAAGGCTTCAAGAAGAAGAACGCGTCGAGGAGGAGGAAAACTATCATTCATTGCTCAAGGCACTTCCACTAGACCGAGTAGAAGCCGCTGTTATTCGCAACTACCAAGCGGCCGAAGAGCTCCGCTGGAAGAAACGGATGCTTCAAGTGATTGCAGAGCAGCAGCGACTGGATGAGGAGATTGAATGCACATTTCGACCGCGGCTAGTGGCTCGGCCTCGACGAGCTGTGAGGACCATGGAGGCGGCCGATACAAAACCTATGACGTGCCGTAGACCTTCCTGTGCTGCTGCGGCTAGAGCAGACTCGGTTAAACTACCGTCTCGTAGGCACCGCCGAGCTGCCACAGAAGAAAAGGAGGACGTGTTTGAGCGATTGTACGTGCGCAAACCCCATGCAGGCGCAGCGACAGCAGCAGCCCAAGACACATCGACAATGGTGAAGCAAATATCGATCGAGACTGAGGCCGCTTTCGTCGCCCGACAAGAACGCGACCAAATCGAGCGACAGGTAAACTTCAAGTTGCTGCATGCGGTTGATATGTAGCTTTCCTCCGTAGCTGACAAAGAGTTGGTGCACAGCGTCGTCGTATTCAGCTCGCGAAGCAGCAGCGTTTCCCTCACAAGCCAAGGCTCTCGAGGCACACACAGGAGATATGCTCGGCAATGCGCCAGCGTGACACCAACAACCTCGCTGATAACTGCCGACGCCAACGTAAGCGCTTCGACCCACGCACCCAACACCGCTATACACTGCCGCCGAGCTCTTCCAGCAGCTGCAACAAGTCAGACGTTGCCTCCAGGCCGTTCGGTCTGCTCGTTCAGGCCTTACGTCAACAGGAGCAACGCATGCGCAGCTTCAGCAAGTGCGCCTAAACCAACAAGACAAATCACACAGAGTTGAGCGCTAACCTATTATATTCCGTCGTTAACCACTTTCTTAGTTAATGACGAAACTCGTGAGACAGCGGAATGGGCAAACTGCTCGCGCCCGCTACGCGATCCCGCAAGAAGAATGGACGGTTGGCAGCAGGGGCCAAAAGTGCACACTTCTCCAAAGGTCGCGCAGGGACCGGACACGGCAGCGCCGATTCCACCCCACTCTCCATTGCTGGAAAAAGCTGACGGCGGAGTGATTCCTCGAAGCGGCGTAGTGCTGGGCAAATATTAAGCGAGAGACAATATACACATCATCTGGCTCCCAGCACTTACAGCTCGAGCTCCTTCACCGTTTCCCACGTGAAGTCCGCGTCCTCGCGGCCGAAGTGGCCGTAGGCGGCGGTCTTCTGCATGACCGGGCGCTTCAGGCTCAGGGTCTTCTGGATCATGCCCGGGCGCAGGTCGAAGTTCTTCTTGATGATCTCCACCAGGTCGTCGTCCGACAGACCCTCCTTCACCGTGCCGTACGAGTCGACGTGGATCGACAGCGGGTAGGGCACACCGATGGCGTACGAGAGCTGCACAAGGAGACGGTGGGCAAGGCCCTTGGCCACCACCGACTTGGCGACCCAACGGGCGGCGTAGGCAGCCGAGCGGTCGACCTTGGTCGTGTCCTTGCCGGAGAAGGCACCGCCACCGTGGGCGCCCCAGCCGCCGTAGGTGTCGATGATGATCTTGCGGCCAGTGAGACCGGCGTCGCCGTGCGGGCCACCAATGACGAAGCGTCCAGACGGGTTCAGGTGGTACACCGTCTTGTCGTCCAGGTACTTCTCCGGGATGACGGTCTGGATGACGTGCTTCATGAGGTCGGCGGCGATCTGCTCGTTGGTCACGTCGTCGTTGTGCTGGGTCGAGATGACCACGGTGTGCACGCGCTGCGGGATCATGCGGCCCTCCTCCTGCTTGTACTCCACGGTGACCTGGGTCTTGCCATCGGGGCGGATCCAGTCGAGCGTGCCGTTCTTGCGCACCTCCGTGAGCTTGGAGCCCAGCTTGGTGGCCAGCACGTGCGACAGCGGCATGAGCTCGGGCGTCTCGTCCGAGGCGTAGCCGAACATAATGCCCTGGTCGCCGGCGCCGACGTCCTCGTCCGTGACCGAGTCCACGGACTGGGCGATGTCGGGCGACTGCTGCTCGATGGCCACGATGACGTTGACCGTCTTGTAGTCGAGGCCCTTGGCGGGGTCGTCGTAGCCGATCTCCTTGATCGTGTCGCGGATGACCTTCTCGTAGTTGACGATGGCCTTGGTGGTGATCTCGCCGAAGATCATGACCATGCCCGTCTTGGCGCACGTCTCGCAGGCCACGCGCGAGTTGGGGTCCTCCGACACGCAGGCGTCCAGCACAGCGTCCGAGATCTGGTCGCAGAGCTTGTCCGGGTGGCCCTCGTTCACGGACTCGGACGTGAACAGGAAGGTGCGGTCCTTGGGGGCGGCGGTCTGAGTCATCTTGGTCGGAGGAGGGAGACGCGGGGCTTGGGAAGCGAATTCCAGAATGAGAGCCCACACGGGTGGCGCATGGGCGGCCGGCGGTCGGCCGTTGCCCTCGCCTTCGGAAGAGGTTAAAACCTCGGGCATGCTTACGCCCGAAAAACCTCGGGCTTGAGTGGTGGAACCAGCGCGACATGCTTTCTGCCAATCAGATGGCCGCAACGCTCGACGTGGAGACTGGTTTCAGCTCCCGAGCCTACGGTACGCCCGCTTCAAGAAGGGTAGGACGTGGCTCCGTGGCGCCGCATTTATAGCGACGAAAGCCGAGGAAAGCTGCGTGCGCTCGAAACGCTTTGAGTGGTGCCGTCCTGCGTCCTGGGCGCCCGGAGCCCCACGTTTTACATCGATGCTGACGTGGCCGGCCCGAATTGGCCTCGCCGCTGGCCGGGCCATGCTTGCTTTAGCACCACCCATTTCAAGTCCACGCCTTGTTTTGTATCCATCCCACATACAAATCCAAGTCATTTGGCGGATCAAGTTTGGCAGGTCACCGATCCTGAACACGCAGATCTTCCCTTGAACACGCAATTGGCAGCATCAACGACGAAGCGAGCGAGCTGGCGATCGTCGTCGTTACTGCGCTGGGCTGCGATGACAGAGAGCTCTACCATCACAAGCGCAATCTGCCTCAGCTCATGGCGGTGCTGCGCTGGCCTACTTTTGGCTGCTGCGCGCTGACAGCCCCACGTTTGGCAGCATCAAGCGGGCAACGATGGCGGAACGGCTGAGACCATCGCGTTCATCACGCAACGATTTTGCCCAGTCGATTGCGGAGACCAGGGGCGTGTAACTCCAACAGTTATCGGCCGATACGAACCTTCGAGCGGCGCCGTGGCTGCTTTTTGGGCAGAGTTATTGGGGGAAGCATGTGCTAAATGCAGGAAGATCCGTGTGATAGGAACTTCAGATACATGTACAGTTTTTTGTATGCGTCGCCGCAGTTTCCACCATGTCATTCACTGCTCTGTCAAATGGAAGTGCACGCTGAAGTGCCTCGTTGAACAGTGGCATCCTAGCACTAAAATCGCGAAGGATATCTATACTTTCGCAACGATATTAATATATGGGCGAAGCAGCTACACTACCATGAACGCAGCCTCGGGCAAGAAGGCGAAGAAGGACGTGGGCAAGGAAGCGAAGGAGACCGACCATCACAAGTTTACCTCCGAAATCGCATGTGTATGCCGTACCGTGGTCAAAAGTCGCACCTCCTCGTGACCAGCAACTCATGCTGCACGATGAACAGCGTGCTATCGACGTTGACGTGGGGCACATGGGACGACGCCGAGTGGGGCGTCACGCGGTCTGTCGACACATCTGCAGACATCCCCACTACCACTGCCACTGCCGAGTCCGCTGAGTCGTCCCAGAAGCAGCGAAGTCTCCGCAAACTGCGCAAGAAGGGGCTGCAGGCGCCCAAGAACTCGCAGCTCTGGTTCGAGGAGCTGCTGGAGCGCGTGGAGGGCACGTCGTTCGGGCGCACCAAGTCCACGTACCGCTGCAACCCGCTCAAGTGCCTGCACGAGTCTGAAGAAGGTTGCAACGAGGTGGCCGAGACGGCGCAGGGGATCCCCTGGGCCGATCTGCCCGACGGAATCCACCCGCGAGACGGAAAGTTGCCGGCGGAGCGCGCAAGGAACAAACGGCAGCAAGTGGACAATTTAGCGATCTTCTTGCAGCGCATACTCAGGTCGGTTAGTTGCGGTGTATTGGCACGATGCCATCGTGACGATGGCTATATCGAAATGAGACTGATTAATGCACTGTAAAATTGCAGACCGGGAGATATCGTGGTCGAGTTCTGTGCCGGCTCGGGATACGTAGCGCTGCCGCTAGCGTGCCTGTTTCCGCAGTGCACATTCGTGCTTCTCGACAAGAAGGAACCCTCGCTTGCCATCGGTACGCCAGGTGGCTTCTGGTAGTGACCAACGTGAGCGAACTAACCCGATGTTGTATCGATACTGTGCTGTCAGCGGAGGAGCGGATCGCGGCGGCCCAGTTGACCAACGTAGAGATCTTCTGCGGGTTTATTGACGACTACAACAAGCCTTTCGACGTGGGCATTGCGCTGCACGCATGCGGTGAAGCGACAGACATGGTGATGCAGAAGTGCCTTGCGGAACGGGCTGCCTACGTGCTGGCTCCGTGTTGCGTCGGCAAGATCAAGCTGAGCGAGTTGGCCTATCCTCGCTCCGCCACACTGGCTGCTGAATTGTCACGAACCGAGTACGAAGTGCTGGCGAAGGCTGCCGACTTTGGACACTCGAGTAGCGCAGCTGTGGCGCACACGGACATCAACCGCCGTCGCCGACGCTGCAAGACGCTCCTTGAGAGTGACCGCAACATGCAGGCGGAGGAAGCGCAGTACGATACCTTCATGTTTGTCATGCACCCGCCTACAGCCACGCCCAAGAACGACGTGTTGGTTGGAATTCCAAGAAGCCAGGAAGTGAAGGACGCCGGCAGACTGTTTCAGCTTGCATGCGAATCCACGCTGTCTACCGACTCGCTGGTTCGCAAGGCCATGCTGAGTACGTAAAATAAATAGAGTTTTGTCGATACTTGTTGATACTTTATTCGAGTCGTCTAGCCTTATCGGGGTGCGCGAGACAACGAAGCTTTCACTCGCTGCAGTAGATCTCGAGTATCGGATGACTGGAAATCGCGACAGTCGATCAGCAATAGTGGAGCTGTGCCTGGAGCTGAAGCGGCCGCACCCTTTTCAAACGTCATAACTCCTTCCAGGTTCATGAGTGCGAACTGCATGTTCGCCGCCCAGCCATGCGCAACTTGCACCTTCGTTTGCATTGTTTGTAGGAACTCTGAGCACGATACTCCCATGAGTCTCGTCACGAAGTCCTCAGCTACGTCAGCCTCTTTCGTGGCCGTGCAATCTTCAACGGATACTCGGAGCTGGTATCGCCCCGTGTTGAATTGAAACCCTACCACAGATTTAATACACGCGCGAATCTGGAATCTGGTAGCTGCTGTAGACTGCAGTGGCATGGACAGTGTTGGGAGTCTTGCTGTGAAGTACTGGAACGGGCGAGTTGGGTCCAGTGGCGTGAATGCAGGGGCTGAAGCTGGTGTAGGGGTGGAGTTGCTATGTCGGACAACCGTGGAGGGGAGAGGATTACGCGCAGCCATGCTTTCCTCCTCGTTAGTAGTCGTCGTGCGCAGTGATGTTGCATTGTGTGGGGTATGCACCGCCGCTAGCTGTCGATCTGTTGACGGTGAACGCGGTCGCTTCCTGGAGGGCGCTGCACTGCTCGTCGTGGTTGGTGCGCGAACAGTACGTTTCGAACTAGCAGGAATCCTAGGAGTCTTCGGGCTGTAGAAGAGATGCTCCACCATTGGGTCGGTAGTGTCGCTGTCCATGTCTTCGTCTGACGAAGGTACATCAACAAACACTGATGGTATGGCGCCGCTTCTAGGTGGGTCCCAAGCGCTTGCGCTGGCCGCTGTGTTGCTTGTAACAGCACGACTTGCAGGCTCCAGGTTTGACGGTGTAGATGAATTTACTCTTCTCGCTGTGTTTGTTTGAGGAGCACTGCTAGGTGCTGTGGTCGTAATAGGGGGTCTGGCAGGTGGCGGTTGTGGTCGTGTCGGTGGAATATCCGGCGCTGACTGCTCCGATGGATTAAACTGCGACGTCACCAGCGCTGCCGAGTACGCGCCAGCGCTAACTCCATTCGGTTCCGCCGCTTGTTGCACCTGTCCGTTTCCGCGCGCTGGTTGGTCGGTCGTGGTCTCCAGTAGCTGGCAATTATCAGGAGCCAGCAGCAGCAATCCATGCCTCACGGGGACATTCTCCACCACGATCTTGGTGCCGCGTGCGATGTTGACGCTGAACTGCGGCAGTGAGGCGAACTCGAAGCCGAACACCAATTGGTGGCCGTCTGTGAGACCGAGCTTGAGCGTACGTGTGGGTCCTGCAGCCGAAAACTCCGTGCGGTGCTCGTAGTTGGCGCCGATGTTGGCCACGTCCACCACCTGCTCGGTCGCCAACGAGTCAGTCAGTCAGTCAGTCAATTGCAACGCTGCAAAGGTCCAATGTATGGGCCGCTCGCACCTGCAGGATGCACATGCCCTGGATGGTGGAGCCGTTGAGCTTGTCGACATCCGGCGGCAGCGCGGGACGGCAGCTTTGGTGCAGATCCGACTGCATGAGCCTCCCGAACAGGTACGCGCCATACGGAGCCTGCCGCTGGGCGCCGCCGGCGGCAGCGCGGAACTTGTGGAACTCGCGCGCCTCCCACTCCGGGTCCAGCGCCTCGTACGGCAACTGCCGCCGCTCTCCTCCTGCCGGCGGCATTGGCATTGGCTGATACCAATTGTATGCGCCAGATGTGGCACACACCATTTGCGACCTTGAAGTGCTCGCAGCTGCTACAGCACACGTCGCTCCTGGGAGCGGTTTAAAGCCTAGTAGCTAGACGACTTACGTGGGGAGATGCAGCGCGGGTCTGCCTCCTCCCTAGCAGGAACGGACTCATCCTCTTGGCCAGCGGCCTCAGACCCACCGTGAGGACGGTTACGCCCACCGCTCCCTCGAAGGGAGGGCGTCTTCCCGTCCACGTTGTTTCTTCTTCCTTCGTCATTGCCGTACGAACTCGGCGGGACGCGGTAAACCTTGCCGTCGCGCCATAAGCAGGGCTTGCATGTTGACGGCGGCGTTGACGTCTCTGTTCAGAAAGTTTTTCTTGCAGTTCTTGTTGGCACAACGCAATACGGATCGATCGTAGTAGAGAGGTCTTTCGTCGGCGTCCAGCTCGCCGGAGCCGGGATCGTCTGGATCGAGGAAGACGGCCATCTTCATAGGTTGGTAGCAGGCGGAACACAGTTTGCTCGTCCTGAACTCGTGCACCTTGACCACTATCGCTCTCTTCCTCATAGCCTTCTCGAGAGGTCTCAACGGGGGTTTTGGCCCTCCTTTGATGTTGTCGCTCTGGCTCCAGTTGCCAAATCCGACGCACACGTGTGACCCGGCCTCTGGTATCAGCCATTGGGCGACGTCATCTACAGCGACACGGTGCTCTACATGCGAGAAAAATCTCCATTTCCTGGAATTGTGTGCGATGCCGAAATCCAGGAGATAGTCCAGGTTGAGCCATACCTGCTCCATCCGAATGAGGAAAACTCTTGCGTCGGCCGTTTTGAGGCAGGGAAGGCTACAGTAAGGAGGCCGGCGTCTCCACGATGAGCGAGGCGACGGGCACGGCCGAGACAGCAGATGACGGTGTTGCAGTTCACGGCCGAGTGGGACGTGAACCCAGCAGACCGCGCGGTCGGCAGGATCGGCAGGACGGCGAAGATCTGGACCACGGGATCCTCGGACCCCACGGATGCTGCGAACTCAACGGAGCGAGCTCACTTCCGAACTGGACGGCTAACGAGCAAGCCGGCTGGATCTACAACGCGTGCTCGAGAGCGAGCACAACGAACGAACGAACGAACGAACGGCAAGCGGGGCGTGACGCAGAGTCACGAGACCTCGGTGGACGACGGCGAAGGCGACGGATAGGGAGCATACGGCTTCCGAGTCTCTCGACGGCTGCGACGAGTAGGGTAGGCGCGAGTGGGCGTACACCCGAGTGGCTAGAGACGGCGTGACGAACGGAGCCCAAGTCGTGCACAGCAGGTAGACGTGTATTGTAGTTAGACGGTAGCAAATACCGCGACTAGTTTGCCTAAATAAAATAGGTGTGGCTGTCAGTCGGACACCCACCGGCGCAGTGTCAGGCGTTTTGACACTGTCGGCCAGACGGACTTCAGACCGCATCAGCACGGTCGCGACCAACCCCAAGCGTGTGGGGCTAAACACGTTGCACTACTGATTGCGATCTGGTATTCAGGAAATCGGAGGCGCAGCTTCTCGTGCAACTTGTTGAATTTGTTACTTCCACTCATGTGCTGGTATTCGCCTGCCTTGATCTGGTGAACTCGCTGTTCATGCTGGACCTTTGGTAGTTTCGGTTCGCGACGTCTTCGAACTGGAGTTCGTGGAGGTCCCGTTGAGCTCACGCGGTCTTCCACTGGGCACCTCTTGTTGCGGTGCCGTCGTGGGGGTTTGGGTGGTGGGGGCTTCTTCTTCTTTGAGCGAAGCTTGCCGATGATCGCAGCCGTGCAGGGGGCCTTCTTGCCTGGATCGACACCCACAAACCCGCGAGCGCGGATTCCCCGGAGGGCTGGCTCGGGGGCGGGGTAGGGAGCCGAGTCGCTGGCTTCGCTCGCTGTACTGGGATCCTGCTCGTGTGGTGTCTTTCTCGGGTTCCGATTCAGGCTCGTCCTCCGTTATTTCCTCGCCGTTCATCTCCGTCACGAGTTATTCCGAATCCGGGTCGTCATCAAACTCGTCAGTGTCCTCAAGTTCTTCATCGTCCACGTTTTCCTCACTTCTCTCTACGGAGCGTGCCAAACGCGTGAGCTGCACCATTAACACGGAAGCTGCGTACCCATCTGACCGGATCGAGTCACCGAAGAACCTAGCGGCGTGTCTTACCTCTCGTCCACTGAAAGACCATTGAAGCGGGCCTTGCCGATCTTGGTGCGCCGCGTCTTGAACTGTGTGATGTTGAATGCGCGCCTCATCAACTCGGAGCCCCGCTGAGTAAAGTAAGGGTGTGTCGGGACGCGGTTGTTGGGTGTGAGTTCAACACCAAGGATATTCTCGCCCGTAGATGCGCGAGCAGAGGTGCGCCAAAGTAGACGGATCGATCTTGATGTTGTAGAGCGCGAACGATTGCGACAGCGGTAGAAGGCTGAACATCTTGATTGTCTTAGAGCGCTTCTGCTTGGGTTTCTTAGCGCCCTTGTCCTTCTTCGTCCTCTCTTTCCTCTTCCATTTCCTGAATCGTTTCTTCTGAGCCGTCGCTGTATCTCCACTTTGCGCACGCTGTCGCCGCTGCTCGATCTGCTTTTGCTCGACAAAGACCATGATCTCGTACAGCTTCCGCACGAAATAGCCAACATGCTTCTTGATGACGGGTTTCAAGGGGACAACCTGCTCCAGCTCACCGTCCACACCCCACGCTTCGGATCCCAGCCACTCCTTCATCTCCAGTACTTCATCAAGTCGGGGATGTCACCGCGCTCCTCGCACTGGCGGAGTACGTGGAAGTTCGCGAGGGCCCAAGCTTCGGTGGTGGACTTCCGTAAGAGTCGAGCGCAAATCTGGATCTCCTTGATGAGCTCCGGGTGGGGACATACCCGACCGAGCTTACACCGGACCGTGGAGCAGGCATACCGCCGCTTCCAGTCTCGGAGCCTGCCGGGAGGGCGGCAGGCAACACGCTCCATGGCGCTCGGGGCCAATTCAGATGTGCGGGGCGGAGACGATTGACGGGAAATCTGGAAATGCCACCCAGCTTCCACGGAAGCACAAGTGCTTCAATGGCGTAGTGGGTTGAGGGGATAGCCTGTATTCGTATGGGAGGATGTCGCGGACGTGCGATGCTGCCCATATAGGTGAGGAGACATTCGGGGCAGTTCGGGCCGAGTACATTGGCGGCTACGTGAATGACAGCGCGCGCGAAACTGGTGGCTGATGTCCATGGAAACACAAGTGCTTCAAACGGTAAGTCGTCAGTATACGCGTGACGGCTGCCAGCCATTAATGTGGTGGAGCATCCCGCTGGAGCTTTCCGCCAGCATGGGAGGAACGCCATGAGCTTAGCCTCTCGTGTTTCCATGCTTCAAGAGGAACCGCGATTTTATTGGATAAAATTGGATAATTGGATACTATAGAATCTATAGTATAGATAGGCCAGCGACTTCAACTTGACTATCGCCGCCGCTAGGTATGCTGCTGCGGCTGCTGCTGTTAGTCGGCCTTGTTGCCGTCCAGGTCCAGATCCACCGTCTCGGGCGAGACCTCGGGCACGTTGTCGAGGTCGGGGTCGGCGGCCACGTCCTTTATGTTTCCTCCGCTCTCGCCCTTCCGCTCCTCGGCCCTGTGCCGCCCCGCCTGCTCCATCAACTCGCTGGCCGCGTGACATTAGATCTCCATCACGCTCTTCTGCACGTTGACCTGGACGATGTGTCCGCTTCCAGCTGCATTGTACGATGGCATTGAGTGTGCAAATGGAGTCGATTCGGCCGCGTTCGCGAGTCCGTCCGTCGCGAACTAGCAATACACACAAATTGAAAAGAGGTTAGAGACATTCGGCTGCTATTTTCAAGACATGAAAGCACGGTCAACGTACCTCTGGATGAGCGCGCAACGCCAACACTTGCGGTAATTCGACAAGGTGCAGCTTGGCGTAGCGGAGCACAACGAGGCCGCTCCCGATGGAAAGCAAATAGAACGCCCAGGTGCGCATTACTGCCTTCTCGCGCTTAGTTTGCACGAGTAGCACCAGGCACGCCGCGTATGCCACTACAAAGAGCAGCAGCAGAGGCCACGTGCGTCTGCGGTAGTGTAGTTTGATCTTGTTCGCACTCAGTGATGTCGGGAAACGGCCCACGAACTTGTCAATCTTGCGGATGTAGTAGCCCAGGATCTTGAGTTTGTACTGGTCTTCCGCCTGGACAATCTAGCCCCACGCACACACGCAGCATCCCAGCATCAGAGCCATATCCAAACTCCTCATAAAGTATCACAACAGGGCGAACCTCAGTCCAGTAGACCCAGCGCATCTGCAATCCTTCAGGCCATAGGACATAGTAACGGTACTACGCAACACCATTGACACATCCACAGCTCGTCAGCGCTATCCCAGCCTCTCCACTTCATTGCACGTCGCACCAGCGTCAGAGCCAGCTCCACTAGACACACGAAGGTCACCACGAGGAACACGATCGTGTCCACGAACCAGTCGCGCGTGCAGAAGACGATGCAGGACGGCACCACGAACACGAGCAGCACGCGCGCCAGCCCCAGCGCGAAGTAGCGGTGCTCCTGCGTCGTCAGCGCCTCGTTGCTCAGGTGCGGCGCGAAGTGGCGCACGATCTTGCGCCTGTGCGCCTGGTCCCCCTCCGTCGCCACGTACATGGGGCCGCTGTGCCTGCCTTCCTTCGTCTACCTCCTCAGCTTCAGCTTCAGCTTCTTGCTGTGTCTCTCAACCTCTCGTGTTTCCATGCTTCAAGAGGAACCGCGATTTCATTGGATAAAATTGGATAATTGGATACTATAGATAGGCCAGCGACTTCAACTTGACTATCGCCGCCACTAGGACTTCTTGGGGGGCGTCTAGGTATGCTACTGCTGTTAGTCGGCCTTGTTGCCGTCCAGGTCCAGGTCCAGCGTCTCGGGCGAGACCTCGGGCACGTTGTCGAGGTCGGGGTCGGCGGCCTCGTCCGACTGCGGCTGGCTGTACGACTTGCTGTACTTCTTGCTGAAGCCCACGGTCGTGGACACGGTGCTGACGGCGGCCTTGAACTTGCGGCGCGCGTTGAAGCGACGCAGCTCCTCCAGCGCGCTCGTGAGCTGCACCGTGGCCAGCTCCGTGCCCGTGACCCAGCGGTGAGACAGCAGCTGGTCCACCGTCGCCCTGCAGAACAAAACTCCAATTAATTTCATGCGCAATATCAGAGCAAAACAGTCCAAGCAGCGAACGTACCGCTTCTCCGGGTCCACGATGAGCATGTGCGAGATGAGGTCCTTGGCGTCGTCCGAGACGTGGTCCCAGTACGGCGAGTCGAACTGGAACTTGCCCTTCTTGATCTTCTTGAACAGCGCGTTGTGGTTGTCGTCGTGGAACGGAGGGTAACCGCACAGCAGGATGTACGTGATGACACCGATACTCCAGATGTCCACGGCCTTGCCGTACGGCTTGCCCTCCAGGATCTCCGGAGCGACGTAGCCGGGGGTGCCGCAGGCTGTGACGAGGCCCTCGCTGTCGAACTCGATCCTCTTTGCGAAACCAAAGTCTGCCAGCTTGATGGACGCGTCGTCGTCCTTGCTGGTCAGCAGCAGGTTCTCGGGCTTCAGGTCACGGTGCACGATGTTGGCGTCGTGGCAGTACTTGATGGCCTCAAGAAGCAGCTTCACCAGGTCGCGAGCTTCCCTCTCGTTGTAGTACGACTAGCAAAAAAATATACACCGTCAGTAAAAATACCCCTCAACTGCCGTAACAACCGACTCAACACCAACCTTCTCGACGATTCGGTCAAAGAGCTCGCCGCCCTCCATGTACTCCGTCACCAAGTAGTAGAACTTCTCCTCGACGAAGAAGTCGTGCAGAATCATAATGTTCGGGTGGTTCATCTGCAGCATAGATAGATACAATGAATAGTCAGAACTTTCCGCACCGATTCCGTCACCGCAAACAAAACCTCCAGCGCACCTGCTTGAGAATAGCGACTTCGGTTGTCAACGCCTCAATGTCCTCCGCCACAAGGCCCTCGCGCTTGATGCACTTGATGGCGTAGCGCTGGCCCGTGGGCTTGTGGATGGCAATGCGCACGACCGAGAAGGTGCCCGAGCCGATGACCTTGCCCAGCGAGTACTGCTCCTCGAAGCTGTTGGGGTTCGTGGCCGCCGGCGCGGGCTTGCCGTTAGCCGTGGCGTTGTTCTCGCCGTTGGCGTCCACCTGCGCGCTCCCGTTCACGACATCCTGGTCCTGGCAGCAGCAGCAGCAGCAGCAGTGGAAGGAGAAAGATCAGCACACAACAGAATTATGCTGCTCAATGAAGACGACATACCGGCTTGGAATTGACGCAGCCCATGTTGCCTCCTTGCTGGCAGGTCGTTCGGGGGAGGGAAGAGTCAGTCGAGTGCTGCCGCCGCTTCTAGTTGCGTTGTGGTGTTGCCAATGCGCTGGTCTCGTGCTAAGAGTGTTGAGCCGTTGTGCCAAAGTCTAAAAACGGCGGTCCAGTCTCGCTTTTGGCTAAAAATAGACGTTTTGAGCCAATCAGTAGGGAATTACCACTTCGGGTTTAGGGGATCTATTTCAAGTGATTCAAGCTCAGAGGGTTCGGTATCTCTCCATCGAAGATGGCTGCGCGCTCAGGTGGTGAAGGTGAACTTGTCGCCCTGAAGCAGAGCAGCACGCGGGTGGCTTAGATCAAGTTTGGCCGCCCAGGAATGTGCGGAGAGCGCACCTACCTGTCGGAGCTTCGTGTTGAGCTTGGGCTCGGCGTACGAGACACGCTGGACGGGCCTCATGGTGCGTCTGCGGAACGGGCTGCGTTGCTGCGCGAACGGCGCGGGCACAAACGCCGACGTGGCGCGGCGAGGTTCAGAAATCACGCGACGTGGCGACGTTCGGGGGTGGTGGGTCTTGCGCTGCTGGCCTGTCCGCTTGCCTAAGCCGTAGTAGTCTCCCTGGCACGCACAGCGCAAACGTTAGGAGCCACGAAACTTCGGAGACCTACCTTGCAGGCATGACACACGAACATACGTACCCGCCGGAGCTTCGTATTCAACTTTGGTTCGACATACGAGACGCTAGCATCTCGTCGACGCAGCCGTCTCGGTGCAGAAGCCTACAAGCAGCAGAGCAGTGAACATGGTGCGTGGAGATACGATCTCAACTTGTTCAAAGCGCACCTGTGAGCTCGATCCAGGGCTGATCTGTGGTGAACGTTCGGCTTGGACTTGCAGTGCTTGTGCCTTGCCATTGCCTCGAGAGGTACTGCTATCGATGACGACGGTGTTTGAGCTAAGTCTTGCATTGCAGTCGCTTGAGGAGGTGGCTGGCTTTCTACTTGAAGTGCCATCGTCGTAGGAGTACTCCCATTCCTGGTACCATTGAAATGGGTATTAGTGCCTTGTTAGCCGGTCGGAGTGAGCCCAGTATACCTGTATGGCATCCGTGCCGATGATCTTGCCGTGCTTTACACTTTTGGCATACATTACAAATTGTGATTGCATTCTTGAGGCCTATGCATTCACCATGTAAGCACACTGCCATCACTCACAGCATTTTCAGTCGTACCGGTATCTGTGTAGACCTGTTACTTCGACGAGGAGAAAGCGGCGGCTCCGGTTCTAGATCTTGACCGAGGCCCCCAAGGTTGCATTGTGCTGCCTGGTGGCGCACTACTCCAGGAAAAAGCCCTGTCAGTGTTCCCCACAGAAGCGACCACACTTACATACTCGCTTACCTTCGACAGGCTTGTGTCGGGCATCCATCCACTCGACAACTACCCGGTGCAACCCGAGTCAAACTTGGATACTCAACGAGCATAGCCAGCATGGACAAACCTTTGCTTGAGAACACAGCGGTCTGCGCTGCTCGGGCTGCAGTAACCGATTGTCAGTACTCAACATGCCTATTGACACTCCCTTGTAGCTAGCTGCAAGATACGCACGCAATGCCTACCTCTCGTAAGTTCCTGCTTGGTTGCAGTCTGTCAGCGTGACCAGGAAGTTTAGAAATCGACCCGCGACACTGTCACAACAACAACGACCTCACCAGCGCCTTGGCCAATTGGCGATTCTTCTCGGACAGACCGCCGACCTTGTCCCGCAACTGCTGTAGCTCCTGCATGACGCTGAACGCGCGCGCAGCGCTGGTGCCCTGCACCATGCTGGTCAATCAATGCGGCTGCGTCCTTTCGCGATCGCTTTCTGAACAGATTTGACAGGTGCTACTTAACGAAGTCACTTGGGTACATAAAACACGTCGGTAAAATACAGAATCGGTGAAATGGAGGAAGTGCAAGTGCAAGTGCAAGGCGATGCCGCGTTCACGTCGTTTCCGGGCGAGGGCTTCCGCTTCGGCGTGGAGCTGGTAGACGACGTAGAGCAGCTTCTGGCTGGAGAACCAAGTGACCAAGAAGCGCTGGTGCGTCTGCAGCCGACGGCTCAAAACCTCGGCGGACATTACCGCAGTCAGCTGACAACCTTTGGTTACTTTAATCTACTGTATGCTGTAGGACGTGCGAGGTGGCGGATGTTGCTGCGTTTGCTCCGACGGGTGTGGTGCTGCCTTGGGAGACGGTCCTTCACTATGTAGCGGTGCGTGTTGGTGCAATGGTTCGTCATTATGAGCGCATGAACCGGCATTGACACGCAGTTGCTGCCCTCCAGGCCAGTCTGAAGGAGTCTGCAGCCGCCACCGATAGTGCCGACCAGACACCAACTCTCGTTCGGGAAGACGACGACCAGAGGTTGCTGCTGGAGGTGACCATCAGGCTGGGAGTGACGGGCTTCGCCTGGGCGCCCAAATATGTTTTCCCCATGACACTCGAGCTGCGGAACGCTACGCCGACGGACGTGCAGATCAAACTCCTCACTACGCAGGTGCAAGAACTCCAGCAGGAAGTGAACACGCTCAAGAAGCTGGTGGAAGATGTGCTGCGCGTTCAGGCCAAGCCTGAACCAGCGGCGGCGCTGGTGGAGGAGCTCCAGCAGGAAGTGAAGACACTCAAGGAGCAGATGCAAGCTGTACTGCGAGATCAAGCCGAGTCCCAGCCAGCAGCAGCAGTAAGCTCCTCGTCTTCGCCAGCTTCCGAGACGCCGTCTGACGTTGATTCTCCCCATCGCCAGCCAACGCCAACGCAGTCTCCAGCTGCGGGTTCAACTCAATCCCCGAAATCGTTGCCAACGCCTTCTCGTAAGGACCAAGTGTGGGGCGACATCATCGGGCAGTCATGCCACCGACTCGTGCAAGTTGATGAATACCGCGAGACGCGCAATTCCGACGGCGGAGTGATGCGCAGACATCGCCAACGCGCCTGCAAAGTGTGCTCTGCCCTGAAGGGGGATCGCAGGCGTCCATTTGAAACGTCTTTCTACTGTGAAGAGTGCACGGAGCAACACAAAGGCGGCATGGTGTTTCTGTGCGACAAGGTGCGGCATCATGAGGCGGACCAATACCAAAATGCTACGTGCAGCCAGATCTGGCACGTGATGTGGAAAAACGGCGAGGATATCCCGTTGAATGGAGCATCCATAAGAATGCGGAAAAAGCTGAAGCTAAGCAGCTCAAGTGAGGGTGAGACGGCGGCATCGACTGCGATAGCAACGCCCGTGCGCAGGTCAACACGCGAAGGTTTGTAGCGCTACCCCTAAAGCTAGCTGCTAACATCTTCACTTTTGGCTACTGAGAATGGATACAGCAGCACGGCTACTTGCACGTGGTTTCGATGACTGGCAATCGTGTACGCGGTTTCTCCTTTCTGTAGCGATCAAGTCAAGGATCAATTGCTCGTGGCGACTGCTTTGTGCTAAGACGCGCGTATTGAACGCCGTTTACTGCGGTCGGGTTAGCTCCATGCTGGAGAAGAAGCTGGACGACATCGACACGCCCACCTTGTGCGGCCTTGTGCAGGGGTGTACTTCCGTCGTGAGCGGCGTAATTCACGTTGGATCCAGCTGTGATATGCAGCTCGCAGATTTTCACATGTCCAAGGAGTGCTGCGTGATTCAGCGCGCTGCATCCGGTCTACGTGTGAAACAAGGTTTGATGAGCGCTGCAGGCCAACCAAGTCAGCAAAGACTCATTTGTACCTGGTCGGTGATGCAAGGATCAACTCTTTCTTTCGTGAGAAGTCGGCGCACACGGTCGTAGTCTCTGTTGAGTACGCTGACGTGGAGAGGGGTGGTTGCTGTCGGGATGGTTGGATCACGCAGCTGGTCGTAATAGCGCTTGAAGGGGGCGCTCAGATGTAGAGGTGAACTCATTGTTAAGGTGCAAGTGGCTGGAGCAATCATCACGAGGAACAACTACATCCGTTTCAAGATCAAGAAGAGTGTTTTTGGATTTAAGCTTATCGGTGTCCCAGCTTGGTGCTCGAACTGCGCGTGGACTCGGGCCTCATAACTTCACTTAGAAGATCTTCGTAGCCTCCGATGGTGGCAAGATCACCGTTTGCATCGAGTGCGCGGGCAGAGTTAGAGTGAACGTCTTCGAGTCCGTCTGTTTCACACTCACGGTCACTGCTGAACTATCGCGGTTCATGAACTGGATCACCACGCGGTTGTCCGGAGTCACGAACGCGCAGCGGTGGAAGTTGCTTAGTGTCTTCGTCTTGGGAAACTCGATGCGCTTGGAGCCAGCCGGAATGAACTTGGAGAAGTGGCCCATGATGTAGAACATCGGCTGCTTGTAGAACTCGACCCCGTTCTTCTCGTCCACCAGAATGGGTGCGTCGACGTAGTTTTCTACCCAGGTTGGACCACCCGTCGTGTCGAGGACCAAGTTCCAGTCAGCATATCCCGCGACGTAGTTGTTGATGTCTTCAACGATGTCATGAGCGTAGTTCTCCCGCACGGGACCAGCTCTTGTCCGAGTCCGTAAGAGAAACTCCAGAGCCCGTGCCCAGCCAGCTTGGCAAGAACCCCTCGCACGCCTCCGTTGAAAGCATGAACATGTCTGGGTATTTCTCGTGGAAGGTCGACAGTTTGTCAAAGTCTCCGCCGATACCGAAGAAGAAGAAGTCCAAGTCGCGGTACCAGTGCACACCAAGACCACTGATGTACTTCAGGGCATCCGCGTCTTCAAACGATGCGAGGCGGTCCAGGATGCCAGACTTTTGGTCGTCTCCAGCGATGATCTTCAGGCCTGGGTGGTCCTTCGCCATTCTTGGTCCTAGGTCGAGTTTCACAAAGTCGCGCTCTTTCTCCGCGCTAAGGCGCAGCGACTGCCAAGCCACCGTCTGCAGAATGGACTTGGACGGCTCGTTTTGAACTGTCATGGCCCAGAAGTTGATGCCCTCCTTGGAGTACGCGTCGAAGAACTTGGAGTAATACAGCGCCAGCGCCTTCCAGTATTTCTCGCCCGGGTTGCCCTTCAGCGCACAATTGAGCGTCGTGGTCTCCGTCGTCGTCTAGGTCGGAGGGGCCCACGAAGAGGCAAACAGCGTGACATTACGCGACGAAGTGTTTAGAGCACGCTGGATAAGGTCGATCTTGTGTGAAGACGGCGACTTGTCCACCGCGATCGAGAAGTGCTCCATCTCGAAGTCGTCCACCACGTCGTTGTACGAGTAGATGCTCGTGGAGAAGTCCGTGTACCCGATCGGCACGCGACCCAAAGTGTACTGCAGACCCGTCTCCGAGAAGTACTGGTCCAGCACCATTTGCTGCAGCGTCGACGATAACTTGTACACGTTGATGGCCGCCGCATCCGTGAAAGCGCCACCGAAGCCGATCATGGTCTGGTATTGCTTCGACACGTCGATGGAGTACGTGGGGCTGCTCACCGCCGTCGAGTCAACGTTGACAACCTTATAGGCGAAGCGGTCACCGACCTTGGAGGTCGCCATGTGTTCCTGTGAACGATACACTGAGCTTCTTGGATATACCGCCGAAGAGATTTAAATGTCTCCTACACCCAACTGCGGTATCCGCCTGGTGGAGAGCATCATGGCGCCTGTGGCATGAAACAAGTTGGCCGGCTAAGGGCCAACATCCGACATCGTTAAAATCGTTGCTGCAGGCCTCGATTTGGCTCTCTAAATCGCCCGAGCTACACTATGAGACTAGATCGTTTCGGCGAAGGAATCTGGTGGCTGTAGCTGAGCCTCGTCGGAGCTTTAGACTCCACGTAGCTCGAAAGTTCTCGTTCGCGTGTCTGCTGGATATCTACGATGCTTTCTGCGGCTGGCCAAGTAACGAAACCTTTCTTTCAAAAACACTCGACCCTAATGAGAATACCTGCAGCTTCGAACAGCAACGGCGCTGGCTTCGTGGGCTTTATAACGAACTCACACAAATATTTCATCGGGTTGAAATCGCAGTGGGTGGCTCTGGAATCACGAGGTCTACAGACGGATTCACTCCAAATGTGGGTGTGAAAAAGTCTAACAAGACAACCTTGTTCCTATTCCTTCAACGTTCGACCCTAAAACTACTTTTCCGCCCCAAATCTCAAGAACGTGACGAGCATCCTATCTGTCGTGACTTACAAGGTACAAGTGCCTCTGATGTCACCAAATTTGTCCAGTTTTGCAAGAAACAACGGCAAGTACTCCTACCTGTGCAGGATGACTTGCAAATGCGAATTGCATATCGGCTATTGCCTGTAAGGTCTCGATTCTGGTTTCTAGCGCACCAAATACCAAATGTTCAGCAGTGCCCTTACTACGGCTGCGCAGCAATCGAAACTGCGCAACACCTTTTCCTCGAGTGCCACCACTCAAACGAAATCTGGAAAGCCCTCTAGAAGGACTGGAGTATCTTTTTCGTAGGAGGCATCAGCTGGACTTCCATGGTACTCCCCCACAAGCAGGAAACTCGGTCAACATGGTCCCATCACAGAGAGGCAGTGCTTTGCCTATGAAATATAGTGAGATGCGCAGCACTTCGCCGCCAATGGACTGAGAGGAACAAAGTTTGTTTCGAGGATGGAGGACCGGAACCCCTTGAAACACCGATATCAAGCATTTACAGCACATTCAGCTCCAACTATCGACGCCTCTTAAGACTATCAAACTCCGAAGATCAAACCAAGTTCAACACTCTGTTACAACGGCTTCGGTATTCCAAACATTTAGGCGATTTCATCAGCAGACATGACAACAGATTCAAGCTTCGGCATGTACAACTACACTTAACACCCCGCTCTGGTGTGGTGTTCCGCACTGTTGTCGAGTAAGTAGCACATTAGTTCACACAAATTGAGAAGTCAGATAAATCGGTAATCGATAACCTCCAAGAGGTTTGGTCCTAGAGACAAATCATACCGTACCGCCAATTGGGCTTGAAGCGGTTCGGGGGACACCTCATCGATGAAGTGCATGCGGAGCAACTTCCAGTGCTTGTATGTGTGGCAAGAAGTCCAAAGAAGTTTCAGCTTGAGTGTGACCTTCTCCTTTGAGCGCTCAGGGTCCTTCAGAAACAACTGGAGCTCTTTACCAGTACGAAGAAAACAATCGCACGATCAGTAACAAATTGTTATCCACTCAATACGATTACTTTCGTACCCTCTACAGTTGATATGACCTCCTGTCCTGACGTGGGCTCTGTAACCCGCGATTCAAGAAGTTGACGAAGCCGCGCGTACGGCGTCTGACGCCCGGGCACAGCGTTACCATCTTTAGTGCTCTCGTCTGGTGGCGCTGAGTGTGGGATGCGAATCACCACTTCGGAATTGCTCGCCGTCACCTTGGCAGTGCTACCGGTGTGCTTCCCTTTTCCGGCCATCGCGCAAAATCCAGAATGGCGAGCTCAGCAGCTGGCAAGTAACTTGCCAGCTTGCCGCAAGTTGGACGTGACAACTGGGCACCTTATAAATGATGCACAATAAGACCAAGTATGTATGGCCAGTTAAACACACATTTCCACTCTTCTTTGTCATCTGTAACGACGCGGTATAATAATTAAGTGTGCACTACTTGCGTGCAATCTTAATCTATCTTTGGGCATAATTGTTTTCAAAGTTGACACTTCAACGGCAAGTTCAAAAAGGTCCAACAATACCGCCCGATGCAATGCTATACGCTGAGTGTAAAGCGCGACATAGATGTGCGGTGCGCACGATCTCAAACTATCTTTGTCATTTTCCATTTCAAAGTTGACACTTCAATGGCAAGTTCAAAAAGGTAAACAAATCTGGCCGGGGTAAATACCTGTATGCGCTATAGACAAAAGGGAGTACACCGGTGCGTACGTGCGCTTTTTTTATACAAATGTGACCGGATCAAGGTATCAAGGTATTTAAAGCTTGCTAAGCATAAATGTGTGGCTTACTAGATAATCGTGAGATCTCCACCTATCGCTGTCTATAACAGTGGTTTTCGATTTTCAAAGTGTTTTGACTTTTTAGATTCCCCACCATGCGTGACAGCGGTTGCCATAATTCAATCCTTCATCGTCGCTTTGGGGGAGGGTTTGACTAAAGCTACAACAAGAGTTTCGTCGGTTTCCCGAAACATCTGCGTATAATGGTTATTGTGATGCTGGGATGTCCAAGTTGGACCCCAATCAGTGGTCTAAGCACTTCTCAATTTGCACTCTTCAGCATCTAGTGCTCCCATCGCGACTGAAGATGTTCGTTCGCCAACGACTAAGTACCCGGGGCTGCATTGTTCTCTATCATGCTGTTTCTGATGAGATGGCGGACGAGTTGAGATCTGCTGCACTAGAAGTTCAAGACCCGAGGATCCCGGAGACGTGGGATGGAGTTCATGTTGACAGTGAGCGCTCACGTGTGTTCGTCCCGTACGGTGATGCGGAGGTCTTGTCGGAGCTTTTCGAGCGCCACTACCGAACATTTTTTTCGATTGCCAGCGCAGTCGAGTGGAGCTATCGGAAGACCAGCAGTGGATCAAGCGACCAACCGCCTCGTCGGGAGTTTTCGTCTCTTCCCGGAAGCACGGAAACACTTAATGTGTGCTCGTTGCCTGGAACGTTCCTCCTTGCTTTGCAAGACCATACCTACGTGACTGGGTTCGGCTGGAACAACCAAGTGGCGCTGCAATCGAGCCAGCGACTTATCGAGCTGAACAAAGGAGATGTGCTGATGCACAGCGGGGACTTCGTTTTTGCAAGGGCCGGAAGCGCCACGAACAATATCTGCCTTCACGGGTATCTTGATACGCCGCTCTATCCCAGACCCGCGTACCAGGACCCGGAGATCGTTCCCTTCATCAACGATACCAGCGTTGGTGTTGACGACGTTTTCTGGAACTGTACGTTCAAGGCCAGAGACCCCCAGGTACTGCGCAAGCACTTGAATCGCTACCACAACTTCTACTTCAACATCCTCCGGGCTAGTTTTTAACTAGCCAGCTCAGAGCATAGCTCTCTCTCTCTCTCTCTCTCTCTCTCTCTCTTTCTTTCTTTCTTTCTTTCTTTCTTTCTTTCTTTTTGCATACTTAATCCAGTTAATACAAGTGATATTGAATCACAATTAATCGCACAAGAATTTGTCTCCACTACAGCCTAGTATAAAATAGTTCGTTATGGTTGGTGCATACCACACCTCTTCATTGTTCCTAATAGATGCATTTGCCAGGTTTCGCTAGCATCGGTTTTTCTCACCCCGCGCACTTGCAGAAAACTTCTTAGAATAATTTATGGGCCGGACTTCCCGCATGTCAGATCGAATTGGGCGAGTAAGAGCAAGTCGGCCTCTTCGTAGCATTCTCGCAGATGCACTCACCTAGTTTTGTAAGTATTAGTCTCTCTCACACCGCGCACTTGCAGAGATAATTTCTCTTGAGTATTTACGTGTCGGACTTGCCGCTTATCGGATTGAATAGGGCGATTTTCAGTGAGCCAGGCAAGCGCAAGTTGTATTAATAAATGCTGCGAGTTATCTCCAATCTCATTGCGGCTAATGTACGCTCACTCGATGCCATGAGCCGGTTTTCCTCTTCCAATGCATCGAAGGGAGGTTTTGCCCATCGGATTATGTCAGGTGTTAATGGACTCAGTGTGGTAAATGCCATGCGAGACGTAACACGAGATACCAGTAGATATGGCTGCTCAGGTTTGTTCGTCACTGCTGTCTTTGATCGCCACTCAGTCACAACCAGTCGATCTAGCGTTTCTCCCTGGACTTTGTAGATCGTTGCGGATACTACACACACGAGCGGGAACTGCTGAATTCGCACGGCAAGTTCACGTGGCTTTCCGTGCAGCCTTCCTGGTAATGGAATTTTGCACTGGTTGTAAGAATGCGATTGAAAAAATAGCGGGAAAAGCTCGGCATCGTCACAACCCTTCATCGGTATCGCTAAATCACCACGGCTTAACCGAACGATAACCGCTGGCGGTGGTACGCTAGGTATTTGTACAAGCATACCTGCATCACTATCGTGCACAATCCGAAACGTCATACCCGGCTCGTAAATTATTGATTCTAAGTTTCCGAGTGTACCATTTGCAACCATCTTCTGGGGTCTGATGTTCTGGGTAACTTGGCATTCCAATAACTAAGTCCAAATACGGTGACATGCGGCCTAAGTTTGAGTCAGGTAGGCTCATTATCATCCTGACTTCTTGGTGATTCAAAGACGCCAATTTTCCTTTAAAATCAGCTACCACTCGGACAGGATAGTGTTCATTTGGCAAGAGCTTCGCCGTTGTCGATATGAACAAGTTGTTAATTGCCAGTCGCGTCGAGTTATCAGGAGGAACAAAAGTCGGAATGTCGTGGCCCCGTACTCGCTGCGTCTGCATAACAGTCCATACTACATCAGTTGAGCAACCGTCCTTACTTGCTGCAGCTGTTCATTTTCTGCAGAGTATTGGTGTTGCTGGGCTAGACCCCAGCAACGGCTACACAGTGTAGCACCAGCTACAACACTTCCCCCTCCAAAAGCTCCTTCAATATAAAGCCGTACAACTTGCGGCCAGCTGCGATTCATGACGAGGCATGAAACTAGTCCAGCTGTAGCGCCTTGCGTAGCGCCTTCACAGGTGGCTTCTTGCCGTGCTTGCGGACGAAAGCCTTCACGGCCACTGGAACGTCCTGGAAGAGAGTGTCCGCAGATTCCCAGGAATCCTCAATCGTATCGAGTGCGCGCCAGTGCACCTTTAGTTCATGTCGTTTCTCCTGACGATTGTATCGAGCCTCCAGCAAAGCGTCCACCACGTGGCCCTCGCTGTTGTGTGCAATATGCAGCAACAGATCCTCTGTCACATTGAGGGAGGCATCAGCATAAAATTTCAGTCGACTAGCGTGCACCTCTTTCTTCTGCCCCGTGATCGGATTCTCGATCTCGAATATCCAGTTGGACACGGTTGAAAGAACACGAGCCGGCCCACACCACTTCACGCTGAGTTTGCTGCGCGTATGCTGCCAGACGTCGGCATACAAAACGAAATCACCCAGATCAAACTGGGCCATAGTAGTGCCCCGCTTTTGGTCGTGCCGCTTGCGTCCGGCTGCTCGGACAGCCGCGTTGGTGTCTTTGATGCGCTTGTGCATAGCGTCGAGAGCTTGTTGCAGCTTCACAACATGCGCTCTTTGTGTTGTTTGTATCTCGGCGAGAGTAGTCGTTTTGATAGGTCCAGCTACTGCAATGTGATCGCTAGGCTCCATAGCTTTGAGTCCCGTCATAGCGTTCAAAGGTGTCACGCCCCCCAGCGATGGCGACGGCGAGTTGTTTAGCATCATCTGAACAATCTTTATCAATCTCGGCCATTCGTGCGGCTGCAGCCTCCATTCAGACAGGAGAGCGCGGCAGGAGCGCAGCGCTTCTCGGTTCACCACCTCTACGGTGCCGTTTGCCCATGGGCACCTAGCGGTGGTGAAATGGTGGTGCGCCCCAATTGCATGTTGACGCGCTTCGATGACCTTGTTCTTGAAATGTGTACCTTGGTCACTCACCCAAGACCGACACACTCCAAACGAGGCAAACCAGTCGAGCATAGTAGTAAATGTAGTTTCTGCATCAGCTGCCTCACTAGGCACCAGCCACACGTACTTGGACGCGTCGTCCTTAATCACCAGGACGTACGCCTGGTCGGTGTCGCTCACCCCCATGTACAAAAAGTCCCAGTGCAAGAGCTCGTCGGGGTGCTCGGCATGCATCGCCTCACCAAGTAGGCGTGGTTGTGGCGGACCACCTAGAGTACTTGCGAAGTGTAGGCATCGCTGAACAAAAAACTCCACATCGCGAGCCATTTCCTTCCAGACGAACGTCTCGCTGATATCCTTCAAAGTCACCGCACTGCCTCTGTGTCCTGCAATGCCAAAGTGCCCTACAACGCACACGCGCACTTGTAGTTCTGTTGCATTGTCCGGAATCCAGATTCGGCCCTGCTTGTCCTTCCAAAGAGAGATCACATCTTCACTTGAGAGGGCAAAACCCCGTGGCGGATCGGCTGCACTTTGCGCTGCCACAATCTCGGACAATGTTGGCCACACAAACGCTTCATCAAGCTGAGGCGACAACGGTAGTGGCACTTGTCGAATAGCACAGACAGTCTTAAAGGCAGAACCCCATCTTGATAGAAGGTCGGCCCACACGTTATCGTCACCGGCAATATCGTGAATCTCGTATTTGTATCCCATCAGCAGTAGTGACCACCGGTGGAGCTTATCTGCTGTGTACTTTGGCACCGAGTCCGACACGCTGTGCGGGTCAAAAATGTACCGTAAGTTGCGGTGATCCGTGAACAATGCGAAGCCATCTTGGCGGTGCAGTAGATAGTCTGCATGTCTGCACGTCTCGACGATTGCATATGCTTCTTTCTCGACAATTGCCCACCGCTTTGCAGCACCAGAGAAGGATCCGCTCAACATCATCAATGGTTGATGCTCCTGCTCACTAAGCGGTCGGTTAGTATGGTCACGAGGAATCTGCGTGATGGCGGCGCCCCAATGTTCGTCACTCGCGTCGGTGTACACCGAGAGTTGTTTTTCGGGGTCGGGATGCGCTAACAGCAGCGCATGCTGCAATGCTTCCTTGCCGCGGTCCAAACAGGCAACCTCGTTGTCACCCCACCCCACGTCAGAGAGTTTTATGGACCGGACTTGTTGCTTCTTACGGCCACCAGCTCGCTCATACACTCGCTCCATTGTCTTCACGAGAGGGTCAATCAATTTATTGAAAGCGGGTAAAGAAGCCCGCATCCAATCCAGTGCACAGACGAACTGTTGTAGCTCCTGCCCAGTCGAAGGGGCTGAAGGCTTCGACAGTGCATCAATTCTAGCAGGATATTGGCGAACGCCCTCGCCGGAGACCACTCGTCCACACCACAGGGCCTCTCGCAAATAAAATCTGCACTTCGTCGGGTTCAACTTCAACCCCTTTTCGGCGCAAATGGTGAGGACTTTCTTGAGCAAAGCTAGCAACGCCATGTCGGAGTCTTCATACCCCAACAAGTCATCTATCCAAATCATCAATCCGTTATTGATTGAACACTTCCGCAAACATTTGCTGTACCGTTGACTGCACGTAAGCAACGATGTTGGTCCCTCCCATTAGCACGCGAGTCGGTGTGATCACTCCTTCTTTCGTGAGAATAGAGTAGATCTCCTGGCAAAGTAGAGCCATCGCAAATTGCCAGAACCCCTTGAAGAAGTCTAGAGAGGAGTAGCGTGACGAGCCTCGGAGCTGTTCAAATGCGACCTCGAGAACACACAACAGACTCGACACAGGCATTTGGCCCCCGCACATTCACTGTCATGCGATGATCACTAGCCTCGGGTTTGTTCACAACGTGGGGCGGCGAGCACCACCTGCTCTGCGGGTTTCGGTAGCATAACCCCGCTGCAATCAGTGCGTCGATGTGCTTCTTGAGAAATGCACGGTGCACCGGCAAGTAGCGGCGAGCTTTACACTTGACCGGAATTGCCCCAGGCTTCAACTTCACCTCCATTGGAGGCATATCGACGGGCGGGTCGCGTCCGATGATGATACGAAAAACATCGGTGAGCTGCATCAATATAGTCTCCAATTCTTTCACAAATTCTTCCGACGCACCAAATCTCCGCGCTTCATCCACCTTCTCCAATAGAATAGCTCTAATTTCTTCTCTTTCGGCGTCGATAGCTTTGTCGAAATCTGTAACGGACCAGGTGTGTGTCCGTTACTAGCTTACACGTAGCGGTGAGGAAGCTTAGTTAAGACTCGGATTTAGTGAGACCAAGCAGTCAGTCTTGGGTAAAATCAACTCTGTTTTATGTTAGGACCAGGGCGGCTACCCCTGGTCTCATGTGAGCCACTGAAATGCAGGTCAACGCCGGATTGGCTGAAATGGGGTCTGGCTCCTCCAATTCAGCCAATCACGATGACCGTCAGTACACGCTAGCCGTGTACGGACTTAACTACTTTATGTACTGTCAATCTACCTAGTTATGTAACTGGGGCCCATTACATCACCCCCCTCTCAAAGTTGCGCTTACGCAACGTAAGCGCAAAAGACACATTTCCGAAAGAACACCCGAAGAACACCCGAAGAACACCATGGACGACCGAGGCGGCGGAGGAACGGCGCTCGCGCTACCGAGTGACACAGGACGACGCAGGCGCAGCAAGTGTGCACACACCAAGACGTCTCGTCGGCGCACACGCCGATGCAATGCGCAGTGCCCCAAGTGGCTGCGGACATCCACGGACACCCGAAGGGAGGGCGGACGTGGCAACGACGCAGCATGGGGAGCGACACCAACGCTTGACGACAAGCGCAACTGTGATGCGCACGGAGCGGAGACCGGCGAGTGTCGAGACACAGGATGGCGATCAGCGTGGCGTGGCTCTTCGCGACGACCCTTCGACGTAACTCCCGACGAAGAGTCGCGCAACCGTCGACCCGAACCGACGTGGCAGCGAGACCAGCTTGGACACCTTCGACACCGGCGATCATCGGTGGTGCGGCGTAGTGGGCAAGCGCTCACCGAGCTGAGCTGTGACGCGTGGGTTCAAGCCCCACGCGAATCCCTCTTGCCCCTTGCCACGCGCAGTCGCTCCAAGCTTGACCAGGTCGAGAGCGTCGTAGAGGGGACTCGAAGCCCAGCTAGCGCAGTGGTCGAACGCTGCGCCACCAAGGCGGAGGTCACCGGTTCGAGTCCGGCGGTCGTCGTCGGATTTTCTTCTTAGTCTTCGCGATGAACGCCACCGCGAGCTTGCGGTGGGGATCCACTTCCATCATCACGCTCACTTAAGGCTTCAGCTTCCGCGGGGAGCTCCGTGGTCTCTTCAGCAGCAGCGACCTTCGCCTCATAGTCACGAACAACATCGGGGACATCCCGAAGAAGAGCTGCACGCGTCTCCCACGTGTCCTCGTCAGGTGGAAACCCAAGCCAGCGTACTCGGTAACGTCGCGCGGCTGGGATCGCGCGAGGAGCCCGGACTGGATTACGCCCACGCCCGTTTGCACGAGATGGGTCCTCGTGGTGAACGATGCGGTCCACAATCCAGCGCGCTTCACCCGCCGAGTCGACAATCGGAGGAGGGCCATCGCGACGGTACAGGCTTGGGTGATGGGTGTTGGCGTCGCGAGTAGCCTCGGGTACATTACCCGCCAGTGAATCCTGGTGATCAGAGGTCGGAATATCGGTAGGATGACATCGCTTGAGGCTCCCGACGTAGAATGTCGGGTGAAGACGCAGCGACGACGGGATGTCCAGTGTGTTCGCGTCGCCGACGACCTTGATCACCTTGAACGGGCCGATGAAGCGCGGCGCGAGCTTGTTGGCACCGAGGTTGGTCACGGCGGAGGAGCGGATGCCTTCGGTAGACAGTAGCACACGGTCACCCGTGCGAAATGAAGTCTTGTTCTTGCGTACACGCTTGTCTGCATTCTCCTTCTGCCGGTACATTGCGGCTTGCAGTGCGTCTCGCACGAAACGTGTGATTGCTTGACGCTGCTGCACAAACTCGGAAACCGCCAAGTGATCCGTGGGACTCGCCGAGGACTTCGGTGCATAGTTGGCGGTAGTAGCAGGTTGCTGCGTCGTCGCTGGAGCGCCGGCGGGGTCGATCAGAGTTCGCTCTGTCCAGTCTGCGAGCGGCGTCACCGCACGATGCGGTGCGGCAAGGGCCTTCTTCGCTTGGGATCGTGTCACTGCATTTGCGCTTGATTCGGTCACTGGGAAGCGTGGCGACGCCAGTGAATTGACCGGCGACGGTTCTGCCGGCGTCTTGGCCGGCGGTGAGTCTTCAGAGGTAGCTCCTCCCCCACCAAGCGTAGAGACACGAGCCTCCGTGGGTTGGCCTACGGCAAGCATCGCGGGTACGCGCGGGTGGCGCGCGGAGTTCACGAAGAACGGAGTCATGCCCGTCGACGAGTGCTCGGCGTTGTTCAGAGCGAACTCGGTCAGGGGCATGAAAGCGCTCCAGCTCGGGAACGACGTAGCGTAGCTGCGGAGTACGTCTCCGACGACGCGGTTGGCGCGTTCGGTTTGTCCATCCGTATCCGGGTGAGCCGCGGTGGACATCGCCAGCTGCGTTTCAAGCAACTTCAACAGCTCCGTCCAAAACGCGGACGTGAACCTCGGATCCCGATTCGAGACGATGGAATCGGGCAGACCATGAAGGCGGAAGACGGCGTCGACGAAGTGGGCTGCGGACCCTTCCGCAGTAACCGTGGCAGCCACGGGAACGAAATGCACCGTCTTGCTGAACCTGTCGACGAAAACGAGGACTCCCGTGCGCCCGTTCGAGTCGGGTGGAAGACCGAAGACGAAGTCCATCGAGACGGAGCGCCAGGCTTCCGTGGGGACCGGAAGGGGGCGCAGCGGAGCCTGCGACGACGGCGAGGGCTTTACTCGCTGGCAGATCTCGCAAGTGCGCACCCACTTGCGCACCCACTTGTACAAGTGGGGCCAGAAGAAGTCTCGCGCCACCGCCGCGAAGGTCTTTTCGCGTCCCAAGTGGTACTCATACTCAAGTGGTACTCATGGATGATCCGGGCGCGAAGGTCTTCGTCATTCGACACCACCACTCTCGGGGCATCGAATCGGTCGATGGTGTACGTCAGCAGGGAGCCATCAAGCAGATATCGCTCGACGTGGCTGCGGGTCGAGCGCGACAGAGCCTTCAATGTCGTCTCGCTTGGAGAGCGGAGGTGGGCCAGGATGCTGGCGTACTGTGCGTCACGCTCGTACGCTGCGGCGATCTCGTCCCGAAGCGGCATCTTGGGGGCGACGCTCGTCAGGTTCAACCCCGACGTCACACACGTCGCACACGCGTCTTCACCATCTTCGTCAGCTGCCTGGCGCTCGAGGCCTTCACGTGAGTCGTAGTCTGGACGCCGAGACAGCTCGTCGGCGAGGATATTGTTCTTGCCAGACTTGTAGTGCACCACGAAGTTGTACTCAAGACAGCCAGCGGACCATGCGCGGGGACAGATGCGGGGATTTCATCGCAGTCCGCAGCGATGCATGGTCGGTGTAGACCGCAAACGTCTGCTCTCCGAGCAGGTAGACCCTGAACTTGACCAATGCGTAGCGCATGGCGAGGAGCTCCTTGTCGTGCACTGGGTAGATCCTCTCCGCCGGCTTGAGCTGGCGGGACTAGTAGCTGATCACCCGCTCACGACCCTCGTCGTCGAACTGCATCAGGGCACACCCGATGGCAAAGTCGCTCGCGTCGCAGACGGCGTGGAATGGCTTCGAATCGTCCGCGAGCATCAAAACAGGGGCGGATGACAGACTCCTCTTCACCGAGTCAAATGCGGCTTGGTGCTCTTCTCGCCACGACCACGTGATGTCCTTCTTCAGCAGCGACGACAGTGGCTGGATTAACTTCGCGTAGTCCTTGGTGTTCTTGTGCAAGTAGTTCGCCATGCCCAGCCACTGACGAAGCTCAGTGGGACTCGTGGGGGCCGGCTAAGAGCAGATTGACTCAACCTTCTCAGGGTCGGCGCGGACTCCATCCTTGCTCACGTAGCAGCCCAACACCGGGATCTCCGGTGCACAGAACACGCACTTCTTCAAGTTGGCGTAGAGCTTGTTCTCCCTCATCACCTGGAAGACTTGCCGCAGGTGGTTCAGGTGTACTTCGACAGCGCCGAGGTCATCTTCGGCGCGACAGTGCACGAAGATATCATCGAAGTAGCTCGGTGCGAAGTCACGGAGCGGGCGCAGCACATGGGAGACCATGCGGTTAAACGTGGCCGGCGCGTTCTTCAGACTTTGGGGCATCCCCAGCCACTCCCAGAGCATGCCGCTCGGAGTGCTTACCGCTGTGAGAGGTATGTCACACTCTCGCATGAGTATCTGGTAGAACCCATCGGTCAGATCGATGGCGCTGTAGATCACGCTTCCCGCCATAGAGTCCAGCGCCATGTCCTTGCGCGGAATTGGCGTCTGCGCGGGTATGGTGGCATCGTTCAACCTGTTGAACGCGTGAACAATGCGCCACCCGCCCGTTGCCTTCTTGACGCAAAAGGTCGGGCTGGAGTGTGGCGAGATGCTTTCGCGCACGTGGCCTGCCCGGCGGCGGCTCTCGAAGAAGTCGTCGATGGCCTTCACCTGGTCACGTGGAAGTGGCCACTGCTGCGTCACGCAGTACCTCATTGCAGGCGCGAGGTCGATCTCGTGGCGGACGCCTCGGTTCGCCGGGAGCTCAGCGGGGATCTTGTCAAGGAAGATGTCCGCGTACTCGCGGGCGGTTTCGTACACGGGGTTACCGGACTCACGCAGAGCTTCCCAGGACTGCGCCGCGAAGCGCTCCTCGCGCGCTGACTTGGGCTCGGCGTGCTTGGGCCTCGACGGCGCATCCTCGACCTTGACCGCGCTCAGCGTATCCACCGGGACCGCCTCGGTGATCAGACACACTTGCTCGATCTCGCCTGCCTTCAGGTCTCGAAGAAAGTTCTTCCAGGAGAGTCCTGGGAGACGCGTGATTGGGTCGAAGCGGACTCGCGACTTCGATGACGCGCGATCGTCGTGGAGCGCCCTCCACGTACTCGAGAGCGCACACCGACTCCTTCGGTGGGTTCTCAGTCGCTGACGGTTCTCGACGGGGCTTCAGGCGGCGTCGCTTGGACTTCTTCCTTCGCTTCGAGCGGGTGCTCGAAGAAGACGCATCGCTCTCGCTCGACGATGATTCACCCTCCTCTAGGTGTGAGAGGCCACGCTCGATCACACCGTCGGTACGCGACTACAGCACGCTCTCAGCCGCAACATCGTTGTGCGGGAGCGACTCATGCTCGACCGCCTGCTCAACTTGTGACGGGAATCCACGCTCGACCGCCGTCTCAGTGGGCGACGGGAACCCACGCTCGACCGCCGTCTCATTGGGCGACGGGAACCCACGCTCGACCGCCGACTTGTAGCTCGACGGGATCCCATGCTCGACCGCCGACTTGTAGCTCGACGGGAACCCATGCTCGACCGCCGACTTGTTCTCACTGTGTGGGAGCGCACGTCGCTCGACCACGGGTCCGTCATCGCGTCCACGCGATGTCATCCGGACATCATCATCATCCAACAGCACGGCACATGCCATGCAGAGAGGGCCATCGCTCGCTCTGTGCACAACTTGCGTCGTGGCTGTCTTGTCCACGACGGTAACGTGAGGCCAGTCTCTTGGAGCCACCAAGAGATGCGTGAACACTTCACGTACGTCGAAGCCACGTCGACGCTTGACTGACCGAGCCAGCTAGTCAATCTCTGGCTGATTCCGTGCAAGCCACGGGATCCCTAGAATGCAGTCGAACGCGTAATTCATCTCGATCACCAGGAAGTCGTCGTTGCTGCGGAAGCCGTCGAACGTGTACGGCAGGGACACCTCGCGTCGCGCGACGCGGTGGGCCTTGCCATCCGCAAGCTTGACTTCCACCTCGCCCGGACCCTTCCGGACGCGGACGCTCGCAGGAAGCACCGACAGACACGACGCGCGGAAGAAGTTGTTTGTCGCTCCTGAGTCGAGGAGCGCGCGCAGTGGACGTCGGGCGCCGGCGACATGGAGGCTGACGATGGTCAGCCTCGAGTCGCCACTCGCAGTGGTGGCAGTAAAACGTGCATATAGCACGGGAGGGCTAGAAGGCCGGGTTGCCACCGGAGGACCCGGACCTTCCTTCCAACCAGTAGGGCGCCCCGCACCTACTGGCCTCGGCCGTTTTTTGGTTGGGCGGCCGGGCTAGCGTCGGCATCGACGTGCGCGAGAACTGGGGCTGGCGCGCGGCACTCTGCTGCGCGATGTCCAATCTTCCGGCAGCGGAAGCAAGTTAGAGGACGAGCGCTCCGACCTCCTCCCCCACCATAAGCCGAGCGCCGTCGATCACCCGACGCCTCAATTGCGTCGATCTCCATGGGCTCGGGCGCGGATACCCGAGAGACGTCCGGCATAGCGCGCGCGTACGATGCCGCCACCACGTAGTCCTCGCGGAGCGCGAGGGCGAATGCCTCTTCGAGCGAGGAGGGTTCGGCTCTCGTGAGACAGTACCGCGTCATTCCTTCGCGCATCCCAAACACAAAGACATGCACCTGAAATGCCATGTCAATGGGGTGGGTGACAATGCACGACGCAAGGTGTCGTGTTTCTGGACGTAGTCGCGCATGGACATCTTGCCTTGCTTGAGAGAGAAGAACTCCGCGCGAACGCGCGACTCGTCTTGGGCGGCTCGAACGCGAGCCGGAGATCACTCCGGAGCGACGCCAGAGTAGGGAACGCGTTCTGGTCGACGACGAGCTTGCCGAGGGCCCACTCCTTGGCCTTCCCGGACAACCGGGAGAGTAGGAAGTTGACCTTGGCCGCCGACGCTTCGATTATGCGCGAGGCGATAGCGATGTCGATCTCACGGAACCAGCGGTTCAGTAGAAGCCGATCGTCACCCATGCCAGAGTAGGTGGACGTCTCCAGTTTGACGACATCGTTCCTGGAGGGGCGCGAGGGAGTTGTGACCCGCCGATTCGCGTCGGCGCGCTCGCGTTCCATGAATTCTTCGGCAGCTTGGCGCTGTTGTTCCAGCATCGCTGAGCTCAGCAGCGAAGTGACAACACACCGCCGCGAGGCGATGGAGAGCTTCCCACTCAATGCGCGTGAGATGGGGGAAGGCACCGTGCTCCAGGGTTGCCCCTGAAGGTCCGGACGTCAGGACTTGGCTCATCTTGGTCTTGGTCGTTGGAAGGACTACGAAGTACTACCAGGTGTAACGGGCCAGGTGTGTGTCCGTTACTAGCTTACACGTAGCGGTGAGGAAGCTTAGTTAAGACTCGGATTTAGTGAGACCAAGCAGTCAGTCTTGGGTAAAATCAACTCTGTTTTATGTTAGGACCAGGGCGGCTACCCCTGGTCTCATGTGAGCCACTGAAATGCAGGTCAACGCCGGATTGGCTGAAATGGGGTCTGGCTCCTCCAATTCAGCCAATCACGATGACCGTCAGTACACGCTAGCCGTGTACGGACTTAACTACTTTATGTACTGTCAATCTACCTAGTTATGTAACTGGGGCCCATTACAAAATCAGGAAAGCATGCACGAGCTTCATCGTCTTCAAGTGCACGCTCCTCCTTAGTCGCTGCCGGACACACCGCTGCTCCTGTATACGCGAGAACACTCGCTACTCCACTAGCCGGGCGATCGTCGACATCGCTCATATCCCACTCCGCACTCACTTGCTGTGCAGAAGCAAGCAGCTTTTCAAGGCTGTAGCCCAATCGCTCCATAATCCATCGCGAGAGCAATAGGTCACCAACACCAGGCGGTAGCCGGTGCTCCGTGACCCAACAGATCACGTTGTGGAGCTCTAAAGGGCCCCCTGGAGTCGAATACCTGAGATCGAGCTTCACTTTGCTCTTGACAGGCAGAGGTTTATCCCCAACACCAGTGATGGCCGCTCCACCGTCAATATCCTGCTTGTTGAGCCAGACCCCCTTCGCTGTCAACAGCTTCAGTGATTTTGCAGTCACCATTGACACCTCGGCGGCACTGTCGGGGGTGATTTCCGTCTCAACGTTGTCCATTACAACACACGGAATGGCTAAAGTCGATGTAGCCACCTTAGAATCCGACGCCGTCACGGCTAATACAGGTTTCAGCGTCTTTTTCCCAGTTCTTGCCTCGTAGAGCTCCTTTGCTTCGGATGGACTCGCAATGGCAGGACACTGGAACACGCCATGCGTCTGGTCACCGCATTTGAAGCACTTCTTCGGCGGACGATCACCGGTCGGTCTTGGCTTGGCCTTGTTGGTCACCTTGTGCTGGTGTCGGTCGTCAGTGCTGTTTACCTTGGTAGCACCGTGCGTCCCGCCAAATCCTCGTTTTGACTGATGCTGCTGCTGAGTCGGCTTGGTCCCTCCTTTGGCTTGAGTCTGGGCTGAAATGTGGGCCTCGAATCGCATAAACCCCTATAGTTCACCTTTCAGCCACTTCAGGACCGCTGCCAGATCCGACTTAGTAGACTTGTGACACTGCCGGCTCAATTGGTCTTTCACTGCTGCCTTAACCCCTTGGTTCCCGACGTCGTAAGTTACGACTTTGCCGAATCTCAATGTCGTATAATACGACATAGCTCGATTAACAATAGCATTTGGCTCGAAACGAGATTGCAATACTTTAATCAAGTCTATTTTCGTCGGCAAAAGTATAAGCAAGAGAGGTAAAAAATCAGAATTGCACAAAAACACGGATATAGAGCTGTCATCAGAGATGGGTTGTGCATAAGCCGGGGCTGGCTAATGAGGCATTTTGTATAGAGAAAGACGAGCATCCCCTTTTAAGGTTTGCGCGAGTACCCACTTTCAAGCAAACACAACAGCGACCTTGAAGGGGAGAGTACGGCGTATGCGGCTGTCAAGAGCTCCCACGAGCTTGTAGAATAGCTTCTAAACGCCCGTACAAGTAAATGATAAAAACCATGGATGGAATGGTGTCTAAATAGCTCTCCAAGGGCTGTTGCAGCTATTTCCTCGAGTTTAGGTGCCGAATATACAAAGTAAGTATAACCGGAAGTAGACTATGTCTGCCGAGACTTCTAACACGAAGAAATAGTTATTTGCAGCCTTATAACAACTGTACGGTGTTGGCAGCGACAATGTTGCAGCGTATTTCGCGCCACGTAAATGCCGGATTGAAACAAGGGCATGGAGTAGTGCGTAAATAACCTTGATCGGGCGTATATCCCACAATGACCTCTCCCAATAACTAAACTAAGATGACGAGAGTATCCTACTACTAACCAACTTAAGCACGACGTATACTTCGGTATCGCCGGGAACGACGGAGGTCTGGCTCGTACGCGTGTCATCAACTAGTCAATCCGACCATAATGCCTTATTTGTGCGTATAGAGATCCTCTTCGGCTGCTTTGACAGTCTCCGTGTACGAGGCAATTTCTATAGTACGCGAAGCCCGAGTGTCGCTACCGGTGCGGCCACAGTATCAATATACCTGCTGCGAATTAGAATAACTGTGGTAGGCTTAAACTTTTTCTAGGAACGGTAAAACGAAGCAATTTCGGCATTGCTTCAGTGTTCCGGATTGAGAAAAGCCGGTGGTGTAGGCCGTTGCCTCGGCAACAACACTCTATAGAAATGGGCGAGTTGTTGGGCAGATATCGTAAAGCTGACAAACAAAGCGAAGAAGTGAAGCTGCTGCTACGGTTATAGAGCTGCTTTAGCACTGACATACAAAGTAAGTCAGCACTCCAAGTACCCCTTTGTTGGTTGTAGCGATTACCCATTTTTCTTGAATGGGATACGGTTCCCCATTACCTGACCTGTGCATAAGTGAGAGGGAAAATGTTCTGATTGGCTATATATTGATGATTTGGTGATTACAACCTCGCAGTCATCTATCAACACCGCGAAAGATGGATGTTTTGTGTAGTTCACCAATCCTATTGATCCACCATCTGGTATTAGTATGCACTCATCTACGTTCAATGTCGTAAGTTCCAGCGTACTTCACGTCGTTTTCGACTCTTATGTCGTAAGTTCCCCCATAGATCTCTACAATCTTATATGTCTCATGGGGCTTCTCTTGTTACGGACGGGCGCGCCAATACAAACTCGTAGTTACTTTTTTCGTCGTAAGTTACGACATACAGTACCGTAGATTACGTGTTTCGGTGCCTAAATCCCGGGAACCAAGGGGTTAAAAGGCTGCGGCCTTAATGCGTCCACTAAATATCCGACGACCTTCTTGGGCTCAGTGTGCACGACATCCTCCATGTTGAGTCGGTCAATAATCTCGTAAAACTGAGCCATGAGTCGTGAGAGTCGTGACTCCGCATGCAGCGGGGCTGCCGTAGCTGTGCGTCAGAGGAAGCTTAACAGACAGAGTCTCAGCTTAAGATAGCCCGTTCTAATACCAGAACGTACGAGTCCGTACACCTAACGGACTCCAAGAGTCAACCCTTAACTCTTAACTGTGTGAATCTCAAACTGAATGTATTTCCCTTTATTGCGGCAAAGCCGCCTACAATGTAAATGTATCCGGTTCACTAACTGGCATAGTGAACCCTAGTCATATGCATAATCAGTGGCTCTGAAGCCATGTACTGATTATCCTACTTATTTAGGTTAGAGAGTGTGTACCCACTTCGTAACCCTTCGGGAAACTCTCGTGTAACCCCGTTACACCCTCCCCCACCAAACCGTGGACACGGGTGTTCACGTTTAACGGTCAACCACCGGGTCTTGTTCCGTCAAGCCTCCTACTCGAACGAGTCAATCCACATCGCGTGGACTTCTCTGAGAACTTCTCGGCGCAACGCGCCCTCACATGACTTCAAGTGATAAAGCCTTTTGGTCTTTCGACCGCAGACAGCCTCTCGCGAGATCCGCCTCGGAGCCTCGCTCCTCTCGTGCTGCTGTACTACGTGCCTCCGCACCTCCGCGAACGCCAGCGCCCGCGCGCACACCCTCGACGCCTTCCAGGCTCTCGGTGTCCGAGTACTTCGCGGCGCAACGCCTGAAGCGCAGCTCGCAGCGCGCAAGCCCCAGCTCTCCTCGAGCACCAACCCGTCAGATCATGGATCTTAGGGAACTCTTTGGTGAAGAGGGCGAGGTGGACGAGTCCATGGAGGGTTCTCCGAACCGAGGAGATGCATCCCCACTCACGCGACGCTCCCCGAGCCGCGGCGACGCTTCAACCACACCGTCGACACGCCGTGAAGAAGGCTCGCCAGCCCCAGTTGGCTCTCCGAGCCGTCGCGATCAAGGGCGCCACGCGCACACGTCTCCTGTGCTCGCCGAGCCGTCCACCTGCAGAGCGCGCTGCGCCGTCGAGGGAGGAGCCGCGACCACCGCTGCGATCTCCGAATCCGTTCCCTGAACGCTCTTCCGGCCTCTACGAGCTGCGCGCGCTCACTGAGCCACGGTATTCGCCACCTCGTGGTGAGGGCGTGCCCCTGGGCACCGTCATCTCCAACCCTTTGGACGAAGCTCAGTCCGAGCAGGTTGCGGCGCAGATGGCTCCCAGGCGCTCCCAGCGCCCCGAGCTGCGGCCTCTGCTGAACCCCAGCACTGCCGACGACGGCTTCCGGCCTCGCGACCCCGCGGAGGCCTGTCGCCAGGCGTTCCAGCAGTCTCTCGCGCTACACACCATTGGGCCCGCGGCCCGTACTCCGGAGGAGCTCGCACTGCGTACGTCTCTGCGAGAGCGGCTCCTCACTCCACAGTCTACGACTGTCGCGGAGTATCGCGAGAGGGCTGCGGCTGCAAGCCCAGCAGAAGTCCGTGCCCGACGTACCCGGTGGTACTTAGCCCAGGGGAAGACTCAATTGAGTACGAAGCTCAGTTCGAGTCTTGGGCCGAGCACAGCCGAAAGCTCAGATCCATGGACGCTCTCCGAGCCAGCTTCAGTGAAGTGGATGTTCGCATTGAACGCAAGCTCCGCTTCGACTTCGCGAAAGTCCGAGCCAAGCGCAGCCTCTCGGCACTCGCCCAGCCGCAGGCCCAGTTTCGCGCTGCGCGCTTCGCTCCTTCGAGCACTCCAGCCGCTCCTTCCCGCGAGGGAGTGAGCGCTGTGGCTCAGGGTCAGCCTTGGAGCAATGTGGCTGACCCAGTAGCTCCCCAGCTTATTGCCGGGAAGCGCGGGACGGCCGGCGTGCCGGCCTTGAGCCCTCGGGGCGCTGGTGATCAAGCTGATCAAAAGCGGCCACGACGTCTAGGCAGTCTTGGCGGAGGGGCACCTCAAACTCCCATGAGTTCTCGGAGTGAGGGTACCCTCACCATTTCACCAGATACTGGTTTTGACCCCGGCACCGCCGCTTCGCCAGGAGGCGCTCCATATGGTAATGCAGATCCCCATGCTCATCGAGCAGGGCCGGTGGAGGCCGCTGTGGGGTCCTTTGCGACTCAAAGTGAGCTCTTGGAGGTGCGGCAACAGGCGGGTCGCCTTCGGGGTCATATCCATGACGTCGATGCACGTCTGGTCCGGACTGCCACTGAACTCGACGTGCTGGCCGAGCGGACGCGGTGGATCGAGGTGCCACGAGCGGTCTGGGACCGCCTTGGGGCCCTGGAGGACTGGGTGCGATACTATCGCGATCGCGATGAGCAACGTGGCCGGGAGCTCGGGGAGCTACAGCGTCGGCAGGCTGTGCTTCAGGGTCAGCTCGACCTCTTGGCCCGCATGCAGGCTCCGACCGCCGCGCCTCCTGCGCCTGCGGCTCCCGCTATGCCCGCGGCACCTCCGGAGCCGATTCTTCCGCCTGTGCCTGCGGTGCCCACGTGGTCGCGTCCTCGACGTCTGCGACTGCGTCCTCGACGACCGCGACCTCCGCGCCTGTGACCTCGTCACTCTCGGTGCCTCCATCTGCACCTGCGTCGGGTCCTGGTATGGCTTGAGCAAGCCCACGTAGAAGACGGGGTGCGTCCGCATCTTCTTCGGAAGATTGAGCGTGTACGCAAGGCCCTTCTTGGCCACAACCTTGAAAGGTCCGATGAAGCGCGGGCGCAACTTCGTCTTGAAGACGGCAGACACTGCATGTGTAGGTAGGTTCTTAGCATTAAGCAACACCAGGTCCCCGACCTCATAACTTTCAACATTGCCTCTGCCCCTGGCATCTGCATGTTCCTTTTGCTTGTCTTGGCTCTCAGCCATTGCGTCACGCATAGTCGTAAGACACTCAGACGCGTCGACAAGAAAGCGTCAACCTGTTTACGAACAGTAGCCGGGCTGACATCGGCTAGCCGATCAGCTAAATCGGATTCTCCTCCCCCACCAAGCCCGAGGCCACCACGTGGCGGCGTCAGCGGGACGCGGGGATGAGACAAGCTGTTCACGTAGAACGGCGTGTAGCCTGTCGATGCGTGCACGGCGTTGTTCAACGCAAACTCAACGAGTGGTAGCATGGCGCTCCAGCGCTTCGGCGTCTCAGCGCAAATGCTGCGGAGCACGTCCTCGACGACGCGATTCACGCGCTCTGTCTGACCATCGGTCTGCGGGTGGTCCGCCGTGGACATGTCCAACTTGGTGCCAAGCACCGCAAAGACCGCGCTCCAGAAGTGGCCCGTGAAGCGGGGGTCTCGGTCCGAAACAATCGACTCAGGGAGTCTGTGTTGTCGAAACACTCGGTCCAAGAACAGCGTTGCTGTACCTTTACCATCGATGGTATCCGCCACAGCCGCAATATGATCCATCTTGCTCAGTCAGTCCACGAAGACCACGACTCCTGCGTTGCCCGCCGCGTCCGCCGGCAGTCCAAATACAAAGTCCATACTCATGGATTGCCAGCAGCTCGAAGGGACAGGCAAACTCGCCAACGGCGCTGCAGCATGAGGTGACGACTTCACTCGCTGACACGCCTCGCACGTGCGCACATAAGTGCTCGTCCACTTGTACATCTTCGGTGGGTGCTCACCGAGCTGTAGGTCTTCTCACGGCCAAGATGGCCGGCCTGCGGCGTGTCGTGTGCCTCATAGAGGATGCGATACTTCAGATCCTCATCATGAGGGATGACCACGCGGGGCGTATCCTCGGGGCCGGTGTTGTAGAACAACAGACCTCCATCGAGGGAATAACGGTGTAGCCGCGCTGACAATTCCATGTCCGAGTCTTGAAACTCCTTGCCCCCCAGAGCCTTCAGCAACGCGACACAAGTGTCGTCCTTGGCATAAGCCGTTCGGATCAGATCCGGTAATGACGAAGTCACGGTCGTTACATGAGCCAGCTCATAATCCGGCCTGCGCGACAGCGCGTCCGCAAGGACATTCTGCCTACCAGGCTTGTACTTCACCTCGAAGTTGTACTACGCGAAGAAGGACAGCCAACGGGCCATCCTTTGCGAGAGGTGAGGCGACTGAGTCGCAGTGCGTAACGACGCATGATCCGTGTAAATCACGAACGGCTGAGAGCCCAATAGGTGCACCCTGAACTTGACGAGCGCATACTTCATCGCAAGTAGCTCTTTGTGATGGACAGGATAGTTTTTCTCCGCAGCCTTCAGCTGGCGAGATTCGAACGCCACCACGCGCTCGCGCCCCTCGGTGTCTGCTTGCAGCAGTGCACAGCCGATGGCAAAGTCCGAGGCGTCACAGACGACACTAAACGGACGAGCGGGGTCTGACAAAGCCATAATAGGCGCATGAAGGAGACTGTCCTTAATTGCCGCAAATGCATCTTGATGCTCGGTTTCCCAACACCACTCCGCATCCTTCTTCAGGAGATTGGAGAGTGGCCGAGCCATCTCAGCGTAGTTCTCGCTGTACTTGTGCAAGTAATTGGCCAAGCCAAGCCACTTGCGAAGATCCTTCTGGTTCTTGGGAACCGGCCAGTCAACAATGGCCTTGACCTTGACCGGGTCGGCCCTCAGGCCACGCTTCCCGATGAAGCACCCTAAGAAGGGGATCTCTTCCGCTCCGAAGATGCATATGTGAATGTTGGCGTACAACTTGTTTTGACGCATGCATACGAGCACAGCACGCAGGTGCTCCACATGATTCTCCATATCAGTCTTTCCGTGCTCCGCACGACTGTGGACAAAGATGTCATCGAAGTACGTTTGCGCGTACACCCGATGGGGCCTGAAGAGCTGCGTCACAAGACGATTAAACGTCGCTGGCGCGTTCGAAAGCCCTTGGGGCATCTCCAACCACTCCCAGAGCATGCCGCTCGGAGTACTCACCGCAGTGAGAGGAATGTCGCTCGTCCTCATGAGCAATTGGTAATATCCATCGACCAAGTCGAGCGCACTGTACATCGTACATCCTGTCATGTTGTTCTGAAGAACATCCTTCCGAGGAATCGGCGTCTGCGCCGGAATGGTAGCGGCATTTAGCTTGTTGAAAGCATGCACGATACGCCACTTGCCATTCGGCTTTCTGACACAGAACGTCGGCGTAGAGTGTGGAGACTTACTCTCACGCACCATGCCCACCTCGTGCTTCGCACGGAAGAACGCGTCAATGACGTCACACTGCTCCTTCGGCAAGGGCCACTGCCTCGTCACGCAGTACTTCGTTCCCGGAACGAGATCGATTTCGTGTCGAACACCTCGATCCGGAGGTAGCCCCGAGGGCGGCTCCTTCGAGACCACGTCCTGGTAATCCTTTACCACTTGATACAAGGGATCCGACGGGTCCTTCAGGATCGCCGATCCGCTCCGCGCATTCAGCGCCTTCTTGGTGTCTTCCAGGACAGCTTCATCCAGAAGCGAGGACGAGTTCAACTCTTCTTCGGGTCGTATGACCACTACCTCAGCCAAGTCTCCAGCCTTCAAGGCTTCGCCGAACTCGGCCAAGGACATCTCGTCCAGCTCCAGGAGAGCAGACAGTGAGGGCAAGTCGTCGAGGTTGATACCTCCGTCGACGTCGCCCGTCGCTCCATTCACGAGTGTATAGAGCTGCTCGCTCTCGCGTGGAGCCTCACCGCTCAACACGCCCTTCTCGACTCGTGAGATCGCAGACGCCTTGCGCTTTGCGGCGCTGCCTCCTCTTCATGGACACCGTTCGCCCTGAAGATCTCGGTGATTTCGCGTGCGTCTTGACGCCAGGTGTCACCACCTCGTGCAGCTCCAGGGGAGCTCCAGTGTCTTTACCGACCCTCAGCGAAGAACTGCACGATCCGCAGCCTCCACTCAGTGGATTACGTGCCACTCCACGATCTTCATCCGGGCAAAGCCCCTTGTTCTTCGGCATCGTGCCGACCGCGTCGTTGCTGGCACGCAGCAGGGTGTCGCCCTCAGACGCACGCCCGCTCAGCGGAATTAGTGCCGCTCCACATCCTTGATCCGGGCAACGCCCATCTTCACTCGACTTCGTGTCGACTGCGCCTTCACCGGCACGCAGCAGGGCGTCGCCCTCAGACGCACGCCCGCTCAGCGGAATTAGTGCCGCTCCACATCCTTCAACAGCCGGGCCGCGCCCATGGCTCCTCGGCTTCATGCCGACCTTGTCTTTACTTGAATACAGCGGGGCGTCGCCCTCAGGCGCACACCCGCTCAGCGGAATTCGTGCCGCTCCACCTGCCGTCCGCGAGCCACGCTCGGAACGCTCGTTCTCGACACACTCAGTGTCCACCAACTCGGAAACTCCGATGTCCAGCACATTGACCGACTCGGTCCAGTGCTCGCGCCAAAAGCGCTTCTGCTTCCTGGTAGAGGTGGGTTCATGACTCGCCAATGCTCCGCCAGGAGAGAAGTGCGTAGCACCAAGGGCTTTGACCTCCAATCGATCCAAGGCTCGTGGCGTTCCAGCCACGCCATACCAAGGATGAGATCATATCTCGAATCGAGGTCTAAGACCAGACAGCGTTCCACGCTATCAAAATCCAAAAACTTCACGCCCAGGTCCACAGGGACCTTAGGCGGAGCAAACACTCGGGACAATTGCTGTTTCAGCTGGTCCCACGTCGGGAAGGCCACCTCGACCGACGTCCCGGACGTTAGCGCCCACTCTCTCGCTCGCCCACCGAGCTTCGAGATAGCTAGTGTCACGCGCTGCGACTCCGTCCGGAGTAGAGCTGAGCTCATAGCCATCTCAACCTCACGGGTCCAAAGCATCAAGCTTTCACCCTCCTTGCCTTCGAAGGTCTTCACGCTCAACATGAGCGGCTTGGGTCTTGTTCCCGCGTCGAATGACGAAGCGGGCGCTTGGGGCGCCGCGGCCATCGCCATCCTCTGCTGGAGGTGCTCTAGGAGAGCATTCTCGTAGCTTGAAAACGCCTCGAGACGCGCGTTCACCGCGTCGGGGCCTTGCTGCGCAAGTTGCGTCACGCCCTCCGGGCCCAGCAAGGACATAAGCTTTTTAAGCGCATCCTGCTGGTTCGGGGGTAAGTGAGCGAACTGCTCCATTCTCCACAGAGGGTCAGTCTATACAGACTCAGGTGTCGGATTGACTACAAGTGCTACCAAGTGCAGCGGGGCTGCCGTAGCTTTGCGTCAGAGGAAGCTTAACAGACTCACAGAGTCTCAGCTTAAGATAGCCCGTTCTAATACCAGAACGTACGAGTCCGTACACCTAACGGACTCCAAGAGTCAACCCTTAACTCTTAACTGTGTGAATCTCAAACTGAATGTATTTCCCTTTATTGCGGCAAAGCCGCCTACGATGTAAATGTATCCGGTTCACTAACTGGCATAGTGAACCCTAGTCATATGCATAATCAGTGGCTCTGAAGCCATGTACTGATTATCCTACTTATTTAGGTTAGAGAGTGTGTACCCACTTCGTAACCCTTCGGGAAACTCTCGTGTAACCCCGTTACACCGCATCTTGCAGCTCAATGTCCATGCAAAGAGCTTTGACTTCTCTATCAAGTGTATTATACGCTGTGTTATCTGGTACAGGCGCCGACAAAAAGTAGTATCTCTACTCGGCTTCGGTGACGTCCTTCTCCTCCTTGAAGAGTTCGAAACCGCAATACGAACCATCGTGCCTTGCTCGATGCAAGCACTGAGTGGCATCACAAAAAACTTCGCCTGCGTTCCTTGGTTCAAGGCCTTGATGCGCCTTGTGTAGATCGCATAGCTGTCCATGAAGTCCCTCTTTTCTTTTTTGGAGCTTCCTCTGTATATCGGCGGGACTGGCAGGTTCGTTCCTGCTGCCACAGTGACAGCAGCAGCTTCCGGTGGTCGTTCAGTACTTGACGGCGCTGCACCTTGCGCGAACGCTCCCCACCGAGCCTGCAAATGCGGCTGCACAGCCTCTGCAAGGCTCTCAAGCCTTTGTGATTGAAGTCCAACCGCCTCTTCCGCCGCCCTCAGCACCTTATACTGTTCCTCCAGGTAGTGGCGGTGTTCGTCCATTTGACGGCGCATCTCCTGCTGCTGCTCAATTAGGGCCGACTGTCGGTCATTTTGGGCTTGCAGGTATGCTGACGTTTGCTCTGCAAGTCGGTCTTGCTGGAGCTGCACCTGGCCAATCTGCTCGGCATTGCTTTGATGCGCTGCAGCTGCATGCTGGACCAGGGCTTCTACTTGACGCCGCGTCTCACTCCCTTGAATTACTGCCGTTCTTGTAGTCGTCTCCTGCGTCAGTCGTAGGTCGTGCTCTGTTAGCGGCGGCAGTGGAGGGTAGACAGCAATGGGCATCCCGTCGGTGGGGACTGGCACCATCGCTTCGTCAGGTTCTTCCATGCTGGGCTGCGACTTGTCCAGCTAAAGAATTCTTTGTTGTGTCGCTTCCAAAGGAAATGTAGAAGTGATATGTATTGAGCAGTTCCTTAGTTTGCACTAGCTGCTCTTGTCATATGAGCTGCTTGCTTGTGGTCCAACAACAAAATATAGTAGAAGCTGCTAATACACTGTTCCAATGAAATGGTCCGCTTCTACAGCTGCTATTAGATTGCTCAAATGAAATGGTCCACTTCTAGCAATGGGTACGGTACAGACCCATCTACCTAACGTCAATTTTGCCGTAGTGGTGGGCTTGTCCAAGCTTTTCACGAGCTTGTCCAAGCTTTTGGTTTCGCCAGTGTCCTCGCTTCACGCGGATTGGTTGCTGAGGTTCAACTTAGCGGTGATAGGCGGAATCTTGTGACCTGGATGCGGATTGGCGGGACTGTTCGAATCTTGGCGCCAAAACGATCATATCCAAGCTGGACCGCCGCGCCGCCGCCGCGCGCGCGGACCCAATCCTCATTCCCAAATTGGCCAGCTCCAGCGCACCGCTCCCCACCCCACATCGACCCAACGCTACCAGCCGCGGCGCTGACCACAGCACAGTCGCTATGCTGCCGGCCACGACGCTCATGGCCAAGACGGTGACGGACGCCACGTTGCTGACCAGCTGCTAGTCGAACCAAACGCTACCCGCCTCATGCTGTCGGCCACACTGCAGCAGGGCTCGAGGCCGCCCGCCGCGACGCTGCCCACCACGACGCTCATGGCCAAGACGGTGACGGATGCCACGTCGCTGACCAACTGCTAGTCGAACCAAACGCTACCCACCTCATGCTGCCGGCCACGACGCTGCAGGGATCGATACCGCCCGCTACAACGCTGCCGACCACGATGTTGCAGGGCTCGAGGCCGCCCGCCACGAGGATGCCGGCCACAATTCTGCTGGCCACGATGCTTGAGGGCTCGATGTCACCCGCCTTGACGCTGTCGGCTGAGATATGGCAGGGCGCAATACTACCCGCCACAAAAGGATGCTGTGGGCTCGATGCCGCCCGCCACACTTGTTTTCGTGAAAAATGGTATCCAAAAACGCGAAGTGGGGCACCAAGCTTGTTCTGTTGCGCTTTCGACACTCATCAAACGGTATAAGTGAGCTCTCATACGGTTCATCGAATTTTAAAAAATCACGTAAAACAACTCTTGAGAAGTTGCAGTATGTGGGGCAAGTGCACGTTCAAAGAAGCCTTGGTGGTGGTTGAAACATGCTTGTGGGCGTGCGCATTTCCTACATGAATCACATTTCAAAAACATGCAGATGATAGGGGTTTTCACCACGTCATTTTGAAAAAAAAGCGGTACCCCTAAAAGATTAATAGAAATTTACGTAACAAAAGACGGTATACGTTATTTCGGCCAGGTGATTTCATTAATCGGCGCTTTCAAAAACCTCTACTAATTTAAAAACAGGTTGCATAATTAACAGAGCATCGTGCATAGTTTCAGTCCGCTCTGGGGGTACCCCATATACACACAATCCTATCGATACACAATGCACTGCAGTACATGTATATAGAACAGAAATTTAAACTTCATGAAGTACGTCTCCTCCAACTGTGGAAGCCTAGCGTCCTATTGCATTAGTCGGGAGGTACAACGACTGTCGACACAGCCTTTATGCGGTAGCCTCAAAAACTGTAGCTATCCTAATATCAGTAGCTCCTCTTAACTTCTACGTTTGTATTGCCGAAATCGTAATACTATACTAATTTGAGTAGACCCAATTATAATAACGGTACATGGTACCCAGAACCTCCAGCAAAAGCATGTGGTACACACGACAAATACATGTGGTACACACAGGGGCCTCTAGAATAGGTACCTAGCACATCCCATTTTGATCCCGGTATACAAAACTTAGCACAAAGTGTGACTGAAAGGCTTCAGCGCACTAAAAAAAAGAGGGGTTACCCCACTTAGCCCAGTCCGTAGGACAAATGGAAGGACCAAAAGTTAGGCGCCTCGCTCCGTATAACTAGAAACAAATAGGATCATGTGACTACATGGGCACAATCCCCCGTCCTAGCTGTCTTGGTGGTCTTATCGGTTTAGCGTCCTCCATTGTCCTTCACGAGATATAAGCCGTTGAAAACTTGTCTCTTGTAACATCGAATTTTGCCGATTTGTCCTAGCCTAGGACAATTTTGACTTGATTTCAGTATGGTCTCAGCTGGAGCTATCTTTAGCGCCGATTTCCCTGCCCCATGCGCCTTATAAGACACACCTTTGGGGGGTCAAAAACACTCCATACAAATATCAAGTCATTTTGGTCCTTTTTCGGGCTCCCTAGGACAAAAACGGCCGGTGTGTGCCACACCAAAACACGATTTGGTCCTATCTCCTAGGACAAATCTAAGTGGTCGTCTGAAATATATATCTGATATTACTGGGATAGCAGTGGTCGATAGGTCATGCTGCAAGGCAGCCCATTCGAACATCGGTAACTGAAGCCGGTAAACTGAGGCCGGTATCGTGGTCCCTTGTCACTGGCTGTTTTTCTATCGGTGACCCGGTAACTGGAGCCGGTAACTGAGCCCGATCTCGAGTCGCTCACTTTCTGTCTACTTGACATCGGGTTTCGACAGTGCATGACTTCAGCCATTTTATAGTCTAAACTAACCGGCCTGCTTAACCCCTACGTACCCACCCGCCTGCGTTGACTCCGGCGAGTTGCAATGATTGCCCAATACAACCACCAAGGTCCATAAACTAACATGATCGCGCGTTTCCGGCATCATTCTATTGTGCCATTTCACATCCTACCACTAAACTAAGCAACCAGCCCACGATCGTACCCCATCTGCCTGCCCCTCCAGCGTGCACGCGAGCAACAACGATTACCGGATTGTCACCACCATGGCCACGGCACTAAGGCTCGCGAGATTGCGCGTTGGATTTTGGTGTGTAGAGTGAGTAGTGAGGGGTTAACGGGGGAGGCGAGGCATGCGGACAGATAGCGTGGCAGCGTTGCGTCGGTCTGAGGCAGCGTGGTGTTTGTGGTGCGTGCGTGGCAGCGTTTGTGTTTGGGTAGAGCGCGTAGGTTGTTGTCCTGGGGATGTAGCTCAAATGGTAGAGCGCTCGCTTAGCATGCGAGAGGTACAGGGATCGATACCCTGCTTCTCCACTGTGATCAATGTTACTGTGATAAAATCAGTTGGCATCAGCACTCTCCCATATGTGCACTTCGCGGTTCTTCTGCGAGACCCGCTGACCTTGAGTAACACTTTTGCACGTTTGAGCGCTTTTCGCTCAGCTTCTGGCACCCCGCTTTTGACTGCCGTCTTGCTTGTCTGTGCGTGTTCGGTTGCTCGCGTTGTTTGTGCGAGTTTCGGTCCCTTCGCTTCGCCTCATCGGCCGGTTGTGGCGGGGTTTAATTCGCCTTCGGTGTTCCGTGTTGCCAGCACGGTGCGTGCAGCTCGAGCTTGGGCATCTGTTGAAAGCGTGGCGGTCGCTCGAGGCTCTGGCGCTCGCGACGGTCGGGGTGCGGCGCAGTGCGGTGAGTCTGTCTGCATCGGGTTGGTGTGGTGCAGATTGCGCGTTGGATTTTGGTGTGTGCAGATCAGGTGCAGGATTTGTAGGACAATTCTTCCAGCGTTATCGAGGCTTCTCAATGTCCCGCCAATCGACCAGCTAACGTTTTCAGTGGCGTGAGTTGGAAAACATCAGTGTGAAGCTGATAGTAATCTATTTCTATCTTCAGTGAAGATTCGTCACGAGCACTTGCAAAAAACGTTAATGGGCATTTCAATGCTTAAAAGCAGTCCCCCGCTTTTATTACTTGTACTTCCTACAAGTATTCCTCTCTCCGACTCCTTCTTGCGCATGAAAGAGCGTCGAGCTACAGCCCTACAATCTTGGTATCATCAGACACAGGCAAGATCACCGTCTGCATCGAGTGTGCCGGCAGCGACAGCGTGAACGTCTTCGAGTCCGTCTGCTTCACACTCACCGTCACAGCCGAGCTATCTCGGTTCATGAACTGGATCACCACGCGGTTGTCCGGAGTCACGAACGCGCAGCGGTGGAAGCTACTCAGCGTCTTCGTCTTGGGGAACTCAATGCGCTTGGAGCCAGCAGGAATGAACTTGGAGAAGTGACCCATGATGTAGAATATCGGCTGTTTGTAGAACTCGGCCCCGTTCGTCTCGTCCACCAGAATGGGGGCGTCGACGTAGTTCTCCGCCCAATTCGGTCCGCCCGTCGTGTCAAGCGCGAGGTTCCAGTCGGTCCAGCCGGCGACGTAATTGTTCAGGTCTTCGATGATATCGTGGCCGTAGTTCTCTGCACGGGACCAGCTCTTGTCCGAGTCCGTAAGAGAAACTCCAGAGCCCGTGCCCAGCCAACTCGGTAGATAGCCCTCACATGCTTCTGTCGCGAGCATGAAGATGTCTGGATAGTCCTCGTAGAACGAGAGCAGCTTGTCGAAGTCTCCACCCAGGCTGAAGAAGAAGAAGTCCAAGTCGCGATACCAGTGCACACCAAGACCGCTGATGTACTTCAGCGCATCTGCATCTTCGAACGGCGCAAGGCGATCCAAGATGCCGGACTTCTGGTCATCTCCAGCGATGATCTTCAGGTCGGGGTGGTTCTTCGCCATCATCGGACCCAAGTCCAGCTTCACGAAGTCGCGTTCCTGGCTAGTTGTCAGGCGCAGCGACTGCCATTCGGATGTCTGGAGGATCGAGCTGGAGGGCTCGTTCTGTACAGTCATGGCCCAAAAGTCGATACCTTCCTCAGAGTACGCATCGAAGAACTTGGAGTAATACAGAGCTAGCGCCTCCCAATACTCCTCACCCGGGCTGCCCTTCAATGAGCAGTTAATAGTCGTGTTCTTCGTCGTCATCCACGCGGGGGGAGCCCACGAAGAGGCGAATAGTTTGATGTCACGTGACGACGTGTTCAGAGCGCGCTGAATGAGGTCGATCTTGTGCGAAGACGACGACTTGTCCACCGCGATCGAGAAGTGCTCCATCTCGAAGTCGTCCACCACGTCATTGTACGAGTAGATGCTCGTGGAGAAGTCCGTGGACCCGATCGGCACGCGACCCAGACTGTTCTGCAGACCCGTCTCCGAGTAGTATTGATCCAGCACCATTTGCTGCAGCGTCGACGATAACTTGTAAACGTTGATAGCTGCCGCGTCCGTGAAGCTGCCACCGAAGCCGATCATGGTCTGGTATTGCTTCGACACGTCGATGGAGTACGTGGGGCTGCTCACCGCCGTCGAGTCGACGTTGACGACCTTGTAGGCGAAGCGGTCGCCGGCCTTGGAGGTGGTGTAGACGCCGACTTGGCCGGTGTCGGGGCTGGTGTAGTTGTTGGAAACGGTGTCACATTCGAGTTCGTTGCAGACGCATACTCCCTTCAGGTTGGTCTGGTAGCGCGTGGACCAGTTGTTACAGCTAGCGGCGACTTGCTGCGAGGTGAGCAACAGGCTGGCCAATGTGGTTAGCAGATGCGGCACCATCATGGTTGAGTGGCGATGCTTGGGGTGACTCAAGTGACGACCGGTGTTTTTGAAAGTGAGAGCATTGGAGTGGAGGCGAGGAGGATCTTGAGTGCTCGGTAGTTGCAGCCGTAGTAGCTTTTAAAGGGGGCTAAAGCATACAGAGTGGTGGTGGTCATCATGAAGTGGTTGCTGCTGTTTATTAGAAGGCATAATTGATGACGAGGGCTGATCCCAGGTCATGTTGCAGAGCAGACACAGGTAGTATGCCCAGCAGACACACTACATGTACATGTAGTTGATGGCGGAAAATTGCGTCTGTGACTAAACATCGATCATACTTACCTCCGCAGACCGTCGGTCCTGATCAGACAGACAGAGAACGTTCGATGACTATTTGATGACGTGGATTAATCCTTATGAATGTTTCTCCATACAGAACATGTATTCAAGAATGCCATCACCCTAGCTTACCAACACCAGGCTTTACCGCAGCTACTTGTTGAAAACAACAGTTTGGATGGACGTCGGGCGGATCACCACCTGCACCAGCTTCCCGCTTGGAGCCATGATCTTCACGGTCTCTTCGTCGTCGCCCTTGTTGAAGAGGATGGCAACGTACTTGCCCTCGGGCGTCAGAAACGCTGTCCAGTCCACATCGCTGAGCCGCGACTGGCTGCCACTGGCTGCTGTGAATTTCAGCCGCACGGACCCAGACGTCAGGAACTTGGAGAAGTGGCCCATGACGTAGTACATGGGCTGCTTGTAGATCTCGTTGCCGTTAGTCTCGTCCACGATGATCGGCGCATCGACGTAGTTCTTGGCCCAGTTGGGTCCGCCGTTCGTGTCCAGCACGAGGTTCCAGTCGGTCCAGCCGGACACGTAGCTGGTGAGGTCGTTGATGATGTCCTTGGCGTAGTTGTGGGCTCGCCACCAGCCAATGTTGAAGTCACCAAGCTTCACGCCAGCACCCGTGCTCGTGACCACCCAGTCGGGGATGTAGCCTTCACAAGCCTCCGTTCCCAGCATGAAGACGTTGGGATACTTGGTGTGGAAGGTAGTGAGATCGCTGAAGCTGCCGCCGATACCCAGTGGGAAGTCGGCGTTGGAGTACCAGTGGATACCAACGCCGTCCACGTACTGAGCGGCGTCCGCGTCTTCAAGTGCAGCCAGCCAACTGAGCAAGTTGCTCTTGTTATCGTCCATGATGATAAGCTTCAAGTTGGGGTGATCGGCCTTCAACTGTGGGCCCAGGTCCTTTTTGATGAAGTCGCGCTCAGTCGTGGCCGTAAAGCGCAGACTCTGCCACGAATTGAGCTTGATAAGGGGCTCTGACGGCTCGTTCTGCGTGGTCATGGCCCAGATCGGAATGCCCTCCTTTTCGTACGCAGTGATGAATTTGGAGTAGTAGAGCGCCAGCGCCTTCCAGTACTGTTCACCTGGACTCCCCTTCATGTGGCAGTTGAGAGTCGTGTTCTCCTTCGTCATCCAGACCGGAGGCGCCCACGAGGACGCAAAGATCGAGAGGCTGCGCTCGGTCATGCCCAGCACGCGGTGGATCAGGTCCAGCTTGTGCGTCGCTGATGCCTTGTCCACCGCAATGGAGAAGTCGCTCATGTCGAAGTCGTCCACGGTGGCGTCGTACGAGTAGATGCTCGTGGAGAAATCGGTCGACGAGATCGGGATGCGGCCCGTGGTGTACTGGATGCCGTCGGCCGAGTAGTAGGCGTCCAGTATCATCTTCTGCATCGTGCTGTCCATTTTGTGCACGTTGATCGCTGCGGCGTCCGTGAAGGCGCCACCAAAGCCTACGATGGTTTGGTACGTGGTACTCGCGTCAATGGTCAAGTCAGCGTCAGCTGAAGAGCCCGAGACGAACGTGGCCGTCTCGTAGCGGAAACGCTCGCCGTCCCGAGTGGTGCGGTACACGCCTGCCTGGCCCGACGACAGCTTCAGGTAGTCGTTCGGGAAGGTATCGCAGGCGACTGTGCTGTTGCAGACGCACACGCCGTCGAGGAACTTCTTGTAGCGCATGGACCAGTTGTTGCAGTCGATGCCCCAGGCTAGGGGCAGTACCGCAGCTAGGGCAACGGCGGTCAGGAAAGAGATTGGTTTGACCATGACAGTCTTGGATTCTTGCTTGACTTGGGTCGATGGAGGCCAAATCCAAAATGACTGGTGTTGGCGCGGTCAAGAGTGGAAGGAAATGCGCCCCACAGACTGCTGTCACGTCGGCGTGATAGGCAAGCGGCAACGTCGATCGTGACGCGATGAGCAGTGGTGGCAGACCCGCTTGAACATTGTTCAACCACGGGCTGCAACCTTCCTGACGTCCTGCTGCTTAGTCTACAAAAAGGATCGATACCTTCCACTTCAACGATGGGGTGCGCCGTTTAACTCGGACGAATCATGAGGGGATGGACGCTGTTGGTCTGCTGTCCGAACGCTCCTGTCGTCAACTGCAACCTCCTCATCCTGGTGCCATCAACGACGTAGGTCGCGAGATAAACAAGAGCCATGAATCTGCTCCTCGGTGTTCGAGACGCGCGAGCCAGCCGTTCGCGATCCTGTCACTTCAACCCGGGGGGTCCACTATTCAAGTGCTTCAAGAGGCTAGTATTCGGTACAGGACAGTAAAGTGTAGTGTGCAGAACACGGTTGATTATTGTGTACACCACATCAAATAGCAGTACCGAGGACATCAGCCATCAAGATACCCCGGTCTGCTGTCGAGGGCGCGTTTGCACTCCTTGTTGATGACCATCGAGCATGGTCTCCGCGCTTGTGGCAATCATTTCTGCAGCGCGGATTATCGTTCGGCTCGATGGAGCTGCGCTGGATCGTCTCGGTGGATCCTGCACCATGCTAAGCGCCTCAACATGACGTGTGCAACGTCGTCAACCTCTGAATCTGCTCCATGTGACACATTCCCAGTGACCGATCGGGCAAGAGAAGGCACTCGCAAGGATACACGCCCCCGTGCTTCATGACCGCCTGCTCGCCCTGGCGCTGGCGCTGGAAGCAGCTCTCCATTGCCATTCCCCAACTAGCCTGGTCGAGACGAAGTACAGTACACACGTCGGAACATGTTGATCGTCAAGCCCATTGGCTACGTGCTGGCGCTGCTCGCGCTGCTGGCCGTGAGCGCCGCCACCAACAACTGCACGTCGTGGTCGGAGCGCTATCAAACGGACCTCGAGGGCGTCTGCGTGTGCTCGGAAGCCACGTGCGACACCATCTACAACGGACACCTGTACCTGTCGGGCAACGAGGCGGGCGTGTTCTCCACCTCCAAGGTTGGTGACCGTCTCACCTTCTCGACGGTTGGTTTGGAGACCACGGCTAACGATGCCGCGGACTTTGTCATTGACACCACGACCACGTACCAGTCGATCATCGGATTCGGAGGCGCCTTCACGGACGCCTCGGCCATCAACGTATACGCGCTAGACTCGGGTCTGCAGGACATCCTTGTGGACGCGTACTTCGGAGACGACGGCCTGCAATACACGCTCGGTCGTATCCCCATCGGCTCCACGGACTTCTCGCTCACCATTTACTCGTACAACGACGTTGAGGGGGACCTGGCCATGGAGAACTTCAGCATCGATATGGACAAGGCCAAGAAGATCCCCTTCATCCAGCGCGCGATGAGCAAGTCTTCCCGCGGTATGAAGCTGTTCGCGTCTTCGTGGGCACCTCCAGCGTGGATGACGACGGAGAACACGACCATCAACTGCGCTGTCAAGGGGTACCCCGGCGGTGAGTACTGGGAGGCTTTGGCGCTGTATTACTCCAAGTTCGTCTCGGCCTACGAGGCCGAAGGCATCGACATTTGGGCCATGACGACGCAGAACGAACCCACGCAGCAGTTCTCGTTCAAGTACTGGCAGAGTCTGCGTTTCAACGTCACTACGGAGCGCGACTTTATCAAACGTGACCTGGGCCCCGTGATGAAGAAGAACCACCCGGACCTGAAGATCATCATGATGGACGACCAGAAGGACCTGCTTCTGGGCTGGGACGCCACGTTGGTGGACGAGGACTCGGCCCAGTACGTTTCGGGCGCCGGTGTTCACTGGTACAAGGACTTGGACTTCTTGATCGACACGGCCGGCAACTTCGACGACCTCGAGACCTTCCACAACTCGTACCCGGACCTGTTTATCCTGGCCACGGAGGCGTGCGAGGGCTACCTGATCGATGGCCTTATGACGGGCGCCGGCCCGACGCTCCAGAACCCGACTTTCGCCTGGCAGCGAGCCCAGATCTACGCCCGCGACATCATCGGCGATCTCGCTCACTATGCCTCGGGCTGGACCGACTGGAACCTGGTGCTCAACACCACCGGTGGCCCCACGTGGATTGACAATCTGGTTGACTCGCCCATTCTCATCGACGAAGAGGGCGGCGCCGAGTTCTACAAGCAGCCGATGTTCTACGCCATGGGCCACTTCTCCAAGTTCCTGCCGCCCGACTCGGTTCGCGTGGCTTTGACCACCAGCTCCAGCGCTTCGTCGACTCTCGCCAACGTGGACAGCGTGGCGTTCTTGACCCCGGACAACCAAGTGGTTCTCATTCTCTCCAACCGCGACAGCTCGGCACACGACATCACGCTGAGTCTGTCCAGCCAGCAGTTGAGCACCAGTTTCACGCTGGAAGCTCTCTCTATCAAGACCATCGTCATCGGTGAGGTCGAAGGGAACAGCAGCAGCTCTAGCTCCAACTCCAGCGCTAGCTCTGCGACCGAGACGCCGAGTATAACGACCGCGACCCCGATCGCCTCCACGGACAGCTCCAGTTCGAGTGCGGAGAGCTCTAACTCCGCCGCGACGGTGACACCGAGTGCGACAACGGCTGCCCCCGCCTCATCGACCAGCGCTATCGCTTCGGCTGCTGCCTCTGCAGCTTCGGAGACCCTCGAGCCCACGACTCCGGATCACAGCTCGTGCTAAATTGATGCAGTCTCAAGCACTCTGGCAGCTGCAGGAACACCTCGTAAAAACTCTTGATGTTATCAAACGCTGCGTACGTTGAGCTATCGTTTCCATGTCAAAATGCATGAGCCGAGCTCATGGAGCTCTTCGCTCGGAGGCTCCGAGTCGGAGCCAGCGGATCAGGTCCTCGACACTTTTTCTACCCCCGGACCGGCAAACAGACTAGTCCTCCATCAAGGAAGTGGTCCATGCGAGTGCAGACCTCCGCGCGTCTTCTTCGCGCTGCTGGGGCGCTGCTAGCGCTCCTCCACGGCGTCACCGCGTCGTGCTCTTCATGGTCGGCACGGTATCAGCAACATATCGAAGGCGTGTGCGTATGCAACGCCAGCAGCTGCGACTCGGTCTCGACTGAGTATTTAGCGCTCTCGAGCGGCCACGTCGGGGTCTTCCAGACGTCCAAAGCCGGAGACCGCCTCGCGTACTCAACGCTGAAGCTAGACGCCAGCAGTGACGATACCGCGGATGTTATTATCGACTCGACGAGGACGTACCAAGAGATTATCGGCTTCGGAGGCGCCTTCACCGATGCAGCAGCGATCAACGTTTACCTGATGGACATGGAAGTCCAGCAGCTCATTGTTGACGCCTACTTCTCCGACACGGGGCTGCAGTACTCGCTGGGGCGGATCCCTATCGCGTCCACCGACTTCTCCGAGTACGTCTACTCGTACAACCCGTCGGTGGACGACTTGGAGATGGCCAACTTCAGCATCGATGTGGACAAGGACCCGCTCTCGAACAAGCTGACACTGATCCAGCGAGCGCTGAACGAGACGACTGGAGCCGGTCGAAACCTCACGCTGTTCGCCTCGTCGTGGGCACCTCCTGTGTGGATGACAACGGGCAACACGACGCTCAACTGCGAGATGCAGGGCTACCCAGGAGGCGAGTACTGGGAGGCGTTGGCGCTGTACTACTCCAAGTTCATCGTCGCGTACGAGGCGGAGGGCGTTCCGATATGGGGGTTGACGACGCAGAATGAACCTACCAAGCAGGAGCTCGCCACCAAGTTCTGGCAGAGTCTCCGGTTCAATACAACTACAGAGCGCGACTTCATCAAGAGAGACTTGGGCCCACTGATGAAGGAGAAGCACCCGGAGCTGAAGATTATCATCTTGGACGACCAGAAGGACCTGCTCCTGGACTGGAATGCCTCGCTGCTGGACGAGGAGGCGCGGAGCTACGTGTCCGGCGTCGGAGTTCACTGGTACAAGAACTTGGACTTCGCCTTCGGCACCTCCGGCGACTTCGACGACCTCGTAACCTTCCACAACGAGTACCCGGATGTCTTTATTCTTGCGACTGAGGCTTGCGAAGGCTCGCTGGTCAAGGGCCTTGGAACGGGGGTGGACACAGACCTGTTTGAATACAACAACATCACCTGGCAGCGTGGAGAGAACTACGCGCGCGACATCATCAACGACCTGGCCAGCTTTGCGAGTGGCTGGACGGACTGGAACCTCGTCCTCAACACCACTGGGGGTCCCAACTGGGCGGACAACCAGGTCGACGCGCCGATCCTTGTGGACGAGGAGGGTGGCGCGGAGTTCTACAAGCAGCCGATGTACTATGTAATGGGCCACTTCTCCAAGTTCCTCGTCCCGGGATCGCTCCAGGTCCAGCTGAATGTGAGCACCAACGCCAGCTCAACATTGGAGAACGTTGACCGAGTGGTGTTCCTGACGCCGGAGGGGAAACTAGTTGTTGTGCTGTCCAACCGCGACACAACCGAGAAGAAGATTCGCATGCGCCTCCAAGCCGAAGAGCACGCGCTCACGGTGGTACTTCCAGCGAATTCTGTGCAAACCTTGCTGTTCCCTGTCCTCGGTAGTGGATCCGAGACCAGCGGAGTATCGGCCAGCGGTCAGGCAATCAGCAGCGGCACGAGCTCCGGAGCTTCCTCGACGTCGACCATGAACTTCGCAGCAGCGTTGGTACTTACCGGTAGCCTACTTGTAGCAATGCAGTCGTGATAGAAATTTTGAGCGCGGTTGCTTCCATCTTCTGAAGAGCACCATGGAACGACCACCACACGTTGGTGCAGGCATCAAGAAACGTGCCCTATTGTCGATTTGGCAGATACCGTGAGTTGACCTCGGCTCGACTTGGGTTCATCTCGCTCACACTGCAGCAACAACAGTACTGTACGCTGTATTTTCACACGCCTCATTTCGCCACTCGTCCGCGGCAGCTTCTACTGCACGTGGCAATTGAATCCGACGGCGACGTGTTGAAGTGAAGCGAGCACCAAAATGTACACTGCGAAGGGATCCACTTGGTAAAAGCGAACCGCTGCTAGTCTGAAGAGACACAACAACAAAGACCGACCATCGAAAGATCGATGAGCATGGTATGGATACAGTACGTGTATTTTCAAGCGCTGCACTCGTCAACACCCGCACGAATAGCAGGCGTAAGCTTCAGATCACCTTGAAATCTCTATGGCACAATTATTTTATCTGCACGAAAGCAAACACTTGACTTTGTCTATCTCTTGTAACGTATTTGTATATCCTCACCACAATCTACAACAAGTTGGCTTTTGTTATATCCCACATTTCATTCAATAATTGCAACTCATTCGTTGTCCAGTTCAACCTCTGGCCCTAAATCTCTTCCCGCCGTTGGCCACTTCGCCATTTGCGCACAAGCCGACAAAGCCTCCCCCCTCGCTTCTCCGATCGCGTCCAAGTCGTCCGAGCCTCCCTCTCTGCATCCCAGTTGAGCCGCAAGCCGCTAGAGCCCACCCCTTCCTCTCCCCGTTCATCATGCACGCCGTTTCCTCGTACGTCGCCATCGCCGTCGCCGTCGCCGCCGCGGCCATCGCTCCCGCTTCCGCGCACCGGATGCACCACGCGCACGCCATGCGCGGCCTCCAAATGGACATGGACATGAGCGGCATGGATATGTCGTCGATGAGCTCCATGGACATGACCTCCTCCTCCACCACCTCGAGCTCCACGGCTGGTTCCATCTCCACGGAAGACTACACGTGCCCGGTCTGCGGGATGAGTACGCTTGACAACGGCTACGACAACCTCTCTCATATTGGCTTCAAGAACGGCCAGACGATCTTCACTTGCAGTATGGCCGCTCGCTCGTTCGACGACTACGACTTCGAGGTGACGGACACGTCGTACCTGGCCGCCAACGTTGCTGAGTTCATCGTCAACTCGACGGACGCCTCCGCCTACGCCGAGTGCTCGGACTCGTGCGACGAGTGCGCGGACGGCATCAAGGACCCTGTCACGGGCGACGACGTCACCACCTCCAACTACCAGTACGTTTGCCTGAACAACGGCCAGAAGATCTACTTCGCGTCCGTGGCCAGCAAGAACGAGTACCTGAGCAACGTCAACTCGGAGCCGCGCTACCTCGTGGACAGCATCATCTGCGAGAGCCAGACGTGCTCGGACGCTGAGAACATCACCGTGCTCAGTGCCGCGGCCCAGGCGTTCGTGCCGGACCTCTCCTCCTCCAGCCGCAGCGGCTCCACTGCCGCCAGCGGGTCGAGCGCGTCGAGCGCCGCCATGTCGGTGAACTCGCCCGCCAGTCTGACCTTGGCGGTGGCCAGCGTGCTGGCTGCGTTGGCCGCGATGGCCTAAGTGAATAACGTATGAGCAGGTGACTCACCTGAGGTGATGCAGCATCCGAAAGCGACGAAAACCTCGCAGTACCTTTTTTAATTTTGCTGTAGACTTTCAATACAGAGCACATTTAGATCGAAATTCCAGCGTTGACGGGGGGGTCTCTATACTTCCTGTCCGAGACGTGATGAAGTTGGTGTTTCATCAGCGGGGTCACTTCCTCGGGATGCCCAAGATGGCGGAGGTGACATCGAAGCGGCCGTTTGTTCGGCCAGTTTCTTGAAGGGAAAACGTCAAAAGGTGTATGAATTTGAAACGTTTTGTCAAAAGCGGTTACCTTGTGCCATTACTAATGGCCCATTAGGTGTACATGTATGCTATGGTTGTTGGTTCCAAGCGCATTAAGGTGCATGATAAAGCTGCATCAGCAACGAATGCGGTGATTGGTGTGTGGGCTTAGATCCAAATCCATAAAACCCGGGTTAGGAGGGCTTCTACCTGATGCAACTAGCCCGGTTCGTGGTGTCCATGACGTTGATAGCGAATTGTACGGCTGAGGGACTACAATGAACGTCGTTATCGATTGTAGCCAGGCCTCAGCGTTGCCACAGTTCTACAATACCTACACTCTCCCCCGGTTGGGGGCTCTCACTAGAGCTCCTTCACCTCCGAAATTCAGATGCAAAACCTACCTAGTATAGCCATGCTATATACGCTTACGCGGTTTGCGTTGGTAGTTCCTTGTAGCTACAATAGCGAAGTTGTCGAGTACAGTTGCTCTATATGCTATTATTAGTTGACCGTGTTCGCTACGAGCGTGTCGTTAATAAACTACTGTGCTTGGAAGCTCGATCCTGGGTCTGTATGACCCGACCTCGGCCGAAATACCGCGGCAACCAAAACGTGTGTCAGTACGTGTATGATGAGACATGACGCGACGTACCGCCCACGACCGCTACACCTATTGACAAACGTTTTCCCAACGCATACACCTTTTGACGTTTTCCCGTTTCTTGAATGACAAGGGGTCCAGACCCTTTTCTGCTGAGTCACGGCTTCAACCAGAATCCAAACTATCGGGATGACCAACCAGATCGTCTTAAAGACAGACGACGAAGACCAACCCACGCGCAGCTTCACCGTCGATGCCGTCTATGCAAGAGTTGCTGCTGTCCGTAGACTCTACGGCGTAGAGAGCATGGGTCACTGACCCAGCATGTCTTTGGGCTGTTCGAACCTGCAGCAGACACAACCGCTGATACTTTGATTCACTTTCAAAAGCGCCGCCGATCCTCCAAGTCACTGCCAAGTCAAGACTACCTACAACCATGCTTGGGCACTACCTGCTGGCCGCATTGGCCAGCCTGTTGGTCGCGTCACAAGAAACCTCAGCCGCCTGCAGCAACTGGTCCGCACGCTACCAGACCAATCTAGCTGGAGTTTGCGTCTGCAATGCCACCCAGTGCGACACCGTCTCCAACACTTACACCAGCCTCGAAACCGACCAAGTCGGTGTCTACGCCACCTCCAAGGCCGGTGGCCGCTTCGCCTATAAGGTGGTCAACGTTGACTCGACGGCGGTGAGCAGCCCCACGTACTCCATCGATGTGTCGACCCAGTACCAAACCATGATCGGCTTCGGCGGCGCCATCACGGACGCGGCGGCCATCAACGTCTATAAGTTGTCGTCGGCGCTGCAGCAAATGGTGCTGGACCAGTACTTCTCGGAGACGGGTCTGCAGTACACCCTGGGTCGCGTGCCAATCGGGTCCACGGACTTCTCCACGAGCATCTACTCGTACAACGATGTGGTGGACGACTTCGAGATGGAGCACTTCTCGATCGCGGTGGACAAGTCGTCGTCTTCGCACAAGATCGACCTCATCCAGCGTGCTCTGAACACTTCGTCGCGTGATGTCAAACTATTCGCTTCGTCGTGGGCTCCTCCGGCGTGGATGACGACGAAGAACACGACCATTAACTGCTCGCTGAAGGGCAGCCCGGGTGAGGAGTATTGGGAGGCGCTGGCTTTGTATTACTCCAAGTTCTTCGACGCGTACTCTGAGGAAGGTATGGGCCATGACTGTACAGAACGAGCCCTCCAGCTCGATCCTCCAGACATCCGAATGGCAGTCGCTGCGCCTGACAACTAGCCAGGAACGCGACTTCGTGAAGCTGGACTTGGGTCCGATGATGGCGAAGAACCACCCCAGCCTGAAGATTATCGCCGGAGCCGCCAGAAGTCCGGCATCTTAGACCGTCTTGCACCATTTGAAGACGCAGATGCGCTGAAGTACATCAGCGGTCTTGGTGTGCACTGGTACCGCGACTTGGACTTCTTCCTAGCCAGCGCGGGCGGCGACTTCGACAAGCTGCTATCCTTTTACCAGAAGTACCCGGACGTCTTCATCCTCGCAACGGAGGCTTGCGAGGGGTTCTTGCCGAGCTGGCTCGGCACGGGCTCTGGAGTTTCTCTTACGGACTCCGACAAGAGCTGGTCCCGTGCAGAGAACTACGGCCACGATATCATCGAAGACCTGAACAATTACGTCGCCGGCTGGACCGACTGGAACCTCGCGCTTGACACGACGGGCGGACCGAATTGGGCGGAGAACTACGTCGACGCCCCCATTCTGGTGGACGAGACGAACGGGGCCGAGTTCTACAAACAGCCGATGTTCTACATCATGGGTCACTTCTCCAAGTTCATTCCTGCTGGCTCCAAGCGCATTGAGTTCCCCAAGACGAAGACGCTGAATAGCTTCCACCGCTGCGCGTTCGTGACGCCGGACAACCGCGTGGTGATCCAGTTCATGAACCGAGATAGCTCGGCTGTGACGGTGAGTGTGAAACAGACGGACTCGAAGACGTTCACACTGTCGCTGCCGGCACACTCGATGCAGACGGTGATCTTGCCCGCGTCTGATGATACCAAGATCTTGTAGGGCTGTAGCTCGACGCTCTTTCATGCGCAGGTAGGATTCAGAGAGAGAGGATAACTCGGTAGGAAGTACGTGTAATAACAGCGGACTGCTCAACGCCGAATAATGGATTTTGTTAGTGTCCGTGATGAATCTTCACTCAAGATAGAAATACAATAAAGCTAACTCACGTTGGTGCCACCGAAAATGTTAGCTTGCCGAGTGGCGAATAATTTATGTCACGGTGACAGACACTGCACCAGGAGTCCTGCTACAGGCAACGTTATCGAGGCTTCTCAAAATTGCATGGTAAAGGCGTCGTTCCTAAGACTTCATGGGTTGATTAAAAAGGCAAACGCTACGAGATTGTACTTAGTATGGCGTTGATATGTACTTATATCGTGCCGACGACAATGTACTGCATCCAGTAGTACATGCATACTCAAACAAGTAAAACCGTACACCTGCAACTGGAGATTCTTGCACTGCAGATCTTTTCGAGTTTGTTTCAGGGGCTCTTTCGACCTGTAAGAGAGGGGGGATCTCTGCGCGGGAAAGCCTCGCTCAATCGCATCTTACATGCACCGTACTTAGTAGCGCAGACCTCTGCTCCAGCGTCATTGTTGATGACGAGGCTAGACTTCGCGGGTACTAAGACCCAAAGGTTGACCTCTCAAAGATTTATCATAGCGAACCTTCTTCCATGTGGAATCCACACGGACAAGAAAGGATCCCATTTTTCCTGTTCTGCTGCTCCGTATTGCTATTACAAAACTTTTATGTTTTGAACAAGTTGACGGTCCCATCGGAAATGCTATCCCGGTGGATGGCAAGAACTGTGCACTGAGTATGGGACGCTCGTGGACTCCGTAATGCGGACCCCACAGCGCGGAGCCAGCAGTGCTGCAGCTAGAGAATGTAAACGGATGAGCCAATCCGTTTTGAATAGACTTGAATCCGGTCCGCGGCAACCGGATTTAAAACGGATCAAATTCGGATCGAATCCGTTTGGCGTGGGAGTTCATTGGACAGAAATTGACCAATCGTGCTTCAATGTTACTCTGTGTATTTTGTTGTACCTGATTGACGTGATACGAGCATATCGGCCAGTAGAGGGCAAACCGCAGTCGGGAATCCCGACTCGGGATGGGCTTGACGGTCAAGCCTTGACCACTACGCGGGAGCCGCCAACCTCAAGGAGGTAATCGGATGAAACCACGGTACTTCTACCTCACGTTCATTCTCCATTTTGCTTCCAAGGCCACGGAGTACGTGGCACCAACCCACGCCCTTCAGGTCACACGTCAAGTCCGGCGGTGCACTACCGCACACAAATCCCATCACTACGAACCGAAGGATCGCTGCCTAGCATGGACGACACCGACAGCGTCTCTACGGTTTCTTCTATCGGCCCGTCCATCTCTTCCGTCGGTGTTGCTAGCTCCGTGGGTCACAAACGCAAGCGCAAGAACGCTTCTGATGTGTTCGAGTACGTTGATGAGCTCAATACAGGTATCTACAAATGCATGCTGTGTACGGCTGACGAGCAAATCTGGAGCAGTCGTAACACTGGTAACTTCCGGAAACACCTCGTTGACTATCATCCTGAGGTCTACGGCAATTCCAGCGCCCTACCATCGAATGCTCGAGGCAGCATCCGCATAGCCGCCGCGGTGATGACCCCAGACGCTGTAAAAAGCTGCGACGATAAGCTGATTAAATGGATCGTTGTGAATTCACACTCGTTTGCGGTTGTTTACCAAGAGGAGTTCGTGGAGTTTTGCAAGGAGTTGCGTCCGGAGTACAGTGTTCCGTGCCAACAGACTATCCGCAAAAAGTCCTCGGTCAATGGAAAGTGGAGAAGGATGTTGCTCGCGTAGAGCTTTGTCGCGAAGTTGCTGGACGCCGTGTCAGCTTCATGACCGACATGTGGACTTCCCCGTCAAAGAGAGGCTACATGGTAGTTACAATGCACTCTATCGACAGCAACTGGGTGATGAGGTCTGTCATTATTGCGTTTACACGCGTGATGTATCCGCACACTGGTAAACGGCTCGCCGACCACTTCATTCGCGCAGTGAAAGACATGGATGCCTCACTTCTCCGCTGTATTTGGACGATCACTGCCGACAACGCCACCACCAACTCAACCATGGTAGCTGAGATCAACGAACGGTTGCAGCGCGATATTGAAAGACTTTCGCGAACGGCTCTAGCAGAATTGACCGACCCTGGATCGCCACGCGGGCAAACCACCAGCTCGACTTCAAGAACTGTTGTTCAGCTACGATGCACCGCGCATGTTCTGCAGTTGGCAGTAAAGGAAGGTCTCGAGGAGTGTCCATTTGTCGATTCTGCAATTGGCCATTTGCGTGACATCGTGAAAAAGATTTCGGAGTCAACTAAGCTGTCTGAAGCACTTCAAGGGGTGTGCAGTGACCTGGACGAAAACTTTATAACCCCTAAGCTTGATGTGTCGACACGATGGAATAGTACGTGGACTATGATGGGGAGCCTTCTAACGCTAAAGCAGCCCCTGAACGAGTTGCTTCGCCGTATTCGTGGTAAGGTCCGTGAGTATACGGATTTCAGTATTCGACCAAGTGGTTCGCTGGCCAAGGAGATTTCAGTGGAGGCGTGGGCGGCTGTGGACGCTCTTTACAAGTTTCTCAGGCCCATCAAAGAAGCCACTTATATGCTATCTGCGTCGACGTATCCTACGTTCGGGATCCTGCTCTACGCGTACTCTTTGATCCAGGTTCACGCAACGGAAACTATAGCAACCGAACAAGACGAGCAGACACTGAAATTTGCTGGAGCTGTTAAGTCCAAGATGGATGAGTACACGGTGAAGGTAAATACAAGAGAAGCCCGGATAGCTCTAGCTCTTGATCCTCGTGCTAAGCGGTATCTGCACCTCTTGGTGGAAGATGTCAGTCAAATCAAGGAGGAAATTGAAGATGAGTTCAACAAGAATTACCGCGAAGCATTTCTGGCCCAACAGCAACTAGCCTCCAGTCCGCCGTCAGCAAAAAAGAAGCGAGGTAGCGAGCTGAAGGGCCTCATGGCGCGTTTTTCCAATCAGAATGGTGAAAGTATATCCGATGGCACCCCTGTGGACGATATAGGCGACAGCCAGCTTGAAACTAGCGGGGTTTTAGGCGGTCGGGAAATGCAGCGTGAGGGTTCGTCGTTCGCGAAAGAGCTTGACAGGTGGCTAGCAGCTGATGAAGGCATGAGTGAGATGAAAGAAGCAAGCGAGTGTGCGCGTGGTTTCAAGTTACGGGGGACGTCTATCCTCGTATTAAGCAAATGGCTCAAGATTTTTTGGCGGTCACGGCAACGTCGGTTCCAGGTGAGGTTGCATTTTCAGCAGCAGGCATAGCTCTCAACGATCGCCGTGCTGGCTTGGGTGATGATACGGTGAGGGCAATCTGCGAGCTGAAGTCATTCTTTAACTTTAATCGCCGTCTGAGTGACCAAGAGTTTTCGAACACGGATGAGGCAGCGACTTGTGCTCATGAGTAAGCTTATTCACAATATAATGTGTGTTTATATAGTTGTTCGTACTGTTTTGAGGTCACATCTTCACTAACCCACACGCTAAAGCACACCTTCGTGAGATCTTCATTAAGCCACGCCAGCTGCTCAAACATCGACTGACACTGTGTCGCCAGCTCACGCACGGGACAAATAATCACGACACGCGTGGACTGCACACGACTCGAACGCAACAGCAGACGGCCCAGAATGGGCAGCAAGAAGGTAGCGGTCTTACCACTACCCAGATGTCCTTGTCCCTGAGCGCGATGGGGATCGGAATCGGCGTCGGTTTCTCGAAGACAATGTGCTAGATGGCTTGCATAATAGGGCGAGACAGCTTCAAGTCGGCGAAAGGCTTGAACTTGGTCTTGCCGAACTCCTCGGCAGCGAAAGGGTCCGTCCCGAAGAACTCGGCAGCCTTCTTCTCCAACGCGTCCACCAGCTCTTCACTCGACTGCTGATCTTTCTTGCTGTCCTTCAGCAGCGATTGGAGACGCTTCACCTCCTCCACGACAACGTCGTCCTCTTCCACATCCTGCTCCTCCTTCTCGTCATCAGAGGACTCCGACTCCTCCTCCATCTCGTCCTCACTCTCGCTGTCTCCGTCACCTCCTCCTTCTCTTCTTCTTCCTCGGAGTCACTGTTCTCGTGGCCGGTTTTTTGGTGTCCTTCTCCTTGTGGCGCTTCTCGATCTTGGCCTGGATGGGCGTGCGCCTGGTGGCCGCGGGGGTGCGGCGCTCCATCTTCTCGATGCGCGAGATGGCGGCCGTGAAGTCCCACGAGCTGCCGCCTGACGTGTGGAAGGCGCCGCCGTCGTCGAACTTAAAGTCTTCGGCGATCTCGTTCTCCTTCGGCTGCTGTAGCGCCTCCTTCTGCTACTGGCGGCCCCGCACGGCGCCCTTGAGCCCCGCGCCTTCCTGCTCTTCCTCCGAGTCCGAGCTGTCCTCGACACTGAACATTTCGTCGTCCGACGCGATGATCATCACCAGGTCCTCGTCCTCCTGCTGCACCTGTTGGCCCGCCTTTTGCCCATGGTCGCTATCCTACGTCTTCTCCAGCAGCGTGTTAGCGTGGACAGACACTGCCCCGCCGCGCCCTGATCTAACATCGCTATGTGTGGGATATTGGGCTCTGCTTCAGCGAGCTTGGGAGCATATTCACCAAAGCGCCGTAGTCGCTCGTGTTCGTTACCCACTTCATCCGGCTCTGTGTGTGCTGGCTGTGATTGCTCCACCGCCAAGAAGCGCTGCTCCAAAGTCTCTCTAGCAGCAGCGATGCGCATCGATATCAGGAGAAAACGTCATCACCTTGACGCAGCTCATCTTGGGCCGTAGCTGCGTACAGACTGTTCATCACCGAGGTGTCGGCGCAGCGATCACCTTTTCGCTCATTGTCGCCGTCACAGTAGAAACAGACTGAATGCGCTCTTCGTCTTGCTGTTGGTGCCGGTCTTACTGCAGCGCTCGACATAATACTCGCCTCCTCTCCGCCGACGCGCCAGCGCGAATTGCCCCACCAGCAGCAGAAGCACCGCTCATAGCAGCAGTGCCAGCATGAACAGAAGATCAGCTCGACATGTTCACAGTAGCAGTAGCCACCGGGCCAGACGCCGACGCAGACGCAGACTCTCCGACTCCACCTCTGTGGCGTCAAACAGCAACAAAAGCATCCGGCAGTACTACGCTCTGGATGCGCATGCGCAGCTCCTGGCGTCAGACGCATGTACACGCTGCGAATGGTGAGCACGTGCTCAGCAAGGCTCAGCTCCACTGAGTGATGAACATTATATCATCGGCGACCATGCGGCCCTGGCTCGCCTTGTACTGCGTGTCCGTGTCCGCAGCAACCTTTGCACACCTGTGTATTGGTGCGTTGAGCTCGGTCGTCTCACCGCGCATGGCTGTCAGGTCCAGCTTCTTGACGCTGCTGATCTTGCGGGCGCAGCGCGCGTACATGCTCCTCATCGCCGTGGTGGCGGCTCCTCGTTGACAACAGGCATGCTGGGACACGCGCACATGCAGGAGGCCGGATCAAATCTTCGGCTACGGAAGGCACTGTAGATCTGCGCGCAGCCGAAGGGCACCTTGCTGATATTATACTCGAGCAGACAGCGGAAGTTGCGGAAGATGCCCTGGGTCGTCTCGGGACACAGGTAGCCAGTATGTCCCCCCTGGGAGCCGTTGGTGCACTTGAACATGAGGTTGAACGAGATGGGGAAGCCCCGGTCCGCGTCCATGCATGCGCCTTGATGTCATACTGCTGAAAGATCTCGTGGATTGCCTCGGGCGAGTATGACTCGGCCATGGTGGCCTGCATCTCGTACTTCTTGCGTTCCTCCTGCTCGGGTCTGGGTACTTGCCCAGATATCGTCCAAGAGCAGCTTCTCAGCGCGCCCGACTTGGAGCACTTGACCATGAGGTCCGTGAAGCGGTCAACTTGACCCAACGTTTGAGCACCACCTCGGGCATGATGTTCGTGCACTCAATCTCCAGCAGCTTGTCGGCGGACACGAATTGGCGGCGCCAGAACCTGTACGCCTCCTTGGTCTCCACTAGCACGGTCCGTGTGCTCGAGCAGTTGCTGCTCCGTCGCGGGGTAGATCAGGTTCAACTGCATCTCATTCATTTACCACGCACAATATCCGTAAGTCTCCTTCTCTTCCCACACCCATTGCAATGTTCACGCACCTTGTACGGCTAGACATCTCGCGCCACGTCTTCCTGGAACGTGCTGTAGTTGTCGTTCACCAGGATCTCGAGCAGTGACATGCCCGCCAGCAGTCGGTCCAGAGTGTCTGAGCCCATGACCGCCGTCTGGATGCTGAGCACCGCCGACTTCTTGTGGTTGCCGCTCTTGAAATTGCACAGCAGCGTCATCTACAGCAGGTTGCTCTTGAGCGCGCAGGACGGCGAGCCAAAGGCATAGAACCGCTCACGCCGCCGTAGATCTCGGAGCTTGGCACCACGATCATCTTGCGCAGCAGCAGGTTGTCCAGCGCCTTGTTGTCGCTCTTCCTGAGACCGTCCTCGGCGGAGGTCTGCAGCACCGTAGGCATCTCAAGCCCCAACTTGAGCTTCTTGAGATCGTCGACGATGGCCTGGGCGGCCTCGCCCGCCGCGCTTCTGCTTCTGCTTCTGCTGGCGCACGTGCACGTGCACGCAAATGACGAGTGACAGTCACAGCTAGATGTGTACAGTAGCGATGCGGAGGGTGCTCTCCGTTTTCGCCGTCGTCTTGGCAGCGCCAGTCGCATCCATTCTCGACGTTCTCTCCGCAGGTTCGGCTTCGACTGTTTCGTCAGAGAACGGCGCAAACTTTGATATCGAATCTAAATGCTTTTGACCAAAACTATTAGAAATCACCGACGCATTCTAGCACTCTAATTGGATATAATCTTTCCTCTTTCATCCAATTGGCGTCGTTATTCTACCCCTGAGATTTGATATCCAATGTCTTGTTATACCGTTTATACATTAAGTTTAAGGAGTACATTGTAGAAATGAATACTTTTATAATCCGACTCAATCCGGAATATCCGGATTCAAGTCGGATGCATCCGGTTGTGCAATCCGGATTCCGTTTGCAACCGGCGACGTGCTGCCAAACCCGCTCGAATTTCGGTGGCATTCCCAGTCCGGCATCGCGATGAAGGTTCTGTCCCCGCTGGCTGTCCTTGCTTCGAGTCTGCTGCTCGCCCCGTACAGCGTGTCGGCGGCGTGCTCAAGTTACTCCTCGCTCTATGAGTCCAATCTGGAGGGCGTTTGCGTCTGCAACGAAACCCAGTGCGACTCCATTGTCAATGACTACACCAAGCTGAAGGAGGGCCAGGTGGGAGTCTACACCACATCCAAGGCCGGCGCGCGCCTGACTTACACGGTCGCGAACGTCGATGACTCGCCCGTGGACGAAGCCACCTTCTCCATTGACGTCACGACCAAGTACCAGACCATGCTGGGCTTCGGCGGTGCCTTCACGGACGCGGCGGCCATCAACCTGTATAAACTTTCGTCCAAGCTGCAGGACATCGCGCTGAACCAGTACTTCTCCAAGACTGGGCTCGAGTACAACATGGCTCGTGTGCCCATCGGCTCGACCGACTTCTCCACGAGGACCTACACGTACAACGAGAAGGTGGACGACTTTAAGATGACCAACTTCACCATTGCGTCCGACAAGGCGCCGTACTCGAACAAGATCAACATGATCCAGCGCGCTCTCAACATGACCGAGATGAAGCTGTTCGCGTCCTCGTGGGCGCCGCCGCTGTGGATGACAAACGGAGACTCGGTCATCGACTGCACTATGAAGGGCAAGCCCGGTGAGAAGTACTGGCAGGCGCTGGCGCTGTACTACTCCAAGTTCTTCGACGCCTACAAGGAGGAGGGCATCAACTTCTGGGCCATGACCGTCCAGAACGAACCCGAGAAGCCGCCGCTCGCTGTTTCTCAGTGGGAGACGCTGCGTCTGACGGCGGAGGAAGAGAGAGACTTCATCAAGCTTGACCTCGGCCCGATGATGGCCAAGAACCACCCGGACCTCAAGATCATGGCCAACGACGACCAGAAGCCCGGTCTCTTGGAGCGCTCGGCGCCGTTCGACGACCCGGAGGCTAAGAAGTACATCAGCGGCCTCGCCTTCCACTGGTACCAGAACATCGACTTCATCCTGCCGCTCTCCGGCAACTTCAAGAACCTCGAGATGTTCTCGGAAAAGTATCCCGACATGTTCATGCTCGGAACGGAAGCGTGCGAGGGCTTCCTGCCTGGTCTTATCGGTACGGGTAAGGGCCCCGCTCTTGACGACCCCAAGAAGGCGTGGAAGCGCGCGCAGAACTACGCGCGCGACATCATTGAGAACAGCAACAACAACGCTGCCGGTTGGGTCGACTGGAACCTGTTCCTGGACACGGACGGCGGTCCGAACTGGGCCAAGAACATGGTGGACGCGCCGATCCTCGTGGACGAGCAGAACGGCGCCGAGTTCTACAAGCAGCCCATGTACTACATCATGGGCCACTTCTCCAAGTTCGTGCCGCCCGGATCGAAGCGCATCGAGTTCCCCAAGACGGAGACGCTGAGCGACTTCCACCGCTGCGCGTTCGTGACGCCCCACAACCAGATCGTCATGCAGTTCCTGAACCGCGACAGCTCGGAGGTCACCATCAGCGTGAAGCAGACGGACTCCAACACGTTCACGCTCACGCTGCCGGCGCACTCGATGCAGACGGTGATCCTGCCGGCCTCGGAGGACACCACAATTCTCTAAGTAGACTTTATAAAACTGCGTTTGATGGCCACTTTGGCGTCGAAATGTGCGTCTCAAAACAACATAGCGCGCTCCATTAGCTGTTGGCGAAGAAAGTTGCTCCAACAGCTTCACCGGAGGAGTATTTAATTGGTTCAAGGGACCAGGATTTGCCTTCATCTTTCCACCACCTCAGACCCATCGCCCTCAGGCTTGAAGGGCTCAAGAGTAAACACCTCCAACATCGGGAGTGTGCTCCCTTGGAGACAGATTTGTTCGCTACTGTTGTTTGTAAATGATAATTATTACTTTGAAGCACTAGGTAGGAAGTTCTCTTACAGTTCTAACGTCTTCGGCACGGATCGATGCTCTTTCTTCTTGACACTGAGCGGCAGTGTTCGGCCGAGGAATGCCTGGTCACAGCTGGAAGGACGTCGCGACGCCTTCGAAGACAGGTTCAGGCGCAGAAAGTTACTGGTAGCCGCACGCAGCATCGACATCTGCGGCACTGATCCCATGCCCATGGTCGCGTTGAGGATCAACCCCCAGCGCGAGACCCCCAACTTCTTCCATAGCGACGGGTTATCTGCAGCTCGATGCCACCGATACGAGACTTGAGACGCGTAGCCCAGACTCTTGAGGTCCAAGAAGGACAACACTCTCTCGCGCAGACTTTGGGGTACAATGTGCTCTCCAAGCTCGCTCTGTCCTCGTCCTTGAGCTCGTCGTAAGTCTTCGTTCCCTGCCGCGAACTCGGACTGGGTCTTGGCGTCGGTGGCTTCCTCCTCTGCAATGTCACCGTAGCGATTCTTGGCTGCGAGATCGCACTCCCTTCGAACTAGCAGCCGCACCGCTCGGTATTGGCCCTTCCGAGCAGCGTAGAACAGCGGAGTCTCTTGATCCTCGTTCCGGGCGTTGCTGTCTGCGCCGCTGTCCAGCAAGAACTCGGCTGCGTGGACGTGTCCGTTGAAGCACGCGAGGTGAAGAGGAGTTTCAAGTGCGTCGTTGGGAACGTCGGCGCTCCATCCGAAGTCGAGCAGCAGCTTCAACACCTCCAAATGACCTCGAGCAGCCGCGTGATGCACCGGAGAGTACCCGAGCTGTAAGACGTACGTACAGTCAGCGAAACAATGGTCAGACGTGCAGAATACCTTGTGGTTAGTTATTGAACCATACCAGGCCTTTGCATCGATCCTTGTCGACTCCTTGGTGCAGCAACAGGAAGACTGCGCGTTGTTTGCCCTTCTCACTAGCGATCAGCAGTTGCTCGCTCAGTTTATCGCTCTCGTCTCGCAGTAGACTCGCGACCTGTCGACTGGCGTCTTCTATTTCTTTCTGTCTCCGCTTGGTCTTGCTCTTCTTCTTGGTCCTTTGGCCGAGCTTCACACGGTTCGACCATCCCGTCTCGGGCTCTTCAGACCCGAGTTTCGACCTGCCAAGCAGAGCCTTCTCTCCGGCGGAGGTTGACGGACGCACTTCATAGCCGCCTACGCCGTCAGTCCACGTCTTGTCGATCGCCATGCCTTACCAACTCACGATCACCAGACCCAACACGACTCGACTCGATCTAGCTCGAGGCGGGCAAATATAGGACTTCCACTCGCCTGCTACCGGTACGTTATACTTATAAGTATGAAGGTTTCGGCCCGAGTTGCCCCCGAGTGCTGGTAAGGAGATGCGGAAGACATCATTGATGCCCTGACAGCTACGACAACGCGGCTGGATCGACCTGCAACAAAATTACTCGACCTACTACATATACTGTACATGAACATACCCAACTGCAGGTTCATGAACTGCAGGCTGAAGGTGATCACTTTGGCAGGATTTGCATTTGTCTCTCCACCACTTGGAATCGAGCAATCCCCCGCAACAGACGGGAGTGGTTAGAGCAACCATAAGTTTGGTTGCTTTTAGCCATTCTAAGACATATATGGTTGCTTTTAGGGATTTCAAAAATTACGAGCGTAATTTAAATGTCTAAATTACCATTAAGCCCTTAGGTACGCAAATCACGCTAAAGTGCGCTTCTGATTAGGTACGATGCCATTAAGTGCGCCACCTCACAGCCGCTCATTTTAAGAATCGCGCTGCTGAACGGAGGCCACGTGGGGCACGCACCTCTCGCGAAGAAGTCAAGCACCAAACGGCGAGGGGGGACCGATGGCTCCTGCGGGGGGAGCCATTATAAACTGTAATCAGTATGCTCCATGTTGGTGGCAACGAGAGTATCTACGTGCCTCACATTTTGTTTGAATTCTGTCGGTATGTATTGTTTAGGCCGAAAGCTGCGGAACGTAAACGAGGAGCTAAACTACATGTACGCCGCTCTCGGGATTGAAAAAGACGACGACGAAGACGAAGACTTTGTTCTGGATGAGGAGGATGAGGAAGACAACGACGACGAAGAGGCGGAGGATTGCTACCAAGAGGAGGAAGACGAAGAAGAGGTTGATGATGACGAGGAGAGCGATAGCGATGAAGAGGAGGGTGACGACGATGAAGAGGAGGTGAGTGACGATGAACAGGAGGCAGACGACGACGGAGAATCCAGCACAGAAGACGAAGCAGAAGCGGGTAAGACTCGTTTGGATTATTGTTGATACTTATTAAGTTGAACTGATAATGTATTGTTTATTTTTTTAGTTTGTTTAGAACGCAGGACACGCAAACAGAGCCCCGAGCCAAGAAAGAAAGCCATCGCACGCAAGAAAACACCAGGTATTCTCGTTAAAGTTGCTTTAAGCAAAAAGGTTGCGCTATCATTAATATTGACATTCACTTTGGAATCGATAGATACCGCTCTGGCCAAATGCAAGCTTTCTGCTGGGGATGAAGCCCAATCTTTCGCGAAAAAGCGTAAGGCGGAGCTGCAGCTTCACGAGTCTGTCGACGCTGATTCGGCCCCACGTTTATCCAAGCGGAACAAGCAGTACATACCGCGGAAGCGATCAAGCAAGCACCTTGACGAGTTGCGGGAGATCAACGAGGAGCGCGAAGAAATTATCAACCCCGTTCTGCCCTTTACCCCAGCGATTATCAAGAGTTGGAGCAAGTTCAACGCACACTTGAAAATATACAAGCAGAAGCACCACCTCAAGTTTCGAGTACGAAGCTCGGAGACACGAAATCAGTACAACATGTATGGGTGACCTCTGTTTGATGAGCAATTTAAGTTATTAACGAAACCCCCTTTCATATGCAGCAATCATCGGGACCAAATCCCTTCACGTTTTAATTGGAGTCACAAGGTCCTCCGCTGTACACACGGTGTTTTGCAAGCGTCGCGCTCCAAGGGACATCGCAATAGAAAAGGCAACTATTGCGGGTGTCCTGCACGCACGACACCAACCGTTCAGCGGATGGAAAATGGCAAATTTCGAATTGTCATAAGAAACGAGGTATCTGCCTTTTCGTGTATTTGTTTGCTTTGTTAGTATTTCTCACATGTCGCTGTTGATAATCAGAGCTTTACCCACACGCACCCGACCACCCGAACGCAAGCATCGTTGTACCTGACAACAAAGACACTTCCGTTGGACGAGCAAGATCTTGAAGATGTTAAGACTTTAACGGATGCTAGTGTTTCTACCAAGCACATCACGAACTTCCTGAATGAGAGAATCGGTGCGTAGTTTTATATATGATATGCTGAAGTGATACTTACGTTATTGTTCGCGCTTTGTGTGTTTGCTAGGCTGCAAAATAACACCTCAACAGACCCGTAATCTGATCCGCGGTATTATGGGGCACGACGCAGCGGAGGCCCGTTTGAAAGACATGCTGCAAGCTATCTGCCAGTTAGACGGTAGTGACGTCCTTGTTATTCAAGACCAAATGGACGTGACATGCGGTATCGTGATGCAAACAAAGTGCAGAAGTTGATGTTCGAGCGCTGGGGCGACACTCTTACGATGGATTTCACTCACGGCACGAACAATTTGGGCTATCACTTGGGTGCGTATGAGTTGTTCGGTATAGCAACTTTATCTTTGTTACGGCAACCTTGCGTAGTTATAGCAACCATATCGATGATATAGCAACCTTATTAACAAGTGATTTGCTACTGTTGTGTGTAGGATATTTCAGGAAGTCTGGTTGTCTCAACCGCTACTGGTAGAGGGTTCCCAGTTGTAGTCTTCATATGCCTCAACCAACGAGCTCCGATGATGACAACAATCCTGGAGTATTTCCAAGAGAAGAACCCAAGTTGGCGGATGATATCTTCCATCGTGATCGACAAAGATTTCGTTGAGTGGAGGGTGCTGAAAACACTATTTCCTGCTGCGAAAGTTTTACTTTGTCAATTACATGCCATTTCGTACTGGAAGAAGGTGATGCAGCGGGCCCCATACAAGCTGAAGGTGTCTGAAGGCGACGAGTTACTCAACCTGATGATAACAACGCTGTACAGGTACGCAACAGGTTCTATTTATGATTCTTGTGGTAACGCTAACTTTGGAAAACAATCCATATGCAGCTCCACAGAGACAGGTTACGATTCTAGTTACGGTGCATTGAAGCAATACTGCGAAGACAAAAAGAAACAAGCTTTATTCTCGTACTTTGAAAAGAACTGGGATTCGTGTCGAGACATGTGGGCGAACTTTGCTCGCAGCAAATTTATCACGGCTGGGAATATTACAACGAACAGGATCGAGTCAAACTGGAATCAAGTGAAAATGGGAACGATTTGTGAACTTCATGGCAGATGCGACTTGTGAGCGTACAGCGTCGAGTCCTTCACAATGGAAAATTTATTGCGGGAATCAAACCTTTCGCTGTCACGATGTGGAGTGGACGTGTACTTGTCTATTTTATAGCAGTCACCATTTACCATGTCGCCATCTTATGCACTTAGCACGCGAGGGGCATGGCTTCAAACTGCTTCCAGCTATGGCAATTCATGATCGGTGGAGTACGTACCAGACCTTGGAAGTGAAAAACGAATTGACGGCTGCAGCGGAAATGTTACAGCCAATTGTGCAGATGTCCAAGTTAAGGTTGCCGAAAGTAAAGTTGCCGAACGTCACTGGGGCTGAACCAGAACAACCACTTTATGCTGCGGGGGGTAACGCTTCGCCAATCAAAGCTAGGAAGCAAGTCGCGTACGTACGGCTACGGCGAGGTGAACGGGCAAACCAGGTTGTATTGTCTTCAGCTGAAAAATACGCATACGCAAAAGCGATGCTGGAACCGCTATTGGAATACCTGTCAGATTTGTCTAGTGCAGACTTCTACCAAGAGCTAAGTGCCTGGAAGGAAACGATCGACATAGGGCTCAACCGTGTCAACCCTGCCCCCCAACCGAGTTCTACAGAATCTGCTGAAGATAGCAAGCAAGAAGAAGATGTATCTGAACCTGTCTCAGACTCCATTCTGGACCCCGTGGAGGCAATGGGGACTATGACGCTCATGGACGCATTGGAAAGCAGCCCCATGACCATGAATTATGGCGATTACGAGTCCGACGAAAGTATGTTACCGACACAACGCACTCACCTTTCGCAGTCATCTCCAATTCGACCCCCCATCGACGAGAAATCTCATGACAGCTGCGTAATGAGTAGCTGTGACAAGGTTTCAAGCTCTACGAAGCCTGACACAGAGTCGCGCGTGCGCCAGGTCGATGTCGTTAGAGTTCCTAACCACCAAGCCAAGGAAAGTCAAGGTTAACTCCGAAGCAGCTGAGGCAAACTACGATCAGTCTCAAAGCCGACCGTCTTGCTATTCACAAGTACCCCACTGAACTTGCCGTGACTTTGGATCAGTTCCTGATTTGGGCCAGAAACACCTCAAATCTGAAGCGCGTGATGGAGATGCTGTCGAAGTATCCTGTTCAGCTGGAGGATGCCTATCTAAGAGCTCGGAAGATTGATTGTCATTGGGAAATTGTACGACCTGCGGACTACATGCACACATTTGTAATTCCACAAGACCTCGCCCTATCAATGCAGGTAGCAACGACTACTACCAGGAAGGAGAAGCAGCCAATTGTACTGGATGAAAAGGCCAAGAAGCAAGGACTTGCTCTCGACGTCGTCTTGGCGATTGATCCAAAACTATGGAAATTTAGCGGGTGTGGTTGCTTTAGCGGTATGTTTGCTTTAATAGGGTTGCTTTAACATGCTTATGTTTCTAGACAATATGTAGGTGCTCTAACAGGATTCTCCGCGATCAAGGCGAAGTGTACCTCATGGTTGAAGGACCGAAAGTGGCTGGAGCAAGATTGGCGTAAAGTTGACTCCATCGTGGATCTTTTCGCTGCGGAGAGAGCAACTGCAGGACTACCGCGTGATGCTGTTGCCGAGCGGCACCAAGGTCTAGCGAACGAAATTACCTCAAAGTTTACTTCAAGTCGGCTACGCTCTGAATTTGTGACGCTCTCCAACAAAGTCCTGATCAGCTTTGACAACATCGTGGGAGGGATCTGTCGTGGATGGCTAAATGATAGCCCTGTGGCCTTTTGCTTGGAGACCCTTGCGAGATCGGTGGGGAAGTGCCATGTGCTGTCATCACTGACATGGGCTATCGGATGGCCAAGTCTCCCTAAGACAGCACTTGCAGCAACGAAATTTATTATCCACCCCGTTAATCTGCACGCAGACCACTGGGGGGTAATTATCCTTCGCCTACGCTACACGGCGAAAACAAGCAAGCTTCGGGTGCATGTTTACATGTACGAGCCGCTCATTGATGATGACTATCACCATGAAATGGAAATCGTGTGGACTGGAATTCCGAAAGACAAAGAAAATGAAGGAAAGGAGGGGCTTCGTGGTTATGTGGAGCGGTGACACAAGGCTTCTGATCCCCGTGACCATCTTTTCTTCGATCCGATTGAGTAGATCTGTGCCCCTCAACAACTTGATTTTGCTAGCTGTGGTGTAATGGTAGTAGCCCAAGCCCACAGCTATCTTACGGGGAACTTGCAGATGCAACTTTCTAGAATTTCCAAGAACGACGTCAAGGTGATGGGATTGAAAATGCTGTGGGTCATCATGTGTTACTCCCAAGAACGTCATCTCTCTGAACGCGACGTCGCTAAAGCTAGCCAGATTCATCAGCAGCTACAGAACCAGCTCTGAGAAACACCACAGTCTGTATTTACCTTTAAATACAGAGTCTATGCTGCATTAGTATTTCATTTTTCGCACCGCCAGCTCCAGTAGAACATCGAGGGAAACAGCGTCGTCCTCTGCGGTGAGACCACCTTGGTCGGCCCCTTCATCGCCCATGACGGCAGCTAACGCATAGCTGTTCTCTTCGCGATCTTCGACGAGGGCTTGGATTTGTAGCTGCGCTGCCAGAAGCTTTCTAGATGCTCGGTAAGCTCATCCAGCTTCTTCTTGAGGAGTGCAATCTCGGCGATTCTCGCGCGCACCAGCTCATGTGCCAGCGATTTCTTCTCCACTTTTGCTGTCGCTCAAAATCTGCTAAGTGTTGAAAATGTGGGACACATTGTCATGTGTTTCATGTATTGCTGTGTAGAGAACATCAGTTAGACGCCACCACGACGTGTCTAAATTTAGAGAGATATGTAGCAAGACCATGACGAGGGCGACGTGTCCCTGTCATTTACGCGTCATTTAAAATAAATTACCGGGTGCCAGCTGGTTTTAGGGTTGCTTTAGGCCTTGTGGTTGCTTTAATTTCTGTCGTGTTGTCGTCATATGGTTGCTGTAACGCCATTCGCAACAGACTGGCTTTCAAGAGTATACAGACAACGACGGATAAATACGGCAACGCAAAACCCGGCACACATATGTTGTACTTTTTACAATAATTCAGATAGCCAATCAACTTCGAGATTTACACTTGACATTTGTATTCCATATGGTTTTAAGTACTTTCTATAAATTTGTGTGTACTTTATGCTCCATTACGTGTAACGTATGTCATTGCCTTGTACAATCTCTATCGTTCCTGACAGAGAATTCTGGCACATTTACTATCGAGGATGCCATTCAGTGGTGCCGGATTTATCCGTCGTTGTCTGTACACCTCTATCAATAGCGTTGCTCGCGCCATGCACCGCCCGAAGTATCTGACCTTTGCCGCCGCAGTGGCAGTGGCATTCGCACCGTACCGTACGCTGGCTGCGTGCTCCAGTTGGTCGTCACTGTACCAGGCGGAGCTGGAAGGCGTCTGCGTCTGCAACGAAACGCAGTGCGATTCGGTCTCCAACGCTTATCTGGAGCTCACTGAAGGACAGGTGGGCATCTACACTACGTCTCAGGCTGGAGCACGACTCGAGTACAAGCAGGACAAGGTTGATGAGACCCCGGATGACAGCCCCACCCTCTCCATCGATGTCTCGACCCAGTACCAGAGTATCATCGGATTCGGAGCGGCCTTCACGGATTCAGCGGCCATCAACGTCTACAAGCTCTCGCCCAAGCTGCAAAAGGTCCTTCTGGACCAGTATTTCTCGGAAAAGGGGCTGCAGTACACCCTCGGCCGAGTATCGATAGGGTCCAACGACTTTTCCACGAGCATCTACTCGTACAACGATGTGGAGGGCGACCTTGCCATGGAAAACTTCTCGATCGATGTGGATAAAGCTCCAAACTCGCACAAAATTGAGCTCATTAAGCGCGTACTGAAGATGACCTCGCGCGATATCAAACTCTTTGCGTCCTCGTGGGCGCCCCCCGCGTGGATGACGAAGGAGAACTCAACTATTAATTGCCACATGAAGGGCGAACCAGGCGACGAGAACTGGAGGGCGTTGGCGCTGTACTATTCCAAGTTCTTTGATGCGTACAAGGAGGAAGGGATCGACTTTTGGGCCATGACTGTCCAGAACGAGCCCGAGAAGCCCCTGCTCGCGTTTGCCAAGTGGCAGACGCTGCGTATTACCCCCGAAGAAGAACGAGACTTCATCAAACTGGACCTTGGGCCGATGATGGCCAAGAACCACCCGGATTTGAAGATTATCGCCAATGACGACCAAAAGCCGAGCATCCTCACTCGCCTAGCGCCGCTGGAGGACCCCGACTCGCTTCAATACATTAGCGGAGTCGCCGTACACTGGTATCGCAACGTGGACTTCGTGCTGTGGATGGGTGGACACTTCGACGACCTGCTGGAATTCCACGACTTGTACCCGGACCTGTTCATCCTCCCGACTGAAGCGTGTGAAGGATACATGCCGAATCCTTTGGGTACCGGTAAAGGGCCTTCGCTCAGAGACGCCGACAAAAGCTGGAAGCGTGGAGAGAACTACGGCCGCGACATCATCGGAGACTTGAACAGCTACGCGGCCGGGTGGACGGACTGGAACATGGTGCTGGACACCAACGGCGGACCAAACTGGTCCAAGAACTTCGTGGACTCCCCAGTTCTTGTGGACGCCAAGAACGGCGCCGAGTTCTACAAGCAGCCCATGTTCTACTTTATGGGGCACTTCTCCAAGTTCATCCCCGCGGGCTCTCGCCGCGTCAAGCTGTCCCTGTCGGAGGACGCGGACAGCGACTTGAAGTCGTGCGCGTTCGTGACCCCGCAGAACCAGGTTGTCGTGCAATTCTTGAATCTCGAGCGCTCAGAGGAGACTGTGAGTGTAGAGCAGCCAGATGCCAACACCTTCACGGTCACAGTGCCAGCGCACGCCATGGTGACGGTGGTCCTACCGCCGTCCAAGAGCACCACCGTCCTCAAGCCAACTTCAACGTAAGGAATAATTACACCTAAATAGTAGCCCGTATAGTCTCATATGAAGATTCGCTCACTGCTGGACGATCGCCATTCGACTCTTCAGCTGCCCATGGCTCGCCTCGAGACCAAGCCGCTGCTGCCCCTGGGCAACGATCACTCGCTGCACTGCGGCGAGTCGTTCGCTCGGCGTCTGCTGTCCATCCCGCGCGAAGTGATCCCGCTGTCGTTGTTCGCCTTCGGGGGGCCGCCGGCTCACCTCGCGCTGGCCCACGACCGATTCGTGTGTATGTCTCTATACTGTAGACTTAGGGTAGCTCTTTCCCCCTCGCTGTATTATAACGAGAGTGTGTTGCTTGCAGACAAGCACAAGTGGCTGACTGATGAGAGGTTCCTCGAGGTGTTGTCCATCGCCTCGGCAATCCCCGGCCCGTCGTCGACTATGGTGAGACTTTTCACATGAGGATCTTTGGACGCAGTGGAGAGCTGACGTGGTGCACTATACTCTATATACACTGCTGCTGTAGACTATTGCAGCCATGGGACTATTCCGAGCTGGCCCATTGGGCGGGCTGCTCGCGCTCTTCTTCTGGGTGTTGCCTAGCTGGATCATTATGACCATCGCAGGCTTCGGGGCCAAGTCGTATCTCCAAGGTTTGGTCGGCTTGAGACTGTGAAGAATGGGGGTGAATACTGACTGGTTTATTGCTATCCGTAGATGGCTTGCCCGTGTGGCTGAGTGGCCTGGCCCCGGCCGCCGTGTCGATTGTCGTGATTGCGGCTGTCCGGCTGTGGCAAAAAGCCTGCGAGGACGACACGGCCAAGAATTTTGTTGCTGCGGTGTCTGCATGTGCGATCTTAGCGACTCAAGGCATGTCGTCGCTGATCTTCCCCGGAGTCATGGCGGCGGGCGGGCTTACCATCTTGCTATCGACCATGTGTGGCTACTTGCAAGCGCCACTTTCCAATGAACGTGTCACCTCTAGCCACCTGGAAAGGTAGGGCACAACGCACAATTATATGGTCTGGAGATGATTAAGCCAACTACTCTGTGCTTAATAATACGCAGGCAAATCGGCATCCATCCCGTTGCTGGAGTGCTGATCGTGCTCTTCTGGCTCGTGGTGCTGGTATTGCTTGAAGTGTACCACCCGCAGGATGGAGGCGAGCACTCGCTTCTCTCGCTGTTCTACACATTCTACTGGATCGGATCCATTATCTTCGGCGGTGGCCAAGTGATGCTCCCCATGTTGCTGGACAATGTCGTGATGGCCGGATGGGTCTCCAAGGAGCAGTTCTTGATCGGCCTCGCTTTGGTGCAATCCCTGCCAGGACCGCTGTTCAACATCTCGGCGTATCTCGGGGCGCTCATCTACGGTATTCCAGGGGCGATCGTAGCAAGTACGGGACTCTTCGGCCCTGGCATCGTCCTCTTCTTCGGCTTGCTTCCGCTGTGGGAACGTGTCCGTAGCAACACAAGCTTGAAGATCTTCCTGTCCGGGGTTATCGCTTCATCGACGGGCCTCATTGTGGCCTCCTTCTTCTTGCTGTGGGATAAGGCGGTGCATTCAAACGCAAACGCAGCGGTGGGACTCGCGACTGCGTTGATGGTGGGGATTTTCCAAGTGCCTACGTCGATCGCGATCATCATTGGAGCCATTTTGGGTTTTCTACTCTCCTCAGAGGTGTTTGGTATCGGCCAGAAAGATTTCTGCAGCTGAAATGGCGGAACGGCTTGCTTGTCGTGGCGCACTTTGCATCCATCCGACTATGCAGCACTTACTGTAGCTTTTCAGGACGTGACAAGAGTGCTAATGACTTCCCTACTAGGAAATGAAGAGAGAGGGCTTCTTCTTGTACTCGCCTGAACCCGAGGACTTTAAGCTAACGCGTATCCTGGAGCACAGGGCGGACTCGAAGATGAACAGTATTTTTCCTACTCACCCCGGACCGGTGCCAATTTGTGGCTCAAATCCGGACGTGGAGCCTCGCGTAGGTGTGCTTGTCTTGCCCATTTTCACTTTCGCCTTCAGCTAGACACACTTCAACCATGAAGCTCTTCGTAATCGCTCTTTCTTCAGGTCTTCTCAATGAGGTGAATGCGTGGTGGAAGCCCACACCGGGGACCTCGTACCAGATCCAACTCAGTGGCACACTTGACCTCTCCTATGACGCCGATATGTACGACATCGACATGTTCGACACGCTCAACACCACCATCGCCGAGCTGCAGCAACGAGGCATCAAGGTCATCTGCTACTCCAGCGCCGGCACATACGAGGACTGGCGCTCCGACAAGGACCAGTACAGCGCCGACATCATCGGCACACCGCTCGACGAGTGGGAAGGAGAGAGCTGGGTGGACATCCGCAGCCCCAAGCTGCGCGAGATCGTCACGAACCGCATGAAGCTGGCCCAGGCCAAGGGCTGCGACAGCGTCGACCCGGACAACGTGGACAGCGCCTTCAACGACAACGGCTTCGACCTCACGGCGGCCGACCAGCTCGACTTCAACACGTTCCTGGCCACGACCGCGCACGAGCTCGACCTCACGGTTGGGCTCAAGAATGACCTGGACCAGATCGACGACCTGGTGTCGAGCTTCGACTTCTCGGTCAACGAGCAGTGCGTGCAGTACGACGAGTGCGACACGCTGGCGCCGTTCATCGAGCAGGATAAGCCTGTGTTCGGTATCGAGTGCTCCGGTGGCAAGGCCACTGCGTGTGCCACTGCGAACTCGCTGGACTTTGACACGTTGTTCAAGACGCTGAGTCTACAGAGCGAGCGCTACAGCTGTCGCGATATGTCGGGGGACTCGAGTTTGGGCTCAACGATGTCGGAGGATTCCGACGCGAAGTCTGGATTGATGGATGAATCTGAAGAAAGAAATGGATCATCAGATAACAATTCAGGTTCGACCTCCTGGACTAGCTCAGGTAACGTTTTACTGCTTGTTGGTTTAGCTGCATGGGCGTATGAAGACTAGCAATGAAATCATTTCAAGTAGTAAAGCTAAGCAAGAATCTTGACGTCGAGAACTAAATGATACAAACCAATTATCCAGCGAGTGCCAGCGTTGCAAAAGCCGAGACCAGCAAGCTCACGACAGCCCCTTCATACCCAGATCTAGCCGCAGACTTTGTCACGGAGCGCGATCCAGTGCTGCCAGTGCCACTGCCAACATCGCTCGAGTTGATTTCGTCTAGGTGCAGCGATCCGTCACTACTCCCCTTCTTCTTCTTGGCCGGGAGGTTTGGACATTGGTGATACGCCTCTTCCTTGGTTGGGCATGATTCACTCGACAAGCCATCACCCGCCCACTGGAAATTGCGAAGGTCAGGGGAGCCCTTGGGGCATGTCGACGTCTCTACGTGGTTCGCTGGCACTTCGTAGTCACTCAACGTCGGCTCACTCGACCCGTCGTACGACGCGTACGCCTCGGCGAGGAACTCGAAGTTGGGGAACCGCTCGTACGTGCAGTTGGCGCCCGCGTCCGTGCAGTCTTCCGGGGAGAAGTAGCCCAGCCCGTAGTTCTGCGGCCCGTACGTCGTGAAGGGGTACGCGGACGTGGCCATGGAGTTGGCGTTCTCCGTCGAGTACTCGAAGGCGATGCCGCCCGCGAAGTAGTCGCTGTACTCGGGCAGGTTCATGAAGGCGGCGTCGTGGAAGGTGCGCTGCGCCTCGTAGCCGTCCACCGTGGGGAAGGCCGGACTGACGCAGCCGAACTCGGTGAGCACGACGGGGATGGAGTAGTCGTAGCTCTTGAAGCTGTCGCGCAGCAGGTTGAAGCCCGTGGCCTTGGTCGGGTCCGAGATGTCGTCGCAGTGCACGTACGTGTTGATGCCGTACCACTGCGCGTTCTCGAGCTCGTCGCTCTCGTCGGTGCGGCAGTTGTAGTACTGCGCGTTGTCGTCTCGGTCCGTGTCGGCCACGACGAGGCCCACGGGCACCTGGCGCAGACTCGAGCAGGACTGCAGGAAGGCGCGCATGTCCCGGATGAACTTCTTCTGGCACGGCGCGTTCCACGTCCAGGGGTTGCCGCCCGTGCGGTGGTTGATCTCGTTGCCGCCGCTGAAGGCCATGACGTTGTCGTAGCGCGCGAACTGCTTGATGATCTTCTCTCCGCGGGCCTTGTAGGACGCCGGGTAGCACGCGGGCGCGGCGTCGGCCGTGATCTCGCAGCCGTCGCAGTTGGAGCCGAGGTCCACGACGACGTAGATGCCCTCGGCCTGCAGTGCGCACATGAAGGCGGAGTGGTCGACTTCTGGGTCGACGGCGTAGAGTCGGATGACGTTGGCGTTGAGCGCCGTGAACTGCGGCAGGTCTCGACTCCAGATGTGCTTGAAGTCGTCGGAGAAGAGGTCGAGGTTGTTCTTGTCAAGTGGTCCGGCGTTGGGTCGCGGGTAGTAGTTGACGCCTCGGATGGCGAAGTAGTCGCCCGTGGCGGAGTTGAAGAAGCGGTTGCCCTTGATCTCGAGTGGATTGAACGTGTTGTCATATCCAGCGTCGTTGCTACCGACAGTTTGGCCGCTGCTACCCGTGGTGCTGGATTTGGTGGGGGCAGTAGAAGTACCAGCGGTAGATCCTTGGGAGGAGAGCGACGAAGTCTCACCAGATTCTGTAATGGCCTCCGTGGGCGTGGGGTCGGTGAGGATGGTCAACTCGGGAGGAGATGAGGCTGCAATGTTGAGAGCGCCTGCAGCGATGGCAGCTACGAGCCACCACGAATTGACGATCTTGACCATTTTGGAGTCGAACAGCTCTGGCTGCTGGGTGCGTATTTCACTGGAAATTGGAGAATGGGGTGAAGGTTCTGTCTACTCCCACTCTAAAGCACCGGAGGGCATCCGTTTTATCGTTTCCATCGAGCGCTCGCCTGTCCATTAGTGAGATTGGGTGGGTCATCTGAACATTGTCGTTGAGAACTGGTGGTCAATAGACGATTGGGGTGACACAAGCGCATGCCGCACTGGGATGGTGTATCTATGCATGCCCAAGTAGTGGCACATCGCACGTCGAGAAACTCCCTACTGCTATGCTTGAGAAACATGATTGTATATTTTTACAATATATTTTTAGGGTCGTCGCTCACTCCAGCACTCTTCTGGGCGAGTTGCCTCGGTGGAGTGCTCGGTTTCATTGGCAACAACTTGTATAGTTGGGGTTCTCTTTCATACGCACACGCTTCAGAACCAGTCTTGATAGTAGACCTTGTCGTGTAAGACTTTCCAGCACATTTCGGATGCTTCGCCACTTCTTCCTCGGTTGAATTCGTCACTCAGAGCGATTGGAGGGCCTGAAACGGGCAGCTTGACTGTTAATACTTCGAAGTAGGCCGGGCACGGATCTTGTACGCAACAGTAGGCGAGGAATCGATGGATTTCTATTGAGTGATGTAGTTTGTTCCTGATGACAGTCTAAATTCGATATTGAACGACACCAGGCAAGCCGCGACCACATTCTTAGCCACAGAGTGATTCCCGATCAGAAGTCCCTCGGAACGTGTCGATAAATCAACTACCGGTAGCAAAAGGGAATGAAGAAGCTCGAGCGGTTTTGGATCCGCATTATTCGCGCAAGGCTGATAATTACCGGCTCTGTTAGAATTCAACGGTATCCTCCTACAGATACGGACTTCATATTGGTTGAATAACGTAAGTGGCATTTAAAGAAAACATTGGAATCATGCATGCCAGATCAGCGCACGGAAGTGAGCCACGGGTCATGGTCGACGACTCAAGACATAGGATGAATAGCGAATAAATCAAAGCGTTTGCAGGGTCGAATGTTGCCAATCCCACCGGAGGCCAGCAATATTTTTTCCTCTAAAAAAACAACCCTTTTCATAGCCTTGTCAGATATATCCGAGAGCTTGGACGTCCACTTCAATTGAATGCAGGTGGCAAATTGGGCACAAGAACATATTTTCTAGCGAGTCAAGCAACACAACGGTTTGCGAGACGGAATCTTGCAGACCAAAGCCTGGTGTTCGTCGTACGTGGTGGCGTTCTATCGAATTTATGCGTCGGGAATCGCGGATCGACAATCGACAATCGACAAGTCAAGTCAAGTCAAGGCAAGGCCCACTGCTAAGTTTCGGTATAAACATACATGTAGACAGACAGCCACTAAAACACCGTTACGCTGGTCGAATTTGCCAATGGGGATGGGATGCCTCGCCGCTCGCAACAGCTCAACCAAAATTCCATTACGTTGCCGAAGCATGCTTCATCGCACGTCTTCCATCCACCCTTTGACTCTGCTCCATCGATGTCTCCAGCTGTGAGCTCACTAACCAAGTCGACAACTACCGCCGCTACCTGTTACACTTACTGTGCCCAACCCTTAGCAAAAACATCGTTCACGCTGTCAAGACACTCTTCATCTTGGTTTCCATGCACCTGCTAATAACTACAACCGAGTCCGAGACCAGTCCACTTGTGATCAAGGGCAACCGCTTCTTCAACTCCGCCACGGGCGACTACTTCGCCATCCGAGGCGTCAACTACTACCCGCGACCCAACGCCGGACCACTTGACAAGAACAACCTCGACCTCTTCTCCGACGACTTCAAGCACATCTGGAGTCGAGACCTGCCGCAGTTCACGGCGCTCAACGCCAACGTCATCCGACTCTACGCCGTCGACCCAGAAGTCGACCACTCCGCCTTCATGTGCGCACTGCAGGCCGAGGGCATCTACGTCGTCGTGGACCTCGGCTCCAACTGCGACGGCTGCGAGATCACGGCCGACGCCGCGCCCGCGTGCTACCCGGCGTCCTACAAGGCCCGCGGAGAGAAGATCATCAAGCAGTTCGCGCGCTACGACAACGTCATGGCCTTCAGCGGCGGCAACGAGATCAACCACCGCACGGGCGGCAACCCCTGGACGTGGAACGCGCCGTGCCAGAAGAAGTTCATCCGGGACATGCGCGCCTTCCTGCAGTCCTGCTCGAGTCTGCGCCAGGTGCCCGTGGGCCTCGTCGTGGCCGACACGGACCGAGACGACAACGCGCAGTACTACAACTGCCGCACCGACGAGAGCGACGAGCTCGAGAACGCGCAGTGGTACGGCATCAACACGTACGTGCACTGCGACGACATCTCGGACCCGACCAAGGCCACGGGCTTCAACCTGCTGCGCGACAGCTTCAAGAGCTACGACTACTCCATCCCCGTCGTGCTCACCGAGTTCGGCTGCGTCAGTCCGGCCTTCCCCACGGTGGACGGCTACGAGGCGCAGCGCACCTTCCACGACGCCGCCTTCATGAACCTGCCCGAGTACAGCGACTACTTCGCGGGCGGCATCGCCTTCGAGTACTCGACGGAGAACGCCAACTCCATGGCCACGTCCGCGTACCCCTTCACGACGTACGGGCCGCAGAACTACGGGCTGGGCTACTTCTCCCCGGAAGACTGCACGGACGCGGGCGCCAACTGCACGTACGAGCGGTTCCCCAACTTCGAGTTCCTCGCCGAGGCGTACGCGTCGTACGACGGGTCGAGTGAGCCGACGTTGAGTGACTACGAAGTGCCAGCGAACCACGTAGAGACGTCGACATGCCCCAAGGGCTCCCCTGACCTTCGCAATTTCCAGTGGGCGGGTGATGGCTTGTCGAGTGAATCATGCCCAACTGACGCTGACAGCCACTTCCAATGCGCTTCGTATGTGGCAGCAGTATCGAACGCTCCGTTATCATTGAACGCAATGTTTGCAGCGGATACAAACTCCGAAGTCTCATCGACAAGCGCTACCCCTGAATCCACGCCCCAGCCACCTGCGACTCAAACACCAGGTACGACAACTATGTCCACACAATCACCAGAAGCCAGACTCAGCGTCCACCAAGGTTGCAGAATTCGCTAGATTTCTCGTCTAGCCATGTGCACTTCATAACGTATTTCATTCCACTGAGTAAACAATGAATCCCGAGTTCAATTGACTTTGGATTCCGTCCTGATTTCCATTGGTTACAGCAGCAGATCTGGTTTCCGCAATTCATAGGCGACCACGGCCGCAGCTGGGCGATGAGACGGATCCAGGCTCATGCAACGCCTGGCAAGGGCTTCCAGGTTACGGGGACATGTGGGAGACATTGTCACTAACAATTCACCAGAAGATACGCCTTGAAGAATGGCCATGTCGTTGAGTGGCGCTCCGGTGCCGCGAGTTTTGGCATCTGCGAAGGGTAGTTGGTGGGTGTCCAGCTCCGAGAGAATGATACCGAAAGAGTAAACATCCACGGCTTCTGTGTACTTCCCTTCGCCACGAGCAATCTCTGGAGCAAGCCAGCGCGTGGTGCCCACACCCGCAGTCATATCATTCTGGCGTTTGGTAGCTGACACCCCAAAGTCTCCAAGCTTTGCGCCCTTCTTGGAGTCTAGTAGAATGTTGCGGGATTTGAGATCGCGATGAATAATGACGGGACTTAGCGAGTGCAGATACACGATGGCATCAATCGTATCGCGGGCGTACTGAAGCTTTAGGCCTCCCTCCTCCCACGGAAGGCGCTTGGGAGATTTCTTGTCCAGCAGCGTGCGCAGATCTCCACCGTCCATGTACTCGATAACTGCGAGCATATCAACCAGCTTGGTCCACGCGACACCCACAAACTGGACAATCTTCGGGTGTTCCAGCCACGCCATCAGCTTCACTTCCCGCACAAAATCTTCACTGGCTGCCAGCGTCACCTGCTCTTGGATCAATCTCTTCACTGCTACTCGTGCGCTGCGATATTGACCCACCCACACCTCGCCGAACGCTCCTTGAGCAATCTTTTTCGCAAGGGTTACGCTGTCGTAATCGATACGCCACGTCACAAGTACAGGGTCGTTCGATGGGAACAACTTGTTCACCGCCTCCATTTCCTTCTGGTAGCTGGCGCGAGCTGCCTGGTCGAAAAACAAAGGGGTGTCCTCGTGAATACCTTCGCGGTGGCGCTTTTGCTGCCACTTGCCAATGTAGTCGTAAACCGCACGAGCGACGCCGCCAACAACACCAAGCGAGACCAATGCGATCACGCCTGCAATCATACCGATGACCACCAGTACGACGATTGCTGCGATGATGTACTTCTTCGTCGTGTTGCTTGGGATTGGTAAATCAGGAATCACCACCCCCACGGTAGCCATTGGGGTTGTGGGCTCCTCCGCGTTATCAGCGCCATGGTCCCTCATCACGATCGCTGGGTCTTCAGCTGCTGCGACATCCAAGCGGCATACTCCTTTTCCTTGCAGGTAAACCAGCGACCCAGTCGCGCACGAAGACACATCCGCGAATCCGGCCTGGAAGTCTGATAGACCAGCAAAAAAGTCGTACTGCGCTGTCGACATTGCCGCTATCTCGAATCCATTGCTGGCAATGCGGAAGTTGTCCAGCTGGGAAGATGCAAACACTGCGTTCGGGAACTCGGTCAAGGCATTGGCGGATAAATCACTGCTCATCCATGGCCAATAAACAAATTGTCAATACGACGACGATATTCATCATTTGAGGTCGCGTCAGCTTACAGAGTCGTCAGCATAGGATAGGTTACATTGTAAGCACTCAGTGCGTTGTGCGAGGCGTTCCTACGAATATAGTGGCGAAGAAATGGCCGTCAGTCCGTAGCAAAGGTACTTGCAGCACGCAATACTGTTGTAGACGTACAATATCGCGATGGTTGCAGAAGCAGCAAATGCACCATCAAACCTCTCCAGCTCATTCTCCGCCAGATTCCTGCCATTGCCACGCCATCCCATCAGTTTTGATATCAATCAAAAAACGATAAGCCGAGACCATCGAAAGTCGTACAGCTCTCTCAAATTCTCGAGCCCGCGCACTTCGTCCGGTATAGCAGTCAGCTTGCACTTGACCAAAGTCCTGCAATTACACAGTCCGATTTTTTATCATTAGCCAGAAGGTATCGGATGCCTCGTATCCAAAATGCTCCCATACAATTTCTGGATCGAGTGCGGCAGGTTGAGACGCGCGACGTCGCTCAGGTCCCAGTTTTCCAGCGTTCTATAATACACAGCCACAACAATAAACAAATAACGGTTATGAGAGGCCGCTGCTTTTCCCCACACTATTCACCGTCAAGCAGGTCCGCGCACACGTCAGTGAAGGTGTCGTCTGGCTGGAAGAGCGTCTCTGGGTGCTCTGGCGCGTCTCCGTCGCCCTTGTAGCTGTACGAGTCGCCGCGGACGATGGGGAAGTGGAAGAAGAAGGCGCGCGCAGGGCTCAGCGCCAGCGCCGCCAGCACTAAGAGCCTGGCGGAGCTCACCATTGTCCAAGGGGAGGATAAATTCCAAGTGGAAAATATCCCAGAGGATGACTTGCTGGTTGTATCACCCATTTAAGTACGAGTGTACCCACATCGGTTGTCGTGTCTCTTCGTGTACATCTTGGTGAGTTGAAGTGAGCTGTACGATGGCGGCGCTGCGCTACGGGGACGAGATGGGGCTCGAGGAGCGCGCGCTCGTGCTTACGGAGCGCCTGATAGCTCTGGACCAGGTGAAGGAGTGGAAGCACCTGGTCAAGACGGAGCTGGCCCAGCCAGAGTACCCCCTGGACCAGGTGCAGAGTCTGCGGCCCTCGACGACTGTGGAGAACCCGCTCATGTACTGCCTCCTAGAGAAGATGGGGCTGCTGGGGCTCATCAAGCGCACGGTCATCGACCTGCACTGCGAGGCGATGCAGTCGGTGGCTGCGGCGTCCAAGAAGCAGGTGAAGCTCGCGTCAGACGACAGTCGGCTGCTGCCTGGAGCTCAAACCACGAACGGCTGCAGTCTCGACGTTGTTCGAGCTGCGCGAGACAATTGGGAGAGGATCACGAGCGATGAGATGCTGCGAGTCGCAAAGGAACTCGGACGACCACTGGTGGCGCCTAAAGCTGCTGCGCCATCGTCGGGAGGCTCCGAGGCTTCAGCACGAGACGACGCACAAATGCCACCAGCTGCCGAAGCTGAGGGCACGAAGCCTGCCAAAGCTACCAAGGTGCTTGCTGCGCGCTTCCTGTATGACGGGTACGAGGTACCGATATCGCTGGGTAGGTGTTCTCCTGTGGTTGCTAACGCTGACACATATGACCAGGAACGACCTGCTTCGTTCATTGCAAGCTATCGAGCCCTCCAACAGAGTCCGCGAACCGGCGGAAACAGCCACAGACGCGTGGGGTATGGAACGATTTCCTATTGGGGTTGGATGGACATGATTCACACCATTGCATTACTGTGTACAGGTTCCATTCAACTACAGCTCTATTCTCCTCCATTCCACGAGTACCGCCGATTATTCCCCGAGCTAGCACCAGGATGCGGGCAAATTGGACTGGACGAGCTCTTTCCAGCTCAGAGAAGTGCCTTCCTGGCAGAGAAGAATCGCGTCGGCGACCTCGTACTAGCGCACCAAAGCGTGTCGATGGCGCGCCAGTACTCCAAGACGGGGTGCCCCGTCAGCCTCCGACCTCAGGTGCTACGCCACATTGGATTCCACAATCAAAATCGCACCAAAACATCTAACGATCCTTCATCACAACGCTCAGATCTGGCGCCAGGTTCTATCGGTACCCGTCACCACGCAGGACCGGAGCCACTTCGAGCATCTGAAGACACAAGCGGCTCAGTGGACGTATCTCACTGACGACATGTATTTGCTCGATCTCCAGCAGACAATCGACAGTTCGGACTACTTCGTCTTCCAAGATCACCTCGAGAGCGTGCTCATGGCTTTCACGCGCGATACGTACGTCAAGGGCCACGCACTACAAGTAAATGGCACCGTCCACGGCTCACTAGCTGGAACAGAATCCAAGCCGGACGAAGCTGCAAACGAAGACTCGGACAGCAGCGTACCACCAAATGGAGTGTTGCCTTTCAGCGGACTTGTCATGTACATGGCTCCTCTTGCATACCTCTACGCTGATCCGGTCGAACTATACATTATCTTCCGCGAGCTGTACGCACGATACTGGAGCAAGCTGAACGCCATCCGCACTGAACGAGGAACGATTCTGCCTCTCTGCAAGCTGTTTGAAGATCTTGTCGTGCGCTCCAGCCCCGCCGCTGTCTTCCACCTCATAAATATCGGCGTCAAACCCCTGGACATCGCCTTCCCCTGGATTCAGAGCGCCTTCTCCGGTACACTGGACATCGACCAAGTCCTCCTGCTCTGGGACCGAGTGATCGGCTACGACTCGCTAGAACTCGTCGCCATCTTCGCCGCGGCACTTTTCCATTTCCGCGCCAGTGAGCTGGAGACTGTCAACTCGCGTGAAGAGGCCGAAGAACTTTTTGCCGAGCTCATAGATATCCACGTAGTGACTTTGTTACAGGAATATCTATTTGGGCTTCCGTAGAATTTGGCCAGCCTTACTCGGGTAGGAACGCCTGGTCAACGTGGCGGATCACAGTTAGCATCGCCTTCTTGAAAGCTTCATAGCAACTATACGATGGAAGACGTAATATATCTGGATTGTGCTCCATCGTAGGATACACGGCGTCGGATTCCAATCCAGTACCGCTCTCGGGGCACAGTGCGATAGTAATACGACCAGACTCGCCTTCAGACCGGAAAAAGTATTCGTTCACCAACTGGAATGTGCCAGTCATGAACAGCAGGAGGAGTTGCTGCTCCTCGTGGACAAGTTCGTTCATCAGGCGAGGCATCAACGCCTTTGCGTTCTCGATATCCTCGCCGGACAATGTTTCAGATCCGCTAATATCCCATCGAACTGCGGTGTTCCAATCAATTTGACGAATATTCAGACTCGTTTCGGGGCCGTTGAATAGCACGCGAAGACCGTCAGCGTGGAAAAGTTCCAGAGTGGCCGGAAGCACAGCTTCAAACCCCGCGGCAAAAGAACGACCAGCCATCTCCCAAGGTTCATCACTGGCCAACTTGAACTTCCCTTTGCAGCCGATGCAGCGCAAAAAGGCAGGACCAAAGTCGAGAATCCCACTAATAGGCACGGCGAAGAGCACAAAATGTGCTACCAGCTCGCCCAGCAAGTAATACCCGAGCAATTGCTTATCCAGCTCTTGCTTAACCCCCGAAAGTGGATTCACTTCGAGATCGCCACTGTGGCTGCGCATGAGCAACCCTGGCATTTCTTTCAGCAACCCCGCTGCTAATCGGATTAGGACAAGCTTCAGATTGCCCTCACGATTCTCGAGGCCTTGACTGTTTGTGCTGCCCCGTCCGATGGAGAATATTATCGGCAAGCGGAAGTCTTCCGGCTCCAACCTCATTCCCACGCCAACGAACTGCTTCCAGAAGCACCCACTCTCACGTGAAAAAACAAACGCAAGCTTTTTCTGCCCCCTTGGACTGTCATCAGCTCCGTCTTCAACACTATCAGTGCCTTGCCCCGGAGATTTCTTGATAGAGGGGATAATGTACCTCCAAACATACTCGAGCTTGTTGTCCAGGCGAAGCAAAAACGGGTTCGACAGCATAAGTCCTTCCATTCGCTCGATCCGCTCAGGATCACACAGGCACCAGTCGTTTAGAATATCAAAGCAAGTAGGGTCTCGTGCGACGCGCTGCTGCCACTGACGCACCAACCCTCTTTGCTGATACTTGCCCAGCATCCGGTGTAGTCGTGAAAGCTGTTTGGTTAGCTTGTAATGCATGAACTCTTGGATAATTGCAGGGTTCTTTGCGTGTAAAATGGGGACCCAGCCATCAGAGTCCTTAGCAACCACATTCAATCCCTCCAGCAAAAGAGCTCGAACGCACAGCGCATGGTTTTCTTGAGCCGCAATGTGGAGAGCTGTGAGTCCAGTCTCTTTAACCGCTTGATCCACATCGAAGAGCCCCACATGGCACAAATGAGTAACGAGCTCGTGGTTACCCGATGCTGCAGCAAAATGAAGAGGGAACCAGCCATTCGGAGCCTTTTCGTTCAAGCAATCTCCAAACACGTCCATATCAAGCATCATCGCGATAATATCCTTTGCACTTTGAGCCGCATCGCTCAAGCTCGCTCCCTGCTTTCTAGTTGAGACAGTCCCACCAGCAGCTCGGCACAAAATCATCAGCGGATATAAGCCCTCACCAGACTTCTCTTGAAGCATCGACGGCTGAGCTGCAAAGATAACTTGGCAGATTTTGACGGTGTAGTTGTTAACAGCCTGGCACGCGTAATGAATAGGAAAGTTGGAGTGCAAATCGCCCATCCCGATTAATGCTGCGTCCTCCCGGATAAGGGGGAGGCAAAGCTGATTGACCCTGGCCGATCGGAGCATACAATGAAAAGGTGTGCAGCCCCGTAAGTCTTGATGGAGCAGCAGCTTCCTATCGTGCTTCAGGAGTATCCGACAGCAAACCACTGAACCCCCTATCGCAGCGTGATGCAGCGCATTGCGACTCTGTGAATCCGTCGCGAAAATATCAGCTTTGCGTTCTTCCATTAAATAGCGGAGGCACTTGGCAAGTCCGTTCCTTGCAGCCTGCATCGCGAGAGTCCTGCCCTCGCACTTCAGGTTTTTCCAATCAGGAGGAATGTTCGTCGCTCCTGTTTTGTCTTCCAGCAACTCCATCAACTGCTTCGAGTTCCTGCTGTCGCAACATTGAAACAACCAATCCAGAATTCTCCTGGAGGCTTGTACACAACGCGCCAAATATGCCTCGGGATCACAACGTGTGCACAGATACTTCGGTGGCAGCTTAGTTTCACAATCTGTCAGGAACCCGACGCAGTCGGCATGCTCCCAGACACCGCAGTCCTCTTTCCAGCATTCGAGCCACTGTCCACGGTAGCCCCCAACTGACGTAGCCCCACACACGCATCTAATCTCGCCAATTATCGTCAACGGCTCAAAATCCATGTCATCATCGATATCAACACCTGCGTCTTCATCGTTACTAGTGACTCCATCGCCTTCTTCCTTGCCAGAATTGTCCGTTGTGACCACAGGCGCTGTCGGCGATACCTCCATGAAGTCGTCTTCATCGTCTTCGTCATCAGACATCTGCGTAAGATCCACTTCAACTGCTCCCCCGTTTTCCTGGGGTTGGTCGGAGTGTCGTAACCTCTTCCGTCTTTTACTTGGACGCTTAGGCTTACGAATAGGAGCGTCATCTTCACTGGTATCCTCGGGGGCATTCCGTCGGCGTGCACTGGGAGGTGGTTGTGACAGATCTGGAAGATCATCGTCGTCATCTTCATCTTCACGTTCAACTTGACTGTACAGTAGCCTCTTTCGACGGCGTTTCCGCCTACGACGGGTGCTCATGCTTTCGTCACTCGCCTCGCTGTCCGCACTGTCCGCGCTAGCGTCACTATCCTCGCTCTCGCTGGCTTCTGGAGGAACGTACTCGTCGTCACCGCCCTCGGCCCAAATGGAATTGCGTGCTTTTGTCGATTTGGAGCGGGATACAGAGGCCTGCTGCCGCTCTTGGTTGGACGGTTCAGTTCGGAGGTGAACTCGTGCAGGAGCTTCCTGACGACGCCGAGGAGTGGGGGTTCGTTTTGTCGATTTTTCATGCTGCAGCCTTTGTCGCAGCTGCTCTTGCTCTTGTGCTCGTTGTCGTCGCTCCTGCACCTGGCGCTCTAGCTCTTGCAGTTTCTCACGCTCTTGCTGTGCCTTCAGCCGCCGCTGGTAATCTTTTTGCTTTTGTGCCAGCACCTCATGCGCTTTCTGCCTCTGTCGTTCATGCTGGATACGGCGCTCGCGTTCTTGTTCTTCCTGCTGTATCCGAAGTCGTTGTTCCTCTTCATGCCTTCGCCACGCGTCCGCCTGTTGTTGTTGCCGTTGCGCGGCCAGTTGATTCATCCGCTGTCGCTCCGCTTCTTCCTGACGCTCCCTCGCGAGTCTGCGCTGCTCAAACTCCCGAATCACCGCCTCAGAAGGGTCACTATCTTCTGCTGCTGCTACTACCGTCGGTGTTGCCACTGGTGCTGGTCGGTGCACAGTCTGCGTAAAGTTCTGCAGTGGGGGTATCTGCGGCGTATTTGCCGCCGCCGCCGCCGCCGCACTTTCCGGTTTCACGCGCACTTGGTCCGCTGCCTGTACAGCCCGCTGCTGCTGCTGCGATCCTGCGCCATCTGCTCTCTTCTCTCTTAGTCGCTTGTAGAACTTCTGGAACTCCGTGTGGAAGAGCCAGAGCTCCACCTCTGTGCGGAAGAGCGCGAGGTTGCTAGCTGGCTGCACGCGGCTGTGGAAGGCCCACGAGTTGATGGAGTTGACGTAGAACTCCTGCAGCAGGTTGGGCCCGTAGAGCTGCACGACCTCGAGCGGGAGCCACGTCTCCATGCCGTTGCGCCAGCGCGTGAAGACGAGCTCCCAGCGCTGGCCCTCGCTCCTGCTGCACTGCACCAGGTCCAGCACCTTGACGAGGTCGCCGCGCGCCACGCGGGGCATGCTGAGCACGTTCTGTTTGGGCAGGTCAGCCATCGTGAAGGTGGCCACGCAGCTCTTGGCGTACAGGTCGCCGCGCGTGGACATGACGATGAACTTGCGCCGCAGCTGGAAGCGCGCGTACCAGAAGCGCCGCCGCGGGTCCGCGTGGATGAACAGCCGCTGCGCGAAGGCCGCCGGGATCTGCGGGCGGAAGCGCAGGTCTCCCTCGCGGGGCAGCACCAGCCGCAGCCCGCGCCCCTCCGGCAGCGCCGGGTACGCCTTGGACCGCATGTCCATCGTCTCGTGGCGGCGCTGCTTGGTCCAGGGAAGGTTGTGACTCAAGAGTGTGTGTTTTGCGTAGGCACGTCACTCTTTGGTGTCACTCGCGCGGGGGCTCTGATGTGCAGCACACCAATGACATGGCCGCGTCGGCTCGGACAAATTCCTTTGCCAAAGCTCGGCCGCCGACCACCAGGACGCGAACGCGCCCGGTTCCCTCCATTAGCTCCGTCCGCCCCCTCTGGCGGCCGCTCTCTCTCTCTCCGTCTAACGCCTGCGCGCACGATGTCCCGCGGGCCGACCATCAACCGCGAGGAGGAGGACGACGACCGGGCGCTGCCCTTCCCGGCGGCGGATCGCGAGCGCGAGGTGCGCGTGACGCTGCGGCGCCACACGACGGGCGTCGTGACCTTCGGCGACACGGGCGACCTGTGTACGGAGACGGACGACGTGGACGTGGAGCTGGTGCAGAAGGACGCGCTCAAGCAGCTCATGCGCCACGGCAGCGTGCTCTTTGCCGGCGGCGTGGCCGGCAGCGTCGGCAAGACGGTCACGGCCCCGCTCAGCCGCCTCACGATCCTCTTCCAGGTGCACAGCATGGTGTCCACGCGCCACACCGACCGCTTCTCACCCACCGTGAGCAGCGCCTTCACCAAGGTGCTCAAGAACGAGGGCGTGCTGGCCTTCTGGAAGGGCAACGGCGCCAGCGTGCTGCACCGCTTCCCGTACTCGGCCGTCAACTTCTTCACGTTCGAGATGATCAAGAACGGCATCATCGCGCAGAACCACCCGGCCTTTACTGAGACCTCCTGGATGACGATGTTCGCGTCGGGCGCGCTGGCCGGCGCAACTGCCACGGTGGCCTGCTACCCGATCGACCTCATCCGAACGCGACTGGCGACGCAGCTTAATTCAGATATCCGCTACACGGGCATTCGCCACGCCGTCCAGCGCATCAGCGCCGAGGAAGGTGTGCTGGGACTGTACCGTGGCATGGGCGCCACGCTCATGGTCACTGTCCCCAACCTGGCCATCAACTTTACGCTGTACGAATCGCTGAAGGACTACGCGCGGACGTTCCGCCGCAGCCAAGCACTCGCAGGACTGACAGGCGTGGAGAGGGAGCAGGCTGCGGAGATGCACGACGGGGCGCACCTGTGCGTGACGGACACGCTGCTGTGTGGCGGCACCGCCGGTATCGCATCGTCGCTGCTGACGTTCCCGATCGACGTGGTGCGTCGCCGATTGCAGATCTCGGCCATTCACGCTCAGAGCGCAGGCATCAAACCGACGCCCTCGGGCATTGCGTCGGAGCTGTTCCAGACGCAGGGCGTGCGTGGATTCTACCGGGGTCTGACGCCGGAACTCATGAAAGTGGTGCCGATGGTGGGCATTACGTTCGGCACCTTTGAGCGGCTCAAGAAGCTGCTGACAGTGGACGATTAGACTCGAAGAGAAGAAGAAAAAGGCTAGAACTCCGTTAAAATAATACTGCGATGGATGTATCGTGGAGTACTTGTTCGATGGTTCAGGGAACGCTATCAGAAAATAGCACTGCATTTACGAAGTTTCCATTGATGTTGCTGCTTGGTCCCACGTGGTGCTGGTATCCTATCTGGCTTGACCGCCGGTCTCCATAGAGCAGGTGATCCCGACGTTGTGGATCCGTTCGTCTCTCTACATATCCGAGAGCTAAGAGTCTGGTGACACGGAGCCCGACGATGCTGCGAAATGGCGTCAACGCGACAGTCAAGCAAACGGAACGGCATTCATACCCTTGAGCGTGTTATTGTGATACTTTACACTGTCGCAGCAGCAAGTCTCCCTCTTCCAGCGGAAGGAGCAGTACGGTGTGCACGGGTCTGCGGACGAAATGCGCCCTCCGTGACTTGGAAAATGCACAACTAAATAAACGGCGCATTGCTAGCCAAACCTTCGTGTTGAGCCTGTCCTCCTCTGTTCGCTGCTGCTTGATGGCTCGAGCATCACGACGCGGGTCTCGGTCAGCCCGTTGTGCTTGCTGACTGCTCTTGGTCACCTCGATGCTCGATCACAAGATGTCACCGATCGCCAGCGTTGGCGATGCAGCAACGTCTTGGTGCAGAGGGCCGCTAGGTCTCGACCGACTCGGCTGAAATCTTTCACGCACGCATGTCGGCAAGTCCGATCCGTAGTTGCTGGTGTCTTCCAGCGGACGGACACGGCAGGAGAAAAAATAATGCCGTTGAAAAAGTAAGAAAAAGTGAAACTGGGATGCCGTTGTTGGTGTGGGGGCTGGACTGCTGGTGCTGGAAATACCGCGGTCAAATATGGAAGAGGGACAGGCTTGGCTGCTAGATTGACACGGACGAGATTTTGCTTGGTCGCGCCGGCCCCCATTCGTTCTCCATCTGAGTGTGGACGCCCTCGGGCGGCGGCATACACAGCTCGTTCTCCCAGGACACGACCTCGACGTCCTCCGTGTGCTTCCACGTGAGTACTACGGTCGCGCCGTCGCCCTTCTCCAGCAGCGAGTTGATCTGTCGAAGCACCTGCCCCTTGGATTTGTTCATGACCAGTCGATGGTTGATGGCGTACAGTGTGTCCCCGACGCGCAGGCCGCAGCTGGCCTCGGCCGGGCCCTTGAGTCCGTGCCAGTTCGTGGGCTGAGGGCCCTGTCCGTGGTCGCGCGGCACGAAGCGCTTGCCGTCCAGTCTGTAGAAGTCGGCGATCACGACCTCGGCGTTCTGCGTGATCCGGCTGCCGCGGGTCTTGACCAAGAGGCCTAACCGCCGGAAGAAGTCTTGCCGGCGCATGCCCGCCGTCTCCAGGTACGGCAGCTGCGCGCGCGGGCCGATCTGCACGGTGTCCGAGTCGCCGCTCACTCGCACCTCGGTCTGCCGGTCGTGGCTGAGGCTGGTCGCGTAGATCGGGGAGCCGTAGAAGTCCCCGCCGCCGGGCATGCCGTTGCGGGACACGCCTTGCCCCATGGTTTACTGGTCTACTGGTGCGCGCCGCCGACGAAGAAGAGGAGCTGTCGGGGGCCGCGCGGCGCTGAGGGGGGTAAGTGAGAGAGTGCCGCTCCGAGTCAATGCAGCGGCGTGAGTGCTCGTTCGTGGGAATGCAAACTGGGCGATGGGTCTCCATACTTTGACCAAGTGAGCCGCGTTGCTAATGCAACTGACTACTAAACCCTAGGTGTGTGACACACTAGAAACCTGTCGAACAGCATCGTTTCTTGCGGTGCATATCCGTTTTGCTGGTGCGATGGTGTGTCGCACATCGCACGCGCAAAAGTTCAACGTCGCACTTTGGCGGATTTACAAAATGCGGCGCGTTGTGCTGACGGCTGGGCATGGAGCGGCGGCGGCGGCTCGGTTGCCTTCGTCGCTGCTGACAGGCGCCGCCCACGCGCGCTGGCTCAGCGCAGCGACGTCGTCCGTAGAGATGCGGCCCATGACGCGAAGGCTGGCGGACGGCGTGCTGCAGGGCAATCGCACGGCTCTCAGTCGGTCCATCACGTTGGGTATGTACGAGTCGCCTGCCTGCCTTGCTTGAAGTTAGCCGCCTGATACACCACGAGACTAAGATAGTTAATTTATGGTGGGATGATATTCATAATGGTGCAGTGGAGTCGACGCTCAAGAGCGACGAGGAGCAGGCGGAGCTGCTGCTGGACAGCGTGCTGGCCCAGCGCCGGTCTTTGAAGCCCGCTCACGTTGACCAGGCGGGGCTGACGTCCTTCCGACTCGGCATTGCCGGCCCTCCAGGCGCCGGCAAGTCCACGTTTATCGAGACACTGGGGCAGTTCCTCACTGCGCAGGGCCACAAGGTGGCGGTGCTGGCCATCGGTAGGTCATATCTCTCCTCTCCGCAGCCTTAACGCAGCGTCTGTATCGTTAACCGTCGCTGTTTTGTTGTCAGATCCGTCATCATCTCGGTCAGGAGGCTCCATCTTGGGCGATAAGACGCGCATGGAGAAACTGTCGAATGACCCGAATGCGTTCGTGCGCCCGTCACCGTCGCGCGGCACGCTGGGCGGCGTCGCACAGCATACAAACGACATTGTGCTGCTCTGTGAGGCTGGTGGATACGACATTATTCTTGTGGAGAGCGTTGGTTTGGGTCAATCCGAGATCGTGATTGATGATACAGTGGACATGGTCATGCTGCTTGTTCCTCCAGCTGGAGGCGACGAGCTGCAGGGCCAGAAGAAGGGCATCGTGGAAATTGCCGACATCGTTGTGGTCAACAAGGCGGACGGCGAGCTTGCAGCGTACGTTTCGCTGTAGTCAGGATTTGTTCGAAGCTTCGTGGACTTACTGTATCGCCTACTATGTTGCAGACCGGCGAAGCACACTGCGGTGGACTATATGCACGCCATGCATTTAATGCGACGAAAGGATCCAGACTGGGAACCGAAGGTACAACTTTGCTTTGCCCTAATTTTTAGCATGTGCACGTATTGATGAAGCTTTCGATGCAGGTGAAAATGATATCAGCTCTTGAGAAGAAGGGCATCGACAAGGTGTGGGCAATAATTGAAGAGTATCGGAAGACGATGGGCGAGCTGGATAAGGTAATCAATCGGGCACCCATTCTCATCTCGTATGCCTCGTGCTAACGTGTGTTGTTTTCACAGATTGCTCAAAAACGTAATGCACAAAGCTCCAAGTGGATGTGGAACCAGTTGAATGAGCAGCTCATGCGATCTGTCTCGCGCAGTGCAGCAGTGCGGCACAAGGCAGACAAGATGAAGGAGGACCTCGTTCATGGCTTCATCAGTCCTCGTTCAGCTGCTGCAACCGTGCTTGAACTATTTCTTAAGTCTCAACAAGAGGCAAAATGAAGCCGTAAAGGCAGACGTAGGCCTTTTGGACTGAGTGTTTCGAGATCCAGCGATAACATGCTAGCAACAGAAATGGAGACTGTCGTATTTCGTAAGTACTTGGCACTGTTTGATGATGATTTAATTGTACAATTGAGTGCAACGGGTAAGTAGTTTTCTGCCAGCTCTTACAACTACGGCTTGCTTCGCTCAGTAGATTGACGAGGTGGGAGGAATCTGCTCTGTGGATAGCATCGAGAGCCCGAGCGACGACGCTGTGGCGCTTCCTGTGGCGGTCGTGGCCGTCGCTAGTTTGCGGGGTCTACCTTGTCGCTTAACTTTTTGGCGTGGAGCTGAAATCTGATCTTGCTGCTGTAGCATGGCGTAACACGAGAGCACCTGCAGAGCACACAGCTCGGCTTCAATGAGACTTGACAGGCGGTGGCGCAGGTTTGGGGACGCCTTCGCCAGTAGCTCCTCCTGTGACGGCAGACACTCCACTCGTGATGCATCGTTTAGCCGTTTCTGCAGCTTGTACGGGTAGCTGGAAGTATTCGGGCCCATGCCGAACTGTGAGTCGAAACCCGCCACTACTGCACGCGAGCGCTTTTTGGTCGCTCCTGTTGTCTGCTTGTATAGCCCACTGACTGCCGAGCCCATGGGAGCAATTAGGATGGCAGCGGTTCCTTTGGCTTGACCTGTATAGCCGCCACGAGCCATTTGTCGAGAGGCGTCTGAAGCATCGGCGTCGTCGTCGCCACTGTTCTGAGCGACGGAGGAGCCACCGTCACTGAAATAACCGACCGGTCCAGGCATGACCATGGACAGCCCGCTGTGCTTACGCACTTCGTCGTCACGCGCGAGCTTGGCAAAGTACTTTTGGGCATGGCTGCGGATCTGAGCCGACGTGCGCGTCTTGATCTTGGCCGCCACCTTTTTCCACTCGCGGCCGTACAGTCGCAAGCCCGCGAGGAAGCTCTGGTGTTCCTGCTCGGTCCAGCGACCTCCGTTCATACCTGTCTGTCCCTTTTGGTGAGTTGCATTGGACGCCGCAGGGGCTGCTACTGCGCTAGCTGATGGTTTCGTCTTCGCCGTTTCAAGGCTCATCGAGATTGGCGACGCACTCGCCGAGGACACCAAAGGGGCGATTGTCGGTGAGTCGACGATGCTGTCGAGCAGCTCATTCGAGCGCGGAGCCGCCGCTGGCAGCAGAATCGGACTGGAGGGCGCAGACTTTGAGCTGTCGGTGGGACTCCCGGCTGACTGCGAGTGTGTCGAGGATGCTGGAGAGAGCGACATGAGTGCGGAGGACGAGATCGGGTCGCGAAGCATCGACTAAGAGTAGCGATCGCTGGACCACGGGCCGGATCCGCTGATCGTCTGTTGAGCTGCTGTCGCTGCTGCTGCGATCCTCGTTCGGCTCGCTGGTTCCCTTGGCCGGCCGGCGCCAACTTGAGAAGTGAGCGAGCGATCGAGCGGAAAGATATTCTTTGCCGCTTCTTGCCGCTGGGTGCCTCGGTTCGTTTCGAAGTCTGTCACTTGACTGGGCGTCAGTATGGCGAGCACACGCGCGAGCCCACCTAATATGCTCGGCGCCGAGCAGTTACGCCTGCAAAACCACCGCAGGCACTGGCACTGGCTTCTGCTCGGGGCCCGGATCCTGTGAAAACCACCACCAAAAAGATTTGTCGCCCGACCAGAGCTGCTCGCAGCATCGCGCTCGCTGGCTTTGCGGCACTCCTGCGACCAGCTCCTATTCATAGGCGCTGAGCTGGCGGAGTCTCAGCCCATGGCATGACGCTGACAGCCAACTACATTCGTTTCAACGAGAGTCGCGTTGACGAGCTTATTAATAGTCAAAGTGGTTTCGCACACACACCTTCCCGTCCGTTGACCGCCCGCCAGGGGCAATACAAAGCTGCGCGGCACCTTACTCGCTCGAGCACCAAAGCAGCATCGATCCTCAATTAGTAGGTGAAGATCTCACGCTCCGTTGATCCCTTCAGAGCAGAGTGTCGAGCACGTCGACGGCTGTCCTCTCGACGCTGGTCTTGTGCTTGTTGTCGCGCGCGAGTTCAGTCCACAGCAGTTGGTGCGGCTCTGTCATCTCCTGCCAAATGGCAGCGGCCTCGTCGCTGGATATCGCCTCGTTCTCCCGGCGTTTGGCCTCCAGGAAGTGGCGAAACCCTGCCGAGTCGCGCAGCGTCTTGTTGTTGGCCTCCTCTTGCTGCGCATTGTACACCTGCAGCTCAGCTTCGTAGCGGTGCTTGTCCTCTGCAGCCATACGCTTGTACGGCTCTCGCTCAGCCTCCGACATTTGACGCCACAGTTTCCCACAGAGTGCTGAGCACTCGTTGTGAGACATCTGATACGTTGAGAGCAGCTCCGTGCGCTTGGACATGTACATCAGGTTGTAGGCCGTCTTCGGTCGCCGCGGAGGTCCGGACTTGCGCTTCTTGCGCGGCACAGTAGGTGTCTTTACCTGAACGGGTTGAACGGGCCCTTGAACTGCTTCAACCAACTCCTCCTCATCATCGAACTCCTTCCGCTTTCGCGGCCGTCTTTTGGTTAGAGGATTGGCAGCCTCCTCTTCATTCTTCTTCGCAATATGAGCTTCCATCTCTGCCCGAAAGCGCTCAACATCCTCATCAGCCTTGCGTTGGTAGACAGCACGCTCGTCGTCACTTAAAGCCTTCCACGTGACACCGATTTCCCGCATGATTTCGGGGTTCTTACGACCAGGACGGCGATCTACCAGCTCCTGCCGCTTTGCCGACAGATAACAGTTATAAGCATTCATCGGCAAGCGGGGAGCTGCCGAGTCCTCGCGAGCCAGACGCCTGAGCTCTTCCATCCGTTTGTGTGAACGTTGGACTACCAAGTCCATGTATGCCGGCGGTTTGTAGGCATTCATCTCGGTATCGTACCGCCGCTGGTCCTCTTTAGCCAGTTCGTGCCACTCCGCCTTGTCCGCGTCACTCAAACGCTTCCAGAGCTGACTCATCTCAGCACGGAACTCGTTAATCGTCATATTCAGTAGCATGAAGCTCTCACGGTTGTGGCTCATAAAGAGCTGGAAGGCCGTCTTCGCCGGTTTGGGAGCGAACGGGTCTTTCAATGGAGTTTTCAGCGCAGACAGCATGTCAGGAGTAGTAGCTGCTAGCGTCGGCTGCATGCGCGCGATTTCTTCTTGGAAGCGGAGTTTGTCTTTGGCGGCCAAGTCTTCCCAGACCTGGCGCTCGTCATCCGACAGAGCCCTCCATTGGCGCCCGACCTCTTTTGACACGAGTGGCGCCGCGAGGAACGGGTTTGCAGCTACCACTTCTGGTCGTTGGCTCTTCCAGAAGCAAATGTAGGCTGTGTCTGGCTGGCGTGGCTCGTTGGATTGCTTCTTCCGCTTGGGTGGGGCCTGCTCAGGTTGCTAACACATTGAAGAAAATACATTTAGAGGTCGCACCCCGTTAGCCGCCGTCCACGGCAGCAGTTATATCGTTTGCACGCACCTCATCAGACTGCTGTTGGTTCACATGATGGTGGGCTTCAGTGTGGAAGCGCGCCTTGTCGAACTGCGCTAGCTCGACCCAGGGTTTGCGCTCGGCAGCCGACAGCGCCTTCCACTGCCTCCCGAGCTCCGCCGAAACCTGTTGCACGGACCACGACGGATTCTCCGCTGCCAACTCGTCGCGGCGAGCGTGGCTGAAGTGCAGATACGCGTTCTTGTGCGGCGCAAGCGCCTCGCGGCTGCGTGCCGTCTCCATCGGGGGGGGGGGGGGGGGTCAAGAGGTCAAAATGAAATCGATAATTTCGAGACGCTGGGACCAATCATACTTCAGTATTTGAAGCGCAAAATTTGTGATTTGTGAACAATGTTGAAGTTGCACATGCACCTATTGCAGCATTCTGCGCATGCTGCGTCTGGCCGCCCAATGCGTGTGCACTCTGCGCAGCGCGAGGAAGAGCACTCCGGCAGCTGTGGCGGCTGCACCGCTGGCACTCCACGGGTTCAGCGCAGTACCCAAGAGGGCAACTCCCCACACAAATTCGTAGCCGACGTGCAGCAGTCGCGTGGCTGCCAGCACCCCTGCGCCGTCGAACTGGAACCCGCGCGTGAGGAAGAGCTGCTCTGCGAAGGCCAGAGCGCCTGTGCCCAGGATGGCGCCCCACGTCTCCACCGACAATCCTGCCTTGAACTTGCCGTGCTGCACCACTAGTATCGCGATGAGCGACACGAGCGTCATGGTCAGCAAAAAGTAGTTCATGACGACAAGGTGCGGCACCTTCTGAAGGCTGCGCAGAGACACATAGGCGCCTGCCTGCATGACCACAGTCACCACAGCACACCCGATAGCCAGTGACTCGCCGAACAGGTATGAGGTCACGAAGCTTGTCATGGAGCGGCGGTACCACTTGGCGTCCGTCGATCCGTTCTTCCCGAAGACAAAAGCTGGCCGCACAACCTGCACAGCACCAACGACGCATAGTGCAGAGCACGCAAGTGTGAAGGCCCCCGGCTTCTCCTTCAGAAAGAAAGCTGCCTACATGGACACGGCGTGCAATTAGAACCGGGAGATCGAAACAAACAAATGGGGCGTACACGAACCCACCATTGCGAACGCTAGGAGCGGGCTCAGGTATGTGATTGCTGTGGCGTTTGACACCTCCAGCTTCTGGATAACCAGAACTGTCAGTGTCAAGGCGATGCAGCCCGTGAAACATCGGAGTAGAAGCGGGCGTTGGAACTCCTTCTTGACGCGCATCTTAACGCCGGTAGCGGCGATGGCAGCCTGGAAGCCGACAGCACAATGTCAAATTAAGTACCATCCACGCTATCATAATGAGAACGCCAGAACAGCAACTTACGAGGGTTAGCAGCCACGACACGAGCGAACGCCAGAAGAGCGTCTCCACGGTCGAGAGCTTGAAGGCGTCGTCCTTGACCAGCGTGGCGATGCAGCTAGCGAGGAAGGCCGACGTCCCCACCAGGATGAGTCCGGCTATGCGATTGGCCACGCTGCGCACCACTGCGCGGCGCATAAAGCGCGGGAGCCACTTGCCGTCCGTTGACATGGACTCGAGCGAGTCGGAGGCTACGAGCAGCGGCAGGTTCTCCAGGTGACGCATGGCTTTCTTGCCACTGTCGATCTTACCCGCCGGCGCGGAGCTGGTGGCGGTCGCGTACACGGCGCCGTATACGGCAGGTAGAGGCATCCTTGCAGTGCTGCGGGTGGACGAGAAATGACGATCTTCCAGCAAAAACTCAGGCTCAAACCGTTTGTCCTGATTTTCAGGTTGATTCAAATCGTTGAAGCGGTGTCTATTGAGCTGCGTAGTACTGTACGCCTGGTCACCGAACAACTTCAACGTGAAGTGCTTGCAGCACTAACTTGACAGCGGAGTCCGCATTGGGGCGGCGAACCTGTCACTCTACACAGGTGGTGGACCGGACCCGTTAGCGACTTGCCAGCCATTGATCACCCGTGGAATCAACCTATCCAAACAACCGCAGTGGTTCGAGCAACACACACCTCACTGACTCAACGCCTATCAGTGTGCAAACCCAGCGCCAGCAACCTTTCGTGCTCGACAAAGGAATCGAGAAATAGCTGACCGACGATGCCCAACGGACCGAGTGACGCCATGGTACGGTGACGCTTACGGCCACTCCCTCCAAGCTCGATTTCGTGTTAAATACTGTTGTCTACTGCAACTTTGATCCGATGAAGGGCAGCATAGGAATCTGCTTGCGAACCGAGCAATCAGCACCACGAGCGATTACACGGAGCTCCGCGCGGTGCAACGTCAGACACTCGGCATAGAACCTGCGAGAGGGTATCCAAGCAGTTCACCTCGTGTATCCTCGTTGGCCAACCAGAGACACACAGCTCACTAATAGAACCGAGAGCGTTCGTCTCCCCACGAGCCTCGTGACGAGGCAGCAAGCGCTGCAGCACGGCAATTAGTGCTCCGTCAACCATACGTTCGGTGGCTGGTGTACATCATCGCGAGTGGCACGAGCACGGTGTACTAGTAGATATTACTACTAGTAGATTTTCTAATAACAGTACCGGTGAAAGGACTATTATACTATATTAGTGTTATAAATTTTTCTTTCGACATTTATGTTTTACAATTGTAGATAGTACATATTCGACCCCAAATAGTAGTATATGATTACTTGAGACGCTAATTTGAATCAATGCTGTTGGTAGATTGGCTGCTGGACTGCTCACGCGTGTTGAAATCGTAGGGTGGTTCACTGCACAGGACCGGTCTAAAAGAGAGATTGGAGCCTACAAGCGCTAGAGAGAGATGTAGCGTTCTGGATGTGATCATTCATAATCATCTCGCAGCTCGACAAGTCTGCAACGACCCTTTCACTAGTCCGTCTGCCAAGCTCTTCCACGGAATATGTCAGCTCCGTGTGCTTGCGTGCTGACCTAACGGAGCATAACGTTCGGCCAGAGCGTTCTCCACAACAGCAGTAACGAGCTGTATGGCGCGGGCAGATTGTTTGACTGCATTTGCAGCGCTCCTTGCGTCAGTGCCGCGCGTCGGGTTGGGCAGAACTCCATCGGCTCGATGAAGCCCTTACCAACATGTTTTCTTGACCGGCAGATATGGTATGTGCAGCTTTCGTACGAGGGCGGACAATCTGCTTGCTGAGGTGGAGGCACTGTTAACGCACAATAATAAAGATGCCCGTCGCATAGAATACGAAAGCATCGGCGCTTCTTGGTCAACAGCAAGGCCACCTGGTGGTCGACATTCGCTGGTCGTCAGTAGTAATCTAGATTTATTTTGTATTACTGATGTAGTACTTTTGACCTGGTTGGAATGCTAATTGTTTTGATAGTATTATTGATTCGAGATCATAACTATAGTAGTTTGTGCGCGATACTATCCCTGGCTACGGACGCGTCGCCAGTTTGGCAACAAGAAAAGCAGAGCTCGCTTGCTCGTCCGATCGGCGCCAGGGAAGCGAAGCCGCCAACCTTCCACACACAGAGACAGCTACCTGACCAGACCACAGCAGCTGCACGACGGTCAAGACGCTCTGCAGCCATGGGCGACCACCAAGACGCGAGCTCGAGCGGAGAGCGCAACCCGTCCAGCCCGGCAGCGGCCATGAGCGGCATCGACTGGAGCATCTTTAAGGACGGCGAGGAGGACGCCTTTGGGTGGCTGCTACGCAACAACAATGCGTCGGCCTCCGCTGCTGCTGCTATGAGCGCTGGTATGATGGGTGGAATGGCTGCCGACATTCTGCCGCTGGACGACATTGAGATGGACCGCATGATGGCGGCAACGTCGTCGCAGCAGGCGACCAACGGCCAGCAAGTCGGTGCTGCTACTGCTGCTCAAGGTTGCCAGCCGCTTACTGCAGCTCAGACGAACGTTCGGTTGATGGCGGCGCAGCTGTACGAAGGACTGCGGCCCTCGCCGTCGAAGCCACCAGCGAATCTGCTGGCAATGCTGCCCGGCATGCCGTCCTTCGGTAACGGTGTTGGAGGGAGCTACGATAAATTCGATGACGACGATGCGTGGGAGGACGAACTGGAGGAAAAGGAAGCCCAGGAGCAGTCAGAAGCGAAGGCGGCGCCCTCTGAAAGCGAAAAAAGTGGTCCTAAGCAAGGAAGCGGCGCTGCATCGTCGCAGGCGATCGAAGAGAAGGCCCCCGCTAGGACTAGGAGCACAAGGGGGAAGACCAAAGCAAATACCGCTACTTCGGCAAAGAGCAAGCGACCTCTGAAACGTAAGAAGAGCGCACCAGCTTCGCCCACTGAAACAGGCTCGGGAACCGAAGAAGACCAGGAAAAGAAACAGCAGCGTCGTGTCAAGAACCTGGTGTCCGTACGAGAGTTCCGCAAGCGCAAGATGAAGCAGCTCGAGCAGAACGAGGCACGGCTGCGTCGACTGGAGGCGGAGAACATGGACTTGAAGATGCGCCTGAAGATCGGAAAGGAGGCCATTTTGAGCGAGCAGCGCGAAAAGCAGCAGATTAAGGAGCAGATGCGGGAGATGCTGCAGCGCAATGCCAACGAGCAAGAAATCGCGAAGTTCCTCAACATGTACAAGGTCACGTACTCGGACTACGGACCCAAGCGACGCGAGAAGCTGCACTTCCACTTGTCGCGCATCCGGGAGCTGCTGCTCCCCACACAGGTCACGAAACTAAGTTTGTATTCGGTGGAGCAAGGTGTGGATATGCTCAAGCGCGATCACGTTATAAAGGAGGACCCGATGTCTGCTCCTGAATCAGCCACAGCGACGATGAGTCTATGGGGTATCTTGGCGGACGAGTTGGGAGTATCAGACGAACAGCAGCGTCAGATTTTGGAGCGCCGAGCTGCTATCAAGAAGGTGCGCGACGATCTGAACCACACCTTGAGCATCGTAAAGAAGCTGGAAGAGGTGACAGACGAGAAAAACACAGCGCTGGAAGCTCAGGTGGCGCAGCTGCAGCAGATTCTCACGCCTTCTCAAGCCACCAAGTTTATCATCTGGGTCAAGGAGAACCCAGCCTTTATGTACATGCTGGACAAGCTGGTGGACTCCACCCTGCAGAACACAAGCAGCACAGAGGAATGATATACCCTGCCGCTTGCTGACAATTAGCCGCACGCTCGTATCTGCTCCAATATCCATCTTCTATTCATCTCCTTGCTGGCAAGGTCCAAGGACGAGAAAGCTGGACTATTCAGCAGCGTTGTAACCCCGTGGGGTATTTATTCGGTGAGTCACAGAAAGAAAGCAAAGGGTTTAGTTGGACGTACTGACTGCGGAGTTACCGCGAAGCTGTTTGTGTTGTTGTTGCTGCTCTTGCCATCGATAGCAGCCTACGCAATTACGACGTAAATAAGCGCTCACGTGAGACGCAGTCCATGCATCTTTCGTTGTGGCTTTCCTTGGTGGCTCGACTACTTCGGAAATAAGTGCTTCGCCTGCTGGAAAACCTTCGTCATCTTCTCCATGCTGTCCATGGTGCCGTTGTACAGCAACTTTACGGGTAGATTTCCACCGATGTCAGTTTGACAGATGTACGTCAAAGTGAATCCTTCGGGTCCATCGACGCTCGTGTCCTCCTTGCAGTGGAAGCACGAGATGAATATGTGCCCTCGAGTCTTTCCTGGACGCTCAGGCACATCTGGATGCTCAACACTAGCGAAGCTGATGGAGTTCTCTTTTCGTACGTAGAGAATGCAGAAGTCTCGCGAGGCTACCAGTCCACCCAGGAAGGGCTTCTGGGTATTCACACACACGCTCACGTCCGCATCGTCCAAAAGCTCACTGGTGTCAAACGTTTCGATCACTTCAAAGTTCGCCTCGTTGAAGTCCCATACGCTGCGATCTTTTGGGTCTTTGCTGTCCATGAAGGCCATGAACTTGGTCATGGAGATTCCGGTAATGAAGACCTCAATCTTGAATATCGCGAACGGCGTCTTGTCGGTTGTGAGCTCGTAAATCTCTCCACCCTGCGTCGCCTTCACCAATTTCCAAGAGCTTTCACCACTCAAGTAATATGCCAGCGTGTCTTCCATCTCGTGAACGCGGTCCAAGTACTTTTCTGGAAGAGGCCCACTACCTGGAGCGACAGAGGACCTTCGACGCCTCGTTCGCACTGGCGTCGCTCTCTGAGGTGCCACCGTGTTTGGCTTTGTTACTCGCATTGCCTCGTTTGGTTGGCTTGAAGACCCTCCGGCGAGCCGGTCGGCGTGAATCCACGGGTGCAGCGTCAGGAAAATTCCATACGTTGCGACGCAGTACCATAGGCGCTGGTGAAGCGAGAAACCATCAGCAAGAGCGATCACCAGCAGAATGGAAGCGGCGAAGAGCGACATCCAGAGCCCGATCGCGGAGTTCATGCTCGTCCCGTCAGGGCCGTCACTTGGTACGAGCCCTAAAAATGACGCCACACGGTAGGACAGCCCACCATAACCTGTTTTGGAGATTTCCGGTCGCTTCGTCAAATCGTGGTCGTTCGAGCTATCCATGAAAGAAAGTCTGCGGGAGTCGCTGAAAGAGTCTGTGCCCGTCCACACTTCGTCCATCATCATGGATTCGCGGCGCTCGGACTCCAGCATGGAGCCTCGAATGCTGGAGCCCACCATAGAGCTACGTCGACTCGATCCCAGCATCGACCCAGAGTCCATCATTGACCCTCGACGCTCAGAGCTCCTGCCTACAAAGCTCACACCGCGCGACTCGCGGACGTACTCCTGGGCATCCGGCACGGAGGCATGGGTCATGTGCTGTGAATCCCCACGCAGGCGTCTGGGGGCGTCGGACGAGTTTGCCTCGTTCTCCTGCCAGATCTGGCCGAAGCATTGGATGCAGATGCGGGAGTTCCCTTTGAGCCTCTTGGGGAGCCCCTTACGCAAGCCCAGCAGCGGAAATTTGAGCGTACAGAACTGGCACCGCCACTTGCGGCACTGCACAACAACAACAGCAGCAACAACAAGCAACGTCAGCATCGGTAGCCCACAGAAGGAGGGACTGCATGAGATAATGCAGACGCCAGGGTCTTCATCGGACGTACGTAGTCGCATCGCTTCGGAGGCAGCAAATCGCGCAGCACCTTGAGGTTGGCGCAGTACAGGCACGTCTGGGCGTCGACCTCGTCCCCCGCCGCTCCGGTGCGCGCGTCGACGGCGGTCGTGTCCATCGCAGGAATGGTGCAGTACACTCACTCACTCTGTGGTTTCAGAGGGCTGGTTGGCGATCGGGTCGCGTGCTCGCGGGGGATGGCAGCTTCGGCAATGATGTTTACAGGCTGAAGATGACGGCACCGCCTTTTTCTACCAATCGCCACTGGCTTGTGTGCGCCACATCCAAATTGAAGCCGACAGATATGGCAATGGTCAAGCTCTGCCTTACTGCGCCTTGGGTACTACTACTGTACTTGTCATACGAGCTAGCTAGCCCTCACGCAGGCGGCATGAGCAGGCTGGACCACACGGTGACGCCAGTGCCCACGAAGCCGATCACGATCGCGCCGATGAACAGCAGCAGCGGGCCGATCTTCTTGGGCCCCAGGAGCGGACCGTCCTCCAGCTTCAAGATGAACGCGGCGGGGAAGCAGAAGCACACGACGGTGGAGCACGTGCCGCCAATGATGCCGAAGACCACGTTGATGCTGGGGCAGAAGATGGCCAGCAGCAGCGCCAGCAGCACCAGGCCGCTCGTCACGGCCACATGGCGCGACGTCGAGTCCTCCGAGTTGGAGAAGAACATCATGTCGATCGTAAAGCGGCACGGGAAAATGTTCAGGGGGAAGGCCACAGCCACGGTGAAGGTGATGGCGGCGCGGCTAATAGCGATCAGGGTGTCGCTCAACGGGAAGCTCAGCAGGATGTTGCCCTTGTACTTGGGCTCCACGAGTTGAGGCCCGAAGGCAAGATACGCGACCACGCCAATGGACAGGTAGATCAGGAAGGAGATCAGCGTGGCACGGTCCACCACCTTGTTCATCCGGCGAATGCACGGGCGCTGCAGCTCTGTGTAGATCGAAAATACGTTCACCTGAACAAATGAAGTTAGACCTGCCATTGGCACTATGGAAGTTGTTGGTTGCAACATTGCCTTACCTGGCATGTGAAGGCAAACATGACGATCGGCACACTTAGCATGAAGTCCGGACCACGACTCAAGTCGATCGTCCAACTGATGTCCTCTGGGATTCCGTTAGCGCTTGCGTACATAATCGACCGGATGGCCACCGCAACCACCAGGAAGATGATGGAAAGCACTCCGAGAATGGACGAGAACTGAAGGCTGCTGATGTCTTTCATCAACGACAGCGGGAGCATGATCGTTCCACACGAGATCGTCATGAGCACCCATCGCTGCGCGAATACGCTTTGCATCCCGAAACAGAGCTCGCCAAGTGGCGTGATGATATCTCCTAGCGTCACAAGGTACGCAACCGAAATGCCGAAGCAAAATATCAGGATGTTCACCTCCACGAAAATCGTCATCTACAACGAAAAGAAAAGTCGATGGTAAGTATCTAGCCAACACCTTCGCCACCGGTAACCAACCAAGAAGCGTACCTTTGTGTCGAAACAGTACATCGCCAAGTCCTCGTACGACTTCAACCTGTGACAGAGGAGTCAAATATGTGTTAGGTTGCTGAGCTGCTGTTGGATAGCATTTATGCAGCCCCCTACTTGGTGATGTCTTCCGCGCGAATCAGCAGTCGAATCGTGTACACAGTAAGCACCGCGGCCAACACAAGTTGAGCCACAGCGAAACCCAATCCAGAAACTGCCACTGCGTACGGCAACGACAGCGCTCCAGCGCCAAGCGTAGCGCCGGCGAGATTGAAGACCGAGCCGCGAATGGAGCCCTTCGACGGAATGATGGACTGGTGGTACGGAAAAGCGTCGCTCAGGAGGTCATCGTCGTTAGGCTACGCATAATAAGACAGCAGTGATCAGTGTTAACAATGAGCTAAGGACCCAAATCGTTGCGCAAGTCAAACCTTTCGGGTTCGCATCGGCGACATGGAGGCGATGAAGCTGCCGATCTTCTTCATTTTCTGTAATCAAGTACAGTAATCCCCCAAAATGTAAGCACCCACAAGATTCACCAAGCAGCAGCCTCCGTCAAGCAGCACGTTTGGGGGGACACTTGACATCACAGCACATGCTCACACGCCATAAGAACGAATTCACCTTGAAAATGAGCGGCGTGTACCCCAGCTGCTTCAGGTATGAGTCCCGCAGAGGCCGACCCCTCTTCACGTGCGCGTCACCTCGCTCGACGTGCTCCGCTGCATTGCGGTCGTACACGACGTTGGTGGTGGAGTTGGAGCGCCCCTTGAGCAGCGGCTCCGTGACGCCATTGTCGACCTCGTGGCTCATCAGAGCGGACTTCCTGCGCGTAACACATAGAGATTAGCAAGAGGTACGCAGCGCAGAGCAAATTCCACCGGCGCGAGAGTCGCGTGCCCCCACCAACCTGCGGATCCCTTGGAGAAAAAAAGCACAGTGGTGAACGGTCCCAAAAAGTGATTTAACGGTTGTGTGGTGCACACCAACTATAGTTCTGATCCGGTTCCATGGTCAAATGCTGCTCTAGTATGATCCAATGGACGATCTCCCAGAGGGAGACAACTACGCAGATCTCTCGAATATTAACGCACTCTTTGAAGACCCAACTCCTCGCCACAAGACAACGAAGCACACGGACTTGACGATGGCCTCGCAAAACTTGCGAGGCTTCGCCAAAACATCGCAGCGGCGGTGGCTTAGTGGTTGGCGCCGAAAGAGAAATGGACAGATTCCGGATATCATCCTCGTCCAAGACACTGCACTCCATGGAGAGGACGACGTACAAGAAGTGCAGAGTGCTTGGCAACGCTCATGGCAGGTGACGAAGACTGAGCGTCCCCTCAGCTACTGGACGACAACATCAACGAAATTAGCTGGACTCGGTATCCTCGTCTCGCCAACGCTGAGTGGCAAGATCACTCCGTGGCAGCAGAGTAGCTGGACATCCCGAGTTATGGCGGTGGAGATGGATAGATGGCTGATTGTTAATATTTATGTCCCAATTGCCGACAAGGACCAACGCCAATTCTTCCAGGACTTAGAGCCTTGGCTGCAGCGCCACGACTCGATAATCCTGGCAGGAGACTTTAACTGTGTTCTTCGACCAGCACGAGATCGCGTCGTAGCAAGGCAGCCAAGTGCAGCGAATTGCGAATGTGCAGAACTGAAAGTGCTTTTAGACCGCAGAGAATTCACGGATGCTATTGACTTAGGCCGGGACTTGGATAGTGAAGATGTGGAGACGGATCCCCTTCATCACTACACCTTCTGGCGCAAGGGCAGTGCAAGCCGACTAGACCGCTTTTACGTCAATGGAGCACCGTTCTTGGCAGCCCAGTGGGTAGATATCGTGGACCCTGCTTTCGACTCGGATCACCACGAAGTCCGGCTCGCGTTAAAATCTGGCAAGCGACCTCAGCCAACCAAACCGATAGCATACTATCCGATCCCAAGTGGACGGCCAAAACGGGTTCAAGCAACGATAGAAGCACGGCTGACGCCTCTGCTGGACAAATTTGATTCTGAAGATAACCCTGTTGCGCACTGGGATGGTCTGGTTCTCGATATTCAGCGAGTACTAGTCGAAACCAGGCAAATCGATCTCATCCAGACCCAAAGATACTTCAAGAAGCTACGTGAGGAAACTTGGGTACCACGAGCATCAAGGAAGGAGATCATCGAGGACCAGGTCACAGAAGCCGGAAACCGAGCCGCTAGATCTTTCGGCAAACACCTCCGCGGATCACCTGAGGAAGTACGGAGATTTTACAAAAGAAACTCGGATTGGCAACGGGACCAGTCGATCTCGGAAATTGCCGCTTCGCCAGGACACTTCTACGCGGACGACTATCCAATTGAAGAGCGAATGGCGTCGGAATGGAGTCACGTCTTCGCTGCCCCGCATGCCACAACTCCCGCCGATCGGTTAGATCAAGCCTTTGACCAATTTGCACGCATTCCAGAACGGCAACGCCTGACCAAGGAGGATATCCAGCAACTCATGGCTCCGATCACGGAAACCGAGACCTGGTATGCTATTCAGCACCTGGAGAGGCACAAATCGGCGGGGACATCGGGGCTGAACCACGACTTCTATAAAGATTTTGCGGAGCAGCTTACTCCCAGCCTTACTACACCTTTGCCCAGCCTAAGTTGTCTAATCCGCATCCAAAGTTGTCAGCTTTTATTTTGGGTGGGAGCGAGGTACCCGAATTAAGGGGTACCACTCTCCTTAGTGCAAGCGAAGTCGTCTAATCCCCAATCGAAGTTGGCACTGACCAAAAGCTACCGTACATGCACAGTACACATGCACAGCATCAAAGTAAGCACCGATGGGCTTCTGCTCGCCGTACACCATGTCCTCGCTGCGAGTTGCGGCGTCGACGAACTTGGCCGCGTGCAGCTCCATCTTCTACACCATGCGCTGCGTGATCTTGTTCACATGAGCTGCGCGCTCGAGGATGCGCTTGCGCGCCTCGGTTTTCATGATCGGCTGGTCGTCGCTGATGAGCAGTGGGTTCAGGAACTCGGGCACGTACCTAAAGTGCATGTACATGTAGAGCAGTACGCGGATGACTCTTGATGCGCGTTGTGTACTGTGGCGTGTGGTCATACTGCTGCTAGCGCTTGCGGCCACCGCTGTTATTGCTCCTGCGCAGCGCGCTGCCGGACATTCTCGTTGGCTCGCATCACGTTGTCACTCATGGCTGAAGCCGTCGTCGCGCAGTCCCGGCAGATGCTATAGCTCTCGTGCGATGCTGGGTAGATTGAGGAGTGAGCGCGCCCCGCACGAAGTCTTGGTCAACTTCGCGCGCGCGGGAACTTCACGTCAGGTTCTCGTCAGTTCCGACAACTTCGATTGGGGATTAGATGACTTCGCTTGCACTAAGGAGAGTGGTACCCCTTAATTCGGGTACCTCGCTCCCACCCAAAATAAAAGCTGACAACTTTGGATGCGGATTATACAACTAAGGCTGGGCAAAGGTGTAGTCTCTACAATGCGATTATGGCAGGTAATGGAGTGCCATCCTCGTTCCTCGACGCAACAGTGATACCACTGCGAAAAAATGGCGACTCTGCGGACGCAATGGACTACAGACCGATAGCGCTGCTGAACACGGCTTACAAGCTCTTCGGCTGAATTCTAGCAGAACGGCTACATCCCATGCTGCCCAGGCTTATCAGCCTTCATCAGCAAGGGTTCGTACGAGGACGCAATATCGACAAAACTGTCACGATTCTTCGCAGCATCCGAAGCAAGAGTAAGTCTCTGCCAATGTCAGCGTGGGCAAAATGTGCTACAGTACTTTGCTTAGATCTCCGTAAGGCATATGACACACTCGACCGGAACTACATGCTCAAGGTGTTGCGGGAGTACGGCTTCTCTGAGAGCTTCCTCAACGTGATCCGCCAGCTCCATGACGGCACCACAGCGCGATTTCTCGTTAATGGTAAACTCTCGAAGAAATGGATCGTCAATTCGGGTATCCGACAAGGATGTCCACTCGCGCCGCTACTATTCATACTGGCAGTGGATGCTCTTGGACTGGCAATTAACCAGCACCCCGCGCTCCACGGGATCGCGATACCAGGACATTTAGCGCATCGCCATAAAGTCTCGGCGTTTGTTGACGATAGCACCATCTTCCTGAATTCGATTCAAGAACTCGACACAGTCAAAGGCATCCTGGACGACTTTGGAGCACTATCGGGCCTACGCGTTCAACCCCAAAAAAGTGTACTTATGGGGCTGAACACGTACGGCAACCCTCAGCGGTGGAATGGGTTTCCAGTCCTCAGCCCAGCTGCGACGACGCGCCAACTTGGATACTGGGTTGGGAATCTAATGTCTGCGTCAGCCAACTGGAACATCAGACTCGAGAAACTGCAACGACGGCTATGTATTGCTACCTCAATCAGCAACTCCGTCGCACAGAGAGTGCTTCTATTCAATGTAGTAGCGCTGCCTGGCATTCTGTACACAGGGAAACAGTTCATACCATCGAAAGCTACGCTGCGTCAGCTGACAAACCTCCAGAAACAGTTTGTGTGGAACAGCAAGACTACCACGGAACCAACTCGACATAAACTTAACCCAGCACTCGTTTTCACACCAAAAGAAGACGGTGGGCTCGGGCTACAAGATATCGGACTAGCTCTGCAGGCAACACGGTGCAATCTGGCGGACAAGTGGCTCCAAAGTGAAGATGATGCGTATGCTGCAGCCTGGCACGCAGCATGTCACCCGAACGGTCAATGTTACTCGTCTGGTTGCGTGTTCCGACCAACATCGAAGGACATGCTCCACAAGATGAAAAAAGAGAAGCGAGAAGTGCCCTAAACCAACGTACCATCAATGGGAACGGCTGAACTTTGGGCAGCGCACTCAAAAGGTTCGCTACCCACTGACCAGCAACGGCTAGAGATTCAAAGGGCCATCATCGCGGGACTGGCCTTGAGTTCCTGCTACGAGATAGGCGAATCGGGGGTTCGATTCATGACTCAGGCTACCCCAAAACGCGAACTCCCCCAGGCCACCTTGGCTTTCCTGCAGAACGCGACATGGCAAGAAAACGGATGCATTCTCGATGATCACGGAGTTCCACTCAGACTTAGTGACTTCCCTGCATTGCAATCAGCCCGACTGAAGGACCTGCACGTGCAGCCGGAAGCGGGATTGACCACCGCAGGAGAACACGCAGCCATAATTCGTCCGTCATGCAAACGAGGCAAGGAGGTGAAAGAAAATTTACGGCAAATAACACGGTGGTGCCGCAGCATCATGCTCAGCTTACCGTGGACCGTATGGACTTCCATAGGCAGCATCACTCAGCCTATCGGGATGCCGGTTGATCAGCAGAGAATCACATGGACCTACAACAGCGCACGCCGATCAATGGAGGCGAAGTTAATCCGGACAACAGATCCAGCCTTCACGGTCATGAGAAATTTAGACGGTTTATCATGGAGACTCGCCCACGTATCTCCAGAGTACCGTCAGACCGAAGATTTTGAGCAGATTGCGGAATGGGCCAACTGGACGGGCATTGCTTTCACGCAACCCCACAAACGGCCATCTACCCCTGGACCCTATCAACGGAGGTAGGAGCACATTCCCTTTGCAAAAAGCTCCGCCAGCAGCGATCCAAACTTTTTAAGTGCGACCATCACTACAGCTGGAAGGATATCACGGCTAAGGTGAACCACCGTGAATCATCATCAGCATGGGGGCAGGCAGCTCTGACTCAAAGTCCACGGAAAATATGGCAACAACGAGGCATCTTCACCGATTATCAAGCTTGGACGATCTACAGGATCACGCTAGGAACTTTACCACGACAACTGGCCCCAATGTCCTAAAATATCGTGCAAGTTTGAGAAGGAAACCATTGACCACATCATTTGGTCTTGCGCAAAAGCCCAACTCTCGTGGAAACGATGGCTCGACACTTGGCTTGGTCACTCGAGTACACCCAGCGAGCGAGACTCTCTTCAGAAGGCAATAGCTGCACGTCAAGCCCCGCCTCCAACTGTGGACTTCATGGCGAGGGCCCAGCAATGCACAGCGCGATGGACGGCACACCACAATGAAGCCATGATGACAATTTGGATGATCTGGTCGACGGTGACACCGGTGCTTCTCTGGCGCCTCCGAAACCAGCACGTATTCAAAGGAATTCCATCCTCGGTGCAAGACACAACACCAGCAATTTGGGCACCAGGCGTCTACCAAGTCAAGGCAGTTGCAAGCTCTTGGATAGCTCAACCGGCAAAACGGATACAAGGTGAGCATCTGGATCTCTGCCTTTGGATAATGACGACCATCGCGCACGACCGCGAGATCCGACAATTGGATATGTGGTTAGTACGCTACCACATCAGCACATCGACCACAGGCACAGTGAGCGGCGCGTGGATGACCTACCAAATCCAGGACGACAGCTCCTGGAGCCTCCAGGCTGCCGGAAGCCTGCAGTTTAGCTCGCGAGGGCACCGCCTGGATAATGCCAAATGGGCACTGACACCCGCCATGAGTGCCATAACGACACAAGCCAACCCCGCCCAAGTTCTTCTGCGCGTGGAAAGCATCGAAGCGGCAATGCCGCTCTCGACGCACCCATGCAGGCCAAAGGAGGCTTTGGAGCAGGCCCTTCCTCATACCCTCTACGATCAAACCCTCAGCAGTTTCTTCGCCATCCAGTGGCCGCTGTCTGAACTGGAAGCGATCAAGCATCTGGCCAAGGCTACAACGACGACAACATACGAGTTTCAATCAGCTGGCAGTCCCTCGACACCAAGCCCAATGCGGTCCTACCTCGAGCGGACAGCCAAGAACCTGCATCATACCGGCAAAGCCCGCAACGTTATGAACCCATACGAAAGGCGACTTCTATACAAGACCGCCTTAATGTATAGCAGGCTTCTATAGGATAAAAACACCATAAAAACCACAAATAGAAGGTCATTCACCATCATCCATGGTCGAATGCTTCGAAGGCTTCGAACGACATCCACGATGCCGCAACACGGAGATTCTCGATTGCTACGACCGACCGACAATATGGCCGAGCGTAAGTATTGAATATTGAGACGATAACATACTTTTACGATGCCACACGGCAAGCACACCACCAGCTCGGCCATAGCCTCAACCTCGCATCGGATAGACTATATCTACTGTACGTTCCTCTCTACACGACAGCGACACGTTAATATCGTGCTGTCCTTTTTAGTCCAAGGTGTTATGGTGTCACCGACATATTCATCGTGCTGTATTGGGCTGCTCGAGAATCTCAAGACTCGGACATGCATAACACAAAACAACAAAGAGAAGGCTGCTCTCCCCTCCCCTCGCGCAAGGAGACTTCAACGACGACTTTTGTTTCTTATTGTATCTTTGTCTGATGTATCTACCGCCGCGAGTATTTATATACAGCTGGATTAACAGTTTGGTGTATGCAACCTGAGGCTTAGCTTCATGGTTTCGGCATCTCACCCCGCCACAAAGTGTATTGTGAAGACGAGGAAGATGGAGGCGACTAAGCATCTGGTGATGCCGCAGCGCCTCGCGAGCCTTATTCAAGCCACACAGCTAACAAGTCATGGCCTGTTGTTAGTGATCGCGATCGGCGCTCTGGAATTCTTTCTCTCTCACAGCTAATTTCACTCCGTACCGCAAGTGCCGCTCTAACTTCATCCTTGACATCAACGCGCATCAGCTCAGCTGGAACAACTCACTTGACTAGCCCAGCAACGACAATGGACCCACGGGCGTCGCCTACCAACGCGTCGTTGTACAATATCGGTGATATTCTGAATCTGCCTGCATCGATGGACCTGCTCGACGACGACGACTTCGAGAGCACCATGATGCTGCTGGACAACCCCGGGTCCGTGACATCTTCCCCGACATCGGCTCTCCGAAGAGAAGGCCCGGACAACCTGGAGTTGAGCCTGACTGGTCTCAGCGACACATTCAATCCGCAGGCACGGAGTCTCCCCTGGCCACCATCGCTCAACACTCTCTGAATGCTGGGTCGGCTAATTCCGTTGGAATGAACTCGTGTCTTTCACCCGACCTAAAAATCCGGGTCAGCGGCCGAATACCCGTCCCTGGCGACGTGTGCATCAAACAAGAGAGCGAGATGCCCGACTTTTCGCCGGTCATGGACGCTTTCCTACGCGAGTCGTGGGATGACATCATTGACCCGGGTACAAGATCTGCGCGGTCGTCGTTCAAGTCGATGAGCAGTTGTCCGAGCCCGTTCACGATTTCAACTAACCCTGCACATGTCAACCCGTTGCCATTAAACTTCCTACTCCCCAACCCGTCGCCACTAGGAGGCCAGGCGTTGGCTAAAGGTATGATGCCATACCTTGCCCCATCGTTGCCGCTACCCCCTGCAACGTACCGCGCAGTCTCAAATGCGTCCACATCTTCGACAGTGTCGTCGGCTTCGTCCACAAAGTCGAAAGGGACACGACGAGCGAAGTTGTGTGTGCACTCGACGAGCGCAGTCTAACAACCGGTGCAAGACTCACGGTGGTGGCGCTCGATGCCAAGTGGAGGGCTGCGATAAGAGCTCGCAAGGTGGAGGCCTGTGCCGTGCACATGGAGGTTGCAAGAAGTGTCGCGTGCCAGGCTGCTCAAAGGGAACACAACGCCTTGGTCTTTGCTATCTGCACGGTGGTATCCGACGTTGTATCATGGAAGGCTGCAAGAAGAAGGACCGTGGCAACGGCTACTGCATCTCTCACGGTGGCGGCCGGCGGTGCGAGGCTGAGAATTGCAACCGCTCCGTTCGCAAAGGCAACCACTTTCAGATGCACCAAGGTCTTGCAGACGACACTTCGTTTCAGATCAGCCGAGTGCGGGGGCTCACGTCGTCGTAATTAACAGATACACATCAATTCACTTGGAATAGTGTGTTCTACCGAATTCCTCGATGAGCTTTCCCACATCACCAAAGGGGGCCAGCTCATCGAGGAATCCTTTAAGACCCAACCACTTATCATTGGTCTAAAATAATCAAAATCTTTGGGGGCCGCACGCCGCACGCCCAGGCCTTCCGAAATAATCATTGTATTGCAGATCCAGTACAATATTTCTCAGTAAATAACTTATTTTTTGTAAAAAGCATTTCTTGGTCAATAAAGTATTTTTACAGGTAATTACCCCTATTGTTTTTTTTTTACGAAAAACACTTTTTTACGACACTGTAAAAAAGTGTTTTGCTAAACTCTTCACGACAGCCACCAGATAGCTCGTAATTACGCCACAGGGCATGCCTTCAAGAGAGCTGTTCATCTCATCCACTCTAGCGTACTACCAGCACCTTATCTACCATTTCTGAATTCATCATGCATTCGCAAACATCCTTCACGATCAAGCAAGTCTGCACCTACTTCTTCACCCCGCTGCTCGACGAGATGAGCCCACTGAGCACTTTCGCTGCTAGTGTGGCACAGTAGCCAAACAAGACGTCAAGATGGGCTACTCGAACCTCTTTAGCCACGTGCTGAAGCAGCACCCCGACTACGTGGCCACGCTGGCGAACAGCGGCTTCAACTCGGGGACGCTGGTCGTTTTTATCGACCAGAAGAGCCAGACCGTCTACTGCTGGCTGGACTTTGTCACTGAGTGCAACCTCCCTTTTTCGTTCTGCGAACACCCGACTGTGGACAAGTACACGACGATGAAGCGGATTTGCACCGAGACGCTGTTGAAGTACGCGGTCTTGGTGACCAAGGAGGTCGAGATTGGCATCAGTGCGTTCATCACTCTCTAATTCGGTATCATGCTGGACGGGTGGAGTTTCCACTCGGAGCGTTACGTCGCCGTATTTTCGGTTTTCGAGCACGACCAGCGCTCTGAGAAGGTTCTCCTGGCATTGGCTCCAATCGCGGATGACGGTGTTGAGGACCAGATGGCTGAGAGCCACGTCGCCGTCCTGACCGGTATTCTACCGTTTTTCAAGCGGGACATTTCCAGCATCATCTACCTTGTAGCTGACAATTGCTCTGTCAACACTAGGTTGGCTGATTTGCTTCAGGTGCCGTTCATCGGCTGCGCCAGCCATCGGCTGAATTTGGCGGTCAACGTGTACCTCTCCGACTACGAGCCGCTGCTGGAGCAAATGCAGCAACTCATGCGAAAGCTGCGAGGACTGAACAAGGCGAATCGACTGAGGTAATTTGTGCTTTGTGCTTTTTTGAGATCGTGATATATTGTACCGATCTAAATTGTATTTTTTTGCTTTTTTGCTCTTTTGCTTTTCTCTCAGGCAAAAGACCAATTTGCGCCCGGTACTTCGCCAGGCGACTCGATGGGGCTCCACGTTCAAGATGCTCGAGCGCTACTTTGACCTACGCGACGCGCTGGACACGGACGACGACGACAACGTATCGTTGATGCCGACTCGCCGCCAAGAGAATCGCCTGCGTGCCCTCCGCGACCAGCTCCGTGATTTTCAGAGCTCGACAATGAAGCTGCAGGAGGTCAGCACCACGCTTCTCGACGTGCGCGACATCTTTGATGCGCTCGTCGAGAAGCATCCCGTTGTCGACAAGCACCTTGTAGCCGATGCTGCCATCGTGAAGGACCCAGACTTCGAAGCGGCGTGCGTGCTTGCGCTGGCGGACAAAACCGAGGAGCTGACGGAGGACCAGCAGCTCATGCTGAGTCTGTTCGAGACCGTCGCCGCCGCTACCGTAACTCCCAGCCCCGGAGGGCGACCCCAAGGCTTCGTGGACCAGGTCCTGTCGGCGAGGAAGAAGCCGCGCACGGCGCAGAAAAAGTTTGGAGGGGTACGCTACATCCCTCCAACTTCTAACGCTGTCGAACGTTTGTTCAGTGTCGCGAAGCACACGCTGTCGAACAACCGACAGGGTATGCTACCGGTGCACCTTGAAACGGTGCTGTTCTTGAAGCTTAATCGGCGCTTCTGGAATGCGGGTACCGTCACCAAGGTGGTGAACGGACAGTAAGTCACTCGATAGTGATGAAGGTAATGATCAATACAATACTTTCCACTCCAATAATATACTTAACTGTTGCCGTTATCAGTCATAATAGTTTAGTTCTTACCATTGTGCTAGTACTATTGCAGTATTATTATCGGAAGGCCTGCGCACGCCATTCCAAAACAAACATGGGGAGAAGGTACCTCAGCGCCAAGGACAAGTTGCTCATCGTGCTGGAGGCTGAGGCTGGCCAAGTGAAGCCTGTTGCGCGCAAACATGGTGTGCAAGCAGCCCAGATCCGACGCTGGGCCACCAACCAAGCTAAGCTGAAGGCCACCGTATCCCGCAACCCTCGGGCCAAGACACTAAACGCTGGACGGCCCCGTCAGGACGCTGAGTTAGAAGTGGAGCTGGCTGCGTGGATAATTGAGCGGCGATCCCACTAGCTAGCTGTGTCTACAAACCAGGTGATAGCGAAGGCCCTTACAATCAATCCAAGTTTTCAAGGTGGCAGCCGAAAGGCTATGTGGAAGTGGGTGTATCCGTACTTACATCGCCATCGTCTCAGCATCCGCCGAAAGACACGGGTCGGTCAAAAGCTCAGCGGACACTGGCAGGAAATCCGCAATGAGTTTGTGGCAGCAGTCAACGAGCGCTTTGAGCCTGGAGGTACATTGGAAGGCACACCACCCGCGCTTCGAGTTAATATGGACGAGACCGCAATATTTTTCGAGATGACGGCGGACACTACGATAAATGAAGTCAATGCGCGGACCGTCTCAATTCGGGGTAGTGGCTCTAACTCCCGAAGGCTTACCGCTTGTGTGACGTGCGCTCAAAATGGAACGAAGCTCCCCCTCTTTGTGGTGTTCAAAGCGAAGGCTGGTGCGACGATTGGACAAAGTCTTGATAGACTGCTTCCGCCCGGTGTTTTTGGGTGCTAAACGGGTGGATGGATGAGCGGGGCTGTCAGATTTGGTTTGATAAGGTATGGAAACCTTATGCAGCATCACATCCATCGTCGATGCTGATGCTGGACGAGTTTAAGTGCCACATACAGCCCTCATTTATTCGGACTCTCAATGACATTGGGACAGAGCTGGAGATAATACCTGGTGGCTACACCTGCGTACTACAGCCATGTGATGTTGGCATTAACAAGCCCGTGAAGCATGGCATTCGCAACCAGTACAATGATTGGGCAGTTCGCAAGATGGATGGACTACAAGGCGGTGTTAGAGAACCGGTTCCAGAGCGGGAAGACATTATTCGGTGGCTGGTAGCGTCGTGGGACGCGATTTCCAGCGCTACTATTGCCAAAACGTTTGCGTCGATTGGATACGCAGTGAAACCGAGTGTACCTGAGCCAAATGCATCGGAGCAAGTCAGCACAGCAGCCAACACAAGACGTTGAGACAGAAGGAGATCATGAGATTCAACTCACAGACCTACTGCTCGATGTTAGGCTCGAAAATATTCCTCTACATCCGTAAGCATCAAACAACGTACTATTCCCTTGTTCCGCTCAGAGCGACGTCGCTTTTGGCTGTTGTTGGACTTCCGTAAATCCTCGACCACCGTAGCCATCTTGTTCTCGTAAGCTGTCCTCTGCCTCAAAAGTCAAAAGCCTACGTGGCACAATTGAGCTCCCAAACGGATCACATACGCCTTCACAGCATACGCGACGTCTCCGTTATCTGCCATGACTGCCTCCCCTCTAAATACGATGACATCATCGATCTTTAGAGGCTTGCCACAGAGATTGTGTACTGTGCAGCTCCTCCCCGCGTCTCCTGCATCACACCCGACAATATCTACTCCAGCGATTGTAGGCGCTGGACTCCCCTCCTGTTCGATCCAAGGACGTCAGTAATTGTACAGAGCAACACGTTTAACCGCACTTGCCATTAGCGCTTCTTCGATCGACTGGGAGAATGGCAATTGAGAGCCAAACGATCTCATTGGCTAATATTATGGCTGGGGGATACAGCTCATCGAGGAAGTCCCCTCGAAAGCTGCCCATCACTTAGTATAACAAACCCGGTTGGGGGATACAGCTTTTCGAGGAAAAAATGGGGGTACAGCTCATCGAGGAATTCGGTAGTTTGTTTTTCAATCTTTAAAACGCCGTCTCGTGCTTTTAGCAATGAACAAGGTCGCGCTGGGGACAGCTCTCCATTTTGCGTCCTGGTACCAATATGACGTACAGAACAACAGGCTTCCATACCAATACTGTGATAGATTGATTACCCGGGTCGTTCCTCTCTGCGACAAAAACTCGCATCATAGATCACATTTTGCACATGTCGAAGAGCTGTGCTAGAAAAATCTTGTAAACAACGCCATGGTCTGCCCGGAACAGCTCTGTACTTTTGGAGTAGACTGACATAACACCTCAATACCGAATTTGTTTTGTAGAGGGATACACCCACGTATGGGATACAGGATAGTATTAGCCAATCACAATTGTGTCTTAGATTTTCGTAGTTCGTAAGAACTATGTATAGTATCGGAGAGATAAGGGACTAAACGCTAACGCATGACACAAAACCGGTATTTGTATAGGCACAGAAGGTTTGTACACACACGTGTATGTAGCTTACATAGAATAACAGCAGGGGGCGCCACGCGTATGGGCAGTGGAAGCTGATCCGAATGCACTTTGTGGACGCCCAAGCTCCCGAGTCACTTGAGGATATGCTCAGTGTACGTGTGTGTTTTATCGCCTTTGCCAGTTGTGCATCTATGCTGCTAACTATGTACTACTGCGGCTGCCGTGTAGGTTTTCAAGGCATCGTACGAAGCAAACCGACAAGAGATCGACTCTCTTCTGCTGACCGCGACGCTCTGGAACCTCGAGTGTGATTCCGAGCTGCTACCAACTCCTGGTACGATTGTCGACATTAACAAGTACATCAACCTGCAGCTCTACAACGATACGCAGTGCCAACTCACGACTCGTCTGGGCCAACATAGCTGGGAGCAGACCGATCTGTAAGTGGATGTAGTGATAGGCTAGCCGCAGCCCCGTAGTTACATGAAAATGCATCTGATTCCAATCGGCGCACATCGGATTCAAACTCCAATTGGGTACGCTATGCGACCTTCCACCAGAGTCCAGAGGATTCATTTCCGAAGTCTCAGCGTCCAGCTTAGGTGCGTCGCCCTTATACGAGTTATATGAAGAGCTACCTGATCACACGCTAACACCTTCTACGTGGATAGATAACAAAGCGTCAGGGATCTACCAACTACAGCACCAGCGAGATGCACAGCTTGCTCAAGATTATCCAAGCAACTTTACCAGCTACGAGAGCTGACTTGGAAGCTGTTTCTGCTGCGTACAATGCCGCGAAGAATCCCACGGAGAAGCACAGGGACGCCATGAGTCTGAAGAGAAAGTTTCGCAGTATGTGCTTAGCGTCGAAGCACACGCGCACCGATCTAGCTAGAGCTACAAGATGCGTTCAGGACCAGGCTAACCAGCGCAGAATCTCTGCTAGGGGTGGCGTGATCGTACCCGCATCAGGCCAGAAACCTTCGCCTGGAAGCCCTGGATCGACAGAAACTCTCGCTGCACCGTCGCTAGAGCGTGCAAGGCCGACGGCTCCGGAGGGAGAGCAACTGCTATTGTGGTTGGAACAGTGCATCGCCCTACAAGGGCACTGCGATGGACCCACTTCGTCACCGGAACTACTACAGCTATACAGGTTGCGTAAGGAGGATCGGAAGGCTGCTCGTCGTCATCACAAGGAGCTACTGATGTACATGGGTGTGCTGAAGGTTGCTCTAGAAGGTTTAACTTCGACTTGTAGCCAGCAACAGTAGCCTAGCGCCAGTATAAGGATGCACATTCACAGTGCTGAGGTAGCCCATCACGGCACTGGCCCACTAAAAAAACGCACGAGCCATCCCGCTACTGTAATGGCTCGGAAACTAAATAATGATACAGCACCCTTCTCCACCTAAAAGCAACTCGAACCCCACATTCACATATCACTGTTACACTTCACACACACTTCGCAATTTGCTCTGTACATGGCTGGACGAGGTAAGTGGGCCCAAGGCCTCGGACAAGGCGACACCAAGCGTCATCGCATAATTCTCGTGACAACATTCAAGGCATCACTAGGCCTGCGATTCGGAGGTTGGCTCGCCGCGCCGGCGTCATCTGAATGTCGGCACTCGTATACCATGAAACGCAAGCTGTGCTGAGGGTCTACCTGGCCAACTTGATTCGCGCTGCGGTGACTTACACAGAGCACGGCAACCGGAAGACAGTCACCGGCATCGACGTCGTGTACTTCGGTCCGGAAAAGAATTAACAGTTAGGTTTTTCTAATAAAACCTCGCTTTATTTTATTGGGTAAAAATAATAGCAACTATGATGTGCGACCAGCACTAATATGAAGGTGTCGACACAACAAAAGGAGCCAGCCACTATCGGCACAACAAAACAAGCCAGCAACACCACAATGGGACGTGCCAAGGGCACCGCCGACATACCTGAGGAAACGCGGCAAGCCATCGCGCTGTTCCTCGCTGAGCGGTCTGTGGGCGGCCGCTTGAAGCGTGGTGCAGCGTCGGCAGCGGCATCCAGGTTTGGTTGCTGCCGCCAGCAAGCCACCAAGATTTTCATGCAAAAGCTGTTGAGCCTGCCAAAGCCTCGGCGAGGGCGACCGCCCGCAAGTACGTCGACGGTGCTCATCGCCCAGCGAGTGGCCCGCATTGCGGCCACTCCCCACCGACGGTGGCAGACTTTGGGAGCCTTGGCCCACGCCACGAACATCCCCAAGACTACCCTGCTGCGCTACATCAGCAAGAAGCTGGTGCAGCGCGTCACTGTTCGCGTGAAGCCGACGCTGTCGGAAGACCACAAGTGGAAGCGCTTGGCGTACGCGCTGGCGCACGTCGAGCGGCCTATTGGTAACAGCATTAATATGAGGAAGTGATACGCATAATGATATTACTAATAATAATTGGTTTTCCCTAATTGATATAATATGTAGGTGCAAGGATGTATCGACTGCATCATATGTACGACATGATCCATATTGACGAGAAGTGGTTCAATATGTACAAGGCCACAAACACGTTCTACTTGACAGCTAACGAGACAGCGCCCTACACTTCGTCGCCTAACAAGCGCTACATAGGTAAGGTTATGTTTTTTGCAGCCGTAGCGCGGCTGCGCTTTGGCAGTCATCGAAAGTGAAAATTTGATGGCAAGATCGGCATCTGGCCAATCGTGGAAGAGTCGGTTGCGCTTCGAACGTCCGTCAACCGTCCCAAGGGTACTATTATTACGTAGTGCGTAAATATGACCCGCTCCGTCTACGTGAAGATGCTCAAGACTAAGGTTCTCCCAGCTATTCGGACGAAATGGCCAGGCATATTATTCTGCTTTGTTGACTTACTATATTACTACTAATATTAATTGTTGGTTATTACTAATATGATTAGTAGGTGGCAAACGGCGAGTAATATTTATACAGCAGGATAATGCGAGCCCTCACGTCCTCGAGAAGGACGAGGAGATTGCTGCCGCTGGCAAAGAGGATGGCTGGGACATCAGGATGAAGTGTCAACCAGCGCGCTCGCCCGATATGAACGTTTTAGATTTGGGCTTTTTCCATTCTATTCAATCGCTACAGTACCAAGAGGAAACGTACACAATCGACCAGCTCATCGATGCGGTAGCGCGAGCCTACCGCACTACAACGTCCGACACGCTTGACCACTGTTTCCTGACCCTTCAGAACATCATGGAAACAGTGATCAAGCACCACGGACACAACGACTACAAGCTCTTGCACTACAAGCAGCGGCGTGGACTCTCGTCAAGTGCATCTCCGACAGCGCTGACATGTGAGCCAGCTGCGGTAGAAAGTGGGATTCGCCATCTTTTGTGTGGTGCACTTCAGTTTCTCTAATTCATAGTACATCATCTGATAAATCATGGGTCTAATATTGAGGCTGGTTCTATTGGCTGAAATCAATGGGATTCGAACACTGATTTGTCGTATATCAATCTAACCAGCAAAAAAAACTCATGGTTCAGATTGCTAAAACAACCGAAAGGGAGGGCTATTTCAACGAAACTGTGGGGTTGTATGGAACAACTGTTTATAGTACTTTACCATAATAATTTTAGTTTTACGTAATTCCAACAAACAACGACACAGCGAAAAAAACCTTAGAGGAGTCGTGGAGGGCCCCCATTGCGAGTATGGTAGTTAGATACTGTGTCGTGTTAAGCGCTCGTAAAAAAGATACCTAGAAAGCCCGCACTTAGAGCTTTCGAATGCAGGTTTCGCAGCATCAATACAGAGATTACTTTTTCAGATATGCATTGGTTTGTGAACTGTTAATTCTTTTCCGGACCGGAGAAGTACGCTTTGAAGCGCCAGGGGGAATTTCTTTACGGGTATGGTGTCTAGGCATATGACATGTTAGTACCAGGCAGAAGTTATACTAAGCAGTACGCGAATAATACAACGATGAACAATTCCATCCTGCTCAGATATACACTGTGGCAGCAGTAGACCTTTTCGAAGCCATGTCGGTTTTCACGTGATAAACCGACACGACGAAACATTGATGTTTTTGTGTGACAATTACTATCATTTCTTATATTTCATATTATGTATTTTTTATTTATGCATTTTACAGTGTAATTAACATTCAACTTTCACATGTGATTATTATAATAAAGTAAAGCAAAGCAAAGCAAGGTTCGTACAAACTACGTTCCCCCCCCGGGCGCGCCCGCCCGGGCGTGCTAATACAGCGCTTGACTTGTTGAGGAATACACCAGTTTCAAGCCAGTAATTTTTCCACTCTCGGTCGCTCAGCGCGCGATCATTTCTGCAATGGTGCGGGCCCCACCAAGTCGCCCTCGCCTGCCTGGAGGTCAAGGAAGGTGAAAAACGACGCGGTCGTACCATTTTACACTGCTGCGATGAAGAAGGCTGTTGTCGAGCATCTGGGTCTACACGGCAATGTTCATTTCACTGTAGAAGCGTTCTTTCCGGGTCTACCTACAGAGAAGTATCAAGGGAGATGAGTATTAGTGTTAAGATGGGTTCGTCGTTTAAAGCTCTATAGCTGCTGCGGATGCTTCTGTCGGCGGCAGGAACAAACGGAAAGCTCGCTCTACTGAGCTTCGATCTAATGTTGCGGCGGTAGCAGCGAACGAGCTAATAAGTTGGGGTGTATCGGCAGCCGATTCGAGACTTTGATCTAGCTGAGTAGCGTGCTCAGATGAGTAACTTTGATAAATACATCTGGGCATCCGGTGCCGATTCGTTTTTTGAGCAAAATTGGGTGTCTCGTATTTACTATTATTTGCCCTGAGCCACGCTTTCAACAGATGCCCAAGCTCGAGCTGCACGCACCGTGCTGGCAACACGGAACACCGAAGGCGAATTAAACCCCGCCACAACCGGCCGATGAGGCGAAGCGAAGGGACCGAAACTCGCGCAGACAACGCGAGCAACCGAACACGCACAGACAAGCAAGACGGCAGTCAAAAGCGGGATGCCAGAAGCTGAGCGAAAAGCGCTCAAAAGTGCAAAAGTGTTACTCAAGGTCAGCGGGTCTCGCAGAAGAACCGCGAAGTGCACATTTGGGAGAGTGCTGATGCCAACTGATTTTATCACAGTAACATTGATCACAGTGGAGAAGCAGGGTATCGATCCCTGTACCTCTCGCATGCTAAGCGAGCGCTCTACCATTTGAGCTACATCCCCAGGACAACAACCTACGCGCTCTACCCAAACACAAACGCTGCCACGCACGCACCACAAACACCACGCTGCCTCAGACCGACGCAACGCTGCCACGCTATCTGTCCGCATGCCTCGCCTCCCCCCTTAACCCCTCACTACTCACTCTACACACCAAAATCCAACGCGCAATCTGCACCACACCAACCCGATGCAGACAGACTCACCGCACTGCGCCGCACTGCGCCGCACCCCGACCGTCGCGAGCGCCAGAGCCTCGAGCGACCGCCACGCTTTCAACAGATGCCCAAGCTCGAGCTGCACGCACCGTGCTGGCAACACGGAACACCGAAGGCGAATTAAACCCCGCCACAACCGGCCGATGAGGCGAAGCGAAGGGACCGAAACTCGCGCAGACAACGCGAGCAACCGAACACGCACAGACAAGCAAGACGGCAGTCAAAAGCGGGATGCCAGAAGCTGAGCGAAAAGCGCTCAAAAGTGCAAAAGTGTTACTCAAGGTCAGCGGGTCTCGCAGAAGAACCGCGAAGTGCACATTTGGGAGAGTGCTGATGCCAACTGATTTTATCACAGTAACATTGATCACAGTGGAGAAGCAGGGTATCGATCCCTGTACCTCTCGCATGCTAAGCGAGCGCTCTACCATTTGAGCTACATCCCCAGGACAACAACCTACGCGCTCTACCCAAACACAAACGCTGCCACGCACGCACCACAAACACCACGCTGCCTCAGACCGACGCAACGCTGCCACGCTATCTGTCCGCATGCCTCGCCTCCCCCCTTAACCCCTCACTACTCACTCTACACACCAAAATCCAACGCGCAATCTGCACCACACCAACCCGATGCAGACAGACTCACCGCACTGCGCCGCACCCCGACCGTCGCGAGCGCCAGAGCCTCGAGCGACCGCCACGCTTTCAACAGATGCCCAAGCTCGAGCTGCACGCACCGTGCTGGCAACACGGAACACCGAAGGCGAATTAAACCCCGCCACAACCGGCCGATGAGGCGAAGCGAAGGGACCGAAACTCGCGCAGACAACGCGAGCAACCGAACACGCACAGACAAGCAAGACGGCAGTCAAAAGCGGGATGCCAGAAGCTGAGCGAAAAGCGCTCAAAAGTGCAAAAGTGTTACTCAAGGTCAGCGGGTCTCGCAGAAGAACCGCGAAGTGCACATTTGGGAGAGTGCTGATGCCAACTGATTTTATCACAGTAACATTGATCACAGTGGAGAAGCAGGGTATCGATCCCTGTACCTCTCGCATGCTAAGCGAGCGCTCTACCATTTGAGCTACATCCCCAGGACAACAACCTACGCGCTCTACCCAAACACAAACGCTGCCACGCACGCACCACAAACACCACGCTGCCTCAGACCGACGCAACGCTGCCACGCTATCTGTCCGCATGCCTCGCCTCCCCCCTTAACCCCTCACTACTCACTCTACACACCAAAATCCAACGCGCAATCTGCACCACACCAACCCGATGCAGACAGACTCACCGCACTGCGCCGCACTGCGCCGCACCCCGACCGTCGCGAGCGCCAGAGCCTCGAGCGACCGCCACGCTTTCAACAGATGCCCAAGCTCGAGCTGCACGCACCGTGCTGGCAACACGGAACACCGAAGGCGAATTAAACCCCGCCACAACCGGCCGATGAGGCGAAGCGAAGGGACCGAAACTCGCGCAGACAACGCGAGCAACCGAACACGCACAGACAAGCAAGACGGCAGTCAAAAGCGGGATGCCAGAAGCTGAGCGAAAAGCGCTCAAAAGTGCAAAAGTGTTACTCAAGGTCAGCGGGTCTCGCAGAAGAACCGCGAAGTGCACATTTGGGAGAGTGCTGATGCCAACTGATTTTATCACAGTAACATTGATCACAGTGGAGAAGCAGGGTATCGATCCCTGTACCTCTCGCATGCTAAGCGAGCGCTCTACCATTTGAGCTACATCCCCAGGACAACAACCTACGCGCTCTACCCAAACACAAACGCTGCCACGCACGCACCACAAACACCACGCTGCCTCAGACCGACGCAACGCTGCCACGCTATCTGTCCGCATGCCTCGCCTCCCCCCTTAACCCCTCACTACTCACTCTACACACCAAAATCCAACGCGCAATCTGCACCACACCAACCCGATGCAGACAGACTCACCGCACTGCGCCGCACCCCGACCGTCGCGAGCGCC